GTTCACCAACGCCAGGCCTGCCCAGCTACATTCTGGTGAAATTCCGCAGGGAAGGAACGGTGCTTTGCTTCGCCGGTGACCTTTGCAGATAGCAAAAACCTATTTTTGCCTCCACTCGGCCCGAAAGCCACCAATCAATACCCAATCAGGTGATTTTGTCAGATACGGCTGCTGTCCTCGGGTCTCTTGTTCTGTGGGCTTGGTTGATGGAACCTGATCGAGCAAGTTCACAGTACTCGGATATTGACCTGGTTCCCCTTTGAGTGCAGTTTCGTTCAGGGCTCTCTTCAAAGTGGCTGCTGAGTCTTTTCCCTGCCTCGGAAGCAGAAACCTTGCAGGTCCATCAGAAAGCTGGTGCCACTCAGGTTGGCCTTGCAGGAATTGGGCGTGTCTAGTCCAATGAAGAGAAGGACCAGGGGTGGCAGGATAACATCTTCCAGTATTTGAGGGGCTGCCCCAAAGAAGAGGGGGGTCAACCTGTTCTCCAAAGCACCAGAAGGTAGAACGAGAAGCAACGGATGGAAATTAACCAAGGAGAGAAGCGACCTGGAACTAAGGAGAAATTTCCTGACAATTAATAAGTGGAATGGTTTAAAAAGCTGTGGATGCTCCATCCCTGGAGGTCTTCAAGAAGAGACTGGACAGCCATTTGTCTGAAGTTGGTCTAGGGTCTCCTGCTTGCCTTATTTTGGGCAGGGGGCATATTGGATGACCTCAGGGGATCCTCCCAGCCCTAGCACTGCGTGCCTGGCTCTTTCTAAGATCTGAGGATCTCGGCTTGTAACGGGCTCACAGGAAGATGAAGAGAAACTTCCAGGCAGATGAAACTTAGCTGCAGCAGGCTTGGTGGGTTGCTAAGGCCAGCTCAAGAGATCCTGGTCTGTAGGCATGGAAACCAGAGAGGGAGGAAGCCTCCAGGGCGGCGGAGAGAGTGGGGCTGAGTGGCCTTGCCTATGGTGGGGGAAGGGCTGCTGGCAGGCACCGTTCCTGGCCCTCCTGCACAAAGGGACAAAACAACATTTTTGCAACTCGCTGGATGTCTGTGCAGTCGACAAAGAGGTTGTGGGCGTGAGGCTCAGAGAAATTCCCTGCGTAATTGGGTTTTTTTTTTTTTTTGCAGAGACCAGAAACGTGGGAGAGCGTAAAGTAAGGTGGATGACCTTGATGGAGATATGCACAGCAGCCAGAATTAAAACATCTGTGAAGTCCACAACAGGCAGATAACCACCCCAAGAAGATCACACATGGGTTGCCTCCAAAAGTTGTGGGTGCTCCATCACTGGAAGTGTTTAAGAAGAGAAATGGACAACCATTTGTTCAGAATGGTTTAGGTCTCCTGCTTGAAAAGAGGGTTGGACTAGAAGACCTTCAAGGTCCCTTCCAGCTCTGTTATTCTGTAATTCATTGGATTATAAGAAGGGGGGGAAATGCACGGTGCAATCAGACTTGCAAATTTCTGCATTATAATATATATAATAAGTGGTTGATTTCCTGTTATTGATGATCAAGCCCTAATCTAGCCCAGAGAATTTTTTTTCTTCCCAGGTGCAACGTAGCCAATTAGCAACCTATTTATTCTGCACAGCACAAAGAGGTCTACATCACAAATCCAGAGTGCCCCCAGTACACAAATCGGCACAGCTTGGATACACATTTGCAGAACCAAAGCAGAGTTGGAAGGGACCTCGGTGGTCTTCTAGTCCAACCCCCTGCTCAAACAGGAGACCCTTAAACCATTTCAGACAAATGGCTGTCCAGGCTCTTCTTAGTGATGGAACACGTGATCCTTCACGAGCAACGGACAATAAAGAAATTGTGTGCTTGCTTACTAAAACATTACAATCCTCACCCTTCTGCCTGTAACTGATAAAGCTGGCAATTCGGCATGCAAAACTTTCCAGCTACTTTCTCTGCATGGGGAAAAGGAGACATTAACCCTGAACCAACGGCTGGCCTGCTTTGAGTTCCTTGGTAAGGCCATCCCATAGTTTTCCAGGATTTTAGGGGGGGGGGTAATAGGAGGGAAAACATCTCAAACAAAAAGGAATTGATAGGGAAGGATTGCAGGAAAAGAGAGAGAGAAGGGAATTGGGGAGCCCTTCTGGGGATCAGAAGCACCCCGAGAAAAAGGACAAGATGGAAAGGTTGGGGTGAAGAGGGAGAAGAGAGATTAGAGCAGTGTTTCTCAACCGTTGCAACTTTACGATGGGTGGACTTCAACTCCCAGAATTCCCCAGCCAGCTATGCCTGGTTCATTTTTTTCTCCCACTCTCTAGATTGGAAAGATTGCAGAGAAAGGGATTACAAGAGAATATGCAGGCATGCAATAAGGATTCCCCTCAAAAGAAATGTGCTATGGCCAGGGAATTCTGGGAGTTGGTCCACTTGTCTTAAAGTTCCCAAAGTTGAGAAACACAGGATTAGAGAGCAAAAAGAGGGAAGGGTGGGATCTTGACAATCCCACCATGATAACCTCGTCATGCTTCTCACCGAGCTTAATCCACAGCCCGTCATGTCAGTTTTTTGAATTAAAAAAAAAAAAAAAATCCCCAGAAGACCAATTCCAGCTTTTACGGATTAAGCTGAAATTTTGTTACAGAAAAGGGGATCGTCTTCTGCACCAGAGATGGGAATTTGGGGGGAAACTCAGCCATTTCCACGTCCGATATTTCACCTCTGCCAAATTTTCCAGTGTTTTGGGGTGCGGGTTGCAAGTGTGGGCAGATGCTTCCAAAGTGCCTGCAGCTGGTGTGTTTTTCTGTAGAAAATCCCGGTGCAGATGGGTTCGGACATGTTTCATCCTGCTTGGCTGGGGTTTTTCCAGGCCTGAGTGTTTTCAAAGACATGGCAATTTTGGGAAATAATGGGTGGGTTTGCTGTGGAAGAGGTCTTCCTGCATCTTTGCACTGGGGATCAGCAAGTGGTCCCGCAGCTGTTAAAACACCTGAAATTTTAGGAGGTGCAGATTGGAAGGGACACCACATTAAATGGAGTTTTTGCAACACCGCAAAGAGACAGTTGGAATTAGCCTACAGGCTTGGGTGGTGCGCTGATCGCAATCCGATTAATGGTGTGGTTAATTTCTGATTTTCCACGTCCCTCCTACTTTCTTTTATTTGGCCCTGCTGCTTTTCTAGCTTTTACTTTCTAAAGAAAATGGATTTTATCCATTCCCCATCCTGGGGAAATAACAGAATAACAGAGTTGGAAGGGACCTTGGAGGTCTTCTAGTCCAACCCCTGCTCGAGCAGGAGACCCTACTACACCATTTCAGACAAGGGATTGTCCAATCTAATAATCAACAATCAATCGATTGATCAATGAGAAGAAAGAGAAGAAAAAGACCCCCAGTAGCAAGGTGGATGGACTCAATCAAAGTGTTAATGGGGGCACCTTTGCAAGATCCGAAGGATTAGGTTAGGATCACGATGGAGAAAATGTATCCAAGAGGTGAGACCAAGTTGATGGACCTAATAAAAGAGGCCAAGTGCCAAGTTACTATAAGAATCTTACAGGGCCTCCTGCTTGAGCAGGGGGTTGGACTAGAAGACCTCTAAGGTCCCTTCCAACTCCATTACTGGGCTACACCTGTGTTCACATGATGCTGTCTGGTTGTATAACGAACACATGAGTTGAGTCATGCTTTCTGATCTATGAACAGCCCCTTGCATCAGCCAGAAGGATGTTTTCCTTTCTATGTTTGTTCTCTTTGACCTCCTTAATTCAGAGTTCCTTTTACTTTCTCCAGAGAAGATAGCCTGCTCAATTCAACTCAATTTTATTATAGCTAAAAGGCCCCGAAGCCGGTTCCAGACACTATCAAAACCTGGCATTAGACCAAACAGTTCAACACATAAAATATTTAAATCAACATTGCATAAGAGAGCACTCTGCAATTAAAAAAGAGAAGCAAAGAGGAAGCCGGTTGAAAATTTGATCTTGAAATATTTCCTGAAGCAGGATAGACCATATCTTGGTTGGCAGGAGAATAATGGTTTGTTTTAGACCAACACTCCTAGCTATTATCATCATTTCTGCTGGAATCCCAGAACCAACTCATCAGATATCATCAGCAGGCAGCATTTTCCAGATCTAAACTAGGAATGGTGGTTTGAATAGCTTTGATTGTCTGAATAAGCCCACTCCGTATTCACAGGACTCGCTAAACCAGGCAGGAGACAAATTGAAGATTTTAAAGTCTTGCAAAAATCTGCAGAATATTTTTCCCGGCAAGGCTGAGTTCCTGCCAGGGCAGATTTAAAGTTTGCTCATGTCGCCTGGAGCTGATTCCTGCCCTGGCAGAATTAACAAAATTGGATGTTTCTTTTCTTTTTTCCCTTTTTTGGCCCTAATTAAGGGGGGGACATGCAGCGATGAAAAGTTTGAACAACAGCCCTCGAGTGAGTGGCAGCCTCTTCCTGGACATCTCTTAATTACACAACCCATAACTTTCTGGAATAGGGTTTAGCCCCAAGATTGAACTGGTTTTGTTCAGTCCTGTTGTTTTGTTTATGTTTTATTTTCCTTACAGGATGAGATTCAAAGATGGAATTTGTAGTGGGAATTACAGGCAAGAAACAGTAAAACCATTGATGCCCAGCCTGCAAAGTCGTAAACCCTGCTTGGAAAAGTTAGACAAACCGAAGCGGCTTCGTTGCACTTATCAATATTGCTCAGATAAATCCACAAGGACATCCAGGGTTCAGTTGTAAGGCTCCAGTACACAACTTGCCAAAGGAAGTTGTGGCTGCTCCATCACTGGAGTTTTTCAAGAAAAGTCTGGACAGGACGGTATAAGGACTCCTGCCTTGATCACAGAGTTCATAAAATCCTAGGGCTGGAAGGGACCTTGGAGGTCTTCTAGTCCAACCCCATGTGAAGGCTGGGGGATGCTGGGAGTTGAAGTCCACGCCTCTTAAAGTTGCCAAGGTGGAAGAAAATGCTGAATTTGCTGAAAGGCTGGGAAGCCAGTCCTCCATCAGTTTACAAGTAAGCAGTAAAACAGCCCTCACGATACGTGAGAATTTGCCCAAATTCTCCTCTCCTTTAACGGGAATTTCAGAATCAAATGCCGAAGGGATTTGTTGCACGCAGTCAAATTTCCTGCAAAGTCTATTTTTTCCCCCTCAGGACATGACAGCTTTGCCTGTCACAAAAATCTACTTCCCTAAAAGGAAATTTCATATATATATTTTTTAATCCCTACCAGCTTTATCTTTTTCCGGGCATGTGATGCTCACACACACAGACACAACCCCAGACTTGTCGGTGCTGAATTGCAGCAAGTGACACATCGGTTGCACGATCCCAACCGCTTTTTTCTCGAAGCTGAGTCCTCATGACCAGGAGACTTGTTGGGGCCTGAATTTCTTTGTTGACATTCTTCCAACATTGTGGTTCCCACCTGGGCAAGAAGCGGGGGGGGGGGAGGAAACTAGAGACAGTCCTTGACTTGCAAAAGTTTGTTTAGTGACCGTTTGAAGTTACTGCTGTAAATGCATGCTAATTGCCAAGCACCCAAATTCTGATTGCGGGCAAGGAGGCTGCAGCAGCCAAAGTGCAAGGACCAGTCAAAAGTCACTTTTCTTTCACTACTATTGTAACTTTGAACGGTCGCTAAACAAACGGTTGAAAGTCGAGGACTCCCTGTACAGTTGAGCAGACCAGTGGAACCTTTCTCTGAGACATGCCTGTTCTTCCCTCCCTTTTTCCAAGACACCGCCTGAGAGGATTTTCTGGCTGAAATAGATTTATCCTTTGGTTCAGCCTTGCTGGCATCTCCAGAGGTGTGGAAGGTGTTACTTTCACAATCTAGCAAATTCACTGATTGGTATTATCAAGGTTAATGAGTCACTTCCTCTCCTTTTTCAGCAGAATGTTAAGAACGTGCCTTGCTGCAGGGACCGAGCCTCGCTTCCTCTTTGATGTTGTTCACCTGCCTTTTAATTGGGGGGGGGGGGGAAGACCCATGAGGTCAGACAGGGAAGTTAGGAAGAAATGTAATTATTGAGTAGAATACGGTCAGTTGGGCTCCTGCACTGCGCTGCAGTTTCATCTCTCTTTTCAAGCCGAAAGAAAGGAAAAGAGAGTGAAAAAGCTTCTGACTTTCAGCAGAAAGATATAGAAGCGAAACATTGCGGTGGTTAAATTAAAATTAGACTGTCAGGTCTAATTCCCACCCCATGCTTGCAATATGAATAGAAGTTCATTTTTTACGCTGCAGAATTTCCCCCCTTAGTCAGGAAAAGACGGCAGCTCAGTTACAGAATGACCACAGAGGAAAAAAAATATGAGAAACTAGACTGAAAGAAGATAAAAATGGTTAGAGGCAGGTTCTTGTTTTCTCTGTTATATCAGGTTTTTTTGCCCTCCAGCTTGATGTCTTCTGAGGATTTTTCCACTTGATCCTGAAATTTTGTAGTAATTCTCAACTTCGGTTTGAAGGGAGCCCTAAACAGCCTTTTTTTCCCCCATCACAAGTGCTAAAACGAGAGTGAGAGAAAGAAAGAGACCTGCTATGAATAGAATCATAAAAAAGAGGGAGCTCCGTTGCTAAATGAGACAGTTGTGAAGTGGGTTTTGTCCCATTGGCTGCTAACGGTCGTAAGTCGAGGTCTACCTGAAATCAAGATAGTTTTGAAGACAAGAGTCTGTCAAACGAGCTCGCTTGTTGACATTACTGGAGGATAATTGCTAAGCAGGATCGGCTGAAATGGAAAATCAGAGAATCAGAACGTTTTAAAAAGAAGAAGAAAAAAAAAACAGAACTAGAAATGCAAGGGCTTCACAACGGGTCCCAAAACAACAAAGTTGTGATAGGAACCGGTGTGACCTTCCCAGGACCTCGGAAGGAGAAGGAAGCAGCCCCCCCCACCCCCACCCCCGTTGGGGTAACTGGTGGGACTTTTCCCTGGTGAGATTTCAAGAATTCTGATTATTCACTAGGACAATTGACATTCCTGGTTGCTGTTAGTCACCAAAGTTAGTCTGGCGGGTGGGAAACGACGTGTGCCTGTTTGTAAACACCAACCCTGCAAGGGAGGCCAGGCTGGGCGACCTCTCTGCAAAGCAGATGCCGGAAAGGATGGTGGCAAAAGTTTCTGTTTTTTTCCCCCCTCCAGCTACGGGGTGCTCAGCTGAACAGCCAGAATCGGGTCTCTTAAGGGCCGGACTCGCTGCAAAACGCAGCCGCTTCCCACAGGGAAGTCAGGCCCGATCAAAGTGTTGTCGGGTGTGTCTGTATGACGCTCACCACAATTTGTGGTAGGCGGGCAGGAGGGAGGACGCAACTTCGGCAACTTGAAGACCCGTGGACCTCAACTCCCAGAACGCCCCGGCCCTTCTGGGAGCAGGGGGTCTCAAAGCCTGGCTGGGGATTCTGGGAGTTGACGCCCACGGGTCTTGGGAGCCTAGCTGGCCGGGGAATTCTGGGAATTGTGGTCCTAAAGCGGCCGAGGAAAAGAGTTAACCAGGTTAATTCCGAAGAGGCCAGGGCGCGGACCTGCCCTGCATCTCAGGAGTTGCCACCCGGGTTAAAGCCCCCCTCCGGGTCGGAGAGGCGCGGGCCGATCGACCCCTCCCCGCCGGTGTGACGTCAGCGCCGCGTCAGCCCCACCTTCCCCCCGCCCCCGCCACACCTCCACCGCCGGCCAATCGCCTCTTAAGCCGCTGCCGGGCCCCGGACGCCGGTCTTGCCGCTCGCAGCCTCGCTCGGAGCAGCCGGGAAGCAGCAGCCGCCTCGCCGCCCCGCAGCAGACGCCCCCAGCAGCAGCGCTCCAGCAGCGGTGGGCACCGCCTTGACGAGCCGAGCCGAGCCGAGCCGAGCCGAGCCATGGCCTCGGAGGGGAAGGTGAGCCGGGCGGGGGCGTCCCGGGAGGCGCTCTGCGCTCCTGCCGGGCGGGAGTCCGGAGGAAGCGGCGGGCGAAGCGGCTCCGCTTTCAGGACCCTGGACCAGGCGCCGGCCGGAGCGCCAGCGGAGCCGGGCTTCGGCCGGTAACCTGGCTGGGTGGAGGAAAAGGAGGAGGAGGGATAGAAAAGGCGGGACGGAGAAGGAACGATGGAGGAAGAGAAAAATGGAAAGAGGAGTGATGCAAGAAGAGGCGAAGGCAAAGAAAGAGGAGGGGGAGAAGTGATGGAAAAGGAGGGATGGGAGAAGAGGAGGAAAAGGAGAAGGCGGGGAGCTGGGGAGGAGGAGGGGGCGCGCGGCTGGGAGGGCGAGAAGGAAAAAGCGGCTCGGAGACGGGAGCCGAGCGCTCCGCAGCCCCCCCTCCTCCTCCTCCCGCGTGTCCTTCCTCCTCCCGGCCAGCTTTGACGCGCGGCAGGTCCGGGTTGCGCGGCGGGGGAAGGGCAGGGCAGGGCCGGGCCGGCGGCCGGGGCCGGCTCTCCTCGGGAAAGCATCTCTGCCGCCGCCCCTTCCCGACAAGAGGTGCTTCCCCGCCGTCCCGCCTCGTCCGGCCCCTTCGTGCGACATAGCTGGTGGGGACGTCCCGTCCCGACCTTCTCCTCTATGTAAAAAAAAACCTCTGCCCACGTCTGAATAAAAATTGCAGGAGTCGGAGAAGGCGGGCGGGAGCCGGTTCTCGGTAGCTCGCTTGTTGAGGGGGTGCTTGGTCGTGGGAAGCCACAGAGGATTAACCAGGATTAAAGCTGGCGTAAAGTTTATCTCTAACCCTGGAAAGTCTGGGGGAATAGTCGTTCTGGACTGGGGGTCCGATCCCCCCACTATGAGTGCCAACGTTGGCAAGCGAGGGGGGTCCCCAACGGGCCCCCCAACTGTAGCCACACTTTCGACTTAAGTTGAAAACGTTTGTCAGAAGAGCAGAGTTGGCAAATGGCAGGCAGCGATCAGAGGCGCGAAGCAAACATTTGCACTAACTAATAAAATAAACTCGGTTAATCTGAAAAGGGCTACTACAGACTCCTAGTGTTTTTATGCTGTGCGGTGCTTGTTCGGGTGACAGCATGAGCAGAGATGGTGACTTTTTCCACTTTTATTTATTTTTTCACTTACTAAATTTATTTGCGGCCTGCCTCATTGCAAACAACTCAAATTTTTTTTGTTACTTTCATATTTTATCCTTTTCTGAGTTCGGGGCTTTTAGATTACGAAGGGAAAAGCCAATTTAAAAAAAATAACCTTAATTGAATTTTTAATTCTAATGTTAATTTGTGTTGTTTTATTGATTGGTTATATTATGTTGTATAATGCCCTGAGCCCTGTTTTGAGGGAGATGGGCAATTTAGAAAAAGAAAAAGAAAGAAAGAAAGAAAGAAAGAAAGAAAGAAAGAAAGAAAGAAAGAAAGAGAAATAATCAGCAGAGATGTTAGGTCAACAGCAGGCTGAATTTAAATGAGTTTAAAGCAGGGGTCCCCAACCCCCGGACCGTGGACCGGTACCGGACCATGGCATGCCCGCAAACCAGTCCGCACAAACAAGCAAAGCCCCATCCATAGGATGCAGGCAGCACACAAAATCACACACACTCTCTGATCCTTGGAAAAACCTCTCTCCATGGAACCAGTCCCTGGTGCCCAAAAGGTTGGGGACTTCTGGTTTAAAGCATCCGTTATATTTGCTCAGAGGCTGTTTGTGTGAAACTCAGAGTTGCTGGCTTTTCCTTAAGTTACTTCAAGCATGAAATTGCAGGAGGAGGAGGAGGAAAATGAGGGATGTCTTTCAACTCCAGTAAGCTGGCTGGTTAATGACCTGGTTCTACCACGTTTGTTGGAGAACAGCAAAGTTTTCCTAACTAGATCTGAGACAAACCTCTGCCTGTGTTGGGGAGGTCTGGGTATCTCTTTGTCCACCAAAATCCAACTTTTTTGTTTTTACAGCAGGCTACTTTGAAGCCGGTTTTCAATGTAGGGACCACCAGCCGGGTGGAAAAGAGGGTCTTCAGCCCTGCAGCCGGGAACAGAGTCTCGGTCTTTTTTTTTTTTTCCTGTGTGCCCCTGACATCCATGTTAGGCCCACCTGGGCCATGTTTTAAAAATTTGCTGAAAACAAGTGCAGCCCTTGCCATCAAAGGATATTTGAAGTTCTGTACGAGCTTCAGAGGAAGTGGTTCAACGTAGCTGCAAGGGGGGGGGCTTTACACGGGGGGGGGGTTATGGTGAGGAAGGCAGAGTAAAACTTTTTTGCATGAAAAAAGCAGGGACAACTGGATCCTTTGCTCCGTGTTGCAGGGCTTGTAAAAAAGCCAAATCTCACCCTTGTGTGAAAGAGAACATTTCCCCCCCCCCATGGTCTAGGGTCTCCTGCTTGAACAAGGGGTTGGACTAGAGGACCTCCCTTCCCACTCTTGTTACTCTGTGAATTGCTTAAAGAGGGGCTTTTGCTTCTGTTTTGAATTTGCAAATGGCATCGGTCTGCTTTTGAGGGGCTTCCCCAGAGCAGAGCAGCCCCCTTTCCTTGTAGCTTGAAGCCATTTTTCCCTCTGTTTCTAAATGTGGCTGTTGGGCATTTTTCTCAAAAGGACCATTTATCCAGCTGTTTCCTTCAGCTTTAATTGCTGGAGTTGGTCTCCCCTGCTGGCCTGGAGAGGGAAAGCCCCCCCCCCCCGCAAGTGGCTGAGCCCACTGCAGAGGGGTCTGGGGAGTGGGCACCTCCTGCTTCCCTGGCCTCAATTCTCCCTACCCACCCATCCCTTGGTGTGTGCGGCACCAAGACCACACAACTCTCAGCTCTACAAAGCCGGCAGGGAGGGGACACCCAGTGGCCGCGAAGAGCCGGACTGGAGTTTGGGCAGAGTCTGGATTGAGATCTGGGCTTGGAACGGCTTCTGGGAGACGTGACAGTCAGGAGCATGCCACTGCGTAAGATTTTCCAGGGGGGAGGAAGGAGAGCCCCTCCCTCGGTGCTCCAGTCTGCTCTCTGCAAAGCCTGGGAAGCTGAAGCCAAACAATCTTTTTTGAAGAAAGCGGAGGGGATGTGTATATAAATATATGTATTTAAAATTTCCTTTTTCCAGCTCCTTCAAAGAGGCTGGAGAGACACTAGGGGTGGCTTTGATCTGCTAGGCAGAGGCCCGGGGACCCGGGGGAGGGGGGAGCTGTCCTTGGGGCATTGTTGGGAGAAAGGAGAATAATAAATATTGGTGAATGGATGTTATTGTGCCTCCCTCGCTTGCTCCAGCACTTTGGCCCGGCCGGAGGGTCAGGGAAGGGCGCAGTTGGTAGGTTGCATCTGGTTTTGGTCAGAGAGAGAAAAAGAGAGAGAAAGAAAGAAGCCTGTGGACTTCCACTCCCAGAATCCTCTGCAAATGCTAGAAGGGGAATTCTGGGGGGGGGGAAGAAGCCCCCAAAGCAGAGCATGGTTAGGGCCTCGTGGCTGAGTCTGGTCCTTGCCTGTTCAGATTTGACTTTCTAAGCACCCTGAACCTCAACTACTGTTTGTGGCTGAGTCAGAAGGAGAAGCTGACTCAGAAACGGTTTCCTTTGCTTGACTTGCTTTGCGGGAATAGGCTCTCTGCACATGTCCAGGAAGGCGGTTTGAACCTTTTGGTTCCACTGCCTGCGTTTGGGAATGAGCAGATGACCAGGGAAGGAATTTGTTATTTTCTCACTGCGCTATTCAATCTCTGATGTTTTCACGGGGGGGGGGGAGAGGCAGAAAATGGAAAACCTCACCACGACAATAACAATAAAAACAGTAGCAACAACATTGTAAAATGGAAAAGGAGTAGAGCCGATATTAGAGAAAAAAACTGCACCCACCGTGGCAGCAGAGGAAAAAAAACTGCAAAGTTTTGGAGAGGTTTGGGAAAGTGACTTTGTGCGACAGTCCCCTCTCCGTGGTGCTGAAAGTGAGCATCTTAGGGGGGCCACCCTGAAAAAGTCTCTGCTCCCAGCAGACCCATTTGCACCCCATTTGGAAGGATGGGACGGGGGGGGGGAAGTTGGAGAAACTCCCTTAGGACCCAGGCAAGTAAATTTAGAAAGAACTTAACATTAATAGGCTAGAGCACACCTGGTGCCCACCTCCCCCCCCCCCCGCCTCATTGGATTCAGTGGATTCCTGTCTCAGGCTCTTCCAGAGGAGTGTAGCAATTGCTTCTTTCCGTGATGTTCAGCCTTGTTGGCATTATAGGGTGCTTGGTTAAAAAAAAATACCACCCACATTTTAATTTTATTTTTGTTTACTATTTATTTTTCAACTTTGCAGGTGGCCTAATAGCTCTAATAAAGCCTAGTTGGCTTCACTGAACAATTTTTTAATTAAAAAAAACTTATTATTTTTTAAAAAAGAAAGTTCACCAGAGCTGTGTGAGATCAATTCAGGAGAATTAAGTAATTTATTATTATTCCTGGGTGGAGTCGCAATTTGAAATATGGCTGACAAAAACACATCACTGTGTAGGCATGTTTATCTTAATGTTTTTTTTAAAAAACAAACAGAATGACAAAGAACAAGGAATTCATCCTTTCTCTTTTCCCTTTCTTTCTTTCTTTCTTTCTTTCTTTTTCTTTTTCTTTTTCTGTCTCCTTTCTCTTTCCCTCCCTCCCTCCCTTCCTTCTCTACCTCCCTACCTGCCCTGTTATTCTGTTGTTCTCTATTCTGTAAGAAAGGGTCTCCTGTTTGAGCAGGGGGTTGGACTAGAAGACCTCCAAGGGCCCTTCTAACTCATATTATTCCACTATTCTGTTGTTCTATTATTCCCCTTCCCTTAACCATGGATTGACCAAACTCAAATGGGATCCTTCTCCTTTGGAGACCCTGCAGCCTTGTTGTTGCCTGCCTCGCACAGTGGCCTCTCCGACTATCGGACAGCGAATGAAAATTTAATGGCCACGGCAGGCCAAACAAGGTCAGGGTGTGCCGGCGGGGCAGGGCTGCCCCCTCTTGGCTGCCAGAAAAGGCCTCCCCCCCCCAATCCAGCCCCCTGCCAGGAATCTGAGGTTGGTGGACGTGGGGAGAGGCACGCAGGCCAGGCACACTCATGCAGGAACCTCCACCAGGGCTGAGATTTCTGTACAAGGTGCCAAATTCAGATCTTGGGATGCGCTACGTGGCTGGGGGGAGGGGTGGATGTAGGAGAGGTTGATTTTCAAACCTGGCCATTTTTTAATTTTAAGTGAATCCGTCTTCCCCCATTCACTTTGCTGGCCAGGAGGTCACAAAAGAGGACCTTGAACCATCATAAATACGAGTCAGTTGCCAAGTGTCTGAATTTTGATTACCTGACCCTGGCCCTAAGTGTAAAAAAAAACAGTCCCTTTTTTCAATGCCGTTGCAACTTCGGTCAGTAAGTGAACAGTCGTAAGCCGAGGACTGCCTGCGATTGTCGTGGGGTGGAAGTGTGGAGCTGATTTAGGAGCTGGGGACAGGGGGGGCGAAGGGGTTAATCCCGCAAGCGGCTTAGGGCTGTCGGAGGATGAAAAGGAGCCCAGACGGGGGGGGGGGGGGAAGGCCAGAGGGAGATTGCAGGGTGGGAAGATTTTTCTGGGCAAACCAGCTCTGGACAAACAAGTTGCAGAGTTTTTGGCAGCCTGGTGGTGCGGTTTTTTCCCCTCGCACGCAGGGGAAAGGGGGGGGAAAGGTTGCAAACTTGACCTGTGTTGTGTTGCAATGGAGCAGAGGTTGTGTTGTGCCGGGGTTGTGTCCTGGCCTGCTCTGAGCAGCAGCAGCAGCCAGGTTTTAGATTAGAGGGAGAGGGAGCAAGGTTAGGGTTGAGGACTACCTGCAGTAAGATATCTGCCTTTCCTCTCTGGGGTGAGGCTAGATGACCTTTGAGGCCCCTCCTTTATTACTCCCTGAAGCAAGAAACCATTCCTAGTTGCGGGGGGGGGGGGAATATTGTATAGTCTGAATGCAACAAACAGGTGTGTGTGTGTCTGTGTGGTGTGTGTGTCTGTGTGTGTGTTTGTGATGTCTTTGGGGCAGAAATTTCCCAACCCCCCAAAGCAAAGAGGGCGAACTTGTTGGTTGAGATGCCCTGCCCGTTACGCTGTGCAATCCATGCAAAGTTTTTCCGCCTGAGGCCATGAAGGCAGTCATTGCATGCTCAAGAACTCTCTTCTCCAGACAACCATAAATAATGTAACACAGACAGGGTGGCAGAAAGTTGTTTTGAGACCAAATGAACACATCTTTTCTCTTCTTCTTCTTTCAATGTGTCTCTTTCAACAACCTGTCTCAAAATCTTTCCTTTGGGCCTATTTTTCGTCCTGCAAGGCTCCTGGTCACACATGGCTGCTTCACTGGAGGGGGGGGGGGAATTTGCTACTAGGGAGGCGAGATTCGAACCTGGAGCTGCCCGCCCCCCAACAAACCGCCTTCTCCTTAACCCAAAGCATTAATCCATTGCAATAAAGTTTGCCAGTTGGGATTCTGCTGCGTCATCTTCCATCTTTGGCAAAGCTGTGGGCATGTGATTGTGGTTGTGCGTCTTATACAACTGGGAGGTGGATTTGGGGAGGGGTGTGTGTGAGTCCGCCTCTGGCTGGGGGCCAGCGACATAATTGCTTCCCTCCTTGGAATCCGCTGCCCAAATTCGGAGTTTTGTGTAGCCCAGTCCTGGTGCTCTCCTTCATTTTGGTGCGGCTGGGAGAAGAGGAATCTGGCGGGCCTCTTAAGCAGGCAGCCATGAATATGGTTCATTTAAAAAAAAAAAATCCAGTTTATTTTGGTTTGTATGTTAAATCCAAGGCAGAGCAGGGCAAGGCCTCTCTCCTCTGGCTGCCTTTCTGAGGAGAGGGGTCTTGGTGGTGGAGGTGGGGGCAGAAGGCTGTAAAGCAAAGAAACACAACTTTTTTTTACTTCTGAAAATTCACTTTTGGGGGCTCTGGAACTTTGGGTTTATTTCCTTCCATCTTTCTTCTCTCTATTTCTTTCTGTCTATCTCCCTCCCTCCCTCCCTCCCTCCCTCCCTCCTTCCCTGCCTTCCTTCCTTCCTTCCTTCCTTCCTTCCTTCCTTCCTTCCTTCCTTCCTTCCTTCCTTCTCTCCTTTCCTTCCTCTCTCTGTCCTCTGCCTCGTGGTGTGATTTTGAGCTTGGCCCCTGTCTTCTCTTTAATGGGGTGACTGGACAAAGGTGAATTCACAGGTGCCTGTGTGTCCTTGATGTCACAATCACAACCACACCTTTGGGGACAGCGTGTCAGTAACCAAAACAAAGGTTGGGTTCTTCATGGCTTCCGGAAAAGTTGCAAAAGACGAACAGAGACTTGGGATTCCGCATTCTGGAGTTGTTATCTCTGGGAGATATCTGGGAGGAAGCAGCCCCCAAAGTATGAACTCAAAAGCTTCCCGGTGGCCATTTTATCCATGGGTTGCACAGCAACGTGCATTTCTTTCTCCCCTGCTTTTGATTTTATTATTTTCGTTTCACCTACATACAGGTGGTCCTCGACTTACGACCACAACTGAGCGCAAGGCAATTGTTAAATGTATGTTTCCTCGTTTTACGACCTTCCTTGCCACCATTGTTAAGTGAATCACTGTACCGTCACAAATATGAGTCAGTGGCCAAGTGCCTGAATTTTGATCACGTGACCCACGGGAATGCGGCAACAGTTGTGTGAAAAACGGTCCTAAGTCACTTTTTTCCAGCGCTGTTGTAACTTCCAGGGAACGATTGCCAGTCAAGGGTTATCTGCAGTTTGATTGCGGCTGCTGTGAATCGCGTGACGGGATCCCTTCCGAGCTCACTTTTCCGCCTCTGTTGCATCAGCCCGTCGGCTGTTCTGGCGCCACGGACAAAAACCAGGAATTATTTTCCCGTGATCTGGGCGAAGGGTGGGACCCTCTTCAAAATTTTTGCCCTCTCCTTGTGAGGTTGTTTAGCGAAACAGATCTCTTTCCCTCGTTCTCGCCCAGCTTGACCCGCAACCCACTGCACGGGCCCTGCCTTCCTTGTGAAGCCCTGCCAGGGACCCGTCAGGATTAGGGAGGGTCAGGACGGACCACCTTTGACGGAGGCCACGCCAAGAACCCCACTGCAGCCTCTCCCTTCCCTGTGGGACTCCTTCCCCGCATTCCTGGTCGGGGCGAGGGTGGCAGGGCGAGCCGGTGTCCTGGGCCGGCTGTGGGGATGATGGTTTTGTGACCCCTGTCTTCACTGGTGGGCCATGATCCCCAACCGGCTACGAGTTTCATGCGTAATGGGGATTTGAACCCTGGGCTTCTTGAGAGGCCTCAGCCAGGGACGCGCCTCCATCATGAAGCAATGCTAGCTTAAACATGGTCTGTTGAACAAAATAATATTTATTTTTTTTGTTTGTTTTATTGAATAAAATAATCTGTGGTTCCCGTCATTAACCAAGTGCACCGCACAGGCCAGGTTAAGTGCTAAGTTGATAGCTCGCCCCTAGTTTTACAGGTAGTCCTCGTTTATCAATGGCCTCGTTTAGCGACCGTTCGCGCTTACGCTGACAAAAAGGTAACCTTGCAGCCAATCCTCGTACGGACGGCCACTGTGGCGGTCATGTCCTTGCTGGATTTGGCAGCCTCTTGGGTGGTTCGGCCAGGCAAAGTTGCAAATGCCTGGTGGCTGCTTGGGACTCAAAGACTAAATTCTGCTCTATGGTCCTGGAAAAAAATATAAAGAGGTTTCTCCAGCTTTCCTGGCCAGGTTTTGGAGAGGGGGGACCCGGAATCCCCTTTCCCTGGCCCCACAGCCAGCCGGCTTGGGCCCCCGAGCAGGGCACCGAGAGCGGCAAAGCAGCCTAAGAGCGGGCAGCTTGCTCCAAATCCGATTCACGAGGCTGCCAGCTCAGCCTCCTCCTTCTCCTGTCCGGCAATACCCTTTGGACTCCGCTGCCCGAGCGGAGGCCACAACAATGGACAGAGCGTGAGAACCGGAGCGTGTTGCTGGGGCCGCGAGAGTCTCCCAAAGCCGCTTAGGTCAGCTGGCAAGAATTGGATCCCCAGATTACTGGTGTGCAACCAGCAAGGGGAAGCTGCCGAGATTTCAGTCACGTCTCGTAACCGAGAGCCTGAACAAATCCTCAATTGATAACCTGGTTGGGCGGGAAGGAGGCTGGGAAGTGGGAAGGCCGGGAGGGGGGGAAACTGGTTTATTTGTGGGCAAACTGGCTTCAATCAATCTGAATAGAATAGAGCTGGAAGGGACCTTGGGGGTCTGCTAGTCCAACCCCCTGCTCAAGCAGGAGACTGTCCAGGTGGCTGTCCAGTCTCTTCTTGAAAACCTCCAGCGATGGAGCACCCACAACTTCTGGAGGCAACTTCTATTCCACTGGTTAATTGTCCTCCCCGTCAGGAAGTTTCTCCTTAGTTCCAGGTTGCTTCTCCCCTTGGTTGGGGGCTTCTGCCTGAACCGCCTCTGAATGCTATCCTGGACTTAATCATTTTGTCTCAGTTAAGGTCCCCTTCACTAAATGATGCCGAACGCGCATCCTGAGCCACGCCAGTTAGTATCGGGGCTCGGTGGCTTATCCCAGTCTCACCAATTTCTGCCCCGTTCCACGTTCAGGTTTTCCCCAGTAACCCTTCTTTGCTCTTTCTTCTGTCTCCGCAGATGACCGCCCAGTTGTTGATGGCCGTCGGGGGTGCCGTGTTGGGGTCATTGCAGTTTGGGTACAACACTGGAGTAATCAACGCACCGCAGAGGGTAAGAGCCACTGCTTCGCACCACAAGAACGCACCACTGCCCAAAACTTCGTAAATTGTGTCATGGGATCACAAAACACTGTGATTGGCTGCCAAAGGTGGGAGGGTGCCAGGCACCCGAAATGCGGTCATGTAGGTGTGTAGGTGTGTATGTGTGTGTGTTGCCGTTGGAAGTCCAGAACCAGGTTGTAAGTAGTTGAGGGGGGGGGGTCTGTTGTAACTTCAAACAAGGACTGTAAAACCAGGTGTGCTCTCCTGAGCCACAATCTAGCCGGTTGCAATTTACCCAAAGCGGTAAAGCTCAGAAAAAGAAGAGGGAAATGCCACACAAAAAAAAGAGATGAACCAAACCTCGGGGAACAATGATGACCCGACAGTGGGGCGAGCAGGTCAGGGGTCCCCCTCCCCTGGCTTTCGTCCTCCTTTGTCCCTTTCACCGGGACTCTGCCTGCCCTCCGGCCAAGGACGAGACCGAAATTCACGGCTTGGGAGGTTGCGTCATCCCACCGGCCTCTTTGCAAGACTCCCCCAGGGGGAAGCCACACGGGAAGTCTGGAGAGACCTTGGAAGAGCCGTCTAATCTGGTCTGGGCACTTAGGATAAAGATGCCCGATGGCCCTCTCGGCCTGGCCTGGAAGCCTCCAAAAGCTCCTGGGGCTGGAGGAGTGCCAGTTTGGCCCCGTGTCTGAATCGGGGAGGCCGGCCGAGTCCCTCATCCTGCATCCGGACAGGTCCGGTTCTGGTTTGTTCTGCCTTCCCAGCCAACTGGGCTTTTGTTCAACAAACCTCCCTTTCTTTAAGAAGCGGTATCTTGTTTTACATTTTTGAGTCTCAAAAGCACCTGGAACTTTTTGTTCTGCTCACAGCGGGGCTGTTGCAGTTTTCCTTTGCAAAGACAACTTAGGCGCACGTAGCGTTGCGTTCTTGGGCCTTTAAAGGAGAGCCTCGTTAAGTAGGGCAGGATTGGGCCCAACCAGCCGAGTTTGGAGGAGCATCAAAGAACGGCTGCGCTCCTCTCCTTCCGTGGAAGAGGAAACCTGAGCTGCCTTGACCACCCACACCCCTCTCTGTGGAATGCTGCTCTCACCCTGATCCCCTTTGGTGTGTTTACACACACACACACACACACACACACACACACACACAAGGACACCCTGCTGGAAAAGAAAGCAGGACAAAGGGAGGTGAGCCTACAACAACAGATTGTATGGGCTCACTGAGGAGGAGGAGGAGAGGAGGAGGAGGAGGAGGAGGAGGAGAAAGAAGGATAGGAAGGAAGAATGTTAAGGAGGAATGAAGGTGAAAGTGAAGGAGGAAGAGAAGGAGATTGAGGAAGAGGAAGAGAAGGAGGAGATGAAAGAGAAGGTGAAGGAGAAGTGGAGAAGGTTAAGGAGGAAGAGGAGATGAAGACAGGGAAGAAGAAGTAGAGAAGGTTGTGAAGGAGGAGAAGAAGAGGAGGAGGAGGAGGAGAAAGAGGAGAATGGGAGGGGAGAGCTGCTGCTGCTGCTGAGGGAAGAAGTCCTCCTCATCCCGTAGTCCCCTCCCTTTCATTTCAGCCCTTCCATCGTGACTCAGCAGCCACCCGGCCTCTGAGCTCTCAGTTCCTTCTAGGTCACCGTAACCTGCTTGGCCAGGTGCCCGTCCCTCGCAGGCCAGCTGGACCACTGCCACCCTCTGGTGGAAAAAAGGCCTCGGTGGCTCCAAAAACAATCCTTGGCCCAGGAGAAGCAGTGGGTCAGCTTGCCCCGGGGCTGCTGCTTGACCCCTTTGGCCTCCTGTCACAGGGGCAACTCTGGTTGTGTGTCAACAGAGATGCCTCTTAAGGAGCTCTGACTGGTGGAAACATCTTGTGTGGAGCAGAAACCTTCTCGTTTCAATCTCGTAGAGTCCTTCTCCTCCTCCTCTTTGCAGGTGATAGAGGAATTTTACAACCAAACATGGTTGAACCGATACGAGGCCTACATCACACCGGGCATGTTGACCACTCTCTGGTCTCTCTCCGTGTCCATCTTCTCAGTCGGTGGGATGGTCGGCTCGTTCTCCGTTGGGCTCTTTGTCAACCGCTTTGGACGGTAAGTCAGAATAAGAGAATAACAGAGTTGGAAGGGACCTTTGAGGTCTTCTAGTCCAGCCCACTGCTCAAGCAGGAGACCCTCTACCATTCTGGACAAATGGCTGTCCAGTCTCTTCTTAAAAGTCAATGGTTCTTGAAGATCTTCCATCTAGATCTTTTCTGGAACCACCCAAAACCACACATTTGTGTGCAGGACAAAGCTAGAAGAGGGGCAGTAATATTTTCCAAATGTTGGATGTTCAAATATAAAATGGGGGTTGAGAAGGTCAACCTTCTCCTTTCCTTTGATCCTGACTGGGGCCTTGACAGTTGTTGTCCTTCCTCTTCCCCTCCCAGGAGGAATTCCATGCTGATGTCCAACTCTCTCGCTTTCCTTTCGGCCATCCTGATGGGCTTCTCCAAGATGGCCGGCTCCTTTGAGATGTTAATCCTCGGCCGTTTCATCGTGGGCGTTTACTCGGGCCTCACCACGGGCTTCGTGCCCATGTACGTGGGCGAGGTCTCCCCCACGGCTCTGAGGGGGGCACTAGGAACACTCCATCAACTTGGGGTCGTGATTGGGATCCTGATTGCACAGGTGAGAGACGCTTGGGGAGGGGGGTCTGTTGAGGGGGAAGGATGGACCCTGAAGGTCCATGTTGGGTCTCCTGCAGATCCTGACCGAACGTTCAAGAAGGACAACATAAAAATGTAACAGTCACAACTCAAATGTCTGCCAATATCCCACAGGGTTTCAAATTCCGAGATGTTTTTCCAACTAGGAGAAAGGTTGAACCCTTCCAGAAGGGCTGAAGAGGCCATTTTCCAACCAGTAGTGGATCTCTTGAAGCTTGCACAGTTTCAGGATGGAAATATTTTGCCCATTGTGCTTAATCCCGCCAGATACAAGCACCCTGTTTCTTGGCCTTATCTGGAGGAATCCAGGAATGACTTGTAGCCTTTGTTGCACAAGTAAACACACACCACACAAAACATAACGGAGGAGAAGAGCTGGGGAAGTCCAGAAAGACCATCTCCTTCCATCTCAATTTAAACTCTAGACTAACCATGCCTGTGATGAACTGAACGGAACCTCAAGAGAACCGTTGTCTTCTAGGAAAATGGGTGTATTCCTCCCGATTTTTGACAAACAAGCGTGTCCAGGATCTTCACACTTCCTAGACTTCAGTTTTCACCTTCCCCACTGTGCCTTTTTTCACAGATTTTCGGTATTGATCTCATCATGGGGAACGAAAACCTCTGGCCCCTGCTGTTGGGGTTCACCTTCATCCCCTCCTTGGCTCAGTGCATCCTGCTGCCTTTTGCACCCGAGAGCCCCCGTTTCCTTCTCATTAACCGCAACGAGGAGAACAAGGCCAAGAGTGGTAAGTCGCCACCACTAGCTGAGACAGGCAGGTGAATTCTTTCGGATTACTGGCTGGCCCAGGTCTTCCATTTCTCCCTTTCTGAATCCTTTGTTTCTCTCTCAAGTTCTAAAGAAGCTCCGTGGGACGACCGACGTCAGCAGAGACCTTCAGGAGATGAAAGAGGAGAGCCGGCAAATGCTCCAGGAGAAGAAGGTCACTATCTTGGAACTCTTCCGTTCTCCTATCTACCGTCAGCCCCTCTTGATTGCCATCGTACTGCAGCTCTCTCAGCAACTTTCTGGGATCAATGCGGTAAATATGGGCTTGGCGAGAAATTGAGGTGAAATGTTGGGTTGGTTTTGAGGTCCTACCAATCCCGTTGAGTAGGACAGTATGTTCCTCCCTGCATCTAGACAGCATCGTTTCTCTACCAGCACCCCAACAATGCCACTGAGTGCTCTTAGAGGTCAGTTGTGTTGACGTTGTCCCTCTTGTCTCCCTTCTCCAAGGTGTTCTACTACTCCACAGATATCTTTGAAAGAGCCGGAGTACAGCAGCCTGTTTATGCCACGATTGGGGCTGGAGTGGTCAACACAGCCTTCACGGTTGTTTCGGTGAGTAGGGGGCTCTCTTGCTAAGAAAGCGGACCTGGAGAGAGGACAGGGAAGGACTTGGAAAGAGGAGGAAGGGCCTACAGCAATAGGTGTCACAATAGGGTTCCTAAACAGCCATGAGGGACCTCTCTCTTGGGGGTACCTGAAGTTCTCTTGGAGCAGGGAATGTGGCAATCTTCAGAACCAAAATGAGACAGTTCAGAGGGTCCATGTCAATGGAGAGTCAACCAGTCATGGTTGTCCCAAAGGTGCTTTTTCAAAAGGCAACTGGACTTTGTTTTTCTTTGAAGACGTTTCGCTTCTCATCCAAGGAGCTTCCACAAAATATAATTGTGCATATATCAACCTGAATCTACAGCCACTTCCTCAAAGTTGATTCATGACCTCTAACTTCTCTGCGTGGTCTCCCCAAAGTTCTCTGATGATTTTGAGGAGGACCTTCCACGGTTTCCATGCTGATGTATCTCCACTGTTCTCTCTCTCTGAAGCTGTTTGTGGTAGAACGGGCCGGCCGAAGGACACTGCACCTCATTGGACTCTCCGGGATGGCCATCTGTGCGGTTCTCATGACTATTGCCCTGGCACTTCTGGTGAGTAGCAAACATGGATCCATCAAAGGTCCCATAGAATGATGGTAAATGAGGAGGACCCTAATGGTTTCCCTAACCATTTCATATGCCCGATTCTTGGCACAGTTGATCCTTTCCCAGGACATTAGGGGAAGGAGAGTCCAACATACCAGGAGAACTGAAGATGTTCTCCTTAACAGCAGGCTGTATTGTGGGTGTTGGGTTCAACATTCTGCTGATTATTCTCCAAGCATTTGTATTCAATTGAATTACTATGATTCTTAGAAGAATCGAATTGAATCAAATTGAATAGAACAGAGAACAGAATACAGAATAAAATACAGAGTAGAATAGGATAGTTTTATTGGCAAAGTGTGATAAGAAGCACAAGGAATTTGTCTCCAAAGAAGCTAAGAATTGAGAAAAAAAAAACAAACAAACTCAAGAATGCCACCAAAAGTGATGGGAAATACAATTAAAAGTTTGTTCCCCGATTCTATTTTTTCTCTTTCTTCCTCTGCTAGATTCAAGTGCCGTGGATGTCCTATCTTAGCATCGTCGCCATCCTGGGCTTCGTAGCATTTTTCGAAATTGGCCCGGGACCCATTCCTTGGTTTATTGTGGCTGAGTTGTTCAGCCAAGGCCCACGTCCTGCTGCCATCGCCGTTGCGGGACTGTCCAACTGGACCGCCAACTTCATCGTAGGGATGGGCTTTCAGTATGTGGCGGTAAGTGTGGAGATGAGCTCTTCCCAGCACCGGCATCACAGAGGGACCTCATGATTAGTTTCTGAGGGCCGATCTGGGCAAAGGGACCCAGAAGCAGGACATTTTGAGAAGCTTAAGCTTGCTTAGGATCTTCTCAATTTTGCATGGCCCTTCTATGTTACTCCATCGTTCTTGAGAGAAGTAGGGCAACCAAGGATGGCTGGGTAGACCTGGTTTTTTGTACACTGAAAGTTGGACACTCTAGCTATTCAACTGCCATCTCTACTGCTCTTGAGGAACTCAGTGGCTGCTTTTACTTATCTGGGAGAATAATAGAATAAGGGAAGAGACTTTGGAGGTCTTCTAGTCCAACCCCCTGCTCAAACAGGAGACCCTACATCATTTCAAACATGTGGCTGCCCAATCTCTTCTTGAAAACCTCCAGTCATGGAGCATCCACAACTTCTGGAGGGAGGTGTTCCACTAGTTAATTGTCCTCACTGTCAGGAAGTCTTTCCTGAGTTCCAGGTTGCTTCTCTCCTTGATTAGTTTCCATCCGTTGCTTCTCGTCCTGCCTTCAGAAGCTTTGGAGAATAGGCAGGACCTTCTCTTCTAAAGTAACAGAAGAATCTGCTGGGGATGGATAACTGATCAGAGAAGAATAAGGGTGAGGTATAATGAAATGAGGGTCTAACATGAGGAGATACCTCTTCACCCCAAGTCAGTGCTAAGTTGTGGCAATGAGAGTCTTGATGCTTCCCGAGTATCAAAATAGTGATTTTCATACTGTCCAGATAGTTTGAAGATTCTGAAAATTAAGTTTTCACCTCTTTCAAGACAAAGACTGTGGAAGCCAGCAGAGAGATGAGGGTGGGTGCACTAAAAGTTCTCCTGAAAAGATGGCCACTTTTAATGGGAATTATCAAGGAACCTGGGACTTTTTGCTTCAAAGAGGTGTTCTACTACCAAGATATCATCTCCTTGTTCTCAAGAGAAGCTTGTCCACCCAACCTTCTTGACTTAGTGGTGGTGGGTTGAGTCGTCCTTATTCACCTCCAGCTGACTGCACCTCTGACCCTACACTAAGCAGAGCTGTGATACCTCTTCTTCTTCTTCCCCCCTTGCAGGACCTCTGTGGCGCCTACGTCTTCATCATCTTCACCGTCTTGCTGATCCTCTTCTTCATCTTCACCTACTTCAAGGTGCCTGAGACCAAGGGCCGAACCTTTGATGAGATCGCCTCCGAGTTCCGCCAAGGAGGTGCCGCCCATGGAGACAAGTCCACGGATGAGTTCCATAGCTTGGGTGCCGACTCCCAAGTCTAAAGGCTGGGACCTGGGCGGGCATCTCCTCCGAGTTGCTCCTGTCCTGCCCATCCTCTCCACGTGCTGGTTACAAAGCCAGGTCCGAGGCGAAGAAAAGTATTTGGGTCCCGAGTCCAGCCCCACCGCCTGGATGACGAACCCAACCCAACGTAGCTCCTTAGGAACCCTTAGCTGGTGGCGAGTCCAGGATTTCAACGTTGTCAGAACCGTTCGGAAGCAACGATTCCTCTTCGTGGCCTCGTCCTTGAGAAGATAGCACTTCTGCAGCCATCCATGCTCTATTCTTTTTTCCTCTTTGTTTTATAAAGGAGAAAAAGCATCTCCCCTTTGCGCCCCCCTCAAAAAAACCTTGCGTTGCCAGAGACAAAACACTGAATACCATTAAACGCCGGTTAAATACAAGATGGGGGGGGGGGCAGAACTGAAAAGTTGGAACTTCTGAAACGAACTGAGACTGGATCTGAAGGGCCAGGGGTGGGGTTTTCCAGGCCAGCATTTTGAAAAGTTGGGGAGAGGAACTGAGCTAAGGTAGGGGTGTCCTCTGAGGAGTGGCAATCGCATTCTCAGAGGGATGGTGTGGGGTTTTTTTTTTTGGTTTTTTTTTTACAAAAAGACAAGATTTAAGCCCTTGGTTCTTCTCCCCAGCCTACAGTGGTTATTTTCTAAAAGTCGACAGAAAATTGTTTCCGGTAGGAACAAAGTTCTTGGCGTCCCCTTCCTTCTGCCCAAGCTTGAGAGGAGGCAGCGATGGGTGCCCTGCGGATCCCCCAGTAGTTGTGAGGACCACCCTTGTTGACCTCCTGCACCTGGTCCACCCTGGCAGTAGGTGGCCAGGCCAGGTTGTGGCCCGAAGGCATCTTCCCTGAGATGAAAGGAAGAATGAGAGAGAGAATGGGAGAGAAAGAGAGAGAGAGAAAAAAACAAATTCCTCCCTTTTCAGGAATCCTTTCCCCAAGATTCCTGCCAGGGGTGGGGTTGGTCTCCCTTTGGACTCTGCCGGGCGTAGGGTCCTGGGTTCAAGAAAGAACATTTCCCCGGCCTTGGCCAAAGACGGTCCCAACTGACCGCCTCTGAAGAGAGAGAGGAGACCTCTCTGCCCTGGAAACTGGCTTAAATCTTTTTTTCCAGAAGCCAACGATTCCAGAAGTCATACACTGGGGCAACAATGAGATACACACAAACACACCCCCAAATCTGTTTCCAGCTCCCCATTAACCTCCTTGCACCCACCCTGCAAAAGAGCTCCGGAGGACACAGTTCTATTGTGTCTTTGAGCAATTCCTGGCCTTTGGCAACTGGACTCACTCAACACCCCGTTCTAACCCCCCAAAACGAGAATAGCTGCACCCCTTTTCCTAGCTTTCCTAGACTGGAAAATATTTATATTATTATTATGTATGTATATTTTTTATTTTTGGTTCCTGTTTCATGTGGGCAGTGCGCTAAGTTATAGCACTGTTTCCAATACTGTATTTCCTGCAAAGACTGTATTTTTGAATAGTTCTAGTTTCTCTAGCCGTCGTTAAGAGCTGTATTTCACTACAATAAACTTATTTTTTTATATATAGGGTATCTCACCTGCACTGTAGCAGAACCTGTTGCACTGATAATGTTAGGTTTTTTCTTTAGTCTAGTCAGCCAACCTGGTTTAAAAATGGCCTTTCGTGTTTTGTGTTTGCTAGTTCTCGACAGTTTGCAAAAAGAAAGAAGATTCCTGAAGCAAAACCATTAAACGCACCTATTTAATAATATATGTATATTTTATTTATTTGTCTGTTTGTAAACCGAAGGCATACACCCAACCGCACTTGAATAAAAGAATTACGTTTTTAGGGTATTTTTTTTTTCTTAAAACGTTAACTTTTGTGTTTTGCTGTGTTACTGTGTGATGTCGAGGGGGGAGGGGCTCCTTTCTGGAGTGCCAATGAGAAGGAAAGCCAGAAAGGACAAGTTTGTATGGATCAAATAAATAAATAAAATAAAACCTGGGACTGTGTGTCTTGCGATGTTGCTTAGCTTGGGGGCAGGGAGAATTGCCGAAGTGGCCTGTCAATCTGGCTGCTGCTGTGATATTTTGCAAAATATTCTCAGCGCGCCTTGTGAAAAGTGCTTGAGCCTGGGTGCCTAGCAGAGGCAAACTTCAGCTTCCAGAATTCCCCAGGCGGCAGCGGCAGCTCCAGGTGGGAATTCTGGGAAATGATTGCTACGCTTTGACAATCGTTCAGGATGTTTGGGAAAGGACGAAGTCCTCGCAAACACCACAAATGGAGCAGGGGGAGAGATTTTCCCGCTGCTTAAAAGGAAATTTAGAAAACCAGCAATGTCTACAAGACTTGGGGAAGGAGGGATCTCCTGGTGGTGACTTTTCTCCAAGTCTTTTAGAGGTTGCTGGTTTTCTAAACTTCTTTTTAAGCAGCAGGAACGGTGGTTAGGGAAGAACTGCCCACTGGTCCTTGAGAGGGGGACATCCTTTCAAACCTCTCGGCTGGGGGCTTAGCGCCCCCCAGAGATGGAGAGAGACACAGAGAACCTCGAGGGAGCATGTTTTTCGTGATCAACAGGGCCAGAAATCCTGCACACGCGCCAGCTGCATCAAACCATCTGAGAAACGCCGGGGGCATAATTTTCATTTGGGTCAGTTTGAAATGACACGGACAATCAGAGCGTGGATTTAATGAATGATTAGAAGTAACAAACATCCCCTGCGGCCGAACAGTCCATTAAACGGGGTCTGTGGACGCTGCCTGTGTACACCCCTTCCCCACACAGTGTGAAACAGCCTCACAGATGGCTCCGTGCCTTTGGCTGCTCCCTGGAAGCTGTCACCCTGGTCACAAACCAAAATAAATTTTAAGTCCTGCTACTGGGATAATAATTGTCTTTTAGGGGGCTTTCATCATCCCACAAAGATGTAAGACTTTTGACTTGTTCTGTGAAAACCGGAATACGAGCGGCTCCGGTGTGGGGCTGGTCCTTACCTCGAGGGGGCTGCGAGGAGCTATTTCCTTTGCTCTTCTCTGGATTTGATCAGTTTCACCAAGTGGTAAAGCGACTCGCCTGGGTCGTGGGTGGGCAGAGCCTTGACCGTCTGTAGAAACCTCATCACAAATTCGTCCGCCTGGATCGAGGCACGCCGGGAAGGGGGAGAAACAAAGCAAAACAAAACAGGGTAAACAAAGTTAAGCTCTTTGCAGAAAGAGAGAAAAACAAAACAAAACTCCACCGCTGGATTTTGTGCCAGGCCTGTTTCTGGTGCCCGAGAGGAAGGTAAGGCTTCATTCTTCACAAGACGGGCGGAACCTGGCTTGGCTCTTTTAACATAAGGTGCCACAACTGCAGACCTCAGCACAAGGCTTTAGCATGAAATATTCAGTCTGGTCACATCTGCTTCTGGGATGCCCCAGGCTCTGGAGAGAGTTGAATGCTCTCCAAACATCTGCAAGGCTCTGGGACGGAATCTCTCCTCCTTAGAGGGGTTGTTCTAAGCGAGCAAAGGTTGTGAAGGAAACGGGACCCACAAGTTGTGTTCTTCAGTAAGAGAATCTTGCAAGTTCAGATATGCTCACTGACTTTTTCCTCGTGTTCTTGGGTATGACCAGTCTGGAGAAAAGGAGGACTAGGAGTGACAGAATGGCGGTGTCCAATATCTAGGGGGTTACCGCAAAGAAGAGGGGGTCCACCTATTCTCCAGAGCACCTGAAAGGCAGGGCAAGAAGCAACAGGTGGAAACCAACCAAGGAGAGAAGCAACCTGGAATTAAGGAGAAACTTCCTGACAGGGAGGACAATTAACCGGTGGAACTGCTGGAGGTTTTCTGGAAGAGATTGGGCAGCCATTTGTCTGGAAGGGTAGAGGGTTTCCTGCTTGAGCAGGAGGTTAATGGGACTGGAAGACCTCCAAGGTCCCTTCCAAGATTCTGTTATTTTCTTGGCCTGGGCTCTTCTGGGACATTTGTCTTCCAGCCTCTCTCCCTCTTGTCCTTCAAGCTCTACAAAATAATTCTTCTTCTTTTTTTTTCAATTACCTTTGCCAGATCGTGGATCAAGAAATGAAACATGGCCAACGCGTGCAGCAGTTTGGCTTCCTTCTCTGGCTGTGGCCTGAGAGACTGTTCTCGGAAATGCAAGATGGAGTTCAGCATCTCCGTCGCTTCAGCCCGCTGCTTCTCATCTGGAAGAGGAAGAGGAGGAGGAGTGATTATTTCAAAAATTTGAGTCCCAGGTATATTCCTTCTAAAAACTGCTAAAACCACGGATCTCCCGGAGATGGTCCCGGAGATCAGGAGGGGGCCTCCTTACCCAATACGTCTTCCTCTTTCCCGTCTTCTACAGAGAGCAGGTCCACCTCAGCGGGAGTGATGAGTTTTTGGTACTGGATTCCAACGAAGTGGCTGAAGTGATCGTGCCAGAGATTGACCACCTGCGAAGAGAAAAACCCGGACACTCCAATCATCATTATCATCGAGGGTTATTCTGATTTAATCAAGGGGGTGGGGTGGCAGCCCCCCCTAATATTTTAGGGTGGCATAAACCCTAAATTGTTTTTATTTTAACTACCTGAGAACTCATTCTCACTTGCATCTAAACTCCCAGCCAGGTCAGGGTGGGGGTGGGGGGTGTCCACTGACCTCAGCATACAAGGAATCCACAATGTCCATCTTATTCTGGCGGGAGAAAATGTTGGCCATGTGGAAATAGCCTCCGGAGATGGCCACGTTGCTCGTTGTCCCAAAAGCACAACATGCAAAATATACCTGTGGTGAGATATATTTGAGGAGGAGGAGGAGGACAGGGATAAGGAAAAAGAAGAAGAAAAGGGCGATGGGATTCATGGTGCTCTCTGAGCTTGGTGGTTTTCTTGCAGTGTTTCTTTACCAAACTAGGTAACATTCTCAATGATGATGTTCCCTTGTTTGGTAATGAAGGAAACCACCAAGCTGAGAGAGCACCGAGGACCCCACAGTCCTTCTCCTCCTCTTCTGCAAACCCCACTCCCTTCTAGCACTGATGATGTTACCTAGTTGGATCATGAAAGGTCTTCAAGGAAACCTCCAAGCTCGGAGAGCACCAAGAAACCCACGTTTTCACCCTGAGCTACGAGTATTCTCTCCTACTGATATTCCCTGGTCTGTCCTGGATGGTGCTTTCAGACTGCATGCAGTCCCTGGGCTTGAATCAAAGTTCCCATCTGCTTCCAATCACGTTGGGAAGGCAGGAAGTTCTCAATAACCTCCCCATGTTACGCAAACCCACTTTGAGGTTGATTCAGGACTCAGCCTGGCCCTGGCAAGCATGAAAGGATTTTCATAACCACAAAGGATTTCTGTCCCTCTGAATCTGGTTTTAATAAAGCAGGAAACGAGTCTGCCTTTCGGGTCCCCCTTCCTTGGGCTGTGACCCTCCCTCCCTCCTGGAGCAGCTGCACCTTCTGAAGCACCCCTCTCAAGAAAGAGAGACAGACCCACAACGATTGCTGAGCCTTACGTCGTTGGCCAGGTGGTACAAAGAGTCGTCGAAGTTCCCTCTGGCGGCATACAGGAGTCCGAGGTTGCGATGCAGCTTGGACTGAATGTTGTAGCTGCACTGGGGGTTCTTGAGGACAATCCACTGGGCTTGGGAGAGATACTCTTCGCCCTGGGAGAGGTGCCCCAGGCCTGGAAAACCAACAAGACGCAGCTACGTTACGCAAGTAACAGGAAACCAGCGAGGAATCTTGGCTTGTGCGGAGACAGAATGTCTGAACGCACAAACCTCAAATCCAAACTACTTTGGGAGCGACATTCATCACTCAGTTCAGAAAAGAACGGTGAAGATATTCCATCTTTCCAGGGGAAGAAATAAATTATTTATCTATTAATGTACTTGTTTGTCTGATTTCTCAGCAAATGACTCTGGGCGGCTCACAATTTAAAACACGTATTGCCGTTAAAATTTTAAAAGCATTCAAGACCACAACCGGAAGTTCCATTGTAAGGGGGCGCAGTCATAAAGTGAGGGAATGGAGGGCTGCCCCTCCGAGCCCCTCTCCCCCTTCAGAAGCCCCCCCCCTGCAGCTCACCCAAGCTGGTCTCGGCTAAGGCCAGGTAGGCGGGGACCAGCTCCGCTGAGTCGGGCCCATAGATGCTGATACTGAACTTCAGGGAGTGGAGAGCAGCCGGGATGGCATCTTCGTGGTGGCCTTCCAGCAGGAAATTCTGGGCCGTCTCAAAGGTCACTTCAGCCAGGAAGATCTGGGGGGGGGGGAAATAATTGAGGGGTGGGCTGATTTTTTTTCTTCCAGTCGATTCTGAGGACTGGATGTGGTGCAGGTAGTCCCTGACTTACAGCCGTTCGTTTAGTGATCGTTTTAAAGTTACCGTGGCCCTGAAAAAAGGGACTTGGGACCAATTTTCATACTTACGAGGTCCTGTGACCAGGATTTGTACAGTTGGCCACTGACTCATATTTTGAGGCTGGATTGTGGTCGTAAGTCGAGGACTGCCTGCGTTTGGTACCCTGGATCACCCAGCCTACCTCTCGGTTCCGCTTCTGCTCCTCCCCGAGTTTCCTTTCTTTCTCCGAGGTGTAGAAGGGGGGAGCCGCCCGCAGCGGGATGAGCAGCCGGCAGATCTTGGCGTGGACGCTGATCCAGTCGGCATTCTGGTGGTCCACATCGCTGGCCAGAGGAGAAGAAAGTAAATAAATAAAACCAGGCATGACTGTAACCTCATCCCTTAACATTCACTTTGCTTAATAACGGGACTGCCTCGACTGATAGTCAAGGACTAACCGTATTATTAGGCAAGAAAACGAAAATGCACTTACAAACGCAAATAGCTAGCGCTCGACTCACAAATTCCAAGGTCACTGAAAAAAGCTGTTTGCTTAACAACCAGGTTGAGAGATGTCATAAACTGGGGCAAAATTCACTCAGCCACTGTCTCGCTCAGCAGTGGAAATTTTGGGCATTAGCTGAGGATTACTTGTGCTTTTGGGCCATCTTGCCCTGTGCGTATTATTATATAAAATCTATTTTGCATATTTTTACACCTGTCAGATTTTTATGATGTTTTATATCTATTTTATTTGCTCACTGTTGAGTTACACACACACATATATGTATATGTATACGTTTTGCGCCTGTCCGTTCTTTTGGCCTGTTTTATACCAGTTTCATTGGCTCATTTGCACTGAATGCCTACAATCTGAGGGAACTCCTGACAGGGCCGAAGATTGACAGCTGTCCAACCGTCCATTGCAAGGGTTGCTGCAAGCCCCCCGTCCCCCTGGCGCTTCAGCGGAGGCAGCCCCGCCTGCCGGCCACTCACCAGTAGTAGGTGACCAGACAGGCGGCGCATCGGACCGTGGCGGGGCCGAGGCAGAGCTCGCAGCGCTGCTTCTTCTGCCGGGGCTGCGCCAGCGGCACCAGCCACTCCGTCTGCATGGCCATCTTCTCCCGCCGCCGTTGCTAGGGCGCCGTTGCTAAGGGAGGCGGGGCTTCCGCCGGCGGCCATCATGCTCTGAAAACACCCATCTTACTAAGCCACGTCCGGTTATGGTCCCCGGAAGAGCGCTCTGGCCGGGACGGATGTGGCGCGCAGGCGCAACAGGCAGCGGCACATGCAGCGGAAAGGCCCTCCTCTTCCGGTTGTGGTTCACGGAAAGCCGTTCTGACTAAGCCGTGGGGACAGGCGTTGTGCGCAGGCGCGGGAGGCGGGGCAGCAGCAATGGCGGCTCCCGGGACGATGGTGGCCTCCTCGGAGCGGGAGGCGGCGGCGGCGGCCGAGGCGGAGCGTCGCGTGCGGGCCTGGGCGGAGGTGCAGCGGGCGCGCGGGCGCCGCGTGGCGCTGGTGACGTCCGGGGGGACTCAGGTGCCGCTGGAGACCCGCGCGGTCCGCTTCCTGGAGAACTTCAGCAGCGGGCGGCGCGGGGCGGCCTCGGCGGAGCGTCTGGCGGCCGCCGGCTACGGGGTCTGCTTCCTGCACCGGACGCGCTCGGTTTTTCCCTGGGCGCGCGCCCTGCCGCCTCCGGGCCCGGCCTTGCTGGACCTGCTGCGCGTGCATGAGGAGGACGGGGCGGTGCGCGTGCGCGACGGGGCTCTCCCGGCCCTGCTGCCCGCCCTGCGCGCCTACGGCCGGGCCCGGGACGACGGAGCCTTCCTGGCGCTGGAGTTCGCCGGGTTGGCCGAGTACCTGGCCCTGCTGCGCGCCGCCGCCCGCGCCCTCGCCCCGCTCGGTGAGGGCCCGCTGGGTGCCCGGGAGGGAGGGAGGAGACGCGCCAAGGGCCTCTCTGTGCAACCCGTGCAAAGGCAGGGCGGGAAAAGAGGGAGTACGAGCCAGGCATGCCCAAACACACCGGTGCAATGTAACACAGCATATGCCAACATTTGCTCTTGCACTAGTTGCAAGTACAGCCCGTGCAATGCATGCAAACTCTGGGTGCAAGCATGCTATGACAGTAAGTTCAATAGATGCAGATTCTCTCTCACTTACTCTTTCACTCTTTCTGCCCCATCAGGTTCCAGCGCCATGTTCTATTTAGCAGCAGCTGTGTCAGATTTCTACATCCCCCCTTCAGAGATGCCTGAACATAAAATCCAATCGTCTGACGGGCCCCTTCAGGTAAGAGGAGATAGTTGGGATGCCCTTTCATAAGGATGACAGATCAGAGAAGGGGAAGAATTTTGGGAGGAGAAAGGGGGAGGCTGAGAGAGCTAGAAAGAGGGGCCAAAGCAGGTGACACCAGAATAACAGTTGGAAAGGACCTGCCTTGGAGGTCTTCTAGTCCAGACAAATGGTTCTCCAGTCTCTTCTTGAAAGCTCCCAGTGATGGAGCACCCACAACTTCTGCACGCAGGTTGTTCCACTGGTGAATTGTCCTCGTGTCAGGAAATTTCTGCCTTTTGCTAAGTTCTCTCTGCTTCCCTTGTTGCAGATAATCATGAAGATGGTACCCAAAATGCTGTCTCCGCTGGTTAAAGAATGGGCCCCTGAGGCATTCGTGATTTCCTTCAAGTTGGAAACGGATCCGTTGATCCTGGTTGAGAAAGCCAGGCAGGCCCTAGCGAAATACAATCACCAGGTGGTCATCGCCAACGCCCTGGATTCGCGAAGAACCTCAGTGATCGTGGTCACTAAGGATTCAGAAACCCCGTTGTCCCTTTTGGAGGAGGAAATTGCCCGAGGTGTAGAGATTGAGGAAAAGATTGTCAGCCACCTGGTATCCCAACACAGAGCCTTTGTGGAAAAATAATTGCCAGTGGATAAAATTCTTTCTCAACTATAAATTTAAGAACCGCTAGGAGCTGGTGGTGGTGAAGCTGGAGAAACTGGAAAGCTTCTATTAGCTGTTAACAGAGACCTCTTTAACTTGGGTCAAGGAGGCGAAATCTGACACAGCTTCATGGTTCCTTTGCACGTCTTCAGACCCGTTTGCTGCTTGTTGGTGGGAAGGTTTAAAGAACAGGAACATTCCAAGCTGTGACTCGTTCTGGTGTATTATTGGTACAATCACGGGTTGGCGTTTTGGTGGCCAGGCAGACAAAAACCTCTCTGATTATTTTTTTTTTTCCTGCTGCCTTGGTAAAAATCACTCAGGAAAATTTAAAAAGCGTTCTAGTCAATTTCTGAATCTTATTCCATCTTGAATTATGCCAGTTTGCACAAAATAATGAGAGTCTCTAGGCCAGTATGTGACTTGCTGACTTTGGGCATCCTAAAATTATTAAACTGGTCAAATAATAGATCAGTTGGAGTTTCGTGGGCCAGAAATGTTCCAATGTTGTCTTTTTCTTCCAAGATGTGTCCATATGACCTTTTTTGAAGTTTATGTTTTCCTGTTCTGCAAGAAAAAACTCGAATGGCTAAAATCTTCCATCACCTTGATGCCTTGGGAAATGTGAATTTTATACAAGTAGTCCTCCACTTGCGACCATTTGTTTAATTGTTCAAAGTTATGATAATGCTGGAAAAAAGTGATTTACAACTGGTCTCCACAGTTACTGGTAATATTCAGGCGCTTGGCAACTGGCATGTATTTATGAATGTTGCAGCATCCCAGAGTCACGTGATCACCATTTGCGACTTTCCCAATGAGCTTTTGACAAACAGAATCAATGGGGGAAGCTGATTTGCTTAATGACCATTGCAAAAAGGTCATAAAAATCAGGCGCTGCTCACTTAATGATTGTATTGCTTAGTGATGGAAGTTCTGATACCACTTGTGGTCGTGAGCCGAGGACTTCCTGTACTGCGTTCACACAACCTGCTCAGCTTTGCCTTGCTTAAAATGGTTTGCTGGCGATGCTTTCATGACACATCCCAGGCTAATTAAGCCATGTTAACTGTTTTATTTGTTACACGGACCCAGCAGTAAAATCGGTTGCCCTGTGTTTGCAAACTGAATAACTGTCACATTTCGTGGATCGTGTTTTAAAATTCACCAGAAAAAGGAATCTGATACTTGAGGAATTGTACAAAAAGAGAAGACACTCCACAGGTTCAGAATAATAAAAAAATATTCGGACACTGGACTTAAGAAATTGTGTGCTTTGTTCTAGCTTGCCTTGTGTGTCTTTGGCTTAGATCATGCTAAGGAAAACATGATTCTTTGACTGCACCCAGCCACCTATCTGAAATAGAGCAAGGGGTTGGACTAGAAGACCTCTGAGGACCCTTCCAACTCTGGAAACAATTGAAAGCGCGGTTGGCTAACGGGAAGAAATGGGAAGCGGTTTCTTTAAGGGGGCGTGGCTAGCTGCTAGGGCTTCCAGTGGCGTCTCCGCACGCCTAGGTCGCGCGTTGCCATGGTTTCGCGGCCTAGTTTGCCGGCTGCGCTCCCGCCCGGCTCGGGTGGTGCAGGCGGGACCTCATGGAGGGAGGCCGGCTGGTGAGTCAGCATGGGGGCCAGGCAGGGCGGCGGCGGCCAAGGCTGGGATGCAACCTGGCTGGTGGTGGAGGGAGCTGGGGAGGGTAGACTGCTCCTGCCCGGGGAGGCTCCGCTCAAAGGTGCTGTGGTGGGGAGGCTCCGCTCAAAGGTGCTGTGGTTGAACGGACTCGCCACCGGTTTTTCTTTTTTTTTTATAAATATGGCTATAAATATTTATTGATTCATTAATTTTATTCCAGTTATGTGGACTCCCACATTGCAAAGACGACTCTGGGCAAGGAGAGCAATTTTTTTAAAAAAAGAAAATATAAAGGGAACTTGCATAAATGTGTGTGTTTGCATGTGTGTATACAAACATACACACGCATGCATATAAACACAAAACGGGGCAATAGCTAAATTAAAAAGCAAACATTTGGAAGGCATGCAAAATGTATTAAATTTATATGCCGCTGATACCACTGCAAAAAGGGTGGCTAAATAAATAAAAAAAATCTCTCCATAGGTTGGTCTGTATGTGTGCATCTATATACCTATTTGTGTCTCTGTGTATAAAATATATGTGTGAATAGGTAGGTGGATGGATTTCTCAATGCATTGGATTCCAACTTCCATCCTCCCCAGCCTTTGCTGGCTAGGGACGATGGGGACCTATTTGCATAGAACTCCCTGAGATTCGATTTTGGTCGCTGCCCATCTGGCCAAGGCAGCTCCGGGGTGGCCAACAGGACTTTAAACCCCAAATCCAAACTCAGCCGAGGATCCAGCCCAAAATCAACGCCAAAAAAGGGCATTTGCAAGAGTGACCAGAGGAAAAGCAAATCCTGGCCAGGGAGCCAAGAAGACATAGCTTCCGGAGTGCCAAACCGGGGTTGGTTCAAACCCTGGTTTGCCCTGGCCATAACAGTGCCAAGGCTTGTTGCCCAGCTGTTTAGCCACGCTGGCCTCCTTGCAGAAGGGGAGCTGACTTGGACTTCTGACGCTTTTCTCTCTTCCTGCAGCTGGGGGAGGCTGAAGGAGGAGGAGACGCTGCCGGCACCCCCTCGGAGACCCACCTAGCCCACCCGTGGCCCTGTTTCCTGCCCGGCCAGGAGGAACTGCACTTTGCCTCTGAGCCATCTCTCCGTCAGCAGCTGGAGGAGGAGATGAGGGAGGTGGGACCCCATTTTCACCCAGAGGGACCCCTCTGGGACGATTCCAGGGACGGGTGAAAACTTGGGAAAATGTCCAATTGCCCTCCTAAAAGGTGTGCGGTTCGTTAGTGGCTGGCTTCTGAATCAGGCCGAAGTGGGCTTCTTGGGAACGGCCATGTCATTATAACAGAAAAACAGAGTTGGAAGGGACCTTGGAGGTCATCTAGTCCAGCCCCAACTGTTTGAGCAGGAGAACTTCTTGAAGACCTCCAGCCATGGAGCACCCACAACTTCTGGAGACAACGTCCGTTCCACGGGTTAACTGTTGGGGAAGCCAGCAATTTGTGTCAGCCGTGCGTCACACCACTGGGAGCGGCCGATGCCCCAGTTCAGCCTCGGACCGGCATGCTCTCCTTTGAGTCTGGGACACCAACCTGGCAGTGTGTTTTTGTCCCGTTTCCTGCTTTTCTTGGACCCGAGAGTGTCCATTCTTTGGGACTTCAGGTCTTCCTGGTATTCCAGCGTCTTGGGGATGTGCTCGCCCGCAGGGGACCTTCCGCTGGAAAGTGCCTTGAAGGAGGTGACCTCCGCAGAGCGGTGCTTCCTGCCCATTCATGCCCGTCTGATCTGGGGGGATAGGAAGAGCGGTGGGTGGGTTTCTTCCCTCTCCGGACCCTTCAAAGCAGCCACTGAAGACAATAGCAGCTCCAGGCTTCTTGCAGGCCACGCCAAGGATCGCTTCCCTTGCTTGGCCGACGATTCGCTTCCTTTCCCGGCTGTCGTCATCTTGACGGGGGTAGAACCAGCCCTTCGCCCCCTGGATGGGCGGCCCACCCCTGCCCACCCTCTGGTTTGCAAAAGGTCCCTTTTTCTCCCGCTGAGACGGAAGGGCAGCCCACGTCAACCGTCTCGTCTTGCTTTGAACCCGGGACAATATCTGGGTATAGTTCGTTTGTTCTCGGACTTCGGGTCATTGGAAGGGGAGAAGGATCAAAATGGCGTGGGGGGGGGCTGTGCCACTGGGTGCTCCAAGACGTCTGTAGGGTAAAAATGCTAGCTTGGGTGTGTCTCTTGGTTGGTTGCCAATGTTTGTGTTTGGGGCTGTGAAGGTGGGAAGGTGAGTTGGGTCACTCTGCTTTGGCCCTCATCTCCCGTTGGCCTGAGGGGTTGTCGCTCGGACGATGAAATTGGCAAAGAAGCCCCTTTTGCGACTTAAGGCCGTGAATCGGGGCAGCCTCAAAGCCCTATCTAGGCTTAGGAGACGTGAGACGGCCTGAAGCAGGGGTCCCCGACCTTGGCAACGTTAAGCATGTGGACTTCAACTCCCGGAATTCTTCAGCCAGTGATGCTGTCAGTGGTTTTCAGGTGGTTCTTGAGAACCTTTTCCTGAAGATTTACAACAGGGGTCTTCAAACTTGGCCCTTTGATGACTTGCGGACTTCAACTCCCAGAATTCCTCAGCCAGGCAAGATTTACAGGGAGAGAAATTCTGGGAGTTGAAGTCCACAAGGTGCCAACGTCGGAGACCCCTGACTCTAGACCAGTGCTTCTGAAGGTCATCTCCCAGAATTCCCCAGCCAGCATGGGGACTTATGGGAGGTGATGTTAGTGAATATTAGAAATGTAACAAAAAATCCCACCCTCCGAGGTAATTGTTCAAGAATATATGCTCTGAATTAGTCTGTAGCCCTTAACAGAATCACAGATTTGGAAGGGACCTTGGAGACCATCTAGTCCAACCCCCTGCTCAAGCAGGAGACCTGCCTAGACTATTCCGGCAAATAGCTGTCTGGGCTCTAAAGCTTTCTCTTCTGGAATCGGAGCTCCTGGTAGCTCTCTTAAATTCCTCTCTTTGAAATATGCCCCCACTCCTTTTGGAAATAAACCAGATTCCAACTCGGGGTCTTGTCGTTGTGTAGGGAGCCCCCCCTTCCAACCACTGACCCCTGGCAGCACCGGAGGGAGGGGGAGAGGCTCGAATTTCTGGTTATGCAGATTTCTGATCTGTAGGAGGAACTAAAGGGGTGTGAAGGGATTTTTTTATTATTATTTTTTGGCAGAGGATGTTGAACAGAGCCAGAGTGCCCCCTGGTGACCGTCCAAATCTGGAAACTTGTTTTTTTTTTTTTTTTCAAAGTTGCGTCCTGGGGAATTCTGGGAGTCAAAGCCCCCACCCCCCCTTCTTCAAGCTGCCATGGTTGAGAAATGGTTGCCAGGGTGGTGAAAGAAGAGCCTGTTTCCTTGGCTGGCAAAACCGCCTCTCTCTCTGGAGTCTGGAAATCTGATCCTGCTCCCCTCCTCCTGCTTTTCAGGTGCAGAATTACGTCGACCACGTCAGGGCCTTGACGGAGGCCCGGGATGCTCTGGCGGCGGAATACGAGCGGGAGAACGAAGAGCTGAGGACGAGGTTTGCCCAGCTGCAACTGGAACTCGGTACCCGCCCTTGAGCGCTTTCCAGAATTCTCCAGGCCGGAGGGGATCGTCCTTGCCAGGGAGGCTGAGCCTCCTTTGGGATGTTGCAACACAACCTCTCGCCCTTCCCGTTCTTGCAGATCATATTGTGGTGCAAGCCCACAAGTGGAGTTTGGGTTGTGATGTAACAGTGCAGACTTCCTCGGTGATGGATACCCCACTCATGTCCAACAGGAGGAGGAGGGAGGGAGGGAGGGAGGAAGGGGGGAAGGAAGGAAGCAAAGAAGGGGAGAAGGGAAGGAGGACAACAACATCTGAGCTTGCTGGTTTTCATTACCCAACTAGGTAACATCATCAGTGCTACTGTGTGATAAGGTCCAGAGAAGAAGGCTGTATCTTAAACCCAGTGCTGGACACTGGGGTGTCTCTCCACTCTTGGGGGGCAACAGAAGAGGCGCCTGTGGGCACCACGCAGCCCCCCCATGTGCCAAGAGAGGGCTCCGCCTTGTGTTCCTCCCCAGAGTCTCAGCATAAGGAGGTGGCCGAGCTGCTGGCACTGGAGGGCTTGACCAGCATTGTCCACAGCAGCCCCAGCGAGCAGGTGGCCTACTTGCTGGTGGAGAGAAGCACTTTGCTGGAGAGGATGGCAGCGCTGGAAGAGGAGCTGGGAGCCCCCCTCTGCCGGGGGAGACCCTGCGCGGCTGCCCTGCAAGTACGGGGTCTTTTCTGTCGGGGGGGGGCACAGAGGAGGAAAAACTTTAAGGCAGCTGAGACGGCAGAGATGGGTTTCCTGCTTTGTCCAGAAGGAAGTGATTCCACTAGCGCAGGGGTCTTCAAACTCGGCCTTTTGATGACTTGTGGACTTCGACTCCCAGAATTCCTCAACCAGGCACGCGTGCCTGGCTGAGGAATTCTGGGAGTCGAAGTCCACAAGTCATCAAAGGGCCGAGTTTGAAGACCCTGCGCTAGTTAAATACAGACTTACCGCCACAAATGGGATCAGAATTCCCAGGAATGAAGGGAAATCTACGTGTCGCAGGATCCAGTCGGTCTTCCCAGCTTTCGGACCCAGGAAACCTCTGCCTCTCCAGAGGGTGTGCCCCGGGCTGTTCTAGGCGTGGCGTTTGCGGGGTGCCTGGTTGTGTGCCGCTTTCAGTTGTTGATTGGGCATTGAGGAGAGTCCTGCTTCATCCCACAGCCTCCCTCGGAAGAGCCGGAAGGAGGGAACCTCGCCCGGGAAGAGGCTGAGCGAGGTCCGGGTGGAGCCCCAGACAGACTTTGCAGTGCCCAGGGTGAGATCCTGGCGTTGAACGAGGATCCGGACGTATCAGAGGGAGAGCCGGGGAAGCTGCGTGACTCGGTCGGTAGGTCTTTGGCCGGATTCCTTTTTCAAGCTCACTTAACAACTGTCTCACTTAGCAACAGAAACACAAGGTCATAAGTCAAGGATGACCTGTATTTTTGTAAAAAAAAGTCTCTCTGGCCAGGAGCCAAGGTCTGGCAAGGAAAAGGGGACCAGCAGGCAGAGAGGGCCACGCAGCCCGTCGAACCGTTGGCGAAACCGTCCCTCGACGGGAACCTCGTCTCGGCCCTGGATCCCGATTCCGTCAGTAAGCAGGGAGGCAGGGCTGGCAGGGGAACATGGGAGGTTGAATCCGCACCTCTTCCCGCTGCCAGGGCTGAGAGACCCCAGACTGACCTCAGTCTCCCCAAGTGACCTTTGGATTTCCTCTAGCTGCCTCGGCGTGGCGGAAGGCCAGAGAGCAGAAACTCCCGACAGATATACTGCTGCTGCTGGAGGGGCTTTGCTTTCCGGAGGCAGAGAGGCAGGCCTGTCTGGGGGGCCCAGGAACCGGCCGAGAGGCAGCCGGTCACCTTGGAGGCTGCTTTAAGCACGTAGGTCAGATCCCCCTCCAGATTTTCCCAGGAGACCCTGGACACAGTGGGCGCCTCCCGTTTGGATCCTCCCAGCGGCCCTTGGGAGGGGGGAGCCCCGGATTGGTTGACGTTTTGGGACCTTCCTTGAGGGGTCCCTGTTGCTCTCTCAGCTGGGTGGCTTTCTTGCAGACGTTTCACGACCCAGCTAGGGAACGCCACCAGTGCTGGAAGGAAGTGGGGTTTGGTTCGTTCCAGCACTGATGATGTTCCCTAGCTGGGTGGTGAAACGTCTGCAAGAAAACCGCAACAGGGACCCCTCGTGTCAACCCTGAGCTACAAAGATCCTCCTTTACTGACACCCCAAGTACATACGGTGCAACTCCTGTAGTGTTCGGATAAATTCCTCCTGGTTCTTGCTTGATCTCTCCCGGTGGACCCAGGAGCTGCACCTCTACCGGTCAGAACTGCTTCGTCTCCACGGCGAGCTGCAGGGCTTCCAGGGAGCTGCAGAAGAGAGGGACTTTCTGCGCCTGGCCCACCAGAAGCTGCTGCAGAAGAACGGGCTGCTGGAAGCCAAGGTGGGCCCCGGGGGGGAGGGGGTAACTGTGAGTCAGGGCCGAGCATCCGAACTTTGATCACGTATTTATTTCATATATTAAATTTAGGTTTAAGCAAACATAAGAGAGTGTGGGATTGAATTACACCACCTGTCTTTGCTCTGTCTTTGCAGCACATTTGTCTTTTTCAGCCGCAAGCACGGGCAATATAATTCAATCCTGCACACTCCATGTTTTCTTAAATCTAAATCTAAATGAAATACATTTATTAAAAATTATTAATTTAATAAATTAAAAATATTATTAATGTATTAAGTCAGTGTATTTAATAAATGCATTTAATACACCAATGAGTAAAAAATAAAATCCGCAGGTGTCGGAGCTCTCCCAGGAATGCGAGCGTCTGAACCGGCACATCTTGAAGGCAAGGGAGGAGGAGGAGGAGGAGGAGAGGCTTTTGGCAAGCAGACTTTCCTGCCCCGAGTTTCCAGAGAGGGGGCAGGTTTGTGAAGTTCAGATGCCGAGCCAGGGAGGAGACGGAGAGGCAGCAGCGTGGTAATTTGAACCCTGGACAGCTGGATGTGTTTAGATTAGAACCTCAGAACACTTCGAAAGAAATTGATCTGTGTTTGTACTGAAGAGTCCCAGAGCTCAGTCAAAAAAATGTCACTTCTTGCAGAGGGGAAATGCAGAGTATTGACATATAAACGTTGGTCTTGGGACAGGCTGGCTGGGGAATCCTGGGAGCTGAAGTCCACAAGACTCAAAGTGGCCCAGGTTGGACTGCCTCTGTCTTGGGGTCTTGACGGATACACCGCGTCCCTCCCCTGTTTAGCCCAGGCAGTAAAAATGGAATTTGTATCTCCATTTTTCACCCTTTCCCTACCTGAAAAGACTCCCAGTTGCCAGAGATCAGAGGAGAGCATGCGAGGAAGAGGGGAATCGGAGGGAGAAGGGCAAAACATGCCCAGAAACCAACTTAGCAGCCGAAAGGGGATTCAGGAAGCGCCAGGATCTTTTGGGTTCTCCAGAGCGATTCAGTCGCAGCTGCGGGGGGTCAGGCAGAGCAGGGCTGGGGAGTTTCTGAGAGGGGAGAGGGGGAGCCGAGCCCCCTGCCCTCTCTTTCTTGTGAATTTCTGAAGCCTGAGCTGGGGGAGGGGGAGGGGGGGACCCTGCCCCATTCTGATGTCACCCACTGATGTTGCGTCTGGCCTGGTGGGGCCAGGAGGTGCCACTCGCCCCATACAGCGGAGCTGCTGCAGGCACCCCTCTTCCTCCGTCCTCACGGAACCAGGATCCAGGCACGGGCTGTATCCCCTTCCCCCTTTTCTCCATCTGCGTAGTCTCTCCTGCCACAAACCTGAAGGCGGGATTTTAAAACCTGCCCCCATGTTTGCTGCTGCAGCGGGGACTACAGGCCCCAGGATTCCAGGCACCGCCATCCCCCTGGAGACAGCCGGCCCTCAATCAAGCCACTGGATGGGCTCCCACCCACTCTGGGGGTCCCCAGGTCTTCGGGCCCTGGCGAAAGAGTGTCAGAATGGGGGCCGGTTTAATCTCCGTGGGGATGATGTCCCACAGGGAGGGGGCCACCAGCAAAAAGGCCCTGAGTCCCAACAGATGGACCTCTGTAGGGGAGGGGGGCCCAGAACACTCCCTGCCTTCCCGCTCTGGTGGGTCAGGTAGGTGTAAGTGGGGAGGATCCTTCAGATAACCCGGTCCCAAGCCCTGCGGGGTTTTGGAGGTGACCGTCAGCACCTTGAGCGGGCCCTGAAAGCAGACGGCCAGCCAACGCAGCTCCTGCGGGGTTTGTGTGTGGTTATTTAGCAGCCAGCCCTATTGCAAGGGGGCTGCAGGAAGGAGAACCCAAGACCCCCTTTCCTTACCTGATGCCCCCTATCTTTGCCTCTCTCCCCCCCCCCCCGGTCTTTTGACCCACAGCCTTCATTTGTCAGAAGCCAGCAGGATGGGAGAGGTGGTGGAGCCAGTCCAGACCAAGCAGGAAGAGGAGGAACCCTTCCTGAAGGAGATCCTGGTGGTGCAGCATCAGCTGAGCGCCCACCGAGAGAGACACGCTGCAGCTCAGCCCTGCCCACCCCGGGCAGCCCTTGGAAGAGCCGGGGGGGACACGGAGCAGGTACAGAGCAGGTCCACCCGTGGGGAAGGGGCTTGCAAGGCCGTGCTTTCTTTACCCCCTCCCCTCTGCACGCAGGGATCCCCCCACAAAGGAGCCCTGCAGCGGCAGGAAGAGCCACTGGGGCTGCGCGGGGACCCCTGGCAGGTGCCAATCTCCGGTGGCTCCGTCAAGAAGCAGCTGAGGCTGGAACAGGAGAGGAGCTTGGAGCTGAGGCTACAGAACCTGCAACTGCAGCAGGAAAACATGAAGGTGTGTGGGGGGGACGTCTCGTGGGTCAGGGGGAAGGGGTTTCGTTGCACGGCCTTGTCAGTTGCGGCTCGGGAATCGGAAGGCAGCTGACGGTGACTTGTACGAAGCTTAAACATTTGGCGTGAGGCCTCATTGAGGTCCCAGCTCTCCGAAGATGCCGGGAATTGAGGAGGGCGACACGGCCGTCTGCAGTGGAAGAGACGGGAAACCTGACCCATGTTCAAAGTGTCCGCACAGTTGGGAAAAACACGGTGCTAGCAAGAAAGGGGACCACCTGAGGGGAAGGGGCAGGCAGCCCGTTTACCCTCCCTCCCACCAGATTTGGGCCTGGGCAGCCCGGGAGCCCCCTTCCAACGGGTAGCTGATTGTGATCCTGCCAGATTCTGCTGCTGGAGAGGATGCCGTGCTCTCCTTCACCACAAGAGGGCGGAGGAGAGTTAGGGTTTGCTGCCCTCTAGTGGCTCTGAGGCAGTTCTGCAGCCTGGATTTGACTTCAGCCCATTTCCCAGCCTGGCAATGATTGACGGCCCCTCTTGTGCAAGGCTTGCACCCCCCCCCCCGGGAATGGGGGAGGCAAATGCACCTCCTTAACCCAACAGCCCCCCCGCCACGTTTCTCTTCAGGTCCAGGCTGAGCTGAGACAAGCCCAGGTGAGGCTGTCGGAGAGCTCCAAGGCCTGCAGGGCTCTGGCCTCGCAGGGGGAGCTGTGCCAGCAGAAGGTGAAGGAGCTGGAGCTGGAGCTGCTGCAGCAGTCCCAGACCGTGAAGCAGCAGAGCCGGCTGCAGGAGCAGCTGAGCCAGGAGGGCCAGCGAGCAGCCCAGGCCGAGAAGCGGGTCAGTTTTCCCAGGCCAGTCAGGGGCTGCAGCTGGACTCTCCCCCTCTGCTGGGGGCCCGCTGGGTTCCCTCTCTTCCCCGAGAGGGCGGATTGCTCTCCTGGGGCTTCTTACCCTTGAGTGAGGGGCTTCCGCCTTCCCCATCCGGGACTGGGGCCGCCTGCCCTTCAGTGAAGCCATCCCTGTGCTTCTGGTCCTTCCCAGGCGGGGGAACTGGAGCAGAGGCTGCAGGAGGCCCGGCAGCTGCAGGAGGGCCAGGCCGCCCTGGGGCGGAGGCAGCTGGAGGAGGAGGCGAGGGAGGCCAGAGCGAAGGAGGCCGATGCCCGGCGGTCCCTGCAAGAGGAACAGAAGAGGCGGTAGGAGGAAGCCCCCTGTGGGAGGGGTCTGGGCAGAGGGGAGGGGCTCAGCCCCTTGCACTCAGGTGGGCTGGCTTGCCTCTCGCAGGAAGGCGCTGGAGCAGCAGCAGGAGGAGCAGCAACAGCAGCGGCTGAGGCTCTGGCGGGAGACGGAGGCCGGGCTGCTCCAGGCCTTGGCTGACCGCCAGGCCCAGGCCCAGCAGCAGGAGGGGCAGCTGCGGACCCTGGAGGACGAGAGGAGGGCCCTCGCCCAGGAGGTCAGCAGCCCTCCCTCCCCTTCTCTTCCCCTTCCCTCTCTTTATCCTTCCTTCCTTCCTCTCCCTTTCTCTTTTCCTCCCTTCACTGAGCCCCCCCCCATCCTCTCCCTCCAGCACCTGCGCTGTCAGAGTCGCAGCCAGCGCCTGTCGGAGCAGCTCGCGGCCCTGCGGCAGGAGAAGGAGACGCTGTGTGAGGAGCAGAGGCAGATCCTGAAGCAGGTGGACGTCTCCCTCAGGTGAGCCTCCCTCCGCTCGCCCGGCCGGCCGGGCGGCTGCCTGGCTCCTCCGCCAGGGCCGGGGCCCCGACGAGCCGGAGCCCCACCGCTTGGCCTCCCCAGGAAAGAGAGCGAGCGGCGCCTCCGGCACAAAGCCCGACTGCGCCAGGCGAAGGAGACGCTGCTCGGCGAGGTGAAGCTGCGCGACACTCGCATCCGGAACCTGGAGAACGAGGTCCGCCTCTCCAAGAGCCAGGCTGAAAAGGTAGAGCAGCCCTGGGCCGAGCCAGGCAATCCGAGCTAGGCTGCCTTAAGCCTCGCCTGCGGGAGCTGCCCCCCCCCGCCTCAGCCCCCCCCCAGGGGGCCCTCTCTGCAGTGCGGCCTCCTCTCGAGCCAGGCCGGGGGGGAGCGCAGGCGAACGGGGATGCCGGCCTTTGCACCCAGGACCAGCTGCTGATCCGGCGGGTGACCAGCGAGAACGAGGGCCTGTTCAGAGAGAAGCGGAAGATCCTGGAGCAGCTGCACGGCCTGGAGGAGGCCAAGCAGAGCGACGGCCAGGCCCTCTGCGCCCTCCAGAACAGGTGGGAGATGCCAGGCGGGAGGGGGCCCAAGCGCACGGGGAAGGGAAGGGATAGGGAGGGAGTTTTTTGGGGGGAGCCCCATCCCAAGGCCCCTCTCTCTCTCTTTCCCAGAGTCCAGCTTTTGGAGGGGGAGAACAAGCAGCTGCAGGACCGGACCCTCCAGCTGAGCCTGCAGGTCGGGATCCTGGAGCGAGCCCTGCGCACCATCCATGTCCACAGCCTGCAGGTGAGCTGACCCGGCCCCCGCCTCCCCTCCCGTCTCCTCGGTCAAGGCAGGACGGCCAGCAGGAGCCTTAGCCGAGCCCCCACTGACAGGCCCTCAGTGGGGCCGCTCACCTGCGCAGGTGACAGGTTGGCAGCCCCTGTGGCTACCCCTCTCTGAGGCTAAGCAGGCCCGGACCTGGCTGCTCCTGGGTTGGGAGACCACAAAGAAATCCCAAGAGCAGATGCCAGCGCAAGAGATTTCAATCCGCACCCGGAAAGGGATTGGATGTCTCCAGGCTAGACCAGGCCCCCTCCGCAGGACTTGCTGACCGTCTTCCGGGTGTGGCTGTGAGTGTTTTTTAAATCTCGCACCCTTCTTTCTGCAGGAGCTGAAGAGCCTCGGCTTCCCTGAATGTCCACTGCAGAGGAAGCTCCTGCCCTTCCCCGGGTTCAGGTACGGCGCCAGGCCGGTGTGTCTGTGAGGTGGCAGGCCCAGCCGGGATCAGACCATCGCGGGGACACCGACACTGGGCGCTCCCTTCCCCGCAGCAGCCAGGTTGGCGTCACCGTGGCCTCCCCGGAGCCTCCGCTTCCCCCTGGAGGTTCTCCCCCTTCCACGCTTCTGCCTTCTTCAGGCCACGCAAGGCAGGAAGCAGAGGAATAAAAGCAGAGCCCTCAAATCCGACACCCCAGGAGAGCGAATCATTGGGACGGTGGGCGGAAGGGGAGGCCGCTGTGCGGGGAGGGGCCGGAGAAATGGATCTGGGGAAGGAGAGGGCCTCTGCCGGGGTCCCTCCTGCCGGCCTTGAGACCATGGGGGCCCCCGGCGGCCCCTCGAGGTGTGCCTGGTGAGCAGGGTGAGGGGCGGCCCCCTTGGTGTTTCTGAAATCCTCTTTCAGTTGGGATGGAGTCTAGATGGCTTGCGGGGAGCATATTGGAGCAGCTCTAACGGGGGCTACCTGGACCACGACTGTTCAAGGGGACCCAGTAAGCTAAGTGGAGCCTCTCTCTTGGGGAGCAGTCTACCTTGGAAGAGCAGGAAGGGCCGTTTTATGGCTGCTTCTACCCTCACTAAAGCTTGAGAGGTCCGCCGACTCGCCGCCCTGAAGGCTGAAGTCCGCCCTTTCCCTTTCAGCTTCTCGGTCACCAGGCTTTCGGACGCCAGCAGCCTTCGCCAAGCCATCAAGGGCGGGCAGCCGGCCGAGCCCGGGCAGAAGGCCCTGCTCTCCCCTCTGGCCTTCCAGAGCTCCCGGATGGGCTGCCTGGGCGTCTCCAGAAACCTGGACGACCTCCGCCAGGATGAGCCCGGCCAGCCCGCCTGCTGAGGTCGGGTGGGAGAGCCCAGAGCGCCCAAGGCACCTCCTGCCTGTCGGTGGAGGCCGGGGGGGGGGGAGCTTTTTTAAAACCACAGACCGGAATGCCTTTTCAGACACGCCCATCGCCTGAAGAAGGGGGGAAATGTCAAATGTATTTTTGGAACAATAATTTGTTTCTACAACTCTGGAGCTCTGAGCATAGTTTGTGTCCCGGAGTGTTTTTTGGGGAGGGAGGGAGGGAAGAAAAGAGGCAGAAAAAAGGGAAGAAAAAGGAAGGAGGGAAGGAAGGGAGGGAGGGAGGAGAAAGAAGGAAGGAAGAAGGGAAGGTAAAAAGGGAGAGAGGAAGGAAGGAAAAGGAGGAAGGAAGAAATCCTTCAGAGACCATCTCTTCTTGAGTGAGGCTTAAAATATAATTCTTATTGGGAAATGGTGGCCATCGTAGCCTTTTTAAAATAAATAAATAAATAAAATTTTGCGAAAGGAAACATCCTGCACAGCGTCCATGAAGCCCAGCGAATAGGTGGCTGCATTGAGCTCAGGATGTGAACCGACAGGCGCGCCCACGCAGCGACACTTCGGGTTCCCAGCGACCGGGATAGCGTTCCAAAGGATCGGAAGAGGCGGGAGCTTCCGGTGGGACGGGAACAGCATGGGGCTTGAACTAGGCTCGTGACACGCTGCCCGTTGGCCCATCAATGGTGAGATTCCTTCGTCAGAACCGGAGCGCGGCGCCCAAGATATTTGTTAATGTCGATCAAACGTTAAAATAAAAACGTCAGCCCGGTTTAACGGCTTCGGTTTGGCTCTTGACGCGCCCGGAAGTGAGCGCTTCACGCCGCGCTAGGCCCCAAAGGGGGCCGCCCTTCCGCTTCCGGGCCAAAGGTGGTCGCCATGGCGGTGCTGGCTTCCAATCCCAACAACCCCGTGGTCTTCTTCGATGTCACCATCGGCGGGCAGGTAGGCCTCGGGCGGAGGGAGCGGGGCCGGGAGGAGTGGCTTGCGGAAAGCCCGGCTTCGGCCTCTGACGCCTCTATCCCTCCGCAGGAGGTGGGCCGCATGAAAGTGGAGCTCTTCGCCGACGTGGTGCCCAAGACGGCCGAGAACTTCAGGTGAGCCCGAGGCTGGCGGGAAGGCGGGGGCCATGGAGGCGGGAGGCCAGAGCGGCCGCGCGCCACAGAGCGGCCCGGCCTAGAGCGCTGCCGCTTTGCCAGCTGGCTGGGGATGATGAGCGCAGGGAGAAAAAGGAAAGCTTGTTGGGGAGAGATTCCCAAGCCCTTCCCTGGCGGTGTAGGGGGCAGCCCTTCCCTCTCTACAACCTCTAAACCAGGGGTCTTCAGACTTGGCCCTTTTATGACTTGTGGACTTCAACTCCCAAAATGGCTGAGGAATTCTGGGAGTTGAAGCCCACAAGTCATAAAAGGGCCAAGCTTGAAGACCCTGCTCTAAACTCATGACTGGCTCGCTGAATTGTGGCCGTAAGTCGAGGACTGCTTGTATAGAACATGCAGCTTCGATCCGCCTGTCCTCTCTCCCCTCTTCTCCCCCCCCCCAGTGATGGAGGGGCTTTCTTTGCTGAATTTGAGCCTCTCCCTCTGAATCACCCAGTTTAACATGCAGCCTTTTTCTTCCTTCTTTCCAGGCAATTTTGCACAGGTGAATTCAGGTGGGTAGATCGATCCCGTTGATCCTGCCAAACGTAAAAATAAAAATTGATTGATTTGATCGAGCTGGAAAAGTGGCAGCACAGGAAGAGGAGAACAATCCCTAACTTTATATTTTAGGCTTTATGTGTTTATTTAGCCAAGTGCGGTTAGATACACAGGGAATTAGTCCTCGGGTATGGAAGCACTCAGTGTACTTGCCAAACAACAGAATATAATTATAATAATATGAAAGTATACAGCCAATAAAAGGTGGAAGTAAAAACATAAGAGGGATAAATAAAAATAATAACAGGCTTGTGAAGAGAATTGCGGCCCCTCTCTGTCGTTTGTCCTTCCATCTTAGGAAATTCTAGATCAGAACAAAACAGTGAGAAGTGACAGGTTGTGAGTTGGGGGTGTTGCTTCTTTGGCCCCAGAGCAATCTTGGTCACTGGCTATTGTGGCATCTGGCAATTTCTGACTGTTTGCTTTTTTCTCTCCCAGGAAAGATGGTGTTCCTATCGGTTACAAAGGCAGCACTTTTCACAGGTACGTCGGGTTTTGGGCTCTGGCAGGCTAATTTTTTTCACCCCTCCAGCTCCCCACATCTGGGGCTGATGGACTCCCACATTTGGAGAGGGTGCTTCAAATGAGTGAATTGCATTCTAAACCTGTCAGCCACTCCAATCTTGTTGTGTGGCCTTTAAGTTAAACTGTGTATTATTTAAAACCGAGTCCCTTGAGGCACTATTTTGCAAGCCATCCAGAATCCTGTTCCAGACATTTACAGCCCATTTGTGAGCTTCCCAGGTTGGTGTTTAGCTGTTGGATACCTTGACCTCCTAATATTTCTTTTTTCCTTTTCAAGGGTTATAAAGGATTTCATGATCCAAGGAGGCGATTTTGTAAATGTAGGTACCTCAAAGCTCTTTTACGGAAGGGAAAGTGGGCATTTGACTTGGAATTGGTGCAGATAAGATTGGAAGTTACCCCACCGAGGAGCTGGACTTGGAGGCTGGCAACCTTATTCAGAAACTCGAGCTAAATTTCTCAGGAAAACTTAAATGTTTTCTAGAAAACAGGCTAACATTTGCTGGAAGGAAGTGGTTCCTCTAAACTTCTCCTTTCCTTGATTCTGTTTAACTTCCACATCACAGAAGCAAAGAGGGCTACAAACTGAACTCGCTCACTCTGAGGTTTTGTTGGCAAGCTTGCAGGGAAGGAAATGCCTTTGGGGGGGGGGATGCTAATTTGTAATGCAGCATATTAAAGGGTTAAGGAAGGAGTGATTGCGGAGGTACTTGTGCACTTAGACTTTTTTTAAAAAAAACAATTATTAGAGGAGGCTCATTCCGGATAAGCGGTTTTGTATCTGTTTGCCAAGGGAATTACCCCATGGCTCATGAGGCCTTCCTCCCCTCTTCTCTCCATCTCTTCCTGCCTTCCCTTCCATTCATCCCCCCTTCCCTTTTCCATCCTTCCTTCCATCCTTCCATCCATCCATCCATATCTTTCCCCTCCCTCCCTCTCTCCTTGGTCTTCTCTCTCCATAGGGAGATGGCACTGGAGTGGCCAGCATTTATCGGGGACCTTTTGCCGATGAGAACTTCAAACTGAAACACTCAGCGCCCGGCTTGCTCTCCATGGTAAAGAACAGCCTGAAGTTGGATCTGAACCTTCCTCACAGATCCCTTCAGTAACTCCTGCAGCCCGAAGACAGGATTCGTAGTTTGGGGGCGATGGGGGGAGGGGGAATGTTCCTGATCCGTTCCCTTCTTTTTCCCTGTAGCCCCCAGGCATCTTCGGAAGGTGCCCACCCAGGTCCCAGCATCAGGAAGAGCGGAGATTGAGAGCGCTCCCTTTCCTCCGGTGCCCAGCCCTTCTCCTGGGGGGGGGGGAGACCTTCTGAGTTTCCAGTTTCTCATCTGGATTGTTGCCTGGGAGGAAAGGGTTAAACCTCAGCCCCTCTTCCTGTAACCGTTTTGATCCGGCTGGCAGCGGTCACTATTTATAGGAGTTGCTGCTTCAGCCTTGCTGAGTTTTGGCAGACAAACAGTGGCCAGGTGCCAGACTTGGGGGGGGGGTCCTTGATCGGGCTGCCCAGCAGGAAGACTACCACATCTCAATGCGCAAGTCTTGCATATCGCCCAATGTAATGTTGAATTGGATGTCCTCCAAATGGAGGCACTCTGAAATTTTCTCCCCCAGGCTGCAGAGCCTGGAATGAATGGGGAGGGCCTGACCACACAGGAGGTCATTCTCCTCGCCTGCCCCTTTCCCCGCAGGCCAACAGCGGTCCCAGCACCAATGGCTGCCAGTTCTTCATCACCTGCTCCAAGTGCGACTGGCTCGATGGGAAACACGTGGTTTTTGGTGAGTCATCACTGGCCGGGTGGAGGCCGGGGCCCGGGTGCACCCTGCCTCCGTTAGCTTGGATGTTCCTCTCCTGATCCTTGCCCTCGCCCCAAATTTGTGGCAGATCTGCCCTGGGAAGTTCCCATTATTTGGGCTTTCTGAAATGCTTTGCACTCTTGTCTCTAGGTTCCCCCCCCCCGCTGCCTCAGGACCCCCACCGGGTTAAGAGAGCAGCATGGGGAACTCTGGGAGTCGAAGCCCACAAGTCTTAAAGTTGCCAAGGTTGGACTCCCTGCCCCCCCCCCCCAGCCCCTCTTGCTTCCTTCTCGTTCCCCTCTCCAAAGGTTAAAAATCACACCAGCATGGCTCTTCCTTGGCTAAGGAATTCAGAAACGCTTGGAGCATTAAGATTGTTCTTTTTTCACCTGGCAGGTAAAATAATCGATGGGCTTCTGGTCATGAGGAAAATTGAAGTAAGTCGTGCTTGTCTCTGGGTTTGCGATGACACTCTGCCATCCAAGAAACCACATAAAAATTAGGCAGTTTTGCTTTCTAGAGAAAAAATTATTTTAATTGTTCTAGCCTGAGGCTTCCCAGACTCTCCTCTCCTGCCTTTCGGGATGCAAATCCTGCCCAGGCAGCTTAGAAGAGCAACGTGCCTCCAAAAGGTGGAATCTCTCAGCCTTTCACTCTTCTGGCTATTTCTGTCTGAGAAAGTGAGAGAACCCAAATGTACGGTCCTTGGTCCCCTTTGAGCTGGGTGGTTTTCTGCCAGATGTTTCATTACCCAACTAGGTAACATCATCAGCACTAGTGAGGAATGGGATTTGCTCTGTTTATATAGTTGGGTCCTGAAACATCTGCAAGAACACCTCAGTACCAAACATAAGTTATGAGCAGGCTGCAAGAGAGCCTCTTTATCCTGGCAATGGCTATCTGAGCAAGGTTGCTGCTGCTCTTTTCCCATTCTGCATATCTGCTCACCCGCTTTCTGTTTCTTGCAGAATGTGCCCACCGGGCCAAATAACAAACCAAAACTGCCGGTGGTGATTGCCCAGTGCGGAGAAATGTAGGTAGGTGTCACCTTAGTTTGTGCAGCTGAAGTGGCCTCTAAAATGGGAATGGGGGATGGGTGGGTGGGGTAGGGGATATCTGGGCGAGAGGGGAGGGTCTATGCCTGGGACGTCAATTTTAAGACCTATGGACTTCAATTCCCAGAATTCCCCAGCCAGCCATTAGCATGGATGATGTTACCTAGTTGGGTCATGAAATGTCATGAAAACCATGCTGGCTGAGGAATTCTGGGAGTTGAAGTCCACAGGTCTTAAAGTTGCCAAGGTTGGACAACGCTGGTTTACACAGCGCATTTCCGTGTGTCTGCAGTGCAAGTCGGAACTGTAGCCATGTTTCTTGCCCCTGGTGTGGAGGGTTGGCAGCCCACATGGCCTCTCAGCAGCAGGGAGGATTGGAACCTCGCTCACAGCAAAGCTTGCAAGTTTCCTTGTGGTCTAACTTGGCACAAAATCCTTGCACTCTAGAAGCCAGGACGCAGTGAAGGAAGCTGCTCTGTGCCTGGGACCCTCCTTTTCTGCACCGACTGTGTCACCACCTCAAGGGGAGGCCACCAATGTAAACCCTGCCCCGGATTCTGCATGTGGGGAAAACCCACCGCTGGGGACTAATTGTTTACCTCTTCCTGATTCCAGGTTGATTTTTTTCTTCCTCCTGGGATGCCAAGCAGTTCCTGACCGCTCATCCTTCATGCCACCTTCCATGTGTCTGTTCCCCACTCTCTTTGTAAATAAAAAGATTTCTTAAAATATCTGTCCATCCTCATGCCTCGAGGGAGGGTCACACAGGTCTGAGGTGCTGGGAATGGGGAGTGTATCTTGCGGGAAGGTGGGGATGGAGGCGGCCATTCAGCCTCCCCCCAGTCGTTTCTCCTCTTCCAATAGGCAGCCCTTGAGAAACTGACAGATGCCTATCATTGGGGGGGGGGCGTCACCTGCGTTTCAAAGCTGCAGGCCACACAAATAGAAACGCAGCGCCTTTGCCCAGAGCCGCTTGGCGATCGCAGGTGGCGGCCCGGGGAGCGATTTGGAGGCGCGGAGGGGAGGGATGCCCGTGTGACCTTGAAACGGCCACCTTCGGAAGTACCAACGCTGCTCCAGCCAGGCTTGAGCCGGGCAGAGCGGACGATGGGAGAGGAGCGGGCCGATCGCCTTCCCGGCAGCCGGGACTCCAGCGGGCCTTCCGGGGCCGCGGCTTTCGGGAGGGCTGGCCCGCTCGGCAGAGGCTCTGGCGGGCACCTCCCAGGGGGATCCCGGGGCTGCCCCGCGCGGCTCCCCGGCCACGTGCGCCTCGGACGGGTCCAACCCGGGAAAGGGACTTCCTGGCCGCCTTCTTTCAGGGGCGGGGCGCCCGGGCGCAGGGCCAATGAAGAGCCCCGCGAGGGGCAAGCCCGTATGAAGAGCCAAGCCCTTTCTGCGGGGGAGGGACACGCTGAGGGAGCCCACCAATCGCGGGACGCAGATTCTGACGGGCGGCCGGCCCGAGCCAACCAGGCGCCCGCGATCGCCTCGAGCCGCCGCCGCGGCCCGATGAGACCGCGCTGCGCCCGACAGGCAGCACGTAATGGCCAATGAGCGCCGGGCGAGGGGCGGCGCTTGAGGGGTGGCTAGTGAGTGCGCGCCGCCATTGTGGCCAGTTCGATCGGTATCGGGAGCGGAGAGCGGAGCCCAGCGAGCCCGGAGCAAGGGAGCAGCCCCCCCCGCCCACGGCCGGCCCCCGAGTCACCATCAACACCGCGCGGGAGGCGGCGCTGCTGCTGCGAAAGCCAGTCACCACCACCGTCCACCGACAGTCAGCGACGCCATGAGCAGCGAGGCCGAGACCCAGGCGCCCCCCTCCGCCGCCACTCTGGCGGCCCCGGCGGCCGCCCCGCCTGCGCCGGCCCCGTTGCCGACGCCCACGGGCCCCTCCCCGGCCGTCGCGGATGCCAAGCCCAGCAACGGCGGCAACAGCAGCGGCGGAGGCGGCGGCGGCAACGGAACCAACGGCGGCCTGGGCATGGCGGCGCCCCCCGCCGGCGGGGACAAGAAGGTCATCGGTGAGGGAAAGGGAGGGGAGGAAAAAAAAAAAAGAGCGGGGCGCGCGTGCGCGAGAAGGGAGGGTGGGCGGGCGCTCGGCCGGCGCGTGCCGTCTTCCCTCTCCCTTCTCCCTCGCGCACGTCCCGCCGTCCTGCCCGCTGATTGGCCGCGCTCGCCCTCCCTCGCTTCTCTGATTGGAAGGGAAAAGTGGGTGAGCCATTTTCTCCTTTCCCCCCCCTCTCCAGCTTCCGGCGCGCGCCGCGACCGTTTTGAGGCGGTTCGTGCTCTTGGGGCGCGCCTGCGCCTTCGGTGGTGGGAGGGGGCGAGAGAAGGAAAAAAAGCGCGTGGGAGGGGGCGGGGCCGAGGCGGCGCAAGATGTCCGCCGCGCGTGGAACCCTTTATTTTGTGTGCGCCTCCTGCGCGTGCGCGGAGCTTGGCCCGGCTTAACGTGATCAATTCGGGGCGCGGGTCCTCCGCCGGGAGAACCGGGCGGGGGGCGACCATAGAAGCTCCTCCCGGCCCCGTTTCTGGCTCCCCACGGCCGCTTCCCACCTCCTTCCTTTGTCTGCTTACTGACATGCGCGCTGTGGCTTGCCTGGGGAGAGGGGGGCTTCGAAACGCCCCCCCTTGGCTGGGGAAGGGGCGTTGGAGGGCCGCTGCCAGAGGAAGGCGTCAGCTGGCGGCTGTGCGGAGCAGATGGCCGCCAAGGAGGGGAGGGGGAGATGGGCAGACAAACCCCCCCCCCAGTCTTGGCTTGGTTTCCCCTGCTTGCCTGGGCAGAGCCCACCTGGCAGGGGCTGAGCCCCAGGAATCCTCCTGGCCCAGACTGGGGCCTTGGGCAGTGAAAGCCCATATCTAGTAAATGCACCCTGAATATACAACACTTACAAATGGGGAGCCCTTGACTTACAACTGTTCGTTTGAAGTTACGGTGGCACCGTAAAAAGTGACGTAGAACTCTCTTTCGCATGATCATTGGGGCATCCCCCTGGTCCCGAGATCAGAGTTCCGATGCTTGGCCACTGGCTCGTGTTTGTGACCGTGGCTGTGCCCTGGGGGGCTTTTGCAGCCTTTTGACAAACAAAATCAGTGGGGGAGCCAGATTCACTTTAGTTAGTGAACTTATCAACTGCAGTGATTCACTTAACGACTATGGCAAGAAAGGTCGTAAAATGGGGCAAAGCTCAAACTAACAAACATCTCGCTTAACAACAAATTTTGGGCTCAGTTGTGGTTGTAAATCGAGGACCACCTGTACATACAAGCAACAAAGCCATATACCAATAGAAGGTGGTAGGAAAGACGAGGAGGATAATACAACTAATATGCCATTAATATACATCACTTAGAACAGTACCGTAAGGGGTGCTGCCTTTTTTTCTGCAGTTTTCAGAAGGAACAAAATCTCAGCATATCGAAGGGCTATATGTGGATGAAGCTTCTCAAATCATCCAGGTCCCGATTGTCCCAAAGATGCTTTCTCCCCCCCCCCCCAAAAAAAAGTCAGCTGGACTTTTTTGGTGCTTTCTTTGAAAACATTTCGCTTCTCATCGAAGACGCTTCTTTAGTTCAGAATGTTTTCAAAGAAAACACAAAGTCTAGCTGTCTTTTGGGGGGGGCCTTTGGGATATTGCAGGGGCTTGTTCATTATTACCCTCTGCATTGGAAACTTACAGGCCTCCTGTGATTTTTCTCCTTGCAAGTCAGAGTTGTTTGTCTGGAGCTTTGAAATGAAATTCCTCTCCCAGCCAATATGAAAACATACCTTTGGATCTATGATAGGGAAAACATTGCTGCTGCAGCTGAAAGATAAATGCATGTTCTAGAGTGGGGCTTTTAGTCCTTCCAATCAAGAAGGACAGAAGTCTTGAGCTGGGCTGGTTCTTACCTGTCTTGCACCTTTTCTCTTTCGCAGCAACGAAGGTTTTGGGGACAGTGAAATGGTTCAACGTAAGGAACGGCTATGGCTTCATCAACAGGTGACCAGGGCTGGGGGCTGTGTGTGTGTCTGTATTTGTTTTAACTGCTTGGGAGTGAGTCACAGTTATTACTTTCAGTTTATGCCTATCTTTTATTAAGTTGGGCAGCCATCGCCAGTGTGATCCCCCACCAGATGTGCTGGATTGTTAGTTCCCACCCACCCTATCAGGGATGGGAGCCCCTGGATGGCAGCTGGGCTGGCCTAGAAGCTCACAAGAAGTCTGCCTCCCAATTCTTAGGGTTACAAATGGTGAGTCTTTCTCGCATGGAAGGGATCAGATGACCCTTCCAGTAAGCAGAGGGAGGCTTGCAACAGTTGTCGTCCATAAAGCTGGTTCCGGGTTCTTGATTGAACTTTCTGTTGAAATCCCTATTGTGCCCTCTGCATTCAAGTTCTGCACCCAGTTAATCATACATTCTTTGGATTCTGAGTCACACTTACCAGCACTCTACAAATAATGCCCAATAAACGTTTTGAAATGTAAGATTTTAACAGTCAAGTTCTGGGTGTTTCCCTTGTTTTTATAGTCCTCTTAAAACCCTGTGCTCTTCTCTGTGCAAATCATTGTCCCTGGGCAGGAGGTTTAAGTTACGTGTCCCATCTGTGGCAGTTCCCACGTGGAGGTGCACGATCTGGCAAAAAGTTTTTTCTGGAAAGGTTGATAAAGTTTCCTACCTGATTGCAGCTGTTGACCTCACTCTTACACCAGGTGGTATGATCAGTCTGGTGAATACTTTGGGTCCTTTCAGGCAGAGGGATCCCATCTGCTTTTATTCTGTCCTATGTAAACATCAGCCTGAAAGTAGAAATTGTATTTAGAAGGTACGCGCACACATACCTGCCTTAGTTCAAACGGACATCTGTTCCTGTGAATTGCTTTGCATCAAGAATTCGTGAAAATGCCTCTGCAGAAGAGAGCTGTCACATAGCCAAAATTACGCTTGGCCTACCTTTCCAGCTTTGGCTGTTCGTTAATTGCAGTCAGGATTGCAGGAGTTTGCAAAGAAGAAATCTGAAACGTCAAGTTAATCGTCTCCTCCTGTATTTTTAGCTCAAGATTTAAGCGGAGGGCGTAGACTGGGGAAGATCTCGCTCTCCTTGGCAGGGCCCAGCGTTGGATTGGCCTCCGTCCAAAAGGGGTACCACTCCTTGCCAGGGAATGCTGGTTCTTTTGTGTCAGATGTTTTCTGAAATGGATACTCCTTGTTTTGCAGGAATGACACCAAGGAAGATGTGTTTGTCCACCAGGTGAGATGCTTTGTTTGCCAGCTGTTGAGGAAAAACAGTAGCATTTCTGCCTTGCTGAACAAAAGAGAAGTGTATCTGGGGGGAGAATGTGCTGGCTCAGAACAAAAGGAACTTTAGAGTTTTTTAAGCAGTTTTTTCTAATGCGAGATTTCAGCTAATGCATGATGGCCAAACTATAATTCTGAGAGCCTACACAGGTCCATATAAGTGCAGATTTCTTTCTAGCTACTTATTTCTTAAACTTAGTTCGTTTTTTAGTTTATTTTTCTGCCATAGGCTCTGCTAAGTGAACTTTGCTTGGTGCAGCCACCTGTGAGCTTGTTGTCCTGGCTTTGCCACCTTCATGTTTCCATGTGCTTTTGTCACTGAGAACAGACATTTCTGTCTTGGGGCCTGGTTTGTCTTGAATTGGATTCTCTGGCAAACTTTTAAAATGTCTTGGTTGGACAAGGAGACCTCCAGGGTCCCTGTTATTCTGTGTCTTCTGTTATTTTTCTGCACCCCACAATCGCCTGGGGGGAACCCTGTCGTATATTTCTCTACATTGATCTCCACCCCGCCTTCTTCTCAAACATAGATTTTCACCAGAATATTTCCGATGTGTTTCCTTGTTACGTCTTAACATCTTCCTCCTTCCCTCCGCAGACTGCTATCAAGAAGAATAACCCCAGGAAATACCTTCGCAGTGTAGGAGATGGAGAAACTGTGGAGTTTGACGTGGTTGAAGGTGAAAAGGTGGGTGAGGAGCCCCCCCCCCGGCTGCCGCCTTCCTGGGTGGGTGGGTGGGTGGGTGGGTGGCAGCCCCCTTTCCCCTAAGGGAGGGGGCTGAGGCTTACCAACCACTTTTCTTTCCAGGGAGCAGAGGCAGCCAATGTTACAGGTCCGGGCGGCGTTCCTGTGCAAGGCAGCAAATACGCAGCAGACCGTAACCAGTACAGACGATACCCTCGTCGCAGAGGCCCTCCGCGCAACTACCCACAAAATTACCAAAACAGTGAAAGTGGGGAAAAGAATGAGGGGTCAGAGAACTTGCAGGAAGGGCAGTCCCAACAGCGCCGCCCCTACCGCAGGAGGCGGTACCCCCCTTACTACATGCGTCGGCCCTACGGCCGGCGGCCACAGTACTCCAATGCCCCTGTGCAAGGAGACCTAGTGGAGGTAACTCTTACTGATTATCAAGATTGCTTGCTCTTTTTTTTTGGCTGGGGGGGCAGGGAGGTTGGGCTGCGGAAGGAAAATCTTTCTCGGGCGTGGGGAAGTGGGGTTGCATGTCCTGCGGGGGCCGTGGGGAAGAGGCCTCCCAGCTGGCTCAGAACAAAAGGAACTTTTGAGTGTTTAAAGCCCTGTTTTTGTCTTAAATGGGAGGCCAGAGAGCCTGCTCGTGTGCCCAGAAGTGCAGAAGCCGGGCTTTGCGGGCCGGCTTCAGCACCTTCCTCCTCCTCCATCTCACAGGGTGCCGACAACCAGGGTGCAGGGGAGCAAGGCAGGCCTGTCAGGCAGAACCTGTATCGGGGTTACAGACCGCGCTATCGCAGGTGAGTCCCTGCAGGCCGCGCTGCAGGCCCTGCGGTGTCCGGATCGTGCCCGGCCGTAAAAGTCGGGGTGAAATGTCTCAAGCCTGCCCGGGTTTTTCAGGGGCCCTCCTCGCCAACGGCAGCCCAGGGAGGAAGGCAACGAAGAAGACAAAGAGAACCAAGCAGATGAGGTCCAGGGCCAGCAGCCACCTCAGCGTCGGTACCGTCGCAACTTCAACTACCGGCGCAGACGCCCAGAGAACCCTAAACCACAAGATGGCAAAGAGACCAAGGCAGCCGAACCATCAGCTGAGAACACGTCCGCTCCCGAGGCCGAGCAGGGCGGGGCTGAGTAAATGCCGGCTTACCATCTCTACCATCATCCGGGTGAGTGTCCGAGAGAGGAGGGGAGCACTGCAGTCTGGGCAGCCTGAAAGGGGTGGGGGTGGGCGACTCCTTTGAGTTCGGGCTCCCCAGGGACAGCGGCAGGAAGTTTTAAGGACCCTCCTCCCTTGGCTGAGTCACCCATCATGTTAATCCAGGATTCCCCAATCCCCGGTGCTCTTGGTGGGGGCGGGGTTCACGTAACACAGTCCCAACGTTTGCAGGTGATGCCATTTGGGGAGGGGGCTTCAAGTCGCAGCGTTTGGGTCAGAGTAGCACTTGCTTAGAACAGCTTGCATTATGGATCTGTAGCCGTTATTTTCCCTGTGAGTCCTGCTGTCGATTTTCTGCTGCGCCAGACAGAGAAGTGGCTCTTTGCCCAGTTTGCACAGAAGAGGCTGGGGGCTTCAAGCCCCTCACCTGAAGAGAAAAATGGAAGGAAGAAAACGGGAGTGCCCTCGTTTGGCCCGCCTGCTTAGGATGATGTTTAATGGCTTTGAATGGGCAAGGGATTGTGGGAACCTTAAACTGGGATCCCCTGCTGATTTGTCCAGGGTGGTGGGCAAGATCCTATTACTTGTGGCTTTCTTTCCATTTCCAGTTTAGTCATCAAAGAAGAGAGAATCTGAAATAAGCAGAATCTGAAATTCCAGCAATAAGAAATGAACAGAAGAATTGGAACTGAAGACCTTAAGTGCTTGCTTTTTGCTGTTGACCAGATAACTCGAACTCTCTGCATTATCTATGCAGCACGGGATTTTTATTATTTTTACCTATAAAGCAGTCTCCTCCTTTTGGGAGCGACAAACATGTTTTTTAAAAGGCCTGTTTTTTCTCAATACACCTTTAAAGGTTTTTAAATTGTTTCATATATCTGGTCAAGTTGGGATTTTTAAGAACCTCATTTTTAATTTGTATGAATACACCTGATTTTTTCACGTCAAACTGCAAGCATCTCTTAAATAAAGGTCTTAAGAATTGCTCGGTGTGGTCTGGCTGTGATTCCAGTTCCACGCTGGCCAGCAGCGGTCCCTTCGGCCCAGTCTGGTGTACTGAAGTCAGACCTTTTGAGTGTGAAAGAGTTGATCTTAATCTGAGAAATTTCTGGATTGTTACAGAGGAGTTATTTGCCCAGAGCAGGCTTGCCTGAGTTTGCAGATTATACTTGGAATTTTTAGTCAGGAACTTCAGAGCAGACTAGGAAGTTGAGTTGAATGGAAGCGGGAAATGAGGAAATGGTGTCGCTAGAGAAATAATATCTACCAAGCAGGCAGGTAAAGGTTAAAGAGTTCATCTCTCCTTTTCCCAGAAGAAAACAACACTGGTTCTGTGATAACCTTTCTCCTAAGCAGGTGATGGAAGAGTCTGGCTTAATTCGTTCACTGTGACTAGGAACCCAGAGCTAAGGTTGCGACATTCAGGAAAATGAGAGCTTTTCTGCTTCTAGCAGACTTGGGAGCATCTGAAATGCATATGGTGAGGGGGTTTTTGTGTTGTTTAATAAGCTCAAATAGCTGGAACGCTTCGATGTTTTACTTATGGGAAGGCCTTGGGGAGAAACCTGCAAAAAATAATAATAGATGATCATCAGTGGACGGACAGCCTTGGGGGAGGCCAATTTTTTGCGTCTGGGGGTCCCAGGCAGGCGACAGGCGGGATGTGACGTGTTTTTTTATTGAGCAACAAGTTGATGATCTTCAAGATGGAGTTTTATTGGACTTCCCCAGGATTTCTACATGAAAGCATTGAGTCAATAGCATAAAATCCCCCACGTGGTCATCTTTGACTGACAGATGTCCATAAAATCTGACTGCTTTAGTATGGTCATCTCCAGAAAAAATGGGGACAGAAACTTCAGCAGTCCCAATTTCTCAGAAGACGGCTCCCAAGTTTTGAAAAGGGGCGTCTTGCCGTGGAGAGCGTCCTTGTCTCTTGACCCTCCGAGAGCTTTTACTGAGCTGGTTTCAGTTAAGAAAAGGACTATGACTCAGACCCGCAAGAAGCGGAGCAGGCCATATTTGGTGGCAACTGTTTCCCTGGCCAGAGGGCCCTCTTGCATTGCTGGGGGATCAGGTTGACAGGCTTGGGATGGTGCCCTGGACCGACAGGAGGACGGGTGGAGGCAGCCAAACTGACTTGGCCAACTCGAGTATGAGGCGGTTTGTTTGCCATCTGAAAAGGTTCTCCAGCACCTGGGTGTGCTCCTTTGATCCTCCTTTGGTCAACAAGCCTCAAGAGCCGTTCCAAAACACAAGAATTCACAGAAAAGGGCTTGAAGTGAAGTGTGTTTTCAGCTCAGTAGGAAGAGAAAAACTAGATTTGGATCCTATTCACTTGAGAACCCATCCTGCCAGGGGACCTTAAGGCAGAGGAATCTCTCTTGTTTAAGTGCTGGGGGGGGGGGGATGTTGGACTAGAGACCTCCCAACTGGCATTCTGTTAACTGTAGCAATAGATCAATCTGGGCGTGTTGTTTGCTAAAAAAAATTTAATTACATTATCAAGTTTGATTTGGATATAGTAATTAAATGCAGTCCTCTGGTCCATCTCTAGTGTTGGAAAAGGTTAGATTAGGTAAGTGGTGAGAAAAGATTATCTTTAAACCAAACATGATAAGAGCTGAGGGGATTGAGCAAAGTGGCAAAAGGGGGCTTGAGTCAACAAATGATTGACCCTTGTAGAGGTGAGCAGGACTGCTCTGAACCGGCTGCCCAGTTACTGATTAACCCTGTTGCCCTTCTCCTGGGGTAGCGATGGCCAGAAGCCAACTCCAACACAACACCACAGAGTCATAAAAGAGCTGCTGCTGGGTGGTCTCTGCCCAGGCCTTCTCGAAAGCAGCTATCCCTGCCAGGGAGAAGGGGGGAGGTGCAGCCCCTCGCAAGGAGCCGCTGTGGAGATGGACAAAAGGAAGAGGGAAACTTGGGCTGTGCGAGATGTGTGTGCTACCCCCTCGATAGCCAGGCAGCTGTTTCTGAGTTGCCCCCTTTGACACTGGCAGAGGTCCCGGAAATCGCGGTTAACCGCTATTATGCAAAACGAACCCTTGTAGATCGGGAAAGCAAAGGGGAAAAAGATTGAAAACGGCCCTTTTTCTGCAATGGGCGGAGAGAAAGGAGAAGCCAGAGCATCCAGTAGGTGCAATTCGAGTCTTCCGCCACGTGGGCTCCCACTTCCTTTACCGCCTGATCCAGCCGCTCTGGCACTTTCCCTCTATAGGCTCCCACTTCCGTCGCGGGGCAGCGCAGGCGCAGTGGCGAGGGCCGCGCCGACGGGAGCGGCGGCGGCGGCGGCGATGTCCCGTAAACAGGCGGCGCGGGCGCGGCCCGGGAAGGCGGAGGTAGAGCGGAAGCGGGACGAGCGGGCGGCCCGGAGAGCGCTGGCCCGCGAGAGGCGCAACCGGGCCCAGGGCGAGGGTGAACCCGACGGCGGCGGCCTCAACGACCAGCTGCGAGCGCTCGGACTGCGCCTGCGCGAAGTGCCGGGCGACGGGTAAGCAAGCCAGGCCCCTTTCTCACGGTGGCTACGTGGCGCGGTTTTGACGTCATTGCTGGCGACCTACCGATTCGGGTTGTGAGGGCTTCCCTGCTGTAGCCCTTCCCACAACAATCCTGTGAGGTAGGCTGGGCTGGTGAGGGGGACGGTCTCACTTCTGCTCTGCTCTTCACTGAGGACTAAAGCCTTTGATTTTTATTGTATTTTATATTGTATTTTAATTTATAGTTTTTATTGATTTTTTCCTATACATACAGTAATAATTTTTCAGCCAACGTGCTGAGTTTACATTCGCTAATGCAGATTTAATTCCTAATCCTTTATTCTTTCCTCTAGCCGTTGATAAAATAAGTCTCAAGTTAGATAGTATCCTGTTTCTTCTTTTTCTTTCAGTCTCATAGTCAATCTGTCCATTTCTGCGCATTCTAGTATTTTTTTGATTATTTCTTCATCTGATGGTATTCCTTCGTTTTTCCAATTTTGTGCAAATATAATTCTTGCCACTCTTGTGACATGCAAAATCAAATATAAGCTTTGTTTGTTGGTCTTTTCTGACATTATTCCTAATAAAACAAGTTCAGGTTTAAAATCTACATGTTCTTCCAGCATCTTTTCTACCAGTTATGTATCTTTTTCCAATAATTCTTTATCACATGTCCACCAAACATGATAATTTGTGCCTGAATTATGTTTACATTTGCAACATCTATCTGACATATTTTTAAACATTTTTGCTAATCTTGCTGGTGGCAGGTGCCATCTATAGAACATTTTATATAAATTTTCTTTATAAGAAGTTGTCATTGTTAGTTTATAATTCCTTTCCATAAATTTTGCCGTTTTTCTAATTCTATATTATATCCAAAATTTTTCGCCCATCTTATCATTGTTTCTTTAACTTGTTCTCTTTCCATTTCCAAAGTTAACAGAAAATTATACATTTTCTTAATTAGTTTCTCATCCAAAGTTAACAATATCATATCGAACACAGTTTGTTCCTTCTAAAATCCATACAATTTAACATCTTTATCATATCTAGTTTACATCTGTAAATGTGCCCACCATGATAGGTTGATACCCTGATTTTCCATTTCCTGTTTAGATTTTAAATTCCCTTCTTGATTCACTTTTAATGTAATTTGCATCTCATCTTGAGTGGTGTTTATTTTCTCATGCTGCAACATTGTTTCAATGGATCCCTGGGTTGTTGCGCTAGGAGGTGTTCCAACAGAGGGTACAGAGGAAGTCTTTTTCATAATAAGTCTGGTGATGTTTGATGTACTCATTTTTCCAGCCAACTATCTTAGACTAAAATCCAAACTGTAAAAGGAGCCAACTACTTTAGGCTAAAGTCAATATCTCAAGGAGAGAAAACAAACAGAAACAAAATAGAGCAAGCAAAAAGGAAAAAAAGGGGGGGGGAACCAACGATCTTAGGCTAAAATCCAACCAAAAAGAATGAGCCAACTACTTTAGACCAAATCCAACTCCTCCAGTCGGGTCTCAGATGTAAAACGTTTGCTGTCTCCAAGTAATTCCTGTTTTAGCTATGTCCAGAGTCAACAAATATAGTAATGAAAAGTCTTTTCACTTGTAGACTCACACTTTGTTTACATCAGCTGTTGTCTCAAGGTCAGTTTCAGATTCTTTTATTATTTAGTGATAGTATAATATCTTCTTTCACCGCTAGATGTCCTCATGCACTGTTTTATCAATATCTAGTTTCAAAAAAATTGTTACAATTTTTTTCTTTTAAAGTTTTTTATATGTTGTTTACCCTTAAAAGTATACCTAAAAATTTTTTCTACCTCTTATAGATTAAGTATTATTTTTTTAAACCAATCTGAATTTCAGCTTTTTAAAAGTTCTTTTGTATTCCTGAAAGATCTTCCCCCCTTGTAGTTGCTCACCGCCTTTAAATCTTCTAGTCCTTCTGGGATCTTACTTTTTAGCTCTTCCCAGTCAGGGGATCAACATTTTTAAAGAAAGAGAAATGGCTCACCCATTTTCGAGGGTGAGGGAACGAGGGATGAGAGCGAAAGGTAGAATGCGTAAGGACAATCATAACAGAATGAAGCGAGGCAAAACACTGGCCAGTCCCCAGGCCAGGCTCTTCAAAGGCAGGGCCCACTAGGGCCAGGGCTGCTCCAGGGCCTCCTCAACCTCCCTGTTTTCCTTTCCCCCCCCCCCAGGAACTGCCTCTTCAGGGCCCTTGGAGACCAGCTGGAGGGCCACTCGCGGAACCACCTCAAGCACCGGCAGGACACCGTGGCCTACATGATCCAGCAGCGGGCAGACTTTGAGCCCTTCGTGGAGGACGACGTCCCCTTCGAGAAGCACAGTGGGTGTCCCCCACGGCTCCCCTTGACCAGCCGGCCCAGCCTTGCCCTGCTAGGCTTTGGATCCTTTAAGACCGACGGTGGCTTTTCCACCGTCCCCCGGGAGCCAGCTTGGTTTCCTTTCCAGGGGCCTCTGAGGAATTGGGGTGCCTTAGTGGGTCTCCCTCCCTCCCTCCCTTCCTTCCTATGGGGGCTGGGGTGTTCCGAGGCCCATTTTTTTCCCCTCCCAAACGGAGGCTCCTTTTCCCAGGTCTGCACACTCTCGTCCTTGAATTTTGCTTTTGTTTTTGTCTTTTCCAGTTGCCAATTTAGCCCAGCCGGGCACATTTGCCGGCAATGACGCCATCGTGGCCTTTGCGAGGAACAACCAAGTCAGCATCGTCATTCACCAGCAGAACGCCCCCCTCTGGCAGGTGGGTCTCCCAAGAAAAGCAGCCGTCCCAGCGGCAGGCCTGCCCAGCCGGCAGAGGCTCCCTGACGCCATCGCTTTGCCCTCGGGGCAGACCATTGGGTTGCCCCCCAAAATCCAAACTCAAGAAAGGCTTGGAGGCCTCAAGGAGGTTTCTGGAACCTTTGCCAGGGGCTCTTGAACTGTAATATTTAATAGGAGGGAAAGGGGAAATATTAAATGTGTGGCAGACATTGTCGGCACTGGAAATTAAATTCTATTATAAACTCCAGTTGGTTTTAAGCGGGTCGTGGCCACCTCTGCCTCCTAGCTCTGCTTGTTTGTCCCTTCCTCCCTCTTTTCCTTCCTTCCTTCTTTTCTCCCTTTCTCCATCCATCCATCCTTCTCTCCCCCCTTCCCTCCCCTTCCTTCCTTTCCTCCCTTTTCCTTCCTTCCATCCATCCTTCTCTTCCTCTCTTTCCTTCTAGTCCTTCCTTCCTTTCCTTCCTTCTTTCCTCCCTCCCTCCCTCCCCATTGGAAATTTGTCTGAACAACCTCCCCCTGCCCATGCAACCTTCTGGCCCCCATCTCAAGCGTCACTCTTCCTGTCGCAGATCCACGGGACGGACAAGAGCAGTGCCCGAGAGCTCCACATTGCGTATCGCTACGGCGAGCACTACGACAGCGTCCGAAAGATCAACGACAACTCGGTGGCTCCCGCTTGGCTGCAGACGGAGGTTGGCTGGCTGGCTGTTTGGGGCGAAAGTGTGTGTGCGTGGGGGGGGGGTTACAGCCCTCCAGAGCTGCCTGCTCAGGGTTGTTCAACTCTGCAGGCTCAGGGAGCCCATCTCCTCCCACACAAGCAAATCCACCCTCACCCCCCTTTGCCTTCTTGCCCAGATGCTGTACCCAAATGAAGCCAAAATCAAGGAGGGCCCCCGGGCGAAGGGGGAGGGGCAGCAGCCGAGAGAAGAGACTCGGGATGGAATGGAGGACGCCCTTCAGAAAGTCCGCAACGCCACCGGGTGCTCGGTGAGGGGGTTTCTCCCTCTTGTTTCGGTTAAGGCCCACTTGCCTCCCGGGGAGGCTGGTCCCTGACTTACGACTATCACTTAGTGAACATTCAGAGTTTGTTTATGTGTTTATACGGGTGGTCTTCAACTTGCAACCACAGTTGACCCAAAATTTATATTACTGAGCGAGGCATTTGGGGAACTGGGTTTACTGTGGCAGCCCAGAGACTTGCGATTTATTCAAGGCGTCCCTTTTTATTTCCCTTTTCAGGATGTTGATTTAATTGCTCAGGTCCTGGAGGCAGAAGACTACAGCATTGAGTCCTCCGTCTTTGCTGTTTTCCAGATGAAAGAGTTGGAAAAACTCCGTAAGTCCCTTCCTTCCTTCCTTCCTTCCTTCCTTCCTTCCTTCCTTCCTTCCTTCCTTCCTGGATAAGAATCATAAATGGAATATCAAAGAAAACTATAATATTGTAGAAAAAGCAGGGGGAAAAACCACAATAATTGAGAGAATATAACGGTAAATTCAGAAGGAGAACAGAGATTTTAAACATTTGAGCCCAGGAAAACTTTTATTGAAGCTGAGTAATGTTCTGTTGCAAAACCTTATCTTTACAGCGAGCAAGCATCCATCTGCTTGCCTGAAAAGCTGGTGTGCGTTTGTGGGTCTTTGTGCATGTATGTTTGCAAACGGATGCATGCCTCAATGGGAAGGAAGTCTTTGTGGCGTCTCGCGAACAATTCATCTTAAATCTCAGTTCAGACAAAGGGATTTCTTTAACCTTTTAGCCAACCTTTCCTCCCCAAAATCTCTAGCCAGACCTAACTCAGGAAGAGAAAAACCAAAACGGGCATACATTCACCCACCGGGACCAAAACGTCACCCTTTGTGCCAACGTTTTAAAAGCAGAAATATCCCCAACTTGATGCTAAAGGCACCATGAGCTTTTGGACATCCTGTTCAGAGACAGTTTAGTGTCCAGATTCACGGCTTGATTCTCGACACAACTTCGGGCGTCTCTGCCTCGGTTTTTTTCCCCGCGCGAAGGACGGCCGCTCTCCTGAGCTCGTCCTGGAGCCAGTGCCCAGGACGCCAGGCTGGCAGCGGAGTCCCCTGGCTGAGCACGGCCCTTCTCTTTGTAGACGCCGAGGAAAACCGGGCCACGAGGCCGAACCCGCAGCCCAGGCCGGCCCCGTGGGATGAGAAGGGAGGCCACGGCTGGGCTTCAGGCCGCCAGGAAGTCGGGAACAACAATAACCCCCACGGGAACCTCGTGGAAAGGAACCGCCCAGGTCAAAAGGTACCTGAAAGCAGAGAAGGCAGCTTCCCCCGCCCAGCCCTGCTGGCTCTTCGTCGCCCCTGCCGGGGGCCTGGGGGTTTCTCACCCACCTACCCACCCACCCCCTGATTCGTTCCCCTTCTCATTTCTCCCTCTGCAGCCCTCCTGCCCAGCTCTGATTCCTTTGCTCCGACCTTTGGCATTTTCTCCCCTTGGGTGGAGGAATCGCAGGCGTGGAAGGGACCTCGGAGGTCTTCTAGTCCAATTCCCCCCCCCCCCGCTACCCTTTACCAAATTCCCTTCTCATCCGAATCTTCGGGCCTTGGTAGCCTCTTTGCCATCAGCCAGAATCTGGAGGGTTGTCGCCTCCTCCCTCCACTTTGCCTCATGCTATTCCTGTCACCCTCTCATGGTCTGCCCTGACCGGCCTCCTTGTGTCTTTTGGACACAGCGACTCAGGCCGCAAAGAGCAAGTGTGTCATCTCTCTGAACACACAAACCCGGTCAGAGAGACACCGGCAGCCACGTGCAGGGACACAGCTGCTTCCTGCCCTCCTGCTTCTCCCGGCCTCTCCGGGCACCTGATCCCCACATCTCTGGGAGGAGTCTTCTCCCCCCCCCCCAAAGTTGGCTCTGGAAGGCCCCGGGCGGAGGCTGTCCATGGGCCGAGCTCCCCCCTCTTGTACCCACCCCTCTCCTCCTCTGACAGGGGTCCACCAAGCAGAAGAAGGAGCTTCAGCGGTTGGAGAAGAAGAAGCGGCAGGAGGAGCGGCACCGGCAGAAACTCCTGGCCGGCAAGGGCGGCCCCTTGGACAATAACGCCGTCGTCAGGGAGCCCGAGTCCCGGGTCACCCTGGTGAAGACTTTTGCGGCCCTCAGTATCTGATTCGGCCACGCTGGACGGCCTTCGCCTCTTTGAGAGAAGGGGAACCCCCAAAATGCACAAAGACCCCTCCCTTAGGCATGTCGATGGGGGCAGGATGAACGGTGGCTGGTTTGCCCGTTTGGCGACCCTCCCCCTACTCAAGCACCCCCCCCCACGTTCCTGGCAGGTTCCTTTCGTCCATGGGCGTAGGAAGAGTTGCTGGCCAGAGGGCTTTCCTGGATTGCTGTGGGGTTCGGTGTAAGACTGGGGTGGTCCTGCCCGGAGGTTCAAGGGGGCTGGTGGGGTCGGAGGGGCAGGAAAGGGGTCCCTTCCAATCCAACTCAGTTCTTTCAGTTGGTGAGCGGGGTGTGTGTGTGTGTGTGTGGCTTCACAAGAGGGGGGGCTGCTCCCTTGGTGGGGCCAAGTTGGGGGCAGAAGCCACCACTTGGGGGAGCTTTTTCCAGAAATATCCCCTCCCCTCTGCCCCCCCCCTCCCCCGCGATGGGCAGCTCTTCTGCGAAGCCCCCAGGATCTCAACCTTCGCTTTTTGGTTCATTTTGTAAGTTTATCCACATTGATGAAATAGCCGGTTGCTGTTTTCTCTTAAAGGACCCGTTTTCCTCCCAAGACGGCTCCTGCGTTGCTTTGTCTCCAGCTCCTTCCAAAATGTGTGTCAGTGGGATGCGTTGATAGGTGGGTCTCCTCCCCGGGAAGGTGGGGGGTGTTGCCCTGCTGTGGAAACACCTCAGTCCTCTGACAAGTTTGGGAAAGGAAGAAATTGGCGCTCCTGGGACGCAGGGGATGGAATGGCCGGGCCCCTCCGATCCCAGTCGTGGCCGTAGGGCGAGCACAGCTGTCGGTCCCCTTCGAGGGATGCTTCAAAAAGCATCCCCCAAATCATAAACACCCCTATTAAAGAATTCCTGGCCGAGTCCGTTGTAACTTTGAACCATTTTTTTATTGCTCACAAAAACACACTCCGGAGACGTGCAAGAGGAGGCCGTGCAGGGACGGGGCAGTTTCGGGGGGGCCAGCCTCAGCCCCCCTTCGTGGGGGCCCAGCAGGGGCAGACCCCCTGGCACGGCGGTGTGGGTCCTTCGCACAGGCGGTTACGGTAGCCGATGTACTGGTCTTGAAACTTCGAGTGGCGGAAGCAAAGGGCTGCAGCTTTGTCACACTCACAGGTTTCCCTCCGGCATTCAGTTTCCCCACCTGGAGAGGAGAGGGGTCCATGGGGGGGGGTGTTTCCTCGCCTGGTTTTGATCTGTGGCCCTCCTAAACCGGGAGCCCCTCCCACACAACTGGAACCTTCTCCAAATTTGGAGAGGTGGTTCTCAAACAGCATCCCTGGGAGAAACACTTCATCGAAAAGAAATCAGAGGTGAAAATGTTCCTCCCTTAATGACCGGTTGCTTAGGGACGGTTAGAAGTTACAATGGATCCCCCCCAAAAGGGACTTGTGACCCAGATTCAAACTCCTGATGCCTGCCCTCTCCCTGGCCACGTTTTAAGACAGTATTTTACCCCCTCGGTGAAATAGGGGATATAAAATAGCTGATCTTCCCGGCCCCCTCCAATCGAGTGGACTTCAAACCCCAGCATCCCCAGCCAGCCTGGCTTTCGCAGGGGATTCTGGGAGCTTTTCACTGTTACCCAAATTTGCGCTGACATGGTTTGTGTTCCTACGTACCGCAAGTGACGGTGTCTTTCCTGACCGAGTAGAAATATTTCTCCATTTTGGGTTTGCAGTGGCGCCGCGACAGGGCCTGATAGCAGCAGTCATGAACTTGGCAACACCTGGAAGCAAAGAACAGAGCCACAATTGTGCGGCCAAGGTAACAACATCACTGTGTCCGTCTCGGCATCCGGGGCCATTGGGCGCCTGCCTGGGACAATATTTTGAAAGCAAACTCTGAAAACGTGAGTGAAGGCCGGGTGGCTTTGTGGCTTTCACAGGGAATAAGCAGTTTAAGGTCACATTGGGAGCCGGGGCCTCCTGGCCCGTGTCTGGTTCTTGAATTTTATCCCCTGTAACTTTGAACGGTCACTAATGGACAGTTGTAAACTGAGGACTGCCTGCCACCCAAACGATGCCCACCAGACGCGAAAGAGAGCGGAGGTGCCCTCAGGAATGAAGGGGGGCTCTGGAGGAGCTCCTTAGATCCACAGGCGCCCCTTCAGCTGAGGAGAAGCCGGGACCTCTCCCAGGTCACCCGAGGCCCCGCCCCCTCACCAATCGGTGGCGTCCACCGGCTGCCTGGAACCGCCCAGCCCGCAGTAGCAGCCGTAGCCGTTGTAAATCAGGGGGTGTCTTCCGGTCAAGTGCTCGATGATGTGGCCAAACTGGATCAAATTGGCGCTGGCAAAGACTAGAACTGGAAGGGAGACCAAGAGGGTAGCCATCGCCTCTGAAGGAAGGGACCTCGGAGGTCTTCTATTCCAACCCCCCCTGCTCAAGCAGGAGAGGGAGCAAAATTGTGCAGCTCTTGGATTACATGAGGCTGGGCTGTGTCGGGACTCCTGGGTGCTCTCTGGGCTGGGTTGTGTTGTGGCAGATGTTTCATCAGCAAACGAGGTAGCATTGCTGATGACGTTACCTGGCTGGGTCATGAAACGTCTGCACGGAAATCACCAAGCCCAAAGAGCAACCAGGACCCCCCAATTCCATCCTGAGCTATAAATATTTTTTTATTGATCTGTAAAACTCCAAACACACTTCTTCCTCTTGGCAATTCTTCTTAATCTGGGCTGTTGGAATAATATTCCCTGAACAAATGGAGTTAACCCCTAGATCTGGAAAATGTTCCCCTTCTTTGCCTCCGCTGGTTTTGCCTCGTCCTTTCCTTCGTCCACCCCTTCCCTCTCCGCCATCTTTAAGGCGAGGACCTACCGCAGAGGAGAAGGACGGGGCTGCTGCCTCCAAGCGGACAGGCCATCCTGAAGAGGCTGCGGTGTCTTCCTCCTTTCCTGGATGGAACAGCAAATCGGACAAGAAACTGTACAGTCCTTGGGTTGGGAGGGACCCTGGAGGTCTTCTAGTCCAGCCCCCTCCAGCTGATTAACTCCACTTCCCAGAATTCCAGAGGAAGCCCAACCAGTGGAGGCTTACAGGGCAATGGAGTTGTAGTCCACCCCAGCTTGCGGTGGCTCTGCCTTCAGCGCTGAACAAAATGCTATGAGCGTCACAAGTCAGCCCAAGAGTTGTTGTTTTTTACGTGACAGCTAGAAAAGTTCAAACTTCGTCAGAGCAGGTCCGGATCTGTCAACCTCGGATCAAAAGGAGGGGAAAAGAAACAACTCATCCGGGGAGGCCTACAGGCATCATCGAGGTGTTTTCAGAGGGTGTGTACAAAATCAAGACGGTCAGCCAGGCCCACCTTCTCCCCAGTCCTTCCATAAAGCTCCAGGGCGACAAATGACGCGCAGTCTCCAAGTCAGCAACCCGGAGAGGCTGATGCTAGGAGAAGCAACACCCTTTTGTCACTCGATTTATGGTGGATCCAATTTGTGGTGAACCTTTGAGTGGTGGATCCATAGAGATGGAAGGATCCCCCGAGGAAGTTCAGCCACTGTCCTGGATCCTGAAGGTCAACCTAGTCATAAGTGTGGTTCGGAAATTACGTAGCCCAGCAAAGGACCACAAAGCCCATCCAAATCACTCTCTTCAACAAGCCAGAAAACCAAGCAGGCACACCCACAGCTTTTAATAGTACGGCCTGAGACCGTCTAAATGAACGGTTGTTTAAGTCGAGGATTCCCTGTATTTAATCCTGCTGATTGCAACCTGGATCTTAATTTTTTAATCCAAATTTGGATTAATCCAAATTTAATCCAGTTTAGTTCTTGTGGATGTGGAATATAACTTCTTGACCATCTTGTTTGTCGGTTCGTTTTTCTACCTCAACGCCGCCATCTTGTTTTCTCTGAGTCTTTTCTTCTTCTTCGCCTTAAATAGCTGATCTATTTCTCCAATCGGTCTCCATCAGTCCTTTCCTCGCGTCTCTGTTACCTTCTTCTGAATCCGTATTCATCTGCCCACGTTCTGCTAGAAATGGGGTGCCCAGAGAATCCCACAGGGCTTTGTTTGTGCTCTGCCCACCTCAGAGGACAAGGAAACATGTCCGCTCTCCTCGGTAGCCAGCCCAGCTTCCTAAGTCGCCCCCTTGACCACAGAGAGCCCTTCCAGAGCTCAGCACACTTGAGGACTGGGATGGTGTCAAGTATCCGCCCGACAGCACAGCGGGGTGAAAGTTCAAAGGAAGCACTTGAAGGAAGAATCAAGAAGATAAGGAGATGTTTGCCCAATCCTTGTCCTCAAAGGATCTTTTGATGGCTTCTCAGCCCCTGGCAAAATTCCAAGCTGGTGGAACTGGGGAAACTGGTCCGTGGCTCCAATCTGACCTGGGGCAGAGGCAGAGCTGCAGGTGAGGTCAGCTGACCCGGCCTCTCCCAAAGGCCATGAAAACTTTGCCCACTGGACATGAATTTTCCCCTTGGTTGACCTCAGTGCTGTGACGGCATCTTCCCTTTGCTCTCTCTGTCTTTCTGGAGACTTGTGGGGGGGAGGCTAGTCATTGAGGCACTTGTGGTGCCCCTACAACAAAGTCTAGCACATCGCCCTTTACGTTCTTCCTAAGAAAACATATTTGTGGGATCACTCAGGACTTTGGAAAGATGGACAGCGACTTCCGGACTCGGTTTCCCTTTTGGCGGGCTCTCCAGGGTGCGTTTGTAGTTTCTCCACCAGGCTTAGCTTACACACAGGTGGTCCTCGCCTTACGACTGCATTTGAGCCCAAGATTTCTATTACTAAGCGAGACATGTATTAAGTGAGTTTTGCCTCATTTTACGACTCTTTTTGTGGCAGTTGTTAAGCGAATCACTGCAGTTGATAAGTTAGTAACCTGGTTGTGAGGTGAATCTGGCTTCCCTGTTTGCTTTCCTTGTGAGAAGGTCGCGAAAGGGGATCACAGGACCCCAGGACACTGCGACCGTCATAAGTGTGAGTCAGTTGCCAAGTGTCTGAATTTTGATCAGGTGATGCTGCAATGGTCGTTAAGTGAGAAAAACGGTCGTAAGTCACTCTTTTCACTGTAACTTCAGACGTTCACTAAGTGAAATGCAAGCCGAGTCCTAGCTACCGTTTGGTCTCCAAAGGAGGCAGACTCGGCCGTCCGCCTTCCGGTCCTTCTCCCAGCCAGCCAGAAATGGGGGTGTCCTGTGTCCACACCCCAGGAAGCTGTTTTAAGCAGCCAACAAGAAGCAAACACAACGCTCTCTCTCTCTCTCTCTCTCGGCCTGTGTGATGCCGGCGGTGCCAGCAATTGCTTGTGTGTGTGTTTATTTTGCACGCCCTCTCTTAACCGTGGAATCAGCCTGGAATAAAAACAAAGGAAAAAATGCTGGAATAAGTGTTAAAAACCGCAGTATAAACAAAAGAGCTGCTGTGCAGGTTGTGCGGTTTTGCCTGATAAAAAAATATAGGAAACCAGAAGTTGCCTTTAAGCTTTACGTATTTATTCAGCTGAACAAAGGCCCATTAACCGCACCGTCTGACTTTCCCAAGGCCTCCTCAAGACAATGGGATCAGCTTTCTGAGCTGAACTACCTGCAGGGAGAGCGGTGCTTCCACTCCCTGACCCAATGAGACCATGGCACAGCCAGCTAGCCTTCCTCCCTGTCTCAGAAAGCTGCTGCGTCTGTATGCAGGTCCCTGTCCGCATCCTCTAGTCCTCAGTTAAATTCGGCAGGCCGGTAAACACTACAGTTAATAGTTTGCACACAGTCATGATCTCCATCCTGTTCCAGTTGGGGAAGAGAGGTTGCTGGATTGAACCTGCCTGCACTTGATACGAACTGGTGGGTTCTCAAGGGGAGCAATCAGATACTGCTCCAGACGGGGGGCTGTAAGCCAATGGCCCCCCTTGGAGGCTAACAAGTCCTGGATGGAATGAGGTGTTTCCACTGTGATAGGAGCCCCAAAAGTTAATTGTTCAGCAGCCTCCAAAAGGAGAACGGCAGCTGCTGCAGCCCAAAGGCATGCCGGCCATCTTTGAGCAATAATAACAACAACAACAATAATAAAGTTGGAAGGGACCTTGGAGATCATCAAGTCCAACCCCCTGCTCAGACAGGAAACCCTATACCATTTCGGAGAAATGGCTGTCCAGTTTCTTCTTAAAAACTTTCAGTGTGGGAGCATTCACCGCTTCTGGAGGCAGGTTGTTCCACTGGTTAATTGTTCTCACTGCCAGGAAGTTTCTCCTTAGTTCTAGGTTGCTTCTCTCCTTGATCAGTTTCCATCCGTTGCTTCTTGTCCTGCCTTCAGGCGCTTTAGAGAATAGCTTGACTCCCTCTTCTTTGGGGCAGCCCTTGAGATATTGGAACACGGCTATCCTATCCCCCCTCGTCCTTCTCTTCATTAAACTAGACATACCCAATTTCAGCAACCGTTCCTTATATGTTTTAGCCTCCAGTCCCCTGATCATCTCTGTTGCTCTTCTCTTTTTCTAGAGTCTCAACATCTTTTTTATATCGTGGTGACCAAAACTGGATGCAGTATTCCAACTGTGGCCTTACCAAAAAATTGTAAAGTGGTATTAATACTTCACGTGATCTATCCTTCTGTTTATGCAGCCTAGCATTGTGTTGGCTTTTTTGGCAGCTGCAGCACACTGCTGGCTCATATTTAAATGATTGTCCACTAGGACTCCGAGATCCCTATCACAGTTACTACTATTGAGCAAGGTACCCCCTATACTATATCTGTACATTTGGTTTTTCTTGCCTAAATGTAGAACCTTAATTTTTTCACCATTGAATTTCATTTTGTTAGATAGCTAGCGCCCAGTGTTCAAGTCTGTCCAGATCCTCCTGTATCCTAAGCCTGTCTTCTGGAGTGTTGGCTATTCCTGCCAGCTTAGTGTCATGTGCAAATTTGATGATTGCCCCATCTGTCCCCTTGTCCAAATCGTTGAGGAAGATGTTGAAGAGCACTGGGCCCAGAACGGAGCCCTGGGGCACCCCTCTACACACTTCCCTCCATGTAGATGCGGATCAGGTTGTTTGGAGAAACAGGCCACTGGGTGAGACCAAGCACCACTGACCTTTGGCTAAGATCAGTATCATGCCTAGGCCTGGTCAACAGCGGGAAATATATATAAGGAGCAACCACAAACCTCAGAGCAACCACAAGTTCAACACTCACAAGCATGAGAGTACATGGTTAGTCCCTCTTGCTTTCTAAACACCCCCAGACATTGGCAGGCAGTTGCAAACCCTTCCACTCAGCTCTGGTCAACGGCGGGAAATGATTCAAGGAAACAATCACACTTTTACACACACACACACACAAACACACCTGTAGGCAAGCCTCTGCAACAAAGCAATGTGTATCTTACATTATCTTCAGCCCTCCTGAGCATGTAGGAACGAAGTAAAAGGCAACCAAAAAGAAGAAAAAACGGGTTCCTGTTAAAAACCACAGTGAAGAGTCAAGAAAGGGGGCACCTCCAGGAAATCCCAGAGCGTGCTTGGCGCCTTCCCCTTTCCTGAGCCTCCCTAGGACCAAGCAGCTCTCCTGGAAGCCTGGCTCGCCAAAAATGCTGTGCAGCTTCTGAGGTTTTGCTTAATAAAAACATACAGGAAGTTGCCTTTAAGCTTTACGTTTTTATTCAGCTGAACAAAGACGGGCTCCTCTAAAAGAGAGAAGCCCCGAATGACAAGAAATCCTTGTATTTATTCTTTCTCATTACATAAGCAATCCACCCAGCAAAGATAAAGATTTCATCCAGTAAGTCTGGCACACTGTAGCTAAGAAGGGAGTGAGCAGAAGTAGCTAAAAATGTTCCCTTTCGGATGTTTCCCTAAAGACATTGTACGTTCCTGGGTGGGTTAGGACATGGGGTGTTTTCCTTGTTCCTGGGTGGGTTAGGACATGGGGCTAACCTTGTACTCTCATGCTTGTGAGTGTTGAACTTGTGGTTGACTCTGCAAGGGCCCAAAGACGGCAGGGCCATCTGCACATATTCACATACTTCCTATGCTGTCTCCTAATTCGGGTCAACACAGCCTCTGGCAGGAAAACTTTTAATGGAGAGTAAGAGTTCTTCTGATGCAGAGATTCACACCCTGCCCATCAGCCACTCCTACTCTTCTGGCGGTGGCATGAAAAGTGATCGGGTCCTCGCCTCCTCTAGTAAAGTCTTCCTCCCCCCCCCCCCACTGCAAAAATGTTTTGTGCAAGAGAAGATTTGTCATGCAAAGGGGTTCCATGAGGACTAGAATCTTAAATGGCTTTTTTATATTTTTTTATTTTTTATTTTTAATTTTTTTTATTAAGTACAAAGAAAAAAAAAAGAATTAAAAACATTGAACATGGTAAATCGTCTTGACTGGCATCTCAGTCCATATTGTACATTAATTACATATAATATACCTATATATAACTATACATTTCTAGTCTCTATCTCAGTTTATCTCTTTACTGTGACCTCCATTTTTCTTTCCCTCTGATAAATATACATCAATATGATAAATCTTCAGAGACAATGGAAACTAATAGAAAAAAAATACAGATGGTGAGAGTCAGAAAGAGATAACATTAAGGAAGTAAGATAACCATATAGGCAAAAATAGCTGGGTCTGAGAAAGGAAGAGGAAAGTCATAAAATAGATAAATAGTTTTTTTAAGGAAATGGCTAGCCAAGAAGTATAGGAAAGTAGGAAACCAGGCCAAATAAGATAAGAAGAGAATGATGAATTGAAATGATGAATTGAATTGAAAAGCAGGAAAAGAACTTATTGTTTAATGGGGGCATAAATATATTTGAGTTTAAAAATAACCATAAGAAAATAATTTTTCTTATTGTATAAGTGAATATGATTTAGTGTGTTATCAGGAAATGTGTATAGGCAGACGGAAAGAGTGTAACCTCATACTACCTCAGCCAATGGGGAAAGAGGAGGGCTGTAGCGGCCGGTGATAGGGATGAATAAAAGAAGGAGATATTTTGGGTTAAAACTTTGGAGAGAACCAAGCTTTGAAAGCTTCTCTCCCCGCTTATTGCAATAAACGAAACAAAAGGCCTTCACTGTGTCTTGGCTGGTTATTGGTTAGGCGAGCTTGCCTCTGGTCACGAAGGAAAGTAGCCAGGAGCACATAACACCTCCATCTATAAAATTTATTCCATATTTGATAAAATTCTGTTTCTTCTTGATATTTTTAATCTTTTTATTATCCTATCTAGTTCTGCGCAATACATAATTTTCTTTATTCGTGCTTCCCCACTCGGTACTTCCACTGCTTTCCACTTTTGAGCAAATAGTATCCTTGCTGCTGTGACCACATGGATAATTAAATATGTGTCTTCTTTATTTACATTTTTCTCTAGTATTCCTAATAGTAATGTCTCCGGTTTAGAATGTTTTGCCTAGTCATTTCTACTGCCCATTCCCAGACCATACGTCAATACACCTGTGCTTCTCTACAAGTCCACCATACATGAAAAAAAGATTCCCTTTTCTTTTTTACATTTCCAACACATAGATGAATATCCATTATACATTTTGGCTAATCTGGCCGGAGGGAGATGCCATCTGTAAACCATCTTATACAGGTTTTCTTTATAAGATGTCGCCACTGTGATTTTGTTATTTCGCTCCCATACTTGCTGCCATTGATCCATGTTTATATTATATCCTAGATCTATTGCCCATGTCACCATTGTTTCTTTAATCTGCTCCTCATATAGCTTATGTTCCAACAGGCGTTTACAAATATTCTTTATTTGTTTTTTCTCCGGGCCTAGCAGTATTTTATCTAACCCTGTATCTTGTCTGTTAATTCCCCATTTTTGCTTATCCTTCATGTATCTTGCTTGTATCTGGAGATAAGACCACCACTCCATGTCTATTCCTTGTTGTTTTAGCTCTTGTTTTTTTTTTTTAAATAACCTTCTTCTGTCAAGATGTCTTTATATATAATAGCTTTATCTGTCCTGTACAAATTGGGGTACGTGACTGCCTCCAATGGCGATAGCCAAGCCGGCATCTTTGTGTAATATTGATGTTTAACTATATTCCAGCTTTTTATTAATTCTTGCCGAACCTTATGTCTTAAAAAATATTGGTGGTTTCTGCTTTGCCCCATCCATATGTGAGCATGCCAGCCCTGCTGGAGGTCATAACCTTCTAAATGTAAACATCTTTTATTTTCTAAGGTTATCCAGTCTCTAATCCATGCTAGGGCCGCTGCTTGGTAATATAGCTCCCAATCTGGGAAACCTAAACCTCCCCTCTCTTTGGCATCCTGTAATGCCTTTAATTTTATTCTTGCCTTCTTACCGGACCACACAAATTCTAAGGTTAATTTATTCAACTCCTTGAAAACTTTCTTGTCTAATTGAATTGGAATATTCTGAAACAGGAATATCATTTTAGGTAAGATGTTCATTTTCACTGTGGCAATTCTCTTGAGTAATGAAAGATGTAAATTTTCCCAGTGGTCTAAATCTACTTTTATATTCTTGACTAATTTGCCATAATTGTCTTCTTTAATTGATGAGCAGCAAGCTGAAATAACTATCCCTAAATATTTTAAATGGCTTTTTTAAAGCTGCTCTGGGGCAGAGCTTCTTCGTGTCTCTGTTTCGGTCCCCAGGTTTTCAACTTGACTCTGTATCCTAGCTCAGTGGAAGGAATCCTCTCTAATTCCTTTATTCAGAACCTTGGGGACTATAATGTTAATTTTCTGAAGTTCCCAAATTGACAACAGGGAAGCAGGAAATCTTGATTGGGCAGCTGGATAGGCAGGTTTCGTATCTTGTGTTTGCATTGGACACAAAGATGCGTAATAAGAGAGACTGCAAGCCGATGGAGTGCAAAGCTGGCACCTGTTTATTAGTCAGTATTGCATTCAGAATAACACAACTACTTTGTGTAATTTGAGGGGTTTTTCCCGGCCTGCAGAGACTTAGCATGTCTCTGAAGACCCCCTGCAACGAGAGTCCGGGTAAAACATATATCCATACTTGTACGTGCTCAGACTCCTTCTGAGGCATTCTGCGGCGACTCTGTCGCACTCACAAATCTGTTCCTCGCACCAGGTGCCCTTTCCTGCAGGCAGAGGAAACCCTGGTTAATCCTGCCCACCCTCTTGGACAGCTCAGCCTAGGGCTGCAAATCCTGGCCTGGCCACCAGAGGGCAGCCGAGATGCAAGGAATCCTGATTGCGGCCCCCTGGTGGACAGGAGTTTTGCACCCCAGAGCAGCTTACGGGAAGGCACCGCAGGCTGCCCAGAGATGATGAAAGGATCCGCCCCAGCTTGGTTCTGGCTCGGGGAGCATTTGAACCCGGGTCTGCGCATCCACTCACCGCAGGTGATATATCCACTCTTCAAGCTGTAGGGATAGATGTCCCATTTGGTGTTGCACTTGGCCAGTTTTCCGTAACAGCAGTCATGCACAAAGCAGCAGCTGGAGGGAGAGAGGGAGGGGGCGGGGGAAAAATTAGCCAAAAGAGGGTCCCCCGTCCAGCAATGGGGGTGAGGCGCTGGCACCCCAAGATTGGAAAACGAACCAAGAAGCCATGTGATATCATTTGCAATGGAGATATTTTGCAGAGGCAAAATAGTGTTTTTCTGTGTTTGTTGTGTTTGTGTGTATGTGTGTGTGTCCGTGTGTGCCTTCTCCAAGCTGGATCCTTTCCAACATCTGGAGCTGTGACAAACCCTGGATGGCGACTGAGGACAATGGGAGCTGTTCTGGGGGCTGAGGAAGGGGCTCTTCCACGTACAGATGGTCCTCGTCTTACAGCCACAGTTGAGCCCATTGCTGAGCAAGACAGTCGCTAAGTGAGTTTCGCCCCCTTTTTATGACCTTTCTAGCCACTGCGGTTCTTAACTTAGCAGTGCAGTTCTGAGGGGAATCCGCCTTCTTCCCCCTTGATTTTGCTCATCCAGAGGTCGCAAAAGGGGGATCACGTGAGCTTGGGACACTGTGACCCTCATAAATATGAGCCAGTTGCCGAGTGTCTGAATTTATTTCAGCCTCCCCCCCCCCCCATGAAGGGAAGAAGGCTTCCTCAGGGCCCTGCTGGAGGGATTCCACCTTCTGTTCATTGGGCATTACGGACTTACCGGTCAGTGGCGTCCTTTGGCCGGCCTCGGCCCCCCCAGCCACAGTAGCAGCCGTAAAAGGCATAGAAGGGAATAGCGTTTTTCCTTGTCTCAAACTTGATCATCTTGTTGAATTGCAGCAGGTGCCCCTCGACTGGAAAAAGACAGACAGTTTCAGCCTCCCTCGGCTTCTTGGTAGAGTTAATGGCAGATGCTGGCAGGCCTCGCTTAACGACCACAGCAAAGCAAGATGTGGTGACAGGATGCCTCGCTTAACGGTGAATTATCCTGTCCTGATATAGGTCACTAAAGTCAAAGACAACCTGTAACGCCTCCATTTTACCTTCTGCAAAGAGAACAGAATTAGCTGCTCATTTTACTGTTTTGCTTCACTCACCGCCCACCAGCAACACGGCCACTATCCAGAGAGCCCTCATCCTCCTCAATCCAGACCTGGGAATCAGCAGACCCTGTTAATCGCCTCCGCTGGTGAAAAGTCTGGAAAATGGCCCTTAGAACGGTCACTAAACAAACGGTTGTAAATCAAGGATAACCTGTAGGCAAGGATCAGAAGGAGAAGCCAGGCAGGGGAAAATGGCAAAGATTCACACCTGACAGGCTCCCTCTGCTCCTCTGCCCCCTGAAGACACAGCTGGCACCTTTTATGTAGTAGGGGAGGGACTTCCCCAGTCCTCCTGGCAGGTGATCCTCGCTGTCACCTGGCGGGCCATCTTCAGAAACCTCTCCACGTGGTTTCCCTTCCCGTCTCCAAGCGAGGATCCCAAACTTCTGTCCCTCGGGGCAGCCTCGGGTGGCAGATGGAGTTGGGGTCTCGTGGGTGAGATAGAGGAGGGGGCTTTGCACCTCTTGAGTAGGATCCCTTAAGGCCAGGCAGTTCTCTGTTGGGTCCACCCAACCTCAGAGCATTTTCCTAATCTGAGTGTGCCAGATGTTTGGGTAAAATGAGGCCGTCAGTTGGAATTTGTTCCTGGGACCTTAAGGCCTTAAAACAGCCAAGTGAGTTCCCGCTTCTTCCCCACTGCTGCGTTTCATAACACTGATGAAAAGGTTTGGAAACCTTGAGAGGGGGCCTGTCCTGAGGGACCCCCCTGTTTTCAATTACGCAGAGGTGGATTAATCCATTAGAAATAAATCCTGCAATTGAATGCAGTAGTCCTTGAATTACAGCCAGAACTGAGCAGCAAGGACCCCATAGTCCTCCTCCTCCTGTCTGCAGCCCCCCTCCCTTCTACCACTGATGATCTTCATCGAAAAGAAATCAGGCGAAAATGTTCCTCGCTTAATGACTGGTTGCTTAGGGACGGTTAGAAGTTACAATGGATCCCCCCCAAAAGGGACTTATGACCCAGATTCAAACTCCTGATGCCTACCCTCTCCCTGGCCACATTTTAAGACAGTATTTTACCCCCTCGGTGAAATAGGTGACAAATTAAGAAATACATTTTGGCTGCTCAGCAACCATTCTGCGTTTATGGCTGTTTGCCAGCCTCCTGCAGACCCCTAGCCTCAATTTATGATTTTTTTTCTGCTCAAAATTGTTTTTTTTCAGGGAAAAAATGCCCATTATGGACAGCTTTGGTTGGTTAACGACCCTTGCAAAAAATGTATAAAATCTTGTCAGTGATAAGTCAAAGACAACCCATAATACTCCATCAGAACGCGGGCACCGTGCTGCGTGATGCAAAGGGCTGGGCCAGCTGATCTTCCCGGCCCCCTCCAATCGAGTGGATTTCAAACCCCAGCATCCCCAGCCAGCCTGGCTTTCGCAGGGGATTCTGGGAGCTTTTCACTGTTACCCAAATTTGCGCTGACATGGTTTGTGTTCCTACGTACCGCAAGTGACGGTGTCTTTCCTGACCGAGTAGAAATATTTCTCCATTTTGGGTTTGCAGTGGCGCCGCGATAGGGCCTGATAGCAGCAGTCATGAACTTGGCAACACCTGGAAGCAAAGAACAGAGCCACAATTGTGCGGCCAAGGTAACAACATCACTGTGTCCGTCTCGGCATCCGGGGCCATTGGGCGCCTGCCTGGGACAATATTTTGAAAGCAAACTCTGAAAACGTGAGTGAAGGCCGGGTGGCTTTGTGGCTTTCACAGGGAATAAGCAGTTTAAGGTCACATCGGGAGCCGGGGCCTCCTGGCCCGTGTCTGGTTCTTGAATTTTATCCCCTGTAACTTTGAACGGTCACTAATGGACAGTTGTAAACTGAGGACTGCCTGCCACCTGAACGATGCCCACCAGACGCGAAAGAGAGCGGAGGTGCCCTCAGGAATGAAGGGGGGCTCTGGAGGAGCTCCTTAGATCCACAGGCGCCCCTTCAGCTGAGGAGAAGCCGGGACCCCTCCCAGGTCACCCGAGGCCCCGCCCCCTCACCAATCGGTGGCGTCCACCGGCTGCCTGGAACCGCCCAGCCCGCAGTAGCAGCCGTAGCCGTTGTAAATTAGGGGGTGTCTTCCGGTCAAGTGCTCGATGATGTGGCCAAACTGGATCAAATTGGCGCTGGCAAAGACCAGAACTGGAAGGGAGACCAAGAGGGTAGCCATCGCCCCGCTTCCGGCAATTCTGGCCCGGGTCATCCCTGCCCCGTCCCCTAGGTGGTCCTCTCCTGCTCCCCAGTCCAAACAGGATTTGGCCTTCCCTGAGCATGCAATTCTGACCCATGCAGGGCTGGATAACAGGCCCACAGGGCTGAAAGGAAGGGACCTCGGAGGTCTTCTAGTCCAACCCCCCCCCGCTCAAGCAGAAGACGGAACAAAATTGTGCAGCTGTTGGATCACATGAGGCTGGGCTGTGTCGGGGCTCTTGGGTGCTCTCTGAGCTGGGTTGTGTTGTGGCAGATGTTTCATCACCAAACGAGGTAGCATTGCTGATGACGTTACCTGGCTGGGTCATGAAACATCTGCAAGGAAACCACCAAGCCCGGAGAGTAACCAGGACCCCCCAATTCCACCCTGAGCTATAAATATGTGTGATGCCAGCGGTGCCAGCAGTTCCTTCTGTGTGTTGCACCCCCTCTATTAAGCGTGGAATCGGCCTGGATTAAAAACACAAGGAAAAAATGCTGAAATAACTTTTAAAAACTGCAATATAAAAAAAGGAGCCTCTGGCAGCAAAATTTTTAATGAGGAGTAAGAGTTCTTCTGATGCAGGGATTCACACCCCTGCCCATCAGCCACTCCTACGCTCCGGGCAGTGGCATGAAAAGGGATCGGGCCCTCAGCTCCTCTGGTAAAGTCTTCCTCCCCCCCCCTGCAAAAATTCTTTGTGGAAGAGATTTGTCACGTAAAAGGGTTCCATGAGGATTAGAATCTTACATGGCTTTTTTAAAGCTGCTCTGGGGCAGAGCCTCTCCGTGTCTCTAATTCCTTTATTCAGAACCTTGAGGACTATAATGTTAATTTTCTGAAGTTCCCAAATTGACAACAGGGAAGCAGGAAATCTTGATTGGGCAGCCGGATAGGCAGGTTTCCTATCTTGTGTTGGCATTGTACACAAAGATGCATAGTAAGAGAGACTGCAAGCCGATTGAGTGCAAAGCTGGCACCTTTTTATTATTAAGTATTGCATTCGATTGTGTAATTTGAGGGTTTTTTCCGGGCCTGTAGAGTCTTAGCATTTCTTTGGACCCTCCTTGCAATGAAAGTCCCCATAAAACTGATATTCTATGTTGTATGTGTCCAGACTGTCTCGGAGGCAGATTGCTGCGGCCTTGTCGCACTCACAAATCTGTTCCTCACACCAGGTGCCCCTTCCTGCAGGCAGAGCAAACCCTGGTTAATCCTGCCCACCCTCTCCGATGGATTAGCTCAGGGCTGCAAATCCTGGCCTGGCCACCAGAGGGCAGCTGAGATGCAGGGAATCCTGATTGCGGCCCCCTGGTGGACAGGAGTTTTGCACCCCAGAGCAGCTTACGGGAAGGCACTGCAGGCTGCCCAGAGATGATGAAAGGATCCGCCCAAGCTTGGTTCTGGCTCAGGGAGCATTTGAACCCAGGTCTGCGCATCCACTCACCGCAGACGATAGCCCCGTTTTTCCGGCTGTAGGGGTAGGGGTCCGTTTTGGTCTTGCAGCCAGTCAGATTCTCATAACAGCAGTCATGCATCAAACAGCAGCTGGAGGGAGGGAGGGAGGGGGCAGGGCAGAGTTAGCCAAAAGAGGGTCCCCCGTCCAGCAATGGGGGTGAGGCGCTGGCACCCCAAGATTGGAAAACGATTGGAGTCCCCACCGGTCCTGCAGAGAGGCTCCACGGCCCCAAGAACCCGTGTGAAATCTTTGCAATGGAGATATTTTGCAGAGGCAAAGTGGTCTGTTTGTGTGTTTGTTGTGTGTTTGTGTGTGTGTGCCTGTACCTTCTCCAAGCTGGTTCCTTTCCAACATCCAGAGCTGCGAGAAACTCTGGATGGCGACTGAGGATGATGGGAGCTATTCTGGGGGCAGAGCCTGGGACACTGTGACCGTCATAAATATGAGCCAGTTGCCGAATGTCTGAATTTATTTCAGCCCCCCCCCCTTGAAGGGAAGAAGGCTTCCTCAGGGCCCTGCTGGAGGGATTCCACCTTCTGGTCATTGGGCGTTACGGACTTACCGGTCAGTGGCGTCCCTTGGCCGGCCTTGGCCCCCCAGGCCGCAGTAGCATCCGTAAAAGGTGTAGGAGGGGAAGGGGTTTTTCCCCGTCTCTTCCTTGATCATCTTCCCGAATTCGACCAGGCTCCCTTTGACTGGAAAAAGACAGACAGTTTCAGCCTCCCTCGGCTTCTCTGTAGGGTTAATGGCAGATGCTGGCAGGCCTCGCTGAACGACCACAGCAAAACAAGATGTGGTGACACGATGCCTCGCTTAACTGTGAATTATCCTGTCCCGATGTCGGTCACTAAAGTCTAAGACAACCTGTAACGCCTCCATTTTACCTTCTGCGAAGAGAACAGAATTAGCTGCACATTTTACTGTTTTGCTTCACTCACCGCCCAGCAGCAATACGGCCACTATCCAGAGAGTCCTCATCCTCCCGAATCCAGACTTGGGAATAAGCAGACCCCGTTAATTGCCTCCGCTGGTGAAGTGTGGAAAATGGCCCTTAGAACGGTCACTAAACAAACGGTTGTAAGTCAAGGATAACCTGTAGGCAAGGATCAGAAGGAGAAGCCGGGCAGGGGAAAATGGCAACGATGTGGCTATACCTGGCAGCCTTGTGTCAGGGTCGAGGGGGGCTCCGGAAGCCCCCCAGCTTCTCCCTCCAAGCTCCCTCTGCTCCTCTGCCCCCTGGAGATGGTGCTGGCACCTTTTATGTGGCCGGGGAGGGGCTTCCCCAGTCCTCTTGGCAGGGGACCCTGGCTCTCATCTGGAGGGCCATCTTCAGAAACCTCTCCAGCCGGTTTCCCTTCCCGTCTGCAAGGGAGAAACCCGATCTTCCATCCCTGGGGCAGCCTTGGGTGGCAGAGGTCAGTTGCTGGCCTCTCCCCAGGCAGCTCTCTGCCCCCAGCTCCCTTCCCTCTTAAGAGTTTGGTCCCGGAAATGGGCATCCTTCTGCTTCTTAGGTTTAGGAGCCTTTTCATTGGCCTTCCTTTTTAATTGCGCCATCAAATAAGTTTAACAAATAAATAAAATTCCTATTTCAGGACTGCTTCTCCCCGCCACCCCAGCTACCCCTGACACCTTCTGGGATACAGGCAGTCCTCGCCTTATGACCACAGTTAACCCCAAAATTTCTGCAGCTAAGTGAGACAGTTATTAAGTGATTTTTGCCCCGTTTTACGGCCTTTCTTGCCAGAGTGGCTGAGTGCATGACTGCAGTTCTTAAGTCAGCCACAGGGTGCTTGTCCCCCCTAAAATTCAAGAACCAGACACGGGCCAGGTGGCCTCGGCTCCCGGAGTGACCTTAAACCACTTATTCCCTGTGAAAACCACAAAGCTACCCAGCCTTCGCTCACGTTTTCAGAGTTTGCTTTCAAAATATTGTCCCAGGCAGGCGCCCAACAGCCCCGGATGCCGAGACGGATGCAGTGATGTTGTTACTTTGGCCGCACAATTGTGGCTCTGTTCGTTGCTTCCAGGTGTTGCCGAGTTCATGACTGCAGCTATCAGGCCTGTCGCGGCACCACTTTAAACCCAAAATGGAGAAATATTTCTACTCCGTCAGGAAAGACACCGTCACTTCCGGTAAGGGCCAAAGGTGGCGGTTTCTCCCTCCCTGAGGAAGAGCTGGACAGCTGCCCCTCAGGGAAGGTCGCCTTGCTTTCCCTGCCCTGTGCAGAAGGGTGGGCTAGATGATCTTTGGGTCCCTTCCAACTCCACGGTTCTACGATTGGATGGCTCAGCCCAGAGCCCACCAGAAGACGGATCTTGCAGGCATCCAGCTGAGTTCAGCAATCCAAGATGCCTTTTATTTTAATCACGAACAAGCCACAATTAGCAGGATTCATGTCATGCCTCAGAGCACAAGCCAGGGTTTGGGGCTGGATTACATCACAGACGAAGCCTAATTTGCCAACCGCGCTTCGGCAGTGTGGGCGCTGAGAGGGATGTTACCATTCAGGACCAGGGACAGCGGCAAGCTGGATTTCTTTAATGACAGTGGGAAAATGAAATTGGGCACGACTCATTTAGTGACCAAATTGTGGTTGGTCCAATTGAGATCATAAATCAAGGATAAATCTGAGCTGGGAAAATGCAGCCACAAGGTGACTCTGCAGGCAGCCTGACGGGTGAATTCAGCACCTGGCTGGGATCCAATTGGTATTTCTTTATTATGGAATTTATTTGCCACCCATCTTGCCATGGAGAATTTTGCAACCATATGTGTACATTTTTGTTTATTTATTTATTATGAGACTTATTTGCCGTCCATCTTGTATCAAATGACTCTGGGCGCCTTGCGGCATAAAAAGCATTAAAATCATCAGATATAATAAAAGCAGACAAAGTAAAATCATTTAAATGCAAGATGGCAAAGGATACACGGGGAGGGGGGCAGATGGGAGGAGCTTTTAATTAGTCAATTGGAAGACATTGCAGGCTCATCAGTTGGAAAGGGGGTCAGACTAGAAGACCTCTAAGCTCCCTTGCAATGCTAGGCTTCCCTCAAGGGCGCTCCCTGCCTCGGCTGCCGAAGGGTGGCCTTTGCTCCCCCCTAGTGGCCACTCAGGCTGGCTGCTTAAGCGGAACCCCTACATTCCAGTTTCCCAACCCCCTCCTCCTGCACCCCCTCTCCCCCCTCCTCACATCTTTCTCCTTGGGGGTCCCCTCTCCTCCATGTATGGGTCTCTCCCATGGCAGGCAGCAGGGCCAACTGGGGCCAACAGGAGAGCTGCAGCTGTGACCGGGCGCTGCCGCTGTGTCTAAAGCAAAATGTAGGCCGGTACCAGAAGAAATACACCTTCTACCCAAACTTCCTGTGCAGGGGACCGGCTCCCCACTGCTGATGCCTGGGGGGTCTTCCCTGGAAGGTTGCCAAGCGTGTCAAACCAGAAATTGAGAAATAAAAAACTCTTATACTCTCTTGTCCTTGCGTGGGGAGACTCTGGGCCCACACTTCTGAGACACACAATTTTTCACACAAAAAGGGGAGGTAGCTAAGTGCCCCGAAGTTTAGGGCTGAGATAGCAACCCCAGAGGGCTCCTCCAGCAGCCGGGGATCTTGAGGGGGGCGGGGGGGTGTAGCTGGGAGGGCACTTTTGCATCCGATGGGCGAATCTGTCTGTACTTGAGGGCACACTGACGCCGGAGTCAGGCTGGTGGGGTGCCGGGGGCTCTCTGAGCCTGGAGGTTTGCCTTGCAGATGTTTCATGACACAACTAGGTAAGATCATCAGTGGTAGAAGGGAGGGGGGCTGTAGAGAGGAGGAGGAGGAGGAGGACAATGGGGTCCTTGCTGCTCAGTTGTGGCTGTAATTCGAGGACTACTGCATTACATTGCACGGTTTATTTCTAATGGATTAATCCACCTCTATGTAATTGATAACGGGGGGTCCCTCAGGACAGGCCCCCTCTCAAGGTTTCCAAACCTTTTCATCAGTGTTATGAAACGCAGCAGTGGGGAAGAAGCGGGAACTCACTTGGCTGTTTTAAGGCCTTAAGGTCCCAGGAACAAATTCCAACTGACGGCCTCATTTTACCCAAACATCTGGCACACTCAGATTAGGAAAATGCTCTGAGGTTGGGTGGACCCAACAGAGAACTGCCTGGCCTTAAGGGATCCTACTCAAGAGGTGCAAAGCCCCCTCCTCTATCTCACCCACGAGACCCCAACTCCATCTGCCACCCGAGGCTGCCCCGAGGGACAGAAGTTTGGGATCCTCGCTTGGAGACGGGAAGGGAAACCACGTGGAGAGGTTTCTGAAGATGGCCCGCCAGGTGACAGCGAGGATCACCTGCCAGGAGGACTGGGGAAGTCCCTCCCCTACCACATAAAAGGTGCCAGCTGTGTCTTCAGGGGGCAGAGGAGCAGAGGGAGCCTGTCAGGTGTGAATCTTTGCCATTTTCCCCTGCCTGGCTTCTCCTTCTGATCCTTGCCTACAGGTTATCCTTGACTTACAACCGTTTGTTTAGTGACCGTTCTAAGGGCCATTTTCCAGACTTTTCACCAGCGGAGGCGATTAACAGGGTCTGCTGATTCCCAGGTCTGGATTGAGGAGGATGAGGGCTCTCTGGATAGTGGCCGTGTTGCTGGTGGGCGGTGAGTGAAGCAAAACAGTAAAATGAGCAGCTAATTTCTGTTCTCTTCGCAGAAGGTAAAATGGGGGGGTTTACAGGTTGTTTTTGACTTTAGTGACCGACATCGGGACAGGGAAATTCACCGTTAAGTGAGGCATCGTGTCACCACATCTTGCTTTGCTGTGGTCGATAAGCGAGGCCTGCCAGCATCTGCCATTAACTCTACCGAGAAGCCGAGGGAGGCTGAAACTGTCTGTCTTTTTCCAGTCGAGGGGAGCCTGGTGGAATTTGAGACGTTGATCATGAAAATTGCGGGGAGAAGTGGTATTTCGTACTACAGCTCTTACGGATGCTACTGTGGCGCGGGGGGCCAAGGCTGGCCACAGGACGCCAGCGACCGGTAAGCCCATAATGCCCAATGACCAGAAGGTGGAATCCCTCCAGCAGGGCCCTGAGGAAGCCTTCTTCCCTTCATGGGGGGGGGAGGGTGAAATAAATTCAGACACTCGGCAACTGGCTCATATTTATGAGGGTCACAGTGTCCCAGGCTCACGTGATCCCCCTTTTGCGACCTCTGGGTGAGCAAAACCAAGGGGGAAGAAGGCGGATTCCCCTCAGAACTGCATTGCTAAGTTAAGAACCGCAGTGGCTAGAAAGGTCATAAAAAGGGGGCAAAACTCACTTAACGACTGTCTTGCTCAGCAATGGGCTCAACTGTGGCTGTAAGACGAGGACTTTCTGTATATGGAAGAGCCCCTTCCTCAGCCCCCAGAACAGCTCCCATCGTCCTCAGTCGCCATCCAAGGTTTGTCACAGCTCCGGATGTTGGAAGGGAACCAGCTTGGAGAAGGCACATATAGATACACAGAACAAACACACAAACAGACCATTTTGCCTCTGCAAAATATCTCCACTGCATCTGATTTCACATGGGTTTTTGGCACCCAGTAGCCTCTCTGCAGGACCGGTGGGGACCCCAATCGTTTTCCAATCTTAGGGTGCCAGTGCCTCACCCCCATTGCTGGACATGGGACCCTCTTTCTGCTAACTCTGCCCACCCTCTCCCTCCCTCCCTCTCTCCTTCTAGCTGCTGCTTTGAGCACGACTGCTGTTATGCAAAACTGACTGGCTGCGACCCAACAACAGACGTCTACACCTACAGACAGGAGGACGGGGAAATCGTCTGTGGTGAGTGGATGCGCAGACCCGGGTTCAAATGCTCCCCGAGCCAGAACCAAGCTGAGGTTGCTCCTTTCATCATCTCTGGGCAGCCTGCAGTGCCTTCCCGTAAGCTGCTCTGGGGTGCAAAACTCCTGTCCACCAGGGGGCCACAATCAGGAGTCCCTGCATCTCGGCTGCCCTCTGGTGGCCAGGCCCTGATTTGCAGCCCTAGGCTGAGCTGGCCAAGAGGGTGGGCAGGATTAACCAGGGTTTGCTCTGCCTGCAGGAGGGGACGACCCGTGCGGGACACAGATTTGTGAGTGCGACAAGGCCGCAGCAATCTGCTTCCGAGATAGTATGGACACATACGACTACAAATATTTGCGGGTCTCGCCCGAAAATTGCCAGGGGGAATCACAGCCATGCTAAGTCTCTGCAGGCCGGGAAAAACCCCTCAAATTACACAATCGTAGTTGTGTTACTCTATTATTCTGAATGCAATACTGAATAATAAACAGGTGCCAGCTTTGCACTCAATCGGCTTGCAGTCTCTCTTATTACGCATCTTTGTGCACAATGCGAACACAAGATACGAAACCTGCCTATCCGGCTGCCCAATCAAGATTTCCTGTTTCCCTGTTGTCAATTTGGGAACTTCAGAAAATTAACATTATAGTCCCCAAGGTTCTGAATAAAAGAATTAGAGAGGATTCCTTCCACTGAGCTACGATACAGAGTCAAGTTGAAAACCTGGGGACCGAAACAGAGACATGGAGAGTCTCTGCCCCAGAGCAACTTTTAAAAAGCCATTTAAGATTCTAGTCCTCATGGAACCCCTTTGCGCGACAAATCTTCTCTTCCACAAAACATTTTTGCAGCGGAGGGGAGGAAGACTTTACTAGAGGAGGCGAGGGCCCGATCCCTTTTCACACCACCGCCCAAAGAGTAGGAGTGGCTGATGGGCAGGGGTGTGAATCTCTGCGTCAGAAGAACTCTCCATTAAAAATTTTAATTAAAAAATTAAAAACTCTCCATTACTCTCCATTAAAAATTTTCCTGCCAGAGGCTCTGTTGACCCGAATTAGGAGACAGCATAGGAAGTATCAATTGTGAATATGTGCAGAGGGCCCCGCCGTCTTTGGGCCCTTGCAGAGTCATGGATGCAGGTCATGAAAGGACAGCAAGGAAAATAGCCCGTGTCCCAGCCCACCCGGGAACGTCCGATGTCTTTAGGGAAACCCCCCCAAAGGGAACCTTTTTTTTTAGCTACTTCTGCTTTCTCCCTTCTTAGCTACAGTTTGCCAGACTTACTTATTGGGTGAAATCTTGATCTTATGTGTGTCAGCTTTGCCGGGTGGATTGCTTATGTAATCAGAAAGAATAAATACAAGGATTTCTTGTCATTCGGGGCTTCTCTCTTTTAGAGGAGCCCATCTTTGTTCAACTGGATAAAAATGTAAAGCTTAAAGGCAACTTCTGGTTTCCTGTATGTTTTTATCAAGCAAAACCTCAGAAGCTGCACAGCATTTTTGGCAAGCCAGGCTTCCAGGAGAGGTGCTTGGTCCTAGGGAGGCTCAGGAAAGGGGAAGGCGCCAAGCGCGCTCCGGGATTTCCTGGAGGTGCCCCCTTTCTTGACTCTTCACTGTGGTTTTTAACAGGAACCCATTTTTTCTTCTTTTTGGTTGCCTTTTACTTCGTTCCTGCATGCTCAGGAGGGCTGAAGATAGCGTAAGATACAAAGATACACATTGCTTTCCTAGGGGATTGTGTTTGTGTGTGTGTGTGTGTGTGTATTTGTGTAAAAGTGTGCTTGTTTCCTTGAATCATTTCCCGCCATTGACCAAAGCTGGGCGGGTTTGCCTCAGATGCACCTAGACCCCTCCTCAAGTCTGGGAGGGCGTTTAGAAAGCAAGGCGAGTCTCACCTTGTACTCTCGTGCTCCAACGGGATGTGAGTGTTGAACTTGTGGTTGCTCTGAGGTTTGTGGTTGCTCCTTACATATATTTCCCGCTGTTGTATTCTGAGGTCCATTCTCAAAATAAGGAGGAATTTCCTGAGAACAATCAACCAGAGGAACGGCTTCCCTGCAGAAGTTGTGGCTGCTCCGACATTGGAGGTTTTCAGGAAGAGATTGGACCTCCCTTTGTGTGAAATGGTCTAAGGTCTCTTGCTTGAGAGAGGGTTGGACTAGGTCCCATCTGATTCTGTTGTTCTGTATTCTGTTCCTGCTCTGTTTTTTCCATTCGTATCTCCTTCTCTGGAGGAGAAAACTTTCCCAGGCAGCCCCGTCAGAGACAGGTCGGCTGTCCAGGTCCTCTCATGCCCTGCCTTTCCCCCCACAAGTGTTCCAAAGTTCCTTGCATCACAATCACGTTGCCTTCCAGAACAAAACTGCAGCAGTTCCCTCTAGGGGGGGAGAGTCACACAGCTTTGCTTTTGGACAACCCAATCTGTGGCTTCAAGCCTTGCCAGGGGTCCCATGGAGCCCCCCTGGAGCAGAGAAAAGAGCTGGGAGGTGACCACTGAGAGAGGACAGTTCCCCGTCATACCTGGACAAGGTTTATAGCCCAGCTGAGCCATTGCAGGGATAAACTTCCAAGCTCCACTTGTCCAACTTCTGCTTCCTGCCTCTCTTGGTGTGGGTTTCCCCTCCAGGCTCTTTTCCCAAGGTGAAGGGAGGGTAAGAAAAGGAGAAACCCCCTTTGAGAAAGTCCCTTTGTACTCTCCATCCATCAGCAGCTTCCTCCTTCCAGTGCCTGCTGAATTTTGCAGACTGCAAGGGTTTAAACTCAAACCTTTAAATGTTTAATCTAGCCCTCTCGGTTTCCAAAATGACGCGTGTCTTTGAGAGAGATTTTTCTCATGTTCTTTTTCTTCCCTGATTTGGGAAATGCAGCTCAGTTGCAATGAAGAAGTGAAATAAAAGAGAAAAAACAAAGGGGAAAATAGTATTTAAGCAGATCGCTACCCCCCAAAAAGAGTAAGAAAGATTAACCAGGAATGCCGAGAGGATAAAGATGATCAAGGATAATTAATGAAGGAGAGAAGCAACCTAGAAATAAGGAGAAATTTCCTGACAATGAGACCAATTGATCAGTGGAACAGTTTCCCTCCAGAAGTTGCGGGTGCTTCCATCACTGGAGGCTTTCAAGAAGAGACTGGACAGCCCTTTGTCCAGAATGGTGTAGGGTCTCCTTTTTGAGCAGGGGGTTGGACTAGAAGACCTCTGAAGTCCCTTTCAACTCTGTTATTCTGTTATGAGTTATCTGTAAAAATGATAAAGGCGACCGTCTGTTTCCCCTTCTTCTCCTCTCCAGGTACTTACAGAGATGAGGCTGTCTCACGTAGCCATGGTGTTGGGGGTGAGCAGTAAGTGCTGGTAGCTTCTGGAGTTTCTCATCATCCTCTTCATCATGGACACCCCCCTGAAAAGAGGAAGAACTGTGGAGATTCTCAGTCATCCAGGTCTTGGCTGTCCCAAGGGTGTTTTTTCAAAAGGAAGAAAGTCCAGTTGTCTTTTGAAAAAAAACACCTTGGGGACAAACTGTTTTCCCCTGACTCTCCCAGGCCTTTTCCTTTATTCTCCAGTGTTCACGTCCTTCTCCTTCTGTTTTAGTTTTCAGCCTTTTTTAGTTTGGAACTTCTGCCTGCGTTCAGCTCACCAAGGACAGCAAACTGCTTCTGTATCTGCCTTCCTTTTAAAAACAAAAGCAGAAGCGTTTATGTATTAAAACATGGGTTAGGATTAGACTGGCTGACTGGGACTTCTGGGAGTTGAAATCCACCCATGCTGGCTGGCATGACCTTTCTGGTGTCCTCTTGAGGACTAGCCTCTTTTCCCTCTCTTTGCAGTGTTTGCCCTCACCGCCAGCAGCCTCCTCAACTTCAAGCTGATGATCCAACGGATCACGCAGAAGAACGTGCTCGTGCATTTCAACGGCTACGGCTGCTACTGTGGGAAGGGCGGCCGAGGGAAGCCGAGGGACCCCACAGACATGTGAGTGCAGCCGCCAAGCATGGCTCCCCCTCCCCCCTGCCACCAACAGCCCCCCTGCCTCTTCCAGAGGTTGCAGGACACCCCTTCTGCGGCACCCAAACCCCCTCTGCGGCTCAAGATCTTGAAAGGATCTGAATAACAATTAAAACACATTTCAGGTTTAAAACACTAGGAGGAAAAAGGACTTCAAAAGAGTTTCTGTGCAGGAAGAAAACTTTTTGTGTCATTGTGTCTTCTCTCTCTCTCTCTCTCTCTCTCTCTCTCTCTCTCTCTCTCTCTCTCTCTCTCTCCCTCCCTCCCTCCCTCCCCAAAATCTGGCTTTTGCCCCCCCCCCCGGTCCAGGTGTTGCTATAACCACGACTGCTGCTATGAAAATTTGCACCACCAAAATTGTCACCCTTTCATCGACCACTACAGATACCTGATTATCAACAACAGCGTCCTCTGCAGTGAGTTCTCCCAGGTTTTGTGGTATTCATACCAACAAATCTAAAACAATTTTGCAGGGGGGAAAAGAGGGGAATGGTCTGAGCCGGGGGGCCCCTTTGTGCTGATTCTCTCTTCTCCGGCCCGCAGAGTACAAGAACAGATCAGTGTGTGCCACCTTGGCGTGCGAATGCGACAAGCATGCCAGTTTGTGCTTCAAAAGGGAAGCACCAACCTATAACCGCAAATTGCGACATTATCCCACTGTTTTGTGCAAAGAGTCAACTCCCAAGTGTTTTCCTGGGCCCGAGTTTTGAGGGGGGCTCTGAGCAACCTGCAGCTGCCAGATGGATGGCATTCAGCCTGGCCAGCATGCCTCCACCCCTCCGGGAGCCTGGGCATTTGTGTGTGTGTGTGTGTATAAATAGAGATTTGTGTTTGCGTTCTCCCAAACCTCAATCAAGGATTGGAAGCCGGTGTGTGTGTGTGTGTGTGTGTGTGTGTGTGAAAGGCATGTATAATAAACTTTTATTTTTCTTTTAAATTGTTCATGTGTCATTTGGGGAAGGAGTCTTCTAAGCTGAGTAAGAGAAAACTTGGCCAGAAATTTGGAGTGTGGAAAAATAGTATGATGGATCCTGCCGAGTCCGAAAAAAGTGGTTTAATTCAAATTGCATCATTTAAGAAGCTGAGCAACGCTATGCTTGGAAGGGTGTGCGTGTCCTAAATTTACACGGAGGAGAAGTCTGCACAATTCCTTCGAATTAAGCTCAGCTCCAAGGCATCATGTGGATCTCTTGGCAAGAGCCTGGAAAAGGTTTGCCCCTTTGCAGGATGTTTGTTTTTGTCCAACTTACAACCCTTAGATCACCTGGTGGCCTCCCATCCCAATGTTAATGAATTCCTACCCTAGTTAACTGCCCCCCTTGGGGCTTCCCTGCAAGGCTCAGGAACCGCTGACCTCCTTGGCCTCTGCCTTCCCCCATCCAGTGCCCTCCTCCTGGACTTCAGTTCCCATAGTCCCCTGCCCGCATGGCATCAGCCGGGGTTGGTGGGAATTGGATCGGGGAACATTAGGGAAGGGTGCTTTTTTACTCATGGACTTTTGTGCTGAGTTGCTCAGCGGAGCTTTCTGCTGCGGCTGCTGGATGTCCTGGGTGCGAAATATACAGGTGGGCCTTTATTTTGCCCTCCTCCAACTCGGATTTCAATCTGCATTAAAATGGAGATTTAAGGGTGGGGGTTGAAGATGCAAAAGGCTACAGATGCAACTGTGGGTGAGAGCAAAAAAAAAAAAAGACACCAGTCCTGCAAGGTAGGCCAGGAAAGCAGGAACCCCATCTAGAGGAAAGGAAAGGCCACTGTTAGCTTGCAGTGCAAAGGAGGAGGAAAAAGTAGCTGGGATGAAGCTCCAGGCCCTCATGTTCCCCTTAAAAACCTCAGAAAAATGAAAGTTACAACAGCATTGCAAGGTAGGCCATGCAGGTGGCAAAAACAGATTTAAAAGAAGCTTCTTCAGAGAAAGCAGAGTCACCTCTACACTTTTCCAAAGTCTACGGGCTCGCAGTGACCATATCTGATCTCAGACGTCCCACTTCCGGGTCCTTCTAGCCCTGTGTTTACATTCTCTATGGCAAAAGCCTTTAAGCGCGGCCTTTTGACGTCATCAAGCGCCGCTCCAACCCGGAAGTGGCCTGCGGAGCGCACGGACGCAGGTAATCGGCCTTCGCCGCGGATTGCTATGGAAACGGGGGTGCTCCCTCAGCGGGCCGTTGAGCCTCTTCTGGGGCTCCCCGAAAGTGTCTGGCGGGCGGGGAAGTGGCGGGACGCTTTGGGCGTCAGCCTGCAGAACTCCCTGCCATTGAAGCGGGCCCAAAGACTCGCAGACGGCTTTCATGGCTATGGCGGGACTAGAACTCACCGCCTCCTGGCTTTTAGTGCTGTTGTAACTTCGAGGACTACCTGTATACAGACAGTTTGAAGTAAAGTGGAAAGAAATAGAACAACATAGAATAAAGAAGAATAAAGTAAAATAATAATAATGAAAAATCACTAAAAGCAAAAATCATGTGTCTGCATAATCTCTGAAAAAAGCTGTGTTAGCCAAAAGCTGTATTAACAGTACGTGAATGACCTAATGCATATTTAGAAACATTGTATAAAAGTAAAAACTGCCTTCATTGTATTCCCATGAGAAATGGAGCTAACGTGTGAGAAACTATCTGAATGTTACACAAAGTAGATTCTATATACAATGTAAGATTCCATCTATGCCTCCTTTGTTCCTGAGAAAAAGAAACCTATAAAGCTTTAGTTTAGACCCTCCCCCTTGTTCAGAAATTTGTTGATTGTTAAATCACTTCTGAACCTTTTGCGCAAAAATAAAAATCTCTCTTTCACCCTCAGAATTTCGTAAAAGTCCTTATATTTTTTAAGGCTTTATTTTTCCACAAGAGAAGAGCGAGGAAAACCGAGCTGACCCATCTCTCTTTTCTTAGGACAGGGAAGCTGCAATCATGGACTCCGCCAGCCACCCTTCAATGGGTGAGGTTGTCCTAATGGCAACCAGTTCGGCTCTTACTGCCATCCTCTACGCCATCTACAGACACAAGTCAAAAGTTGCAGACAATCTGAAGGTGAGTGGCTATTTGGATCCTGGCTTAAGACACCTTTTTGAGATCCCTGTGCTTGTTTTTGTAACATCTGCCCTGCTGGCTTGACTCCCACTTTTCAGAGCAGCTACAGGAACTGTTTAAATGGAGATTTATAGGTAGGTTAACACTGCATATTCGGCAATCTTCAAAATATCAAGTCACCCAAGAGAAAAACAAAGTCATTTGAAGATTTTAAACACATGGAGGCAAGCCCAGAAAAGGCTCTCAGCAAAGCACAATCTGTGCCAATTTGGGGATGTCTGAAAACCTAGGTACTCTTCTCTGCCGTGGTTCAGAGGCTGCTGTTGTGACACGTGTTTTTCCTCCTTCCTTCCTCTAGGGTGCTAAAAAAGTCACTCTGGACCAGGATTTAAAGAGCCTGTTGATGGAAGCCCCCGGGAAGTGCGTCCCCTACGCGGTGATAGAAGGTATGCCCTTCCTGTGCGGTTTATCAAGGTAATCATGTATTTCCACTTTCAGAGTAGGCTCCTATTCTGCACCATCTTTCGTGAGGGTTCCCACTGTAAGCATTCTCCAAACAGGTCTACAGATGCTTAAGCACCGGGAAGGTTGCTGGCCATTCGCCCTCCTGGTTGCTCCTTCAGATGGAGGGGGGGAGGCTTCAACTTTTGGTGATCTCCTCAATATCCCTGGAAGCTGCTCCACCCATCCGGAGGGCTGTTGGACTGCTCTAAAAGACTAGTGTGCAATCCATCCATCCACCCATCTCCTTGCTGGCTTTTGCACAGTGAACGTCTCCCTCCTTCCGGTTATTGATCACTGCCTGGTCTCTCCTGCCCACTCAGGTATGGTGCACTCAGTCAAGGAAAGCCTCAGCAGTCAATTTGTGGACAGCTGCAAGGGGGTGGTCCAGAGGTTGACCCTTCAGGAGCACAAGATGGTGTGGAACCGGACCACCCACTTCTGGTAAGCCCACTCAAGCCTTATTTTGGAAATAGGAACTTGCTAGCGGGCGAGTAGTTGGATGAGTACCATAACATTAGTGTGATTGTTGTAGCCTATATAAAAGGAGAGAAGGGAGAGAAAAAAAGACACTCCACAAATTGTGCAGAGATGGTGTTTTTGATCCTGGATGAAACTTCCCCAGGAACAACTACGAAAAGATCATCCACCAGAGGACGAACACGGTTCCTTTCGATCTGGTGCCCCTGGGGAGTGAGGGCCCCCCTGACGTGGCCGTGAGGGTCCTAAAGCCCCTGACCGCTACAGAGCTCAGCCTGGAGACGGTCTACGAGAGATTCCACCCCTCGGTGCAGTCCTTCACTGACGTCATAGGCCACTACATCAGTGGAGAGCGGCCCAAAGGCATCAAGGAGACCGAGGAGATGCTGACCGTCGGGGCAGCCCTCACTGGCGTGGGCGAGCTGGTCCTGGACAATAGCACCATCAAGCTGCAGCCCCCCAAGCAGGGCCTGCGCTACTACCTCAGCAGCCTGGGCTTCCAGACGCTGCTGCAGCGGCAGGAGTCAAGCGTCCGGTTCTGGAAGGTCCTGACGACCCTTTGCGGGCTGGCCAGCTGCGCCATCCTCCTCTTTGTTCTGCACAAACAGTACCGGCGGCACCGGGAGAAGCGACGGATGCGTCAGATGCTGGAGGATCTCTCCGCCGGAGGGGACGCCGCCACCACCTGCGTGGTCTGCCTGAGCAACAGCCGCGCCTGCGTTTTCCTTGAGTGTGGCCATGTGTGTTCCTGTCGGAAGTGTTATGAGGCCCTGCCCAGCCCTCCTCACTGTCCCATCTGCAGGCAGCTCATCGCCAGGATGGTGCCTTTGTACAACAGCTGAGGGGTGATGCGCTCTCTCTCTCTCTCTCTCTCTCTCTCTCTCTCTCCCTCCCTCCCTCCCTCCCTCCCTCCCTCCTTTAGGAACTGTTTTGAACATTGTTGCATTATTGGGAGTGGGTTTCATGAGTAGATGGGGGCTTAGCTCTAGCTCTTTGCACAGACCGACAAAGCCAAGCGATGCTGCTCTGGAATTGAAGTGCCGGCTGTGGCTTTGGTAAAAATGCCAAAATGAAGGTTCTCCTCTTATTTGTGTGTGTAAATGAATCATCTTTAGGTGTTGCCTGTTGGAGAACTCCCAGGATCATGTTTCTAGAGCTGTGTGGGGTTCACACTTTTTTGATTTATGAACGCTTTGGCCCTGAATTTTTACCCCGATTTCCCTGCTGACTCAGTTCCCAGAATAAAATGGGGCTGCACTGCCCTTGTTTCAAGTGCAACTTTGGCTGTTTTTATCTCCAAAGGATCATAACGAGTGTCAGGAAAGAGATGGAAGGATTTTTTTTTCCAGTTTTTAAGGAGGCGAGAACCATTGTTGTGTGGGAAGTTCCCGGATAGCCAGGCAAGGCTTCCTTGGAGTGTCAAACCTTGAGAGAACAAGTCGTCCTGGAACGGAATGTCTTTCCAATGGCCTAAATACCTAACTTGGGTAGCCCAAGCACACAATCACACACAGAGGCATGTGCGCACACAACAGGCACCACAGGAGGCAGAAAAGAAGGAAAATAAATTTGGTTTAACGCTCTCTGAATGTGCCTCCCGCCTCCTCAACGTTTCACCCTTTTTGCAAAACTAAAAACTCTTAATTTGGTTGCAGTTTCTGAACGGGCCGGTTGTCTCCTGTGCAGAACGGGGGTGGAGACTGAGATTCTCTGCTTTTTGATCGGAGGCCCGCTCCCGGTCTCCTCTGGGGACCGTTAGGGGGCAGCCTCGTTCTTCTGGTCTCCTCTGCTGCTCGGCACGCCAGTGTCCCTTGGGGCAGCATTTGAGGGGCTGCACAAAGAAGAGGGGGGTCAAAGTATTCTCCAAAGCTCCAGAGGGAAGGACAAGAAACAATGGTTGGAAACTGATCAAAGAGAGAAACGACCGGGAGTTAAGGAGAAACTTCCTGACAGAACAATCAACCAGTGAAACAACTTGCCACCAGAAATCGTGGACGCTCCATCACTGGAGATTTTCAAGAAGAGACTAGACATTCACCTGTCTGAGACGGTATAGGTTCTCCTGCTTGAGCAGGGGGCTGGACTAGAAGACCTCCAAGGTCCCGTCCAGCTCTATTCTATTCTAAAGCGGCCAGGACGCTGACCGGCCAGCTCCATTTCTCTGCCCGCCCCACCCAGGGCATGGCATCTGTTTCCTTGGTGCACCTGCACACGGCCAGTGGAGGTCCCGGCTGCCTCCAGCTGACCAGCCGGGACCCATACCCAAGAATTGGATACGCCTAGTTTCACGAAGAGAAGGAGTAGGGGGGACACGATAGCAGTTTTCCAACATTTCAGGGGCTGCCACAAAGGGTGGATCCCCCTGTTCTCCAAAGCGCCGGAGGGCAGGACAAGAAGCAACGAGTGGAAATTCATCAAGGAGAGAAGCAACCTGGAACTAAGGAGAAATTTCCTGACAGAACAATTAACAACTAACCAGAAGTTGTAGGTGCTCCATCACTGAAAGAAACGGGACAGCTTCCCGTGATGCAATACCCACAACTTCTAGAGGCAAGCTGTTCTGAAACGATCTAGGGTCTCCTGCTTGAGCAGAAGGTTGGACTAGAAGACCTCCAGGGTCCCTTTGCAACCTTCTGACCAGCAAAGTCAATGGAGAAGCCAGATTCACTTAACGACCAGGCGACTAACTTAACCAGAGAGATTCACTGTGGCAAGAAAGGTAATAAAATGAGGCAAAAGTCAGTTAACTGTCTTGCTTAGAAGTGGAAATGTTGGACTCCGCTGTGGTCCTAAGTCGAGGACCACCCTGAGCTTCGTTTTATGGCAAGCCCTCCCGGAAACCTGGGCTCAAAGACAGGAGTTGCGGGCAAACCTTGACATTAAAACTAAGAGAAACCAGGCAGGAGGGTCCGTCCGCCCGTCTCTCTCTGTGCGTGTGCGCGCGCGCGTGTGTGCGCGCCTGCCACTTGCCTCCGAGCCTGGCTCCGCCGTTCGTCGCACTTTTTTCTTTCTTTCTTTCTCGATTCGGATTCGGGGAAGGAGCGAGGGAAGGAAAGGAGGGCGCCTCCGCCGCCACCCGCGCGTCTCCGCCCGGCGCCCGCGGGGACAGAGCCTCCTCGCGTGGGAAGGGCTCCGGGGGGCGCCGCTCAGCCGCGGGCGCCCCTGCCCGGCTGCTTCGCTCGCTCGCTCGGCCGGGGGCAGCTCCGCTCCTCCCGGGCAGCCGCGATGTCGGAGGTGCGGCTGAACCCCCGCGGGGAGTCGGGCGAGGGGGCGCCGCTGGCCTTCGCCTGCCGCCTGCAGGAGACCAGCAGCTTCGGGGCGGGGGGCGCCGGCAAGCGAGCCCCCAAGCTGGCCCAGATCGGCCGCAGCAAGTGCGGTAAGAGCGGCGTGGAGAGGGGCGGGGGGGGGCCAGGAGCCCCTCTGCAACTTTGCCAGCAGGGAGGGGGGGCTTGAAGCGTTGACTTTCCCCCTGGGGGGCTCCTGCCCCGAATTGCCCCCCTCCCGCCCAACCCCACCTGGGCGATGCGTCCCGCGAACGGAAAGCCCATCATCCCCTCCTCCTCGGGTGGGGGGCGTCCAAGCGGGGGCTCAGCCTAGCGTTAAGGAGGACCGATGGTGGCTGCAGAAGACCTGTGGAGGACAGTTTCCGAGGGGGGGGGGCAGAGGGGTAGAAGTCAGGATGGAGCAGAGCGGCTCCACCACTCCCAAGGTGGGACCAGAGCGATCACAAACTTTGGAGCCGGTGTGTGAGGGGAGGGAGGAACGCAACAACACAAAGGGTTTGGGCTGCTCCATTTGTGGCCATCTGGTGATCCGGGAGAGACACCAAATTGGGAGGTTGACCAGAAGGACCAAGGCCGGTTCAAAAACAGTGGCAGCCTTTGAGACCAAATTTTGTGTTAGTAAACAACAACAAAAGTGTGTGTGTGTGTGTGTGTGTGTGTCTAGTCTATCCATTTTCTATCCATTTTCACAAGTCTCGCCTTTAATTAAGGGCTACACCAGCATCCTTCTCATTGTGGTTTTAGAAAACTCTTCTGGTGCCACTAAGTCGGTTTTATGATCCTGCTTGTTGTGTCTCTCTCCGTGTGTGTTTTCATTTTTGTTGACCTTGAAAATGCTTGTTTAAGAATCTGAAATCTATCAAATTCTTGACTGTGTCTTAATCTACCTCTCCAAATAGCATCAAACTCACCTGGTTTGGTACCAAAACCAATGTTTCCTGAGTAACAGGATTGTGTTGTGTGCCAGGTAGGCCTGTGTGTGTGTGTGAGAGAGAGAGAGAGAGTGAGTGAAAACCTCATGCCATGTGTGCATGTTTGTGAAGAATTTCACCGCCTTCTGTGTTACAGAGAAAATGAGTGTTTGACTTATAGCAGACACCCCGTTTGACTGGATTCCCACAACACAAAACACACAGCTTCCCCTGGGTGGCTGTTTGTGGTAGAACCCAAACCCACCCTCACGGATTGGGAGAACCGACCTGTCTTGTGAAACTATGTTTTCTTACCTTGCCTGAACGGTGAACCCCGGATGTAAATACAGGTGATCCTCGAATTACAGCTGTCCTTAAACATGGCGGTTGCAAAGCGAATGCCACTTAAAATAACAAATATAAAATAAAATAAAAAATAAACGAAAAGGCAACAATCACGAGGTTTACTCATCTTTCTTTCTCCTTTCCTTTTTTCCCTTTCTGCTTCCAGTCGTTATTGAGGATGATCGAATTGACGACGTGCTGAAAAACATTTCAGAAAAGCCACCTCCACGGGTCTAAAAATATTTGTATGTACATATATATATTCATGCCTCGCCAGAGACACTGAGTTAAAAAAATGAGGGGCACAAAATAATTCACCTTTCAGCAGAGGAATGGGAAAAATTATTCATTTTTTTTTTACAAAAAATGAAGAGAGGAAGAACTTTTTTGGGCACAAAAAGAGGCAAAAAGTGATGGCAGTTTTTGAAGTCCTTCAGTTGGGATCCAATTCGAGATGCCTTTTAAAGAGCCGCTGAGAGGCTGAACGGAAGCCTTTTATTCCTCCCCCCCCCTTCCAGAAAGTATAGTTTTCTAAGTTGGACTTTTAAAGTCTTCTGAAAAGAGAAATAATTGGGGTGGAGGGCAGAGAGTGTCTGGGAGTTCTTGTTTACATGATGACACCTTGCAAAAATATTCCAGCAGCTTGCATGTAACATGGTCTGTACTTTCTATTTTTAAAATATATATATATATCTTGGATTTTGCGAAGGTAAAAGAGGGACACACACACACACACACATAAACACACCGTATTTGATTCTGGTTGCCTTTTGAAGTCTCTGGAATGTAAGGAACTTTTTTAAGGGAAAGTTTGAAGCAGGAAGAAGGTTATCTTTATTTCCCCAAAACTGGTATTTGACATTTGCGGCAATGCTCAGTCACTCAGGTGCAAATAGAGGTGTAATTTCATGAGGAAAAAGGAAGGAATGTTTTTTAAAAGTACTTGCCATGCTTTTTTACATGTTTCCTAGCAAATGAAAGCTTGTGTTGAACAATCTTTGCTTTTTAAAAATACCTTACTGTAAAGTCAATTCTCTTTGTTACTGTGCAATTAAATGAACAAATGAAATGTGCATACACATATACCATAATCCTGTCAGAAGAGTGCCAAATATTTTCCAAAATACAAAATACTTACTTTTCTGTTTTCTCTGTAGGGATTTCGTGTCTATGCGAAGTTGCTTTTTTGTACTTAAGTAATTCTTGCCTCTCTGAGGACTTTTTCTATGGACCTGGTTGATCAGTGCATAAAGAATTATTTCTTGATGCCGACTTTTGCTTTGGTTTGGTTTACTTCTTTTTTTTTTTTTACTGATTCAAGTCTGACTGTTTTAAAAACAATTGCATGACATGCAAAGAATTACAAAGGGCTGCCTTGCTTTCAGATTGTTTATCATTCTCTTTGGCTGAATTTTGCAACAATGTCCTAAAAGGCTGTTTGCTTCTTTTTCTACACACTATGTGTATCTTGCACAAGAATGTTTCTGCAATGGATAATAAATTATTGTGACTAATCGGTGGTTTCTGATTGTGTTCCTCGTACACCCCGCCTCTGTTTAGCCTTACCTGGACAGCAAGGAGCCCACAGCGTTTTTTGCCATGGGTGTTAAATAAATCACTGCAGTTCTTAATGAACCACACGGTCCTTAAATGCATCTCTCAGGATATTTCTCCTTAGTTCCAGGTTGGTTCTCTCCTTGATTATTTCCCATCCATTGTTTCTTGTCCTGCCCTCTGATGCCTTGGGGAATAGTGGAACCCCCCCCTTCTCCATGGCAGCACATCAGATATTGGAAGATGCTACCATGTCTCCCCTAGTCTTTCTCTTCAGATGGAAACTAACCAAGGAGAGAAGTAACCTGGAACTAAGGAGGATTTTCCTGAAAGTGAGAACAATTAACCAGTGGAACGGCTTGCCACCAGAAACTGTGGGTGCTCCATCACTGGAGATTTTTAAGAAGAGACTGGCCAGCCATTTGTTTTAAGGGTTTCCTGCTTGAGCAGGAGGTTGGACTAGAAGACCTCCAAGGTCCCTTCCAGCTGTGTTGTTCTTTTATTCTGCATTCCAGCCAGCCATTAAGCATTGCAAGGAAGCTGGTCTTGAGTACGCCATCATTATTCATTAACAGCTTTTTCAGTAGCTCCCTCATAAGACATGGATCACTGAGCTTCTGATGGCTGCTCTGCTTCTCCCAAACCGCATCCTGATTTCTCCGGCAGCTTTTGAAAGGGCCTAAAGCTCCCTTCTCATTTGCCTGGCGATGCGCATTGAAGCTTTCTATTATTCATGTGGGGTTACGCAACCTGAGACCACCAGGGTACAAACGGCCTCTCAATGTGTCTTTGTGAATGCCGGACGGAGACCAGGCATGCTCCGGCTTGTGAGCGTTGTATCGTCGCAAAGGCAGAACAAGGCTTATCCAGTTCTCCAGCGAAAGAGCAAAGAGAGGGTCCTGCTGGAAAAACCTAAGGGGGACACGATAGCAGTGTTCCAATCTCTCAGGGGCTGCCCCAAAGAAGAGGGAGTCAAGCTATTCTCCAAAGCGCCTGAAGGCAGAACAAGAAACAATAGATGGAAACTAATCAAGGAGAGAAGCAACCTGGAATTAAGGAGGAATTTCCTGACAATGAGGACAATCAACCAGTGGAACTGGAGCTCTATCCCTGGATGCTTGTAAGAAGAGACTGGACAGCCATTTTTCTAGAGTAGTATAGAGTCTCCTGCTTGAGCAGGGGGTTGGACTAGGAGACCTCTGAGGTCCCTTCCAACTCTGTTATTCTGTTTTCGGATCTTAAGGACCTCAATGTTGTGAGAAGAAAATGGACCACTTTTGGGCAGCCACAAAACGGTTTTCAAAATTTGAGGGCCTCCGGGGAACCCCGTCACAAAGCCGGCACCGTCAGAAAAGGCCGCTTCTTTGTGAACTGGGGCTTCTGTCTTCCAAAGGCCCTCCTGCTCGGAAGGTCAGAGAACGGCAGCCGGGCAGAGAAGCGGGCGATGGAAAAAGAAAAAGAAAGAAATGACATTGTGGTCCTGGAGACTCGGGTTGGATGCTCAGTTGCTATAGCAACCGCATCCCCAAGCCCTGGGCTTGCCTGTTTTGATGGGCAGCTGCTAGGCAAAACATAGAATCACAGGGCTGGGATGGACCTCGGAGGTCTTCTAGTCCAACCTCCTGCCCAGGCCAGGAGACCTTAATACCATCTCAAATGGTGGTCCAGTCTCTTCTTCAAAGCCTCCGGGGATGGGGCACACTGCAGGTCCACTGAAATTCTTCTCCAGCTTCCTTTTCACTCAAGCCTGCAGCAATTCACGACCGAAGAGAGAAGGAAAGACCTAAATCAAGTTTTTTTTCCTTTGTTGTCTCAATTCCATCCGTTCTGCTGCACCACTCGGCAGTAAGAGACGGGGTCTGCTCAGATAGAAGCCCCTAAAAGCTGCTCAGTGAGGCAACTTGATGGACCAAGAACATCCCCTTTGGCTCCTAGAGGTGGTCTCCAAGACCATCAGCCTAGGAAGGCTGGATTTCAGTCGTGAAATTTGGAATTCCTGGACAGAATTTTGCACGCTCTGAACATGCAGATCTTCCACTCTGATTTTAGAGGATCTTTACTATGCTATGTGAGAAAGACCCTGAGATACAGGGTGGATATATATGGGAATAAAGATAATTGGTCCGAATTTGAAACTGACTCCACCGCTGAAAGCTTTTTTGAGTGCCAAATGAGCCACATCGGACTTGTAGCTTCTCAAGAGCCTGAGATACGCAGCGAACTTTCCACACAGCTCAACACCTGCCCCCCCCCCAACACAGAAATAACTTGGATTAACTTCTTAAACACCAATTGCACTTGCAGGTTGTCATGGAAACACGGGCATCTCTGTTGTGTGATGGGAACTTGGGGGGAAACCAACCAGAATTTAGGAAATCAGATTGCATTGTTCCTCACAGACCAGGTCTTCTGCACAATTGTTGTGACCTCAGAAAATTTCCCACCAGGGTTGTACATCCTTAAGGGACCAATTCAAAAATCCACGAAGGATCTGGGTGTGGGATGGCTGCAGGAAGCTTTGGGAAGTTCCCCAAATAAAGAAGGTTCAAGGTTGATCCCTGGGGAAAGGGCCAAGGGCCCTTGGTGGTGCAAGCCCTGGGTCAAATTGAATCCAATCAAATATTTATTACAATCACAGACCAGCATACAAAAGTCTGAAGGCAATTTCATGGGATCCTAATTTTGAGAAGTTCTCTGAAATTCTGCCCCCATCTCTTCTCTCTCTCTCTTTGTTTGCCAATGTTTAACAACTTTATTTATTGATTGGGGATTTATTGGTATTGGTATTGGGGTTTTATTTCTGCAAGGCGGGACTTGGACAGCCATAAAATTTTTCTAAATGAATAAAAACTTTAAAAAGCAGCTGCAAAAAAGAGTATCCTGATGCCTTTTTTAAAAACTGCCTTGAGATTTTGTGTCTGTGTGTGGTGGGGGAGAGTATTTTGTTGACATGTGGCATGTGGATCTCCTACTTATTATTAAAACCTTCCAAAGAAATCTCATCCAAAGGAAACTTATTTTGTTTTGCTTAATTTTGGCAAGGCGCAACGGGTTGATGAGGAAGTTCAGAAGAGGCTGGACAGCTCTTCATTTTTTCTTCTCTTTCCCCACAGTCTATCTTGGTCTGATTAAAAGGCCTTTGGGAGAGACCTGGTCTATTGTTGTGTCCACTCCCAACCAGGGCTTGTTCTGCTCCAGTTTCAGCCAGTGTGCAGCTCTTGTGAAAGCCAAAGAAAGGAGCCGAGAAGTTACCCAGATGGGTTGAAAACAGGTCAGTGTGTTGTTTTGCAAAGTGGGGTCTCTTAAGCATGTTCCTTGCACAGTGTGAACGTACACACACACAAACACACACATACACACACACACACAAAACACATGGAAAACAAAGATAAACAGGTTAATTATTCACAAGTGCTCTCTCCGAACTGATTTTTCTCACTCAGATGTAGCGAAGCCTGAAATATATACATAAATATTCATATATTTTCATAAGCAATTCCCCCCTCCCCTGCCCAAGGAGGACATGTTAAACCAGGTCAGCATTTTACCGTGAAATAGTTATGAAACCAGGAGGGGGAACTGAGGCAGGGGAAGAGAGAGGGGTTATTATTTGCAAAATGCATGTTTCCCCTCCCCCCACGAGCAAACATTCAAGATCCAGACAGGCAAAATTGAGATTTGTGTGCATAAAGCTGTGGTGTGCTTAAGCGCAGTTCGCTAAATAAACCACCATTGAATGGATTCACACAACACATTCCACCACAAGCCTTGGTTTGTTTATTTAGCACAAGTATATTTATTAAATTTATTTACCATTTATCTCGCTGTCAAGCAATTCTGGGTGGCTTACAAAGTCATCCATCTTACATAAACGGTGCACAACGTTTAAATAAAATATTTTAAAACGAACCTTATTAAAAAATATTAAAATCTAGTGCTTGTGCCTAGATTAATTTCATTCCAGCTACATGCAGGTTACTGTGTTTTCTCTGGATCAGCTCTTCACTAGCTGCACCCGCTTTCGGGTCTGGATTTCTTTTCCTTTCTACTTTGGCTCTCCGTACGGTCTAGAAAGGCTGGTGGTTCCCCCCCCCCCTTCGCTTTAAAGCGCCGGCCAAGTCGGAGGGTGCCGTGTAAACATTCATTAAATTGATTGAAGGGCCGAGGCAGATGGAAAGTTAAAAAAAGATGAACAGGGGAATTTTAATAACGCAGGCAGTGATTACAGCAGGAAGAGCCTCTGTGGATCTGATGGGGAGGGGAGGGGAGGAAAAGAGGCTGTGGGTGAAAAAAATTACGATTAAGAAACCCACGGATGCCTTTTCCCTTCAGGCAGTTTGCGCCCGGAGGCTGGGATCAGGAAGCACTCGGAGGGGAAAGTAAAATTTTAACAACTGTGAAGATTCATTTAACGACCACAGCAAAAATGAGTGGGAAATCAGGTCAGTCGCAGGTGACCCATTTTACGGCCATTATGATTGTACAGGTAGTCCTCGGCTTTCAACTATAACTGAGTCCAAAATTTATGTTGCTAAACAAGACATTCATTAAGTGAGTTTTGCCCCCCTTTTTAGGAGCTTCTTTGCGACCGTTAAATGAATCACTGCAGTTGGTTAAATTAGTAATACAATTGCTAAGTGAATCTGGCTTCTTCTCCATTGGCTTTGCTGGTCAAAAGGTCACAAAAAGGGACGCTGCAACCGTCATAAGTATGAGTCAGTTGCTAATTGTCTGAATTTTGATCACGTAACCAAAAGGGGATGTTGCGATGGTCGTGAGAGTGAAAAACGGTCATAAGTCACTTTTGTCAGTGCTGTTGTAACTTTGAACGCTTACTAAATGAGCTGTTGTTAAGTTGTGGACGGGTCACTCATGTGACCGACCTGATTTTACAACCTTTTTTGCAGTGGTCATTAAACAAATATTTTGCAATTGTTACAGTTTTCCACCGTGATGGCAGGCTCCACTACGGCCGTAAATCGTAAGTTCCTTGACCCACACACAGCTGGGCTGTGCTTGTGCTCTTTGTGCAAAGGCTAGCAACACAAGGCTCCTCGTCTTACACACACAGACGCACACGCGGGCTCTGATGTGGTGAGTTATTTTCTTTCTTTCAGTGCCATTATTTCTGCCTCCACTGGTTGTTTCTTTTAAACACACGCCCGTGCCTCAGTTGCCCACCGCCCATCCCACTCACCATCTGCAGCCTCGCTGTCACGTCGGTTGCTTCTCCCTTGGGGCAGCGCGTCTGCGGGGGGGGGGCTGCTGAACCCCACTCCCCCGCCCATATGCCTGCCACAAAGGTCCCTTGCCCCAAGGCAGGAGCGCTGAGGACCCCATCAATCATCCTCCGATTCAGCTGCCAGGCGGAGCACAGCAGTGTGTCCGAGTGTCGGTGTGCACAGAGAAGAGCTGCATTGGGTAACTGGATCGTGGTTAGGATTGCTGAATGTTCTCTAATGTTGGTGAGGAATGCCATCATGCAAATTTAGGACAAGTTTCTAGCTCTTAGTGTTGGCAGAAGAGAAGGTTTCCTAAGGGAAGTGGAGGATGAGAGAGTGCCTAAATTTTTTCCCGGCTGTTTGGAGATTCTGCACAAAGCTGTTTTTTTCAAGCTGGCTTTGAAGATGGAAAAAAAGTCGTCGTCCTCCTCCTCCTCTTCCTCCTCTTCCTCCTCCTCCTTGTATATCCTACTTCCTTCCTGCACTGATGATGTTGCCTAGTTAGGTCAAGAAACATCTGCAAGAAAACCGCCCAGCTCAGAGAGCACCAAGGACCCCTGAGTTCTTTCTCTTTCTCCTCCCTTTTTTTCCTTGTATTTTTCCCAAAAGGTTACACATTTTTTTCACGGGATTTGTCATCAAGGTGTTCACTGGAGGGAAAACGTTTCCCTAATAGACCTGTTTACATTGACAAACCGCCCCTGCAAGATTCAGAGCACCGGGAATGTCAGGGAGAACTCCCAGAGGTGCTTTTTCCAAAAGGGGTTTTTTTCCTTGAAAACATTTCGCTCCTCAAGCCGAGAAGCTTCTTCCGTTCTGGCTGAAGGGAAGGATTCTTCCATTCCCTGCCCTTCACCCAGAACTGAGAAGCTTCTCTGATGGGAGATGATGGGAGATGAAAGATTAGGGGACTGGAGGCTAAAACATATAAGGAACGGTTGCGAGAATTGGGTATGTCTAGTTTAACGAAGAGAAGGACAAGGGGGGACATGATAGCAGTATTCCAATATCTCAGGGGCTGCCATAAAGAAGAGGGAATTAAGCTATTTTCCAAAGCACCTGAAGGCAGGACAAGAAGCAACGGGTGGAAACTAATCAAGGAGAGAAGCAACCTAGAACTAAGGAGAAACTTCCTGACAGTTAGAACAATTAATCAGTGGAACAGCTTGCCTCCAGAAGCAGTAAATGCTCAAACACTGGAAGTTTTTAAGAAGAGACTGGACAGCCATTTGTCCGAAATGGTTTAGGGTTTCCTGCCCGAGCAGGGGGTTGGACTAGATGACCTCCAAGGTCCCTTCCAACTTTACTACTATTACTATTACTATTTTCAAAGGAAAAACAGCAACCAAGACAGTCCAGTTGCCCTTTGGGAAAAGCACCTGTGGGACTGGGTGATTCAAAACCTCATGTTGATTGTGGATGGGGGGGGGGAGGGAGGGAGAGGAGTAAAGTGTACAGCATCCTTGGCTCAGCGCAGAGCTCCTCTCTCGTTTCCTGAGCAACAGAAAAGGAACCCCCCCAAGCAATTTGGAGCCCAGCAGTGCCCCCTGGTGGCTTTACCAGGAATGGAGAGAGAGAGAGAGAGAGAGAGAGAGAGAGAGAGAGAGAGAGAGAGAAAGAGAGAGAGTGTGGCGCCTACAAGAAAATGCATCTTCAACCCCTTGTTTTGTGGGGTGAAAAGGAAACCCACAAGGTGATTCAGATGAGACGCAAGCAGGAACCGCAGCACAAAAAATTGCCAAATAAGCTTGAAGGGGCCTTGGAGGTCTTCCAGTCCAACCCCCTGCCCAACAGGAGACCCTACACCATTCTGAACAAATGGCTGCCCAGACTAACCCCCCTTTCAATGCTTTTTCTTGGGAGTATTTGGGGGCTTAACAAACTCACATACACACTCTTTTTCAATAGTTCTCGGTTTATTAAGCCACTGAAGCAGCCACAAATGAAAAAAAAAATAGTTAAGAAACCAACAAAGAGACAAAAAAAAAAAAAAAGTGAAACTGAAGAAAATCCTCGCTGCTAACTTTGTTAGAATTGTATGCAGGGCGAGGTGTCCTTCCTTCACATCAGATGTTGCCCTTTTTCCGATGCCCACACGGGGCACGACTGAAACTAGCGATCAAAACATCGACGGAGGAACCTCTCTAGCAATTGGTCATGCTTTTTTCTTTTTCCTTTACAATCTTGCAGAAGAAATAAAGTGTGAGAGAGAAAAGAGCCGTAATAACGTTGAATTGGCAAGCAGATGCTGTGGTTAAGATTCAGGTAACATCCCAGAATAACAGAATAGCAGAGTTGGAAGGGACCTCCGAGGTCTTCTAGTCCAACCCCCTGCTCAAGCAGGAGACCCTATACTATTCCAGACGAATGGCTGTCCAATCTCTTCTTAAAAACCTTCACTGATGGAGCACCCACCACTTCTGCGAGCAGATTCTTCCATTGCTTTATACTTTCCACAACCAACAAATTTGTCCTTATTTTGAGTATGGATCTTAGGATATAGAAGACAGAATAACAGAGTTGGAAGGGACCTTGAGGATCCTCTAGTCCGCCCACTGCTTGGCCGTCCCAAGAGCCTGACCCAAAGGTAGGCTCTGCATGCCCCCCTGGTCTTTCTATGCCTCCCCCTTGCCACTTGGGCTCCCCAGACTCAGCTGTCTGCCCATCGCCCAACCCCATGGATCGTCTCCTGTCCCAGCTCCGGGACCCTCCTGGCTTCGGAGAAACTTTTTCCTGAAAACCTGAAGTCTAGCCTGGAGGGGTCCAGAGGGCGGAGGGGGCACTTTTCTGGTGATCTTCCTCCCAGTGAAGCACAGCCACAATCCCCACCTCAGGGAACACAACCACTGCGGGGGCTTTGCATGCTCAGAAGCACAATACAAAATGACGCAGAAGGTCGACACTTGAACAGCAGGACCAGAGAAAGACTCGGGGACGAGGCTGGTATCAGAGACCCCTGCCAACCTTCCCCAGCCAGGGTCCTCCGGATGCGTCAGATGCCAGCTCTATGCGACGCGGCTGGAGAAAGATGGGAGATGGAGTTCACTGGGATCCAGAGGCGCCCCTGGCATCAACCGGACGGCCACCAGCCTGGCTGGAACTGGGTGGAGCTGGGGCCCAGGCCAGCTTCAGGCCTTCCTACCTCTGCTCACCCTCTTCCTAGACATCCTTCGGGTTGTAACACAACAAGTTGAACTGCAGATTTTTGTTCCAGTGCCGGAGCAGCACAAACAGCTGTTGAGCAGCTGTTTTGAGGGCCAGCAGGTTTCGCCCTTCTGGGATGTCTTGCTCACTGAGCCATCGGCTGGCCTTGGCGGCCACCAGCTCCCACTCAATGAAGTAGGAGGCCGAGCTGTGCTCCAGCCACGCCAAGGCTACCGCCGTGGCCCAGAGCATCCCCTCTGGATCGGCCTGCTGCTGGAGGCCAACATCGAAGAGCCACGCCTGGAGCTCGGAGGTTTCCGTCTCTGAGCCTCGGCTGCTGTCGGGCGGGGACGGGCCGCTCTCTGGGGTGGAGAAGCTCTGGATGGTGATGGAGGGAGGGGACAGGCTGCCCTCGGCCTTGGGGACTCGGGAGGAGCTTTCTGCTGGGCCTCCAGAAGGATGTCCCTGCAGGGCAGCCTTCTTCTCAGCCTCTTCGTGGATATGTCTCTCTGGAACATCAGCCACACTTGTGCCCTTGGCTTCTCCTGGACCTTCCACTTTCCTGGAGCTGGTGGAAGGACTGAGGTCCATGCGGTGGCAAGCAAACGGCGAGGTCCACCTGAGCTTCTCCAGGGGGATGTTGATGGCCTCAGAGAAGGCCTTGTTCAAGAGGAAGGAGCCAGAGGCCAGCTGGAGAGACACCTGAGGAGAAAGGCGGAGGAAAGAACCTCAAAGAAAGTGTTCTTTCGTCTCTTAGATGCTATGAACTTCTCACAAGCACAGGGCAGAAAAAGCTGAGAAGTGGTTCCTTAAGTCCAGCTCCATGTTGGTAGCCAGGTTTTCCCCAGCAAGCCCAGCTAGAAGATCTCAAAGCATTCATCTGTTGCTCTAGTTCTCTCCTCACGTCCAGCAGGAACATCAGAATCGGGGACATGGGGAAGCTATCTTTGGAGACACATCTGAGATTTGGAGAAGGGTATGGATTCTCTTCTGAAAGGACTCTCCTGGCGACCAAGGCCAGCCCCCAACAGCAGAAGTTCAAAGGCCAATTAAGGTTGCTCAGTCCCCAAACATAGACCTGATGAGAACCAGGTTTCTGAAAACTAGGATGGAAGTTTGGCTAAAAACACACAGCCCAGCATTGGGCATCAGGCTTTGGATAAGACTGATTTAAGGTGTGAAATGCTGTATCCAGTTTGAACCTGGTTTGTAGCCTGTTTTGATTCAGACCCAGTTCTTGGGAATGCAACAGAAATAAATTTGCGTGAATTTTTCCCTCCCACTTCCTGTTTCGTTAGAGAGACAGAGAGTTTGGGAGAAAGGAAGATCTCTTTCAACTTCCTCAAAACTAAATTTCTCGGGCAGTCCCGTGCCCCCCCCCCCCTCAGCCTGCTCACCAGTGGCAGATAATCAACACTGTCATTGTCATTTTCCGAACTGAGCTCGTTGCTCTTTGCGGGGAGTTTTCCCATGAAGCCCCGGGCAGCCTTGGTCAGCAGCCTGGTTTTGTTAAACGTCAGCCTGGATGAAGAAGAAACCAAGCCAGAAAATAAACAATTACACAGCGAGTCCCATTTCTCCCCTGTGGTGTTTTGGTTTTTTTTAAATCAAAACGTCCCTCATTCTAACCAAACGAAACTCAAATGCTCTGAATGTAATCAATATGGGAAATGTAATCTTTAGACAATTCGGAGAGGGCATAAACCCTACGTCGCTAGATCACTAGTAACTCTTAATACCAAATTTTAAGAAGAATTCCTGACAGTTTTTCTGAAAGTTTACATAGTATTTTCCCCTGTTCTTATATAGAGTTTGCAAACAGTGAGTAAGGAGCAACCACTTTCAGAGAGAGTCGGGGAGAAAAAGCAAATTTTACCTGGCGCCAAAGAAGTTTTCAATGGACTTTTGAGAGGAAACCGATGGGCTGCGTAGTGACCCTGTAAAGAGAGAGGTGAATGCTAGCAATGATGTAGGGTATGAATTAGAGCAGGGGTCTCCAAACATGGCAACTTTTAAGACGTGTGGACTTCAATTCCCAGAATTTCTCAGTCAATCTTGGGAGTTGAGGTCCAAAGTCCAAAAGTCTTAAAGCTGCTGAATTTGGAGACCCTGAATTAGACCAATCTAGACTGGCAATGTTCTGGTGCATAATTCTTTCTTTATTAAATTTATAGACTGGGGGAATAAATGCTTTTTTTTTCTCTCCTACCGTCTGGAAAACTGTGGCGATCCCTTCCAGAGGAAGGCAGTGAGCCAGAAGGAGACAAAATGTTCTCTTCTGCATCTGGATTGGGAAAAAAGTAGCCCCAAATCAGAAGACTTCTGGTGCTTTCTGAGCAGAAACGTTTGTTCAAATAGGTAAATGTTGGTGCCCAGCATAACTCTGAATAAAATTGGTTAGCTGGATGTTTGGCCCCTTTTTCTCCTTCCGATCTCCGTTCCTTTCCCTCCCGAGCTACGCAGAATTAACCCCTTTCTCCTGGAACCGTCCCCCCGTATTTTGAACCCCAACATCCAGGGTGAACCTTAAAGAGGAGCGTTCAGGACCAGGGTGAAAAAAGTGCTCCAGCCACGCTCTTACTTGCATTGTGCGGCCCACCGTCTACTCCGTCATGAATCCGCCCCGAGCTAGCCGAGAGTCTTCGGTGCCGTCGGCTCTCGAACCTGGAGCCCAGTTGGCTGGACGACTTCATCAGCAGACCTCGACAAAAGACAGGGACAAGTCCATCTCGAAAGAGTTCAGAGGACCGAGGACTTGCTTTAATTCAAGGACATGTTTTGGAACTTCAAGGGACACCAATCTGGCACAAGAAGGAAAAACTCGGTCCTCGACCACTGTCCAGAATTTCCAGGTGATTCTTAAGTGAGTCACACTCTATTTTGTGATCTTTTCTGGGCCATGACGGCTAGGGAATTCTGGGAGTTGAAGTCCACACATCTTAAAGTGCCCAGGGTAGATGGAGAGACACTGCCTGGGTTTTCTAAGGCCAAAGCAGCATTTTCACAAGAGCTGTGAGCCTCACCTGTACGGGGATATTTAACAAGGGTTGGCAAATAGCTGTTGCTGCTCAGGTCCACCGGCACAAACACCGTGAATTTGCTGATCACATTGCAAGATTTGCTGGCGTGCACGGCGTTGGCTTGGTACCTCCGCCCGGACCCTGTAGGAGGACCAAGAACACCAGTAAAATTGCATATTAGCTGGGTTCAGGATATTTGCCCATCTTTCTGACCCCTGTCGCTTCTGCTGCTGAAAAACCAGCGATCAATCGATCATAATTTAATTCAGAGGTGCCCAAATATACCGTGCTCAATCTCAAACTCCCTCTCGGCCAGCTGCTCAAAGTCCTGGATGATGGACTTGGCGGCCAGGTGGTGGAAAGTCTCATTCCAGATGTCTCCTCCTCCTTCTTCTTCTCCTCCTCCTCCTCCTCCTTGGCCCTTGCCGTCTCTGCTTTGGAAGAGGCCACTGAGGTCGAAGGTTATCTCCCACTTGACGGGTTCCCCGTTCTGGAGCCCCTTCACCAGGGCCTTGCAGAGCGACCTTCGAGACCCCCTCCAGCCACCACCGCCCGAAGAACCCGGTTCCGGATCAGGAAGGTCCCAATCCGAGGCGGCCTCTGTTTCAAAGTGGAAGGAAGGATGCTGGGCAGACTCTGTGAGAAACGTCAGAGAGAGGATTATGCGTGGTGGGAATCCATGAGCCACCTGGGGTCATCTGACCTGCTGTCTGGGCAGGAGGTCCTTGCCCCACTCTGGAGAGCCTTACAAGGGGAAGCAAGACATTCTCTGCTCCTTTGTCCCCCCCCCCCAATTCTCCTCTCCTCTGCAAGAAATCTTGAAGGCAGTTTTGTAGAATGAGAACTTGGAAGAAACCTGCAGAGTTTCTGCATGCAAACACAAAGAATGGCCCAATTTGTGAGATGCTCACTCTGCAAAGGGCTCCGTTCTCCACATTTGTATGTGTGTGAATGTGTACATTCCCAAAGCCACCCAATGGAGAGTCCTTGTGGTTGCCTTGTTGGGTCATCCGGGGTCTACAAGCCCACATCCAAGCTCAGCGAGCATCTTAGAGTCAATGCAAGCCATCATTGCAGCTTACCCAGTTCTCCAGGGCTTCGGCTGTCCGAAAATGTGAACTCGGGAAGGGAGTTGGTGTCTTGGGACCCCGGTCCTGTCCCCGCGGCTGCCTGCGTGGGGTCCCGGTGCAGCTGTCGCAGGTCCTGGAGCAGAGACGGCCGCCGTGCACCCACTCCACGGATCTTGGTTGCTGGGGGGCGGCTGGCTGTGAGAGGCTGACCAGAGGGAAACACTTGAAAGGGGGGGAGGTGCACGGAGGGAGAGAAATGGGAGATTCCCCATCCAGTTGCCTGGTAACCACAAGCAGAACCCAGGGACAGTTTGGGGTAGGGTTTCGTTGTACGTGTGTGCTCAAAAGTCCACAGGTGGAAGTTGGAGAGAGGAGCTCTCTCTGGAGAGTTCGAAAAAGGCAGCTCTTGTGCCTCGGTTTCCTTTGCAGAATGCAACAGGCTGGCAGGGACTTTGTGCCGCGATCGATCGTGTGGGATTTACAAGCAACTTTAATTTCCTTGAGGGTCTCTTTGTGGGTGTAATTGGCAACACAAAGCCTGGCCAGAGGGAAAGCAGCAATTTAACCAGGTGATCGCCCTAAATCAGAGGCAGGGGAGCCTTCAGAGAAGCCAGCATCCACTCGAAGCCATTAAGTCTCGCCCGGATGGGGCTCCTCCACTCAGTGTGTTTGTTTTAAGGCTTTTGCACAAAACCCAGTGAACTCCACCTGGGGTTGCTATAGAAACCTTTGCTCTCACAGACCGGTCCTGCTCTCTGGAACCAGCAGAGGCAGCTGGAGTTGCAAGGGGGGGGAGCACTGCCGCCTGCCAATCCCAGAGATAACATCGATCCCTGTCATGCTGGCACATCTAAGGCTGCACAGAAATGGAGCTGCTCCTCCTTTGCAGACGTCTCTTTTTCTGCCCAGTTGTGCTGGAGCATTGCTTTCTCCCACATTTCCCTCGGGGGTGCGATTTGCTGGGAGGGGCCGGGAGGGGCTGCTTGGTTTCTGCTGCTCTCTGGCTTTCTCTGCCTGCAGCCTTCCAAGTCCTACTAAATTCCCTGAGGCTGTTTTCTCATTTGGGAAAGACAAACCATGTCCTCCTGCAGAAGAATTGCACCCGCATTTGGGCCTCCACAAAAAGAGTAACAGAATAATAGAGTGGGATGGGATAGTTAGGGAAACCTGAGCTCAAAGAGTCTTCCAAGTTAGGAAGGTTTTAAGCCCCCTGCACAAGAATGTTGTGGGAATGTACGTCCTGAAAGTCTGCTGAATTTGCCCTAGGCGGCCCTTTCAAAGCCTTGGAGGGAAGCAGCGGGGATTCTCACCTGAAGCTCCCCCTGCCAGGGCTGAGCGCCTGCAGCGATTTGGCTGAGGTCCTGCAGGTGGGCTTTCCGGAGGGGATTTGCCCTCGGCACAGAGCCGGAGTCGCTGGCCGTGGGGAGCTTCTGGGGAGGCTCCCAGTCAGCAACCTGACTGGTGCTGTAGGCCCTTCGCTGGGATGTCGTTACAGAGTCTAAGCCTGAGGAAACACAAAGCCTCCGTTTATGCAACTAAACAACAGATTATCCACACTCTTATCTTCCCATAAGTTCAATGTTCTCCAGTTTACTAAAAAAAAAAAATCAACAAAGCAAAAGAATAAACCGGTAAAAATATTGGCAATGTCAACAATTCTAGAATACGACCACTGTCCAAGCCCACCTGAATCTATGTCCGATTCGCTTCCCATCTCGCCGCTGCTCCTCTCCGAAGGAAATCCACTTCCGGGGTCCTTGGTGACCTCCCAGTTCTCCAGCCCTCCTCCTCCTCCTCCACTCCCTCCTTCTTCTTCTTCTTGTGAATGGAAGAAAACAGAGCTTCCTGACTCTTGCGAATGCAGCATGCTGTAACGGCGTCTCTTGTCCTGGGGAGAGAAGGTCAGATGGGCAATGCATTCATGGCTCCCAGGCTGGTGGTTCAGTGGTAGAGTAGCAGACACTTTGGGAAGCTGACTGAGTCCGTGGAAACCATGTTGGGACAACTCTTTACATTCTAGATCAAGGGATTAACGACAGATGATCAAGCATGGACCTTAAGACTAGCGGAGGTCCATCGGTTGTGGCCACTCACCAGCCGGGGGTTAGAGACATACAGGGATGTGTCGCACACAATGCTGTAGGCCACCAGACGGTCTCCTGGGAAAAGGCAGCTGGCGTGGACAGGCGAAATCAGGACTTCTGTCGTTTCGGGAAACACCCAATCTACGGAGACATCGCTCACCACCGGTGCCAGGGCCTTCTTCAGAGACCTGATCATCTAAAACCCAAAGAAATTTTCAGATCAGATGGTGGCCACCTAGACTGGTGCCCTTAAAGGCAGAGCCCTGATCACAGAGGCCCCCCAGTCCAAGTAGCCACAGTGTTGACCGTTCTGCAGGGAAGACCACTTTATGAGAAGGCCTCACAAGGCGCTAAGGCCACACTTGGATCATGGCATCCAGTTTTGGTCTCTACAATATAAAAAAGGCGTTGAGACTCTGGAAAGTGCAGAGAGGAGCAACAAAGACGCTTAGGGGATTGGAAGGTAAAACCTATGAAAAACAGTTGCAGGAATTGGGGGGTTCTGACAGAGTATAGGGGTCCCACCTCTTCTCCAAAGCACCCGAAAGCAGGAGAAGAAGCAACAGATGGAAACTAATCAAGGAGAGAAGCAACCTGGAATTAAGAATTTTCTTAAGAATTAAGAATTTTCTTAAGAATTAAGAATTTTCTTAAGAATTAAGAATTTTCTTAAGAATTAAGAATTTTCTTAAGAATTAAGAAAAAACTTCCAGACAGTGGAATGGCTGGCCTCCAGAAATTGCAGGTGCTCCAACACTGGAGGTTTCTAAGATGAGTCCGGACACCCATTTGTCCAGCCTGGTACAAGGTCTCCTGCTTGAGCAGGGGGTTGGACTAGAAGACCTCCAAGGTCCCTTCCAACTCTGTTATTCTGTTCTATTACTTTTATTATAATGACACAGCAACAGAATTTTGCAAGACTGACTGCACTCTCCCCTCCTTTATTCTCTTCCTGACAACTGGGGAAGGGTTACGTCTGAGACACCGGGGACAATTAAATGCCTTCAGATGTTTCTGACGTAGGTCTCCGAACACGGACGGGCTCTTCTTAAAAAGAGACGTTTTTCTGATTCCGACCTTCCTGCTTTTGTAGTTCTGAGCCGTTGCACTCCTTCGGCTATAAATTTCACCCTCCCTTCCCCGGCAATGATGTTTCTGACAAAACCCGTATACACCTCCTGCGCAAGTAGCTGGCATTTTCTGACCTTCAAACACGCCGAGAGGTCAATTGGTGCCATCTCTCTCTCTGCTGGTGCCCATCTTTGATGTCAAAGATTCAGGAGCCAAGCAAGAAACATATATCATTATGGGGGGGGACTTTTATTCTCCCACCGCCCTCTCTTTGCAGAAGGGGAGATGGAAGTACTTGGGGTTTGTGGCGAGAGGGAGTCTGGAAGACTCGGCTCAGCCTAGATCCATCTTTGATAGCCCTCAGAGTGGCTGGATTTTTATCCGGCAAGCTTTTCAGCTCGCACTGATTGATCGCAGTAATCTACTGTGGAGTAATCCCAGGAGCTTGCAGTATTCTTTCTTAGCCCAGGCCGTCTCACCGGGCTCTTATCGTGGGGATAAAAAGGAGGAAAAGTCCTTTCATTTGCTGCCTTGGGGCCATCGAGATAAGGCAGGTTATAAAATAAAGGAATAAATAGAAATGTATTTGCCTTCTATTTGGAGAATACGTTCACCGCCTCTTCTCTGCGATAGCCCTTCAAGCGTTGAAAGATGCAAAAGTTAAAATAGAAAGCCGTTCCTTTAAAAATGAAATGGGACTGGAGGGGAATGGTTTTTTAAAATGCAGTGGGGATTTTTTTTTTCCCTGCATGGCCTCAACTGCAACAGTCCGAGCGGCCCCACCTTTGGCTGCAGCCGCTCCCCTTCGGCCAGGAACTCGGCGCTCCCTTTGGTTACGGCGGCCAGGCCCTTCAGCAGCCTCCGGCAGGCGCTCTTGCCGATGCCGAAAGTGTAGCACCTGCAGCCGGAAGAGGAGAGGGCCTGGTGGGCAAGGAGAGCCACCCTGCGGCCCCCAGGGATTAAGGGACACCCCCCCCCCCGTGGAAAAACCAGGCTTATTTTTCTGCAAACTTTGCCCACAGGCTCAGCAAATTGGCAACTTGGCCCAAAGTCCAAAACGGCTTTGTTGCCTTGATGGGCTATCGAGAGACCAACCCCCCCCCCCAAGGGCTGGCTTCAGGTCCTCGGCCAGATCTGCCCCTCGGACGGATGGCCTGAGCCCCCCCGGCCCACCTGGTGGAGAAGGCATGGCTGCGCAGGAGCGCCAGGATTTTGCCGGTGTTCCCCACCGCCCCGTCCGTCAGCAGGAAGAGCAGGCGGGGGTGTCCCCGCTGGATGGGCTGCCGGAGGGCCCACTTCAGGGGCGGCAGGAGGTTGGTGCTGCCCATGTCCGCCCGGATTTTCTTGATGCTCTCGCAGGCCCCTGCCAGGTTCTCCTGCGGCAGAAGCAGAGGAAGGGGCTCTGGACACTCCGAGGAAGGGGCGTTGGGCCCACCAGCTGACATCTGGGCAAGACCCCTCCAATGGGTGAGGATGAGAGAGGGGCTCAGTTGTGGCCATAAGCTGAGGACTACCGGCATTTCAAAGGGAAGCAGACTCATCTCCAAAATTAGCTCCCACGTCCCGGCTGAGGCTCTGTTCACACAACAGGCTGGGTCTGATCCCCAAATTAACCCCCTTTTGAGGTGTTTCCTCCACCCTGAAGCCTCAACTGACCGAGATGCCTCCCTTCCCACTTTGGTTAACCAGCTGAGGTTAGAAGGAAGCAACAATGAGAACGCAACCCCTGCATCTACACAGCCGTTACAAGACCAGCATCCAGGATGGACCCCTTCACCTCCGAGTAGGCCTGGCTGGCAGGGAAGACGGCCTTGAAGGTGGATCCGAAGCCGATGACGTTGAAGAGACAGCCCGGCATGAGGCTCTTGAGGATGACCACCAGCGCGTCCTGCAAAAGCCACAGAGACGTGACCTTAGGGGTCCTGAGGAGCACATGAGGGGTCCAAGGCTTTCACGCTCCAGGAAATGGAGGAGCCCTCCCCCTCCTCACTGCAAACCCCCTCCCTTCTAGCATGGATGATATTCCCTAGTTTGCTCATGAAACGTCTGCAAGGAAACCACCAAGCTCAGAGAGCAACAAAGACCCCATAGTCCTCCTCCTCCTCCTCCCACAGCCTTTGGCATCGGTGACTTTTAAAGACGGATTAATGAATGGTGAGTCACCGCAAGATTTTGGCATAGGCGGCTTCGAAGCTTAGGGAAGGCAGACCTGGAAGGGAAGAGGCGCATCCTACCTTCACCCGAGCGATGCTTGTGCCAGCCATACTTCTGCTTCGGTCCACCAGAAATATGAATTCTCCGTGGGTCTTCCGGAGGTTTGGCTGCACCCGTTTCAGATCCGGGCAGAAGTTCAGCATGATCACCGGATGGTGAGGGATGTCCTTGTGAAGCCTTTTGCGGATAATTTCGGTCTGAAAGGACCAAGGAAGAGAATTTAAAAGGCATTTTTTGCCTCCTCTGTCTGCCCACCCATCTGGAGAAATTCACAGGAGGGGAAACTTTCCAGGGCGCTGACTAGAGGATGGGGACAAAGACAGACAGACAAGGGAGCCGGAGGGCAGCGACAGGGGGACAGCTGGGCAGAACTGCAAACAGGTTGGATGCAGAGACTGGCTGAACAGATTTAAAGCAAAAATTAAAGTAAAAACAGCCGCTCACAGTGCTCACACACCAGAATTCAACACTGAGAATCCTCAACTTTAAATAGGGGTTGAAGAGCTGTGAACTTCTGGCAGAATCCGAGGGGGGCCTTAAAGGAAAAGAAAAAGGGGGGGTGTCTTGCCCCCAAAGTCCCTCCTCTGGCCAAGCCCCACACCTTCCCCTGATCACCTTTTTCTGGGCGCTGGGGTCCTTCTTGGTGCCTTTGATGAAGTCGCTCCGCCCCCTCAGGTGCTGCTCGTACTGGGCAGGGGCCATGTCCCCCTCCTCCATCAGGACGTGGGGCATGTGGGGCTCTGGGAAACAAGGGGGGGGTGGATGATGGGATAATCAAAGGAGGGACATGCAGACCTCCCTGGAATTCTGCAGCTGTGACCCACCGATTCCCTTGTAAGGCAACGCTTCATCCCTCTTGAAACGAGCCTTGGTTTTTGGCTCACTTTGGATGGTTGCTCTTTGAAACTAGCCCAATAATCACGCAACACACAAACACACACACATCCCTGCCCAAATGTAAGCAGGGATGGTTCTCAGAAAATGGAAAAGCTGCTTATAACATGGAATCCTAGAGTTGGAAGGGACCCTGGAGGTCCTCTAGTCCAACCCCCTGATCAAACAGGAGGCTCGTTCATAGAGAAGAACAGATGAATAGAACAACAGAATAATGGAGCTGGGAGGGACCCTGGAGGTCCTCTAGTCCAACTTGAAGTGTGCCACGTTTCTGTTCTTCCCCAACAAGGGAAGGACCCCCACTCACCCACCCACCCGCCCCCCTCCAGGCTACGGAACCGAAGAGGTTTCCCACCTACCACTCGGGTGGATCAGGACCTCCACCGGACGGTCGAAGGTGTGTCTGTTGGTCAGGGTGATGGTGATGCTCTTGGCCGACCTGGCCGAAGGGTCGGCGTCCGCTCGGATCTCATGCGTGGGGCTTTCCACCCCTGTGGACAAGAAAGTCCGGCTGCCCCGTGAAAAGGCCTCTTTGGGATGGCCGGGCTTCCGTCTGACTCCCTCCCAGAGTGATGGATCAGCCTCCATGAAGCGTGTTTGGCCAAAAGGCCTCTGTCCAGGCGAAGGGGGACCCGGCTAGCAGCTCCCGCCTCTAATGTGCAAATTAAGGAAGACGCTGCTTTCTGCCCTAGAGAGCAAACTCTGGAGACCTCCCCAGAGGATTAGCAGCAAATATCATATTGCATCTCTTCGCGAGGCTTCGATGGTATTTTTAATTATTCTGATTACTTTGATTCATGCGGCAGCATGATTTGAAGGCCGGCCCTGCCCTCATTTCCTCGCTCAGCCTTCGAGTGGAAATTTTCAAATTAAATTCCCATCCTGGCTGTCGTGACTCAGCAACGGAGAGCAGGGTGCCTCTTCACACATTTCGCCCCACGTTTCACCCAGATTTCCTTAGTTGTTTAGTAGAATTTATATCTACAGACAGTCCTTGACTTACGGTCACAATTGAGCCCAAAACACCTATTGCTAAGTGAGACATTTCTTAAGTGAAGTTTAACTCATTTTATGACCTTTCTTGCCACAGCTGTAGTAGATCACAACAATTGTTAAAATACTAGCACGGTTGTGAAGCGAGCCTGGCTTCGCCCTTGACTTTGCTGGTCAGAATGGGATACCCCGGGACACTGCAACTGTCATAAATGTGAGTCAGTTGCCAAGCGTCTGAATTTTGATCACATGACCAGGGGATGCTGCAGTGGTCGTAAGTGTGGAAAACGGCCCTGAGTCCCTTTTTTCCAGTGCCCTTGTAACTTTGGATGGTGGCTAAACAAACTGGGGTAAGTCAAGGACTGCCTGCGTGAGGTCTGGCAATATCAGCACCTTGGACAGTTCTCTCTGAATCCTTCTAAGGGGGATCTGCAGCTCTTAACTCTGAGGGCGAAGGAGAGCTAAGGGCACGGGTTAGCTGACCCCAGGGTGAAAGGGTCAATCAGGGTCAAAGTTCTGGGAGTCCATGAGATGTTTTTCCTGCAAGGACTGCCTCTTATTCCCACCTCCTTGGCTAACCGCCCTTCCCTTGGATCTCCCGGCTGACCTGCCAATAAACACGGCCCTCGGATCTCCAGGGAGAAGCTGAATTCGTACTCCATGGGGTTGGTGGTCTCGGTTTCCAGGAGATGTGCCAGGCAAAATTTCCCTGCTTCTTCTGGAGACAGTGTCCCGCTGTAGTGCCTGTCCCTGCTGAGGAGAAGGCCACAATATGTCTATATATGGAGGAGGAGGAGGAGGAGGAGGAGGAGGAGGAGGAGGAGGAGGAGGAGGAGGACAACTGTGGGGTCCTTGGTGCTCTCTGAGCTTGGTGGTTTTCTTGCAGACATTTCATGACCCAACCAGGGAACTTTATCAGTAATAGAAGGGAGTGTATATAAACAGACAACAAATCCCACTAACCTCCTAGCACTGATGATGTTCCCTAGTTGGGTTATGAAATGTCTGCAAGAAAACCACACAGCTCAGAGGGCAACAAGGGCCCCACAATCAAAGTGTGCTTTTGAGCAAAACAGGACATTCAGAGAAGAACTCACCACTTTTTCATCCCTTCCAAGATACTCTCCTTTAAATGTTGGTATCCTAATTACTTGGCTTTTTTTTTTCCTATTCCACTACTGATGCATTAAGAATGTTCCCTGCTTTGTTTTATTTCTACAAACAAAAGCCTGGAATTTGGGATTTCTTTGTCTGTCTTTTTATTTAACACATGTCTTCCCCATTGTGAATGGCCCCCAGAAGCGGTCTGATGAACTGCTGCTTATCCAAGATTATTTTCCCATTTTCAGGGCATTATTAGATTTTTCTAGGAAAAGATCATCTGCAACTGCAATCTGACTTTAAAATGATTTTTTTTTCCCTTGGGTTTTCTCCTCGTCTTTTTCCTGTCTTAACCCAAGAGACTAAAACCGGTGAGGATCTGGACTCAGATTTTTCCTCGCTGCAATGTCAATGCAGAACAGGGGCTGCTTACAATGGAAGGGGGTGTCCAGAGAAGCCGGTGGTCAAATCAGTGGCTTTCTGGGGCACTCTGGGGGCACAGACAGCCGGAAGGAGGACCCTGACGGCCCCGGTTGGGAGGGTCTGAAGTTCAGAGGAGGTGCTGATGCAGATGGACACGTCCACTTGGGAAGGAACGATGCCCACGTTGGCCACAAAGGCGATCCTTTCCAGGTCTTCATCCAGAATTATGCAGCCTACAGGAAAGGAAGTTCAGACGACCAAGATCTGCTTAGCAAGCCTTGTCTACATTTCATTGAAGGCTTTCAAGGAGGTGTTCAAGATCTCTCTTTCTAAGGCAGGGGTCTTCAAACTTGGCAACTTTAAGATTTGTGGACTTCAACTCCCAGAATTCCCCAGCCAGCAACTGGGAATTGAAGTCCACAAATCTTAAAGTTGCCAAGTTGGGAGACAGCTTTAGCTGACTGCCTCTAGTCTTCTGCAACCTTGCAGCTTCGAAACACGTAGCGTCTCAAAGCTTGTCCGTTATCTGAGGAACAGGAACACTGAAATCCAACAGAGCAGGAAGTGATGGAGCATTATTTAATCTTCTCCACCCAACCGGGGCAATGGGCACAATTGCCACCTTGCCCCCTCCCATGGCCACTTCTTTCTCACCCTCCTCATCTGGAGTTCTTCCATCACCAAAGCAGCTCTCCTCAATTCTCGCCTTGTCTTTGATCTGCACTGTCAGCACCCGCTCGGAAATCACAGCTTCGAAGCCCACCACCGTTGTGTGTTCGTCCAAGGGATAGACAAACAAGCCTGGGAAGGGAAGGCGATTTGTCAGCCGGTGGATCTGACTACAGTTGGAACAAAACCTGCCCAAGTCATAAGTCGAGAATCACCTGTAACTCTTCTGAACCCGGGACAGTTTGCATCCCCTTCTCGTCCCTTCATAATTCAGAAAGAAGATAAAACCCCCAAGAGGAAGGAGACTCGGAGAGAGGCTGCCACACCTACCTTCGAAAGGATGGTTCTCGGAGTTGTGGTAGGACAGGCAGGCAGTCATTCCAAAGGCGTAGCCACTGACGCAGGAGGTGACCTCCGAGGCAGCCAGAGGGAGGACGGTGCTGGTTGTCCGGTTGATCAACCCCGGCATCCTGGCGGCCGTCTCAGGATCAGAGCAGGAAAGGTCACCCAGAAAGGAACCAGGGATTCAGTTTCTCTTCTCTGAAACAGAAACAGCGCATCAGCCCTAAGATGGCCACAAGCATCCGACCGCCTGGCCACGCAGGGCCGGTTGGTGGCCACAGAAAGAGTCCGCGATGGAAAATCAGAGGCTGCTGGACTTTTGGGGTCTGGGCGATTCCCAGGCAAAGCAGCTCTCCGGGCCCCAATGAATTTGCTCTACAGTTCTCATTTAAAAAAAAAAAAAAAAAAAGAGTTTGAGAATCGGTTTCGGAGATCTCCTGGGGCTGTTTTGCTATTGGATGGGGGACATTTTACCAATGGGTCAGAATTGGCTTTTCTATCTAACGTGGGCCATTTTCTGCTGCTGAAACTTTGCAACGCAACTCTTGGTGGGGGGGGGGCTGCAACAGGGGAGGGGGCTGAGCTGGATCCAGCTGCAGAGGGGCTCTCCTGGGATAGAAAGCAGAGCTGGGATGGCCGGGATGGGACTCTCCTGCAGAAGCCGCGTTTTTGCATCACCTGCCTCCAGTCCTCTGGCACCGGCTGCTTTCATGCTCCGGAGCACTAAACGGACCCAGGAATGCTTGTTGCTCCAGATGCACCACAACAGCCACCTCAGCCCTGTGGCCGGTCAAGGGCAGCTCTTGACAGATGTGCCCAGCGATCGTCCCGCTGGCTCTGTGTTCGATTTCCTTTTGGCGAGGACGAGTGATTCATCGCCAGAGAGTGTCGCTCTCTCTCCCAGGGTAATAAATCAAGGGTTTAGTCTTCCCAGTTGGAAGGAGGGGGGGTCAGAGACAGGTTCTGCGTCAGCGGGGAGGGAGGGGAGGAGAAAGCGAAGGCGTTGGAGTTTGCCCATATTCCCACGGTGTGCCAAACAGAATCCACCTCCAAGAGAGCTGTTTTTTTCTCACAGTTCCTTGTCTTCTAGGATCTCCGGAGGGCCCCCACTTCGGAGGCCGAGGGGCCAAACTCACTGAAGCCTCCTTCAAATTGGGCTGTTTCTCCACACATCTCTCCGGGGTGACCCTCGGGGCTGACCTCCGTGTTTGGGGTAGAGAGACAGGCGAGGGCTGGGCTACTTTCATTGTTTTTGTCCCTGCCTGGGAAAGCGGACAAGTCATCATTTAATCGGGAAGAGTTTTAAAAAACTGAAGCAATGGAGGGAGGAGCTAAACAGAGCCTCTCCTTTCAGGGATTGTCTACCACCAAAAGCCTAAACTGAATAAAGAGCAATTCCTGGGACCTTGTTGAATGCAAGCAGGTGTCTTTGGTCAGTGATGATGGCTCTCTTGCTCTTAGATCTTCCCAGGCGGCTCTCGCCAACTGGCCTCCCTCAGAGAAGTCCTCCTCTCTTGGCTGAGCCCCGGAAGGGAGGGGCGCCCACCGAGGAACACTCAGCCAGTCCAATCCTGCTTGCTGAGCCCATATTACTGGGCTCATTAATTCAGATTAAGTAGAGCTGCAAGGTTTGATTAGCCGCTGAATTACAGGATCAGGGTTTTACCGCAGCAAGCGCCACCACAGCGCATTTGACTGAAAGTAGGGGAGGGAGGCCTAATGTCCCGGAAGGAGAAGCAGCCCGTCTGTTTTCTCCGTGTGGGTCCTGATCCATCGGCAGGACTGAGAAACGAGGGGAGTCTCCTAAGTGGGAAGCCTCACCCTCCGTTTTTAAAACCACAAAGGGTGCTTCAGACACAGCTCGGTTTGGCACCTTGGAAAAAGTGTGTGGTTTGCCTCAAAATTATGGGCTTTCCTGGTGACAAACACTTAAAACATGTTAAAAGGATTCCAGGCACAGGAATTCCTTGACTTACACCGGTTCATTTAAAGTTACAACAGCAGTGAAAAAACTGACTTATGACCAGTTTTCATACTTACGACCCCGTGGTCGTGTGATCAAAATTCAGTTATGCTTAACAACCAACTCATATTTATGACGGTCGCAGCAACCTGGGGGGCTCACGTGCTTCTGACAAGCCAAGTCACTGGGGAAGCCAGATTCACTTAACAACCGTGTGACTCATTTAACAACTGCGGCAATTCATTTAACAAATGAAGCACGAAAGGTTGTAAAAAGGGGCAAAACCCATCAACAAATCTCTCGCTTAGCTTGATCGTAAGTTGAGGACCGCCTGTATTCCAGTCGAACTGGGGTTTTCCAGAAGATGCTGGTGCATTAATTGTGTCTGTTGTCGTGTCCATGTGCTCTGCCTAGCAAAATAAGGACTCCATGCGCGATTCTTGTTCTGACGTGCAGTAAGAGGCAATCTTATTTATTTATCAAGTTTATCGAATTTATATGCCACTCTTCCAGCCGCAAGAGATGAGGCATGGTGAGCACAGGAACAGAACTGCATTCCCACGTTGGAGTAATTGCGACCTGTTGCTTTCTCCCTTCTGCAGCTTCCCCAAAGCTTCCTGGGCTGTCGAGCCCAGCCGGGACGGAGGGGTCCGCCATAGGGCCGAAGCGTCTTAGCAGGACGCAATTCCGGAACCCAAGAGGGTCGCTTTCCAAAGAGGCTTCTGAAGGGGGGAGGGGGCAAAGACCTGCCACCTCCAGGCTGCCCAAGATGCCCCCCCCCGTAGCAGAAGCCCCCGCCCTCCGCAAAGGGATCGGGAGAGAGATCTTGAAGGGATCAGGGCAGGCACGCAAGTTTGCGGGGCTTCGGGTGAAAACAGGACTCGGGTGCAAAAGACGGGGGGGAGCCGCTCTCTTGGCGAGGGAAGACCCCCCCTGAAGAGGGGGCCGCTGTTGGGTTCAGCCCAAGCGGCCCCCTCCCATCCTTCTGTCCGGAGGTGAGGAGGGGGCCCCATCTTCAGCTCCCTCGCGGCCTCCGAAGCTGCCGCTGTTCCTTGCAAACACAGTCTGCCCCCCCCCATTTACACACGCAGAGCCACAACTGTAGCTGGGGGGGGGGGAGGAATGTTGTGTCTGAAAGCAGCAGGAGACCTGGAGCTAAACGGGGGGCTGTTTTTAAAGCCTTTTAAACCAAGGCTTGGTGGCATTTTGCAGCCCCCCCGTCCCTCCCCGACTTGTCCCAGGCTCAGCGCGGGGCGTCAAACGAAAATCGGGCACTTTTCTGGGGCAGAAGGAAGACCCCGCGCAGGGGCGGGGGCGGCGGCGGGGGGAGCCGGCAGACAGGACGGAAAAACAAACCGGGAGCGAAAGTGGCGACGGCGGGGGGGGCTGCTCTTACCTGGCCGGAGGTGCCGGTCGGGGCTCCAGGAAGGCTGCCCGCCGGGAGCTCCGCAGTGCCCGCCGGCTCTCCTGAATGCAGCGGCGGAGGCAGCAGGTGGCCCGCGTGGGGCTGGCCGGGGGGCGAGGGGGGCTGCCGGCGACCGGGCGGGCGCGTCTCTCCCGCCTGCGGCTCCTCTGCCCACCTTGCGGAGCGAGCAAGAGCGGGGGAGCTCGGCTGGCCGTCGGGAAGGACACGCGCGCACGCACCCGCAGGCGGGACAGGCGGGCGCAAAGCGGGTCGCAGCCGCGCGTGGAGCCCCCGCCGCACCGACCTCCGCGTGGCTCGGGCCGGCGTTCGCCGCGCCTCCGCAGTGCTTCAGCAAGAGCCCGGAGGGGAACCAGCACGCCCCTCCCCTGCATTTGGGGTCCGGCAGTGGGACGCCCCCTCCCCTTCCACTCCATTCCTTCCTTCACTCTCTGAGCGGTTTACCGAGTCAGCCTCTGCCCCCCAACCATCTGGGTCCCCATTTTACCTGCCTGGGAAGGATGGAAGGCTGAGTCAACCTTCAGCAGGTGGCTGAACTCCTGGCTGTGGGCAGAGTCAGCCTGCAATACTGCGTTCTGCCACCAGGGCTCCCTCTGATGAGGGCCAGTTGGCCCTTCGGGGTCCTTGCAAAGTATTAGGGAGCCATGGAGAGCCCTGGGAGGACAGGAACCCCAAAAGGAGGGAAACCGCTTCTGAAGAAAAACTCAGCCCTCCAGGAAGGGTGGGGGAGCAGGTAGGAGAGCGGGGGGGGGGGTGGGTTCCTCAAGAGCCCCGATCCAGGGCCAAGGGGGGGCCCAGCTGAGAAGCAACGGGCAGGAATCCGAAGGAGGAATTTTAATGGACTTTGAAATTCTTTCTGGAGAGAAGGGGTGGAAAGATGCACCCCAGACGGATGAGGGGGCGCCCCTGCCTTTCTAATCCTACATGGCTTCTTGGGAAATTTTTAATAGCCTTTAATAACTTCCTGATCGAGCGCCGTAGGGATATTTGCTCATCTGTCAGCCATCACAATTGAGAGGAGCAAAGTCCTCTGTCGGCTTGGATCCCTCCCTGCTTCCCGTCTGTGGGAAGGTCTCCTGAGACAGGAAAGGTCATTCTTGCGACTGAAGGGCGGCAAGCGAAGGACGGAGACATCACATCGGACAGGACAGGGACGTCCTTGGCGCCCAGCCCAGCTCCTGCTCGTCCAGTGAGATCATGATTGTAGTAGATGACACCTCCAAGGGAAAAAATAGCTCAAACTTTGGTGTCACGCTCCTTCATGGCTGGATTCCTGTTCCCATCATCCCCAGCCCTGCTGACAATTGAAGTCCACCCATCATAAAGTGCCCAAGTTTGAGAAACACTGATCTGGGGTCAAATGTTGGGGAATGGCCATTTTATCCATAGCCTTAGCCATAATTGTTTACAATTTATCCAAACTATGAAAATATTTTTTTAAATAAAGTTTTAGTAGTTCAAGATGGACAGAAAGCATGCAGGCTTGGGAAGGGCAGGAAAACGAGATGGTTGGTTAGAAGCCACCCATTTGAGGCCTCTCTGGCTTCTCACATCGATGTTTGGGGGTCTAAACAGTAATTGTAACCAGTAACTCTGATATTAGAGAAACTCAAAGCTTAGCTCATCAATGACCAAACATAATGAAAAAATTGCAGTTTGGGTGTGAGGCATACACATAATTCAGCACAGCAAAAGCTGCTTAAACTAGCCATCGGCGGGATTCCCACATTGTTGGCTTAATTGCAGCTTGTCAGATAAACTGGAGTTGGCTGCCTTCATGCTAAGCCCTAAATGGTGGCTTTCAGATTTTGACAGGAGAGTCTGCCTACCGCATTATGGCCAAAGCATAAACAACATCATAAATCAGGCTAAGGGTGTTTGGAAGACAGTTGCCCTGTTCATTCTTTAAGTGGAAACATAATGAGGTTCTCTTTATTATCCCAATCTGTTTCTCCAGCCATCTGGCTGTCCTCCTCCAGGGCAAATGCCAGAGAAGGAAGACACCTCCGAGATCTAAGTGACAGAAAAGGTTATTTGAAGAATAACCAAAGGGGGGGGGGGGAAGCAGTATTTTTCAATCAGGGCAACTTTTAAGATGGGTGGACTTCAACTCCCAGAATCCCACAGCCAGCATGGGTGGACTTCAATGCCCAGAATGCCGAACAATGTCCAGACTGAGAATCCTTGAGAGCCCTTGGTGCTCTCTGAGCTTGGGGGTTTCCTTGCAGACGTTTCATGACCCAAACTAGATGCCATCATTACTGCTAGTGATGATGTTACCTAGTTTGGGTCACAAACGTCTGCAAGGAAACCCCCAAGCTCAGAGAGGATCCAGGACCCCTCATTTCAACCTTGAGCTCCCAATAAAGGTTCCCCTGTATGGGAATCTAGTGTAGAGTTGAGGACAGACTCCTGGGTTAGTTTTTCAGTGGCTGAGTTGGCCAACTCTGAAGCCCAAATCCAGGTTAATAGAACCTGATGCCCAGTGCCCAAATTTGTGCCTGCTTCACACCACGTGCCAAGATCCTGGCTGGGATTTAGCAAGATATTCACCCCAAAAGCCCTCGAACCGTTTCAGCTATGTAGTGTGCTTTGTGAACACAATTCAAGTGGTTGACTTTTGGCTGGAGGAATTGAGCAAACGCAGGAAACTGTGTGAATGAACTGGGGTCCAGTTGTTGGTTGTGGGGAAACAAGCAAGCAAGCAGGTTTCCCAGCAATCGAGCAAGGATTGCACCCCGTTCAAGGTGCATCTGAGCGGGCATTTTCCTATTGGAAATTCCCTTGGCCAGCTCCGATCCGGCTGGCCGCAACTGCTTCTTCCCCGGCTCCTGTGCGTGTGGCTCAGCATCCACACCGGCTCGGCCGCCCGTTGCCATGGCAAAGGCTATGATGTCACCCTGGGAAAGCGAGACGATGATGAGACGGCAGGACCCCAAAGTGGATCCTGGCACAAAGGGGTCAGCACGGGAGAAGAGGGGGCAGATGAGAGGGAAGGGGGGCTGAGCCTGGGGGGGGGGGCAGTGAGGTGATGCAGAGCGACCCTGCCGGGCCGTCCTGCCCAGCAGCAAATTTTCCTCATTAGAGATGCCAACAGCGCCGTCCAGGCTGGCAGGAGGGAGAAGAGGGTCACAACCAGGAGGGAAAGGCCTTTTGCATGATGGCGCACGCTGGGCTCAGCCACGGAAGGGGGGAAGCCCAGAGGATTTACCCAATGCCCCCACCGAGCAGCCCCTCACCCGGCAAGCCCTGGCTTGGTGAAGTGCTTCTCTGCCCCTCCCCCCCTTTTGCGAGTTCCAGCCTGCCCACCCCTGGGGCGTTCTGAATTCAAGTCTTCCCAGCTGGCAAGCTTGCAAGAGACAGCTTTGGGTAAGGAGGGGTGCCAGCCGCATGCCTGCTCACCTCCTCTTTTCCCCAGGAAAAACCTCTTTGCAAAGGAGCCTTGCAGGCGGACGGAGAGAAAGATCTCCAGACCCCGGCCGGGCATTGCAACGGCGGGCAGGGCAGCCCCCCCCCCAGGAAAAATAGGGGCCCCCTTCGAGGCCCCCCTCCTCTCGGAGCAGCCTGGAGAAAATGCAAGAAAGGACAAACGCGCGACGGGTTTACATTTCTCGCATTGCATTTAATTTTGTGAGAATCGCGCATGCGCGCTCGGCCCGCCAGTGGAACGTTCGAAAGGAGAAAAAAAAAAAGAAAGGAAAGGGGAGGAGCGGGGCGGGTCAAGGCGTTTCCGGAACGTCCGGCGTGTCGCCGTGGCCCCCCGCCCGGACTCCTTTCTGGGGCGCACGCGGAGCGCCCCGCCCCTTCCTGCGGCGCCTGCGCAAGGCCGGCGGTCACCCGGGGGCTGCAGCGTGAGGCCGAGCGGTCTGTCTCCGGGGAGAGGATGGCGACCGACTCGTGGGCGCTGGCGGTGGACGAGCAGGAGGCGGCCGCCACGGCCTCGGTGAGCAACGCCGGGCGGAGAGGTTGGGCGGGCCGGGACACGCGTGTGCACGTGTGAATGGGTCCCCCCGCCGCTGAGAGTTGCCCGCTGGGGGGGGGGGCGCTCATAAAGCAGAAAAAGAAAATTAGCCTTGAAACGAGGGGAGCATCCAACGGGGGCTGAAAGTAACCCTTGAAACCCACAAACACACCTGGGTTGCTGTGTGAAGTTGCGGTTGCAGCCCTGTGGGGGGAGGGGCTGCTCATGTCTTTTGTATGTGGTTATATTGATGTTTTGAATGGTGCGTATGAAGCTCTCTTCTGTTTTAATGTGTGTGTGTGTGTGTGTGTGTGTGTGTGTGTATAGTCCTGCGGGTTCCTTGGCTGCCCTGGTGCCATTTCTGCCTCTGGCTATCGTGACCAGCAGATGTTGTAGCTTTCTCCTTTTCAAGAAAGGAAGGCTTATTACAATGTTTCTCAACCTTGGCAACTCGAAGATGTGTGTGTGGGGAGCTTCAACTCCCAGAATCCCCCATCCTGCCTTGACTGGCTGGGGAATTCTGGGAGTTCAAGTTCACCACCTTCAAGTTGCCAAGGTTGAGAATCCTGGGCTTATCAGTTACCCAGGGTGCTCATAGGAACTTAAAATCCTTTAAAGAACTACAGCCATGAAGATTTTAATTCTTTCTCCTAACCTATAGGATGGCACCCGTGCCCTGGCAGTAACTGAGAAGCCCCAATTTGTGCTCAGAATCTCACTCTTTTCTCCCTTTCAGCTGAGCAACTTACACCTGAAGGAGGAGAACCTCAAGCCAGATGCCAACGGTGGGTGTAGCCGTGTTTCCCCGGGGTGGAGCCGTTCCCTGTAACTGAAACCCTGGAGACTATTTCCTGCTCTTTCCTCTTACCAGTTGCGCCCACACGCACAGACAATCCTATTTCACCCCACTTTTATGAGTGAAATTACATCCTCATTCCTAGGAAGCCAACCTGTCTTGTGGCATCTAAGCACTAAGGAATAGATTTTAGATGTGAGGTTGAGTCAGTCAAAGCTTTGCTCGGCAGTAATAAATCTGTGAGCAAATCACTGGCAAATGTACACATCTGGTCCCTGACTTGCCACAGTTTATTTAGTGACTGTCCAAGTTGCGGCGGCACTGAAAAAAGTAACTTAGGACCGTTTTTCACACTTACGACCGTTGCAGCATGTCCACGATCATGTGATCAAAATTCGGGCACTTGGCAACTGACTCGTATTTACGACGGTTGCAGCATCCCAGGCTCCTGTGATCCTCTTTTGTGACTTCTGATAAGCAAAGTCAATGGGGAAGCCAGAGTCACTTAGCAGCTTAACAACTGCAGTAAGTCACTTAACAGTGGCAACGAGGCGGTAGAATGGGACAAAATTTTCTTAACTGTCTCGCTTAGCAACAGAAATGTTGGGCTCAGTTGTAGTCATAAATCGAGAACCTGTATAAGATTTGTGGCTCTGTCAGCACTGGGGAATTCTAACTGGGCAATCCTGCTAATGGTGGCTGATGGGGCATGAAGGCCTGGCATCCTAGGACGGTGGAGTTAGAAATGGCCCCGTTATCTAGGCCAGGGTTTCCCAACCTTGGCAGCTTTAAGATGAGTGAACTTCAACTCCCAGAATTCCCCAGCCAGCCTTCTGCATTGTGCAGGAGAACTTGCAAAGCCCTCCACGAGAGACGGTTGTCCGACCTCTTCTGGAGTAACAGAATAACTTTCTTTGCCAACCCATCTTGCTGGTGCTACAAATGATGGTTTGTTCCAACAGGAGCCGTTGTCAAGACAAGGGACAGTGCAGAGAAGACGGAAGAAGAGGAAAAAGGTAGCACATGCCTAATTTTAACTGGTTCAGGAAGTACCAAACCTGTTTCCTGTTGTTGTGCAGGAAAGCCCCAGTTCCCAGCCTCGTCCCCCTTTCCAAGAAGGGCTCTTTGGCGGGAGGCAGTTAAGACCCTCCTTTTCTTGGCAGGGCTGGGCTGCCGAGTGCCCAGCTTTGTAATGTCCGGAGGGAAAGCCAAGCCCACTCAGCGTTCTGTCTTCGGTGCCAGCTGTTTGCCATCTGCTGGTTCTATCCTCAAGCGCTGGGACACCCGGTCTTTGGCCGGAGGCCCCCTAGGTGGGTTTTGTATGTGGGGCAGGGGTGGCAGAGAGGCCGTAGTTATAGGACAGGAAGCACCAAAAACTGAGAAGAATTGCCCTCCTTGTGGGCATCTTAGCGGTCTGACTCTCAAGAGTCTTGGCGGCAGAGTGGTTACAGTGCAGTATTGCAGGCAGACTCTGCCCGCACCCAGCAGTTTGATCCTGACCGGCTCAAGGTTGACTCTGCCTTCCGTCCTTCTGAAGTCGGTAAAATGAGGACCCAGATTGTTGGGGGTGACAGGCTGACTCTGGAAACCGCTCAGGGGGTGTGTGTAAAGGCACCGAGAAACGTATAAGTCTTAAGAGCTCTTGCTAAAAGCGAAAGGGGTGTTCGAGGTGCTTTGGTGACCCCCCCCCTTTCCCATCTGGCCACAGAGGATCGGGCTGCCCAGTCCTTGCTGAACAAGCTGATCCGTAGCAATTTGGTGGACAACACGAACCAGGTGGAGGTGCTGCAGAGGGACCCCACATCGCCCCTGTACTCGGTGAAGTCTTTCGAAGAGCTGCGCTTGTAAGTGCCTCCCACTTGGCTTTCGGGGAGCTTGTGGTTCCTTGGGGGGGGGGGACATCACTCAGAGTAGGGGCTTTGGTGGCACTGCTGCCCTGCATGGGGGCGGTCTCCGTTCTACCCCTGCCTATCAGCCCTGTGAAGGAGAAACGGGTTCAAAGTCTTCATAGTGCTGCATAGGCGTCATCTTTGCTCCCCCCACTCAGGAAGTCCCAGCTGCTCCAGGGGGTCTATGCCATGGGCTTCAACAGGCCCTCCAAGATCCAGGAGAACGCCCTACCCATGATGCTCGCGGAGCCGTAAGTCCTGCCCCCCGGGAGGGCTGGAGGGAGAGCGGGGGAGTTTGGCAGCCATGGAAGGCTGGGGAGGGCGGAAGAGGTGGCGGGAATGGGTGCAAGGGATCTCCAAGGGGGCCTTTGCTGGACGTGGATGAGTACTCGCCATGCCCAGATGCTGCCCACTCAAATTGCCTGCTGGGGTGACTCTTGGGGTGGGGCGCCGTTCCCTCTGAGCCGCCCAGAGCCCTCCCCTCCCCTGCTCAGGGTGTCCACCTGTCTACAGCCCACAGAACCTGATTGCCCAGTCCCAGTCCGGCACCGGGAAGACGGCAGCTTTCGTCCTGGCCATGCTTAGCCGGGTGGAGCCGGACCACAAGCATCCCCAGGTAGCCACTATGAGCAGCCCTGATTAGGGGGAGGGGCTGGAAGGGCCCCTGAGCCGAGGGCCGGTGTGGTCAGAGGGTTGCCAAGGGCGATGTGCTCCCGGCAGAGATTGAGGCAGGGGTCGGCAGCCTTCAGCCCTCGGTCTTCTCCCCTGAGGTTGGGGACTTTCTCTCCATAGCCGGTTCCAACCACTGGGAAGAGACAGGGAGGGGGATGCGTTGGCTGCCGGCCCTGGCACTGAAAAGGCAGACTGGACAGAGTTTTTTTCGCTCTTTTGTTTTTCTTACCTCTTCTCCCCTCCCCTCCAGTGCCTCTGCCTTTCCCCCACGTACGAGTTGGCCCTCCAGACCGGGAAGGTCATCGAACAGATGGGCCGGTTCTACCCTGAGCTGAACCTGGCCTACGCCGTCCGGGGCAACAAGCGTGAGTGTCCAGCCGGACAGAGTGACCTTTCGGGTCTCTGCCATCAGTGGGGTCCCTCCAGTGCGAGAGTGGGGAGGGGTCTGGGGCTGTGGGATGGGCGAGATGGGCCAAGCTCCCCAAGGGGTCACATCCTCTTCTTCCCCTCCCCCCCCCCAACAGTGGAGCGTGGCCAGAAGATTGCCGAACAGATCGTCATTGGCACGCCAGGCACCGTCCTGGACTGGTGTTCAAAGCTCAAATTCATCGACCCCAAGAAGATCCGGGTATTTGTTCTGGACGAGGCCGACGTCATGATCGCCACCCAGGGGCACCAGGACCAGAGCATCCGCATCCAGAGGTCAGGAGGGCAGAAGCGGAACGCCATTATATACTTGGCAGAAGCAGAAAGCCGTTGTCGGGAAGGTTTTAAATGCCAGGGCGGTGGATCCAAATCTGGCTGTTTTTCTCCCCCCCGCCCCCCCCCCAGGATGCTTCCTCGAGATTGCCAGATGCTGCTCTTCTCGGCCACCTTCGAGGACTCGGTGTGGAAGTTTGCCCAGAAGGTGGTTCCCGACCCCAACATCATCAAGCTGAAGAGGGAGGAGGAGACGCTGGACACCATCAAGCAGTACTACGTCCTCTGCAGCAGCCGGGAGGAGAAGTTCCAGGCCCTCTGCAACATCTACGGGGCCATCACCATCGCCCAGGCCATGATCTTCTGCCACGTGAGGGCTGGGCCAGGCCGGGTGGTGGGCCGGGCGGCACCCCAGCCCCGTCCCTCCAGGAGCCCCCTCGCTTGCTGACCCTTCCCTCCCGCAGACCCGCAAGACGGCCGGCTGGCTGGCGGGGGAGCTGTCCAAAGAAAGCCACCAGGTTGCCCTCTTGAGTGGGGAGATGATGGTGGAGCAGCGGGCGGCCGTGATCGAGCGCTTCAGAGAGGGCAAGGAGAAGGTCCTGGTGACCACCAACGTTTGCGCCCGAGGTGAGTCCAGAATCAGAGAACTGGAAGGGATCTGGGGGGGTCTTCCAGTCCAGCCCTCTGCCTCAAGTAGGAGAGCCTGTATCAAGCGGCTGCCCAGTCTCTTCCTAAAAAGCTCCAGAAGTTCTCGTCCTTCCTTTCTGATGACTGAGGTGCCTGTGTGGACCGCACGGCCCCCCCTTTGACTCTTGGCTTCTGAATTTGGGAAATGGGCTCTGCAGGGTTACAGTCCTGCAGAGGAACGTTTGTTTAGCAACCGTCCAAAGTGACAGTGGCCCTGAAAGGAGGTAGCTTGGGACTAGCACTGCCCTTAGCCTCCTTATACAGCGTCCTCGTGGTGATGGGATCGGGTTTGGGGCGCTTGGCCACCATCTCGCACTTACGGCGGTCATTGGATTGGCAACCTTCCCAGCCGGCTTCCGACAGAGTCAGTAGGGAAGCTTGCAAGTTGCGGTGATGCCTTCCTTAACAACCGCAGAGGTCCAGTGAACCAGCAAGAGGATTGTAAAATCCTCTGCTGTCACATGATGTCTCGCTTAACGACCACACCACTTAACAGTGGACATTGTGGTCCTTCTTGTCGTGAGTGGAGGGTTACTTGCAAAGAGATTGTGGTCTCCTCCTCCAGTGGCTCTTAGAAAAGGCCGCTCAGTCCAAAGAGAAGGGCACAGTTTATGTCTGGTTGTGACGTGTTGTGAGCTACACAGAGTTGTGGAGCGTCAGGTCGTCTGTTAAGCTGGCAGAGGAGAAGTTTAAATACCGCGATGGCAAACTTCCTCTCCAGGCATAGACGTGGAGCAGGTCTCTGTGGTGATAAACTTTGACCTCCCAGTGGACAAAGACGGCAACCCAGACAACGAGACCTACCTGCACCGCATCGGCCGCACGGGGCGCTTTGGCAAGCGGGGGCTGGCCGTTAACATGGTGGACAGCAAGCACAGCATGAACATCCTCAACCGGATCCAGGAACATTTCAGTGAGTCCCCCAAAACGGTCCGGGGTCCGAGGCGAAGCTTCGTCTCCCTGGCCTGGAGCCTTGGGCCTCTCGTGTAAAACACCAAAGTCTGGTTGTGCCCTTGGGAGGGAGGGGGGCTTCACTGTAGGGCTGGGCTTGGCCTTCCAGAGGGGCAAGACCCAGCAGAGGAAGCCAGCTGGGGGACGTGGGGCCAGTCCCTCCCTCTCCACTCCAGCCAGGGAGGGGGCCATCCTAAAAGTTAGCTGGGGAAACTGCACGGATTAATTCAAAGGCACCCCCCCCCCAAATATTATTACTCTAGGTCAGGGGTCTCCAAACCTGGCCCCTTTAAGACTTGTGGACTTCAACTCCCAGAATTTCCCAGCCAATTCTGGAAGCCCACAAGTCTTAAAGGGGTCAAGTTTGGAAACCGCCTGCTCTCTATCCATTAAATAATTTAATCCAGAATATTACATTATTACATATTCAGTAGCATATGAAGGGGGGTTCAGGGACTTTTAAGGATCATCAGCAACTCGGGCTCTGTGACTTTTGTGAGTTAACTTAAATGTCTGTTTTGGGCCACGAATCACCAGAGAATCAAACTGGTTCCTGTTTTACAGATTCTGAATCTTTCCTGACAGTGCTGCTTTTTTTTTTTTCAGACAAGAAGATTCATAAATTGGATACAGATGATTTGGATGAGATTGAGAAAATTGCTAACTGAAGGGGGCAGCCGAGGGGATGGGCGTGCCCGCCTTCTGCCCCGTGGCCCTCCCACCCAAAATTGGCACGTCGTCCCGACGGGCGCATCTCCTCACCAGCCACGTGCGAAATGGGGCATCCCCCAAGATCACAAGCACTGCAGAAATTACCTAAACCAACAACAGTGCAGCTGGACTTTAATTTCCAAATTTGTGCAAGCTGGAGAACGGAAGATACATTTCTCAAAGAAATGTTTACAGTAACTTTTCACTTTTTTCTTTTTGTTTTAGCCTTAAGAATGGGGGAACCTCTTCAATTATGAAGATGCCAAAAAAAAAAAGTAGCCAATAATTAGAAGGGATTTTAATGGCAGGACTAAAAGGAGTACGTGGAAGATTGGACAGACAAATATCTAAAGCTTATGATTTTTTTTTCTTTTTTTACACTTCAAAGAGAAGAGCAAATGTCCAGGCTAGTTTCCTGATGGGAATGTGTGATGTGGGCAGAGATTGCCATTTTTACTCAAGGAAAATCACTGCTTGTTTTCTGATTCCCCCCCCCCTTGTTGATGGAATGGTTGCCTGTCTTTTCAATCTTATCCTTTTTCTCCTTCCTGAGAAACTTTGGAGAGCTGCAACCCCACGTGGGGGTCTCAAGACGCCGGCTTGCTTTTGGGGGATGGCGGGGAAGGGAAGCCAAAACCTGGGCAGGTTCGCAGGACTTCCCAGGCCCCTGGGGAGAGAAAGATGCTGTTTCGGGAACAGCCTGGTGGGGACGAAGAGAGCTGATGCTGACCCACGTCTAGAGGGAACTCTTGTCAGCTCCAAATAGAGACGGGAAGATGAAATAAGAGGTTTGGGCAGAAATGAGGAGCGGCTCAATGGGAGACGTGTTTGTGGGTGCTGTAAGGCTGAGCTAAATCTCTGTTTGGGGGCCTCCAGAGGAAGTCCCGTGGGTTGCAAAGGAAGGGTGGGCAGGCAGGCAGGCAGGCAGATGGGTTTATAGCTTCACCTCTGGAGGGGCAGGTGTGTCCCCCGAAGGGCTGAGGAGCATCAGCTTCCTCCTAAGGAGCTCCAGGTTTTAATTGGGTCTTAATTTCTTCCCCGCGTCCCAGCAAGTCCCTCTCCCTGTTCATCGTTGATGGGGCATCAGGCCACCGGTGTGCATTTTGGCTGTCTGTGTGTTGTTGGTTGCTACCAAATTGATTTGGCTTTTGGGCGGGGGGGGGGACAGAGATCATGCCTACAATTGCAGTGACCCCAGATGGTGTTCATTCAGGGGGGCTGAGGAGGCTCAGTGGAGGCTGCCTTTTCGTCTTGGCTCCGCCGTGGCATTCTCGGGCAGGCGCAGCGAGGGCTGGATCGGATTTCTTCTCTCTCTCTCTTTCTGTGTGGCACGGTAGAATGAAGAGTATTTTTATTCATGCTTGGGTGGGGGTAGAGGCAGAAGAGCTTCTGGCTTCCTGCTTGATTCGGGACCCTTTTTTAAATCGATTGAGAATGTTGAGTTTTTAATCCCTGCGTTTTAGAGGAAGCTGGGAGTGAGGTGGGGATTCTTTTCATGCAAAACAGGACATGTGCGCCCTGCTCGTTTTAGAAATGTACCTAAATTTTTAGGATGTTTGTGCACAGCCTCTTCCTCAGTTTCTGTCCACAGCTTTAGGGGGGTTTGGGGAGTGGGAGGGGGTTCAAGTGGGTTAAAAAAAAACATAGCTGTCCATAGAGTTTGTATGCTGGGGCATACTTATTTTTATTCCACAGGAGCTAACAGGCAGGCGTGGGCTGTATGTGGCAGGGAGTCTTCGACCCACTCTGGCCACACCAGGTGACCAGGCGAGCCGGACCCAGAGGGGGGTGGGAGAGGCGGCCAGAGCTGCTTTCCAATGTAACTTCTCCCTTGAATAAAGACCGCAGGAGACTTCTTGACACCCAGCCTCGGCTGTCTCCCGCGTGATTCGTAGCAGGGGGTCTTCAGGGGGCTGAAGGCGCCCCTTCCCCTCCTCCTGCCGAGCCAGGGGGGATTTTTAAATTGAGGGGAGTACCTGGCCTTCTCAGGCGAGAGCCCGGCCCTCCCTAAAGACTAAAACTAAGTTTGTTGTCGTGGCACTTGCATTTTAACTGGAATAAAATAAACACAGCTGATGCCCGCTAGGTGTTCCTTTGGCCTTTCTGTCCCTTTGGGGGTCCCTGGTTGAGCTGCTGAGGGTCGCCTGGGAGTGCTGAGCTGCGCTGCTGAGGGACCCCCTTCGTGCAGCCTTTTCATTAAATTTTTACGCCACCCATCTTCCCGTGCTCGCTCCATCAACTGGAAGGGTGACTAAAGCCAGGCATCAAAGCTGTGGCCCAAATATTTAGGGTTAAATGCACGTGCCGGTGTCCTTCGTGTGTCCGTGTGCATATTCTCCCTCAGAATATCTTCCATGGGTTTCAAGTGACCGATTTCCCCAACGGAATGCAAAAAAAAAGCCACTATTCCCCTTCCCACAAATCGGTCCACCCCTTTTCCTTAATAAATCCCACGTGGGTTTGTTTGCCCTGGAGGTTTTTAAAATCGCTTCATGCGCTCTGTGCCGGAGCATGGGAGACATAAAAGCCAGCACCCGATCTTGTCAGAAAGTTCTCTCCCCCCCCCCATTAAAGAAATGAATGGGGCTGTTTCTATCAGCTTCCCCCAACTGGGTGGCCTCCAGAGGGCTACAGTTCCCAGCTGCCCGTTTTGACCCAGCAATGCATGATGTCAGGTAGCCTCACCTGGTCTCCGTCCCCCAGCAGCTCAAAGGAGGCCAGGCCAAGATGAGCTGCCTCCTTCCCAGCACTGACCTCCTGGGCTGGGTGTCCCCCCCCCCTCCATGGACCCTGGGAGAAGAAAGCAGGCCCTTCGGCCACAACAGGCTGATCTTGGGAAGAGAGCCCAGAGAATGGCCCCTGGGGTGCTCTGCTGAATTGACCCCCCCCCAGGTCAGCTGGACAGACGCCAGACCGCCACTGCTCAAGGCTTCCATGCCCTGGGAAAGTCTCCTCCTGCCTCCCAGCGTCCTCTGGCCTGTCTGGGCTAAGAAATCAACACTCGAAGGCAGAGTGATTTTGGCAAGCTGTCCTCTCTGTTAGCAGGTCTCTTTGTGCAGAATACTGAGAGTTCGAACTCTACCTGCAGACAGAGAAATGTTTTTCTTTAAAACATTCAAATACAGTTTGAGGAAAAAAATGGCATTTTGATAACATAAACAGGCCACTCTTAATCAAAACAGGTTGATTTGTTTGTTCAAAAAGCAGCAGCAGCAGCTCTTCAGGAAAAGCTCCCCCCCCCCCAGGCAGAGCTCAAGACCGCGATACGCAATGCAAACACACATCCGTGACTGTTTCGGCAGGAGCTCTGAAATTATTGCCAGAAACAACACTGAATTTCAAATGTACGCTGGAGGCAGAGCCCATTCGGGGAGGATCCTTCCAGACTTAATTTGTGCCATAATCTCGTAAAAGAAATTTGATTAAAAATGCAGTAACACCTTGGGAAGGCTGAGCGTGTTCAAGAGTCTTTATCTACAGCCACCCCTCACCAGAATGGAGCAGAAGCCTTGAAACGGGGCATCGGGGCCCCGGCCTCCCCTCAGACAGGGCCAGTCTTTGTATCTCGTGCAAAAGCTTCCACTCCACTCCCCTCTCTCACCCCCCACCCCCCAAAAATGGATTATCCGCACCTTCAGCCAAAGCTGCGCAAGGGAGAATCTGGAGCAAAAGGCACAGTGTGGGGAGCTCCTGCTGGCCCTGCTTTCCTTTCCACTCTTCTGGATTCAAATCAAATTGAATCGGGGAAGGGATATAAAGCCCTCTGCCTACCAGGTGGAGTGCAGATGGGGGAGCCACTCAAATGGGCCGACAGCGCCTGAAAGCAAAGGCCGCCGCCGTCCCTTTGGGCTGGGCGGGGGGGGGACCTGGGCAAGTGAAAGCGAGTGTTCCGCCCCCCCCAGGAGAGGCATCGGCTGAGTCTAAAGGAGCGGACGGAGGCTGGGAGGGGCTGGGTTTCCTTCCAGGGGGGTTTAATGGGAGGCAGACGCACTCCTGCTCAGAGCGCCCCCTCCTGCTTGTCCAGCAGAATGCACAGCACGGACTTGTGGCGGATGGCGCAGTCCTGCAAAGACCGGCTGAGGTCCGAGAAGGTCCTGCGGGGCACCTCCACCGTCCCGATCCTGCAGCGCCGGTAGGCGGCCGCGTTCTTTTGCTCGGCCACAGCGACCACCGTCTCCAGGTTGTCTGTGGGCCGGAAGTAGCGTTCGAATCTGTCCCCCGAAGGCGAGCGGATGGCCAGCAGCAGCCGGGGCTCCTCCTCACCGGGCTCCTCCAGATTGAGGCTCAGTGCGGTGGGAGAACTTCCTTCCCTCTTTTTATTCAATCGAGGCCTCTCCAAGGCAGGGAAGGGGGGCGGGGGGTGCTCTCCACCGCCCCCCTTGTGCTCCAGCAGGAGAGGTGCGGGCCCCCTCAGCAGAGAAGGATCCTGGGACCTCTGCTGTTCCTCAGCTGCTGCTGCCTGGGCACTGGCTGGGAGCTCACCAGCCTGCTCGGACATCACTTCAGCAGTGCCTGTCCTCCGGTCCTTCCTGCTGATGGACGGCAGTACCCGGTACTTGTTGAGGGAAGATGAGGTCCTGGTGGGCACCTGCTGGAGGAGGTCCGGCACTTCGGCTGGGAGCGCCTGGATGGGCTGGGAGGAGGCTGCCCTCCGGCCACTGACCTCTTCCTCCCCAGGGGTGGCGACCGGCTGGGGGGACGATGGCACTTGGTAGGAGTAGGCCCCCAGGCTCTGGGAATAGCTCAGGTTGGACCGGGTGCGCCCCTTGGCGGATTTTGGCCGGGTGACATGCATGGCGATGCTGGGGAGTGGCGGCCAGCCGGGAGACTTTGCGATGCCGAAGGGGACCTTCCGTTCAGAGGGTGAGATGGTCAGGGGTGAGGCAGCGGCCATTGCTTTTCAGGAGGCCTGGGAGGGAAGGAAGGAAGGAAGAGAGAAATAACACGGACAGGTCAGCCAACACAGCATTTTGCAACTCAGCTTGCCAAGTACAAATCAGGTACAAGGCTGGCGTCCTCTGCTCTGGAACTCAGAGCCGCCGCCACCTGGGCTTGGCGCCTACTGTAATTTTAACCACACAATAGTGTGGGCAATGTCGCCAGCCCTCCCGCTGGCCGGATTTCAAACCAGACCTAAATATCCCCTCCGAGCATGAAGCTGCCACTCTCTCCTTGCCAGGTGGGAATTGCAGCCTCGGCTTCGGAGGAAGCAGGCAAAGGGAAGGGGAGAGGGCAACCCACCTGCCAAAGATGCTCCATGGGCTCCGGGCAACTGGCAGCTCCGGGTATCAGGAGGGCTGTCAGTTCAGGAGGGTCTCCGCTGCAGCCACGGCCGGGCAGTCGCTGGTGTTGCAGCCTGGAAAGGGAGGAGAGACGTTGCGGGCCTGGGGGGCATTGGGGGGGTCAGAGGAAGGCGAGGGGCGTCCTGAGAAATGCCCACCAGGGAGAGCCAGCAGGGTCAGATCCAGCCACACCAAGCCACGTTCCACTCTCCAAGCCAAGATTGCCTTTTGGCTGGGGGGGGGGATGACCGCTGGCGGGGATTGGAGGGTGGCGGGGCTGCCCCCCTTTCCTCTCCCAACAGCCCTGCCAGGTAGGCCAACCGAGAAGGGTGGGCTTCCCCTCTTCCCCCCCCCACCAACCCAGGGTCTGTCCCATGACTTCAGGCCCCATTGTTCCCAACCTGGCCCGCCCATCCTCCCCCGCTAGGGCATTTCCCCCAACCCTTCCCCATCACCCGCAGCTTTCCTATGGTCCGGAAAACCACGGTTCCCATCATCCCCAGCCCCTGTGCCGGACTTTTTGCCCGTCGTCACAGCGAGCTCGGTTTGATCGAGTCCCCATGGTTCCCCGCCGTGGCCGGGGACGATGGGGGTTGTAGACGGAGGGGGGGGCGTCGGACTCCCGGCTCAGTGGCCACCCCCGCCTCACCTGGCCGGGGCTCCATCCAGCAGCCCTGCGCGCAGGCGGGGCCTTCTCGGCGGTAAACAGCGCCGCGTCTCCACGGCAACGGCCGCCGCCAGCCGACTTCCGGCCTTGACCGGAACAAGACGCGAGGGAGGGAGACGGAGACAGAGAGGGAGGCCCACCTCACCATAGACGACAACAGGGCTAGAGGGGATCCAATGGGTTGTTCGCGTCACTCTGGCCCTCGCCCTGAGGGAACTTGGAGGGCAGAGAAAAGAAAAGAGGCGACGTTGCTCTACGAGACGAAGGGGGGAAAAGGTGGAAATTCCTCCCCCCGATTGCTTCCCAACAGCCCTGCCGGGTAGGCCAGGCCGGGGGAAGGTCTTTCCCGTCCATTGGCCTCTATTTCAGCTTCAGTGGGGGGGGGGATTTCATTACTGTAACTAAACTATAACTAATAACTATATACCTGCCTCCAGAAGTGGTGAATGCTCCAACACTGGAAGTTTTTAGGAAGAGACTGGATAGCCATTTGTCTGAAATGGTGTAGGGTTTCCTGCCTGAGCAGGGGGTTGGACTAGATGACCTCCAAGGTCTCTTCCAATTCTGTTATTGTTGTTGTTGTTTATGTAGAGATCTATAATCTTTAATTTTTTGTATCTATCATTTCTATATGTGTCTATATCCATCTATATCTATCATCTATCTCTATCCATTCATCCATCTATCCATCTATCTATATCTATCCATTCATCCATCCAGCTATCTATATCTATCTATCTCTATCCATTCATCTATCGAGTGCTTTTTTTCTAAAAAAAAAAAAAAAAAAGGTGCTGGAACACACACACGTCATACAACCTGCCTTGCCTACCCTACAAGGTTCCATCCAAAAAAGGTGCCGGAATTCCGTTCTGGGCGTTCTATGAGAAAAAAAGTCCTGCATCTATCTATCTGTCTGTTTGTCTGTCTGTCCGTCCGTCTGTCCATCCATCCATCTATCCCACCTTTATTATTACTTGTAAATAACTCGAGGTGGTGAACGTAATCTAATCCTTGTCCTCCACCACAACTCTGCAAGGTTCTTGTGGGAAATGTAACCCTTCCCCCCATCTCCACCCCCATCCTTTGCCCTTCCTGAAACAAGGATCCCTTGTTGTCATCCTGCCCTCTCAGCATCTGGAAACTGCAGCACCCTAGAGAGGTTTGGGGTGAGCCCCAGCCAATAAACGAATGCCTTGCTTTAGTCGAAGCTTTACCAGCTGGGTTAGCCAAGCTGATTATGACAGTCCCAACTGCATTGGGTCTGTCGCAGAGAACTGCAGCGATCCAACCAATGTAGACCCAAGAGCTGTTCCAGAATCCACTGGCAAGTTGGGATTTTTTTTTAATGTACATCACACAGTGGGGGGAGGGGGAACAGATAAATTCATCCCCAGAAGACAAAACAATTGCACAATGCCAGAAAGCATCTTAGCACAATAGTAGCATCAAGATTGGCTCTTTCATCAACATTTTGCCTGGGTGCCAGGAAGTATTTGGCAACACAGAGAAAAAAAAAACGGAACGAAGAATATTAAAACTGCAAAAGTGTAGAAGTTGATCCAAAAAGAGAAGATGGGAAGAATAGAGTTTTTGGTGCCACTGACAGCAAGATTTCTACACCTCCCCCCTCCCCCCCCCGCTCCCCTCCCAAAATGTTTCAGGAAGAAAAGCAAAGAGCTTAAGGTGTTTTTTTTTGTTTTGTTTTTTTTAAATCAGCTTGCCTAAAATCTTTGCATTTCAAGGTCGGGGATGGGCAGTCAGTGGAGGACGATGAAAAGGAAAGGATGCAAAAATTTGATTTTTGGCAGAAGGCTGCAGGAACAGTGCGGCACCAATGAACCCGCTGGTCTGATTTTTAAAAAATTAAAATCAAAGTAAGCTGGTTGCCATGGCCACCCTCCTCCCCCTGTCCACCTGCTTCATCTGTCAAAGATTTTTCTAGAAATGAATTCCCATGGCAGTGGAGAGAAGATCTAAAAATAATACCACCCTTTCGTCTACAAAAGCATCTCTCTCTCCGCACATCTCATTTTATATAACAGCAGAATTAACGAAAGGACGGTGTGTGAGCAGGCAAGGGGAAACAGCATCTTGCTGGCATTGACAGAAAATGTTTCCAAACAGAATAAGAGTTGAAAGGGACCTTGGAGATCTTCTAGTCCAACCCCCTATCTATGCATCGTTATCTAACCATTATTTGGGGTTACTTTGGTTTGTTTCTGCTCTGCCAGATTGTCACAGGTTAAACTCGACAAGAAAACAGTCTCTAAGCTTTTGGGCCACTGACTCGGATTGTTTCCTGAGTTTTAATTGCCCCACGCAAGCGAATTCTACACTTAAGGCTAAGATTCTCAACTCAAGAAACTGGGATCTCTGTGAAATTAAACTTGCTCAAGAGACCCATTTAAATTTGCATGGCGAGTTTAGACATTCCCCTATTTAACAGAAATTCAGGATGTGCAATTTTGCCGAATGGGACCATCCCCTTGGGCACGTCTGGGTTTCTGAGGACTTCTGCTACATCACTCCACTGCTAACTTATTTGTTTTTTAAATTTTACTTATTAGATTTTTTTAAATCTCACTTTTATTATTTTTTTTATAAACTCATCACTTTCAAAATTCAGGGTTTAAACCAAGCTGGTTTTCTCCCCCAATTTCTTTTCTTTATAGTTTGATGCTGTATAGCAGGGGTCTCCAAACTTGGCAACTTGAAAAGATGTGGAACTCAACTCCCAGAATTCCCCAGTCAGAATGGTTGACTGAGGAATTCTGGGAGTTGAAGTCCACATGTCTTCAAGTTGCCAAGTTTGGAGACCCCTGCTAAATAGGTACCAATATTCTCCTAGGATTAACGAAAACTAAGGCTGACATCTCAGGGCATCTGATTTTGGTATCTAATTTCTATTTTGTTAAAAATAGGTAACAAGATTCTGCCTGTCCTTGCGAACAGATGTACAACAGGGCAGCACACTGGAGAGGAGTTCTGGAGAACGTCAGAAATCCAAGGTACTGAAAGCTGTTGTTTATATGCAAGATTCCTGCTGACTCTCATCATAGCAGGAAAACAATATCGAAAATTTGTTTGTTTTTAACGAGACTTGAGGAAGAATTGCCAATTGCATAACCAGCTGTGGAAGTTATAGATACCCAAAGAGTTTTTATTTAAAGGTGTTTCTCCCTCCCTCCCCCCCACAATTTTTGCAGTTCAGCAAGTACAAACACCATCTTCTCTCCCTCCCCAAGGCCACCAAATATGTAAAAACTGCCCCCCCCAGCAATGTACCAAGAGTCCCATCCTGCTGAGCACCAGCTCACAGGGGCTTCTTTCTGCCAACCTCCAAAGTCCACAGAAAAGGGCGCAAAGCTTCTGGTTGTTTCTCCCCAAGCGAAAAAGAGAAAAAAGGGCTGCGATTAACGTGGCACAGACGAAGGAGTTCAGTTGACGAGGAGGAGGATGTGATGGTTCGGTTGCGTGTCGGACTCTGGATTTGTTGCCAGGAGGGAACAACATGGAAGAGACGTTGTGTTCCCCACGCCCACTTGTCTCTCCTGCCCAAATCTCCAGGAATTAGAAAATTATGGCTTCGGTGCTCCTAGCGGGACAGGCAAGGGGGCTCCCGGCTAGGTGGCCTCCAGGAGGCCGTGTCCCCCACGGGCAGCGCACCCTGCAAGCTGCAGAACTGGAATTCCCGCACCAAAGTCTGCATCTCCGGCCGCTCCAGGCACCTGGTCATCTTGGGCTCTGGAAGGGCAGCGCCGGGGCGGCCCCTATGGGCCGTGTGGTCAGCCCAGAGGGCCGGGCCCGCCGAGCCGATGGCGCAGATGATGGAGCAGGTGGCCAGCCAGTCGAGGGGGGCACCGGTGGCCATGCCCAAAGGCGCCAGATGCTCTTTCCTCCTCCTGCCTTCCTCCTGCTCCTGCTCCTGCTCCTCCTCCTCCTCCTCCTCCTCCTGGATGGAGCTGAGCCGGGACCCGTTGCGGCCGCGGTCCGGCGGGGGCCGGTAGGGGCACTTGGCGTTGAGCAGCCTGCGCAGGGGCGCCAGCGGGACGACGGCCTCCCCGAGCAGCTGCCGCTGGAGCCGGCGCGCGTCGCTCCGCCGCTGCAGCCGCTTGAACTCGTCGAAGGCGGCGGCCGAGGTCTGGAAGAGCAGCCGGGCCGCCGCCTGCGCCTTCTCGGCCCGCGAGAGCAGCACCGCGTGGCAGCGCAGCGCCACCGCCTTGTTCTTCACCTGGTGCCGGTAGACCCAGGCCAGCACCCGCGGGTGGCGCCGGTCGGCCGCGCAGTAGGTGATGCGGTGCAGCAGGTAGGCGTGCCCGGCCCGGGGGCGGCCCTCCTTGGCGGCGGCGGCGGCGGCGACCGGGCGCAGGTGCAGCCCCTGCGGGCCCAGGCTGAGCTGCGTGCGGGCGCCGCGCCGGCCGGCCTGGCTGCGCGCCCAGAGCTTCTCCACCGCCGCCTCGGCGCAGCCCTCGCCCTTGGCCAGCAGGGTGGCCGCGTGGCCCAGGTAGCAGGCGCGGAAGGTGGGCTCCTCGGCGTTCAGCCGGGCCGTCCGGCGCCGGCGGCGGAAGAGGCCGCCCGGCGCCCCCGCCGGCCACAGCTCCGGGCAGGAGCCCAGCAGGCCGGCCAGCAGCGAGGCGCAGCTCAGCCGCGGCGCCCAGCCCTTCCCCGGCCGCTTGCGCTCCTCGCGCCCCACCAGCACCCACTTGCTCCGCCGCCAGGGCAGCAGCGCCGCCGCCGCCGCCGCCGCCATGGGCCGCCCCGACGCCCGCCCTCCTGCCCCGGCCGAGCTGGGCTCTCCCGCCGCGCTCGCCGAGCAGCAGCCGCGCAAGGAGGGGAGGCGGCGAGGCACGGAGCCGCCGCCGCCGCCGCCGCTGCTCCGCCTCCTTGCCCGGCCCGGGCGCGCGCCGCCCCCGCGAGTTCCCAGGTCCGCGCGCCCGTGGGAACAGAAAAGGGCCGGGCGTGTTAAGTAAGTTACGAGAATGCCAAGATGCTTTCATAAATGCCCCCTCCTAACAAGTTTTACAGCAGAGATTTAAAATCTCTTTGGATCCGGAACCCGTCTCTGCAGGTGGATCTCCTGGGGTTCTCGGCCCCCCAGGGATGGGGGCTGCTGAAGTCTTTAGTTGTCAGCGAGTGGGGGCTGAGGGGGCCGCCCATCTGGCCAGCCGACTTAAGGGGCGCTTACCGGTGGCAGGAAGGTGCTGAAGGAACAGCTCCCCAATGGGATCCTGGTGGCGCAATTCTGCCCCTAGGGCCAGCTTCTTTGGGAAGATGTTCCAGATGTTTGGGAGGTGCAAGCTCCTTATTTCTGAGTCCCAGCTGTGTTGCTGGGTCTGTCCACAGGGGGAATATTGATCATTGCATCTGCCGGACTGTTTAACTTCCGGAAATGTGTGTCAATCCAGCCAGTTGTGGCTCACTTAGTAAGCCATTGCTCAACAAATGATGTCTCGGTGTGACGTTTTAATCAGCCCTCGCTTGTGTACTTGCGTACATCCAAACTGGAGGCCCCCGCCGCACCCCTTGCGTGGCCGGAGGATCCGGGCCTCGCTATCCGCCTCCCTTGTCCCAGATCAGCTGGGCTTGGTCTCCTAGCAACCCAGCCCTCAGGCTGCAATGACTTAGTGGGTTTTCGTAATGGCCTCATCGCTGTCACCTCACATCCCCTGGCAGTCAGGGAGGTGGATTCTGCTAAAAGGCAGACAGCAAGTTCCTTGACTTTGTGGGTCCCCTTGTGGGTTCTTTCACAGTCACTGACCCCGGGAGTCACACAGTCCACCTCTCTGCAGGAACTGGTTGTCAAAATAAAGAGTAGTTTCTCGTCTGGTTCTTTGTTTGCATCCCAAATAAAAAGGAAATTTAGGAAAACTGAGGGAAGGAAAGAAGGAATGAAGGGAAAGGAATGGGGGGAGGGAGCGTGGGAAAGAAAGAAGCTGAAGCTCACTGCAAGTTGTTCAGCTCACACACACACACAAACCCGATGCGAAGGAGCTTCAGTCAGCCTAGGTGCATACCCCACCCCAAAAGCACCCCTTATTTCTGGAAAATGGTCTTGTAGATCCACTTCTGGAAGTTCGCTACGGCTGTGTAGACGCCGGGATACCCGGGGCTGGCGCAGCTGTGTCCCCACGAAACGATGCCGAACACCCGCCCATCACACACCAGCGGCCCCCCGGAGTCACCCTGGGGGGGGGGAGAGAGAGAGAGAGAAGAGCCAAGAAGCTTGGCAACAACCCACAATTTCCCAAGGAATCCTTTTTTTCCCATTTGTTTGCCCAAGCCCCCCTCCCTGGAAAAAAAGGGCTAAGGGCCAACCATCCTCGGATGCTCCAGGCACTTCCTGGAACCAGGTTGGGAGGCACAAAACAGAAGCCCCCTCTACCTGGCAGGCGTCTTTTCCTCCCCAGCCGAATCCGGCGCAAATCATGTTCTTGGTGATGTACCCGGCGTACGAAGCGGAACTGTTGCATTTGCAGGTGGAGACGAGGGGCAACTGGACGCTGCGCAGGGTGTCCGACGTCCTGCCCCTGATGGGCGTGGTGTAGCCCCAGCCGGAGACCTGGCAGAAGCGGCCGGCCCGAACCTTCGTCCCTTGCCGAGGGACCGGCACGATGGAGACGAAGGGGCTGTCGGCCACCGGGCGGCTCAGCTGGTGGGCGAGAGCACAGAGACCCCGAGTGGGTGTTGAGGTGCAAGGAAGCTCCCCCATTTGTTCCCCCAAGAGGCCGTGCCAGTTTTGGGGACACTGCGGGAGTCAGAAAGTGGCCTGCCAGGCTGAGCTCACCTCTGTGCCCACCCCCTCTCTCCCTGCCCTCCCCCCCCTCCCTGATCGGTCTCCTCCCCCCCCCGAGAGCCGAGCTGGGGTCACCTTAATCAACATGATGTCCGCATTTTTCGAAGAGGTGCTGTAGTCCGGATGGAGCACCATGCGGGCCGGCCGGAAGATCTGCTCGGTGCCCTCAAAAGTGGACAGGGAATATTCTCCGGCCACGATGAGCATCTGGTCCTTTCTGCAGGAGAGGAAAAGGCCATCTGGAGGGTGGGAGGTTTCCGGTATGGGAATGTCTCACTTAGCCACACAAATGTTGGGCTTGACTGTGGCCATAAGTCCAGGACGCCTCCTCCTTACCCTGTCTTGCAGTGGGCAGCGGTCAAGACCCAGCTGCGGCTGACCAGCGCCCCCCCGCAGAAGTGGAAGCCCGTCTTCCTCTTCAGAGACACCAGATACTTGGAGGAGTGGGGGGCCACCACGTAGCCCCCAACGATGCGGGGGGCGTCTGTCTGTCGGTCTGCGGGGAGAGGGAGGCGGTCGGCAGTCCCTAAAAGTGGCCTCTCTGGTGATGGACAGATGCTGCAGGCCCCATAATGCCCAGCTAGCAGAATCACAAGCCCTCCCTGGTCCCTGAGCCCACCTCCCCAATTAATGCCCTCCCTGCAGTTTGGATTATTCCCCCGATCCAGTCCATTTTTGGCGCTTCCAGACTCAGTTCTCAGTTCTTGTGCTCTAATTCACTCCGCCTTTTTTTCCCCAGTAAAAATGATTTTCTATCTTCTCTGAAGGAATGTTGAGCTGTTTTTTTAGAGGCCACGTCAACATGTTTTTATGAGCTGGGCATCTTATTGGGGAAGTCATCCTGCTGAGATGTATGCTACCATAGCCTTTTTAGGTTAAAATGGAACGTGCTTTTATTTCTGGCGGTCACTTCTGCTGTTCTCTGACCTTATTAAAAAGGATGCTGTGATCTGACACAGGAGTCAAGCTGACTCCAGTGACAAATCTGTAAATTAGTTGCATTTATACAACCCAGTTGCTGACTGGGTTGAATCCATGGGGTTCCCACAGCAGGGATACTGAATTAAATCTTTTTTTCTACTTACAGATTCTTCCCTAAAGCCTTCCTTCCCTCCCTCCCTCCCTCCCTCCCTCCCTCCCTCCCTCCCTCCCTCCCTCCCTCTCTCTCTCTCTCACATACACACACACAAACAAGCAACATTTTTTTCTAGTCATAAGATTTCTTGCTCACCCATTCATTTATTCTTTCAGAGCTGTTCTCCCCCAGTGTTTCCAGCCATCTTTACAACTTTGCCACCTAAAAATGCCCTTTAATTGCCAGCTATCTTCCAGCACTTCCTAGGTTTAATTACCGTCTTCTCACAAACAATTAAGCAATTGTCCGCAGAGTTATGCCTTGCTCTCTGCCAGGATGTTGCTCTGATTATTAGTTTCCTCTTGGCCTTTCCTAGGGGGGAGGGAAGGGGGAAGGAGGGCCCCCCCAAAGCTTCTTTTCCTGGGTGGGTGGGAGGTTGAAAATGAAATGAAAAGTGAAGGAAAATGGCCTTTTTCTTAATTTAGATGGGCAAACAGGCAATATTTTGAGAAATGAGGAAACGATTCCTTTTTTGTCATTCAGCTCTTGTGGCTCAAGACTCAAGAGGCCGCTGGATTCATACCTGGCCATTCCTGTCCACCTCCATCCCCGGCTGAAGGGGATCCCGGGTGGGGGTTCCCCCCCAAATCCTGTTCCGCTGCCCCAATTTCTGAGCCGGTCCATGGAGCTGCGGTAAGAAAAGGTACGTCGGATCTAAAAGGAGGGATCCCCTGGTACACCAAAAGGATGTGCCCTCCCCCCCAGTCTCGCATCAAGAGGGGTGCAGATTAGACAGACAGGTCTGCAATGCCTCTTCCGAGAATCGGGCTCCGGGCAGGTGGAAGCCCATCTGGGACAATCACTCACCGGTCAAGGAGGAGAACAGGAGGAGCAGAAGCTGAAGTCCTGGACTGTGAGGTCTCATCCCACTTTACTTCTGAGAGCATCTGTGGATGCCCCAAATCTCTCCCTTTCTTCTCGGTCCCGGCTCTTCTTTCCGTTGCCATAGCGATCCCCATCCCAGGAGCACCATCAATGGTCCACTGTCCCGGAGGTCCTTCAGGGCACCAGCACCCGCTTGGCATCCTTTTTCGGGTCTTCTCGGCTTCCTTCTGGGCCCTGCCCTCCATTCAGGCCCAAGCTCAGGTTTCTCGGCAGACGTGGCCGCTCAGTGACATCCCGGAGGCCCCGGCATCCCTGCTTGGCACGGAGAACGGAGCATCTGCCGCCGGGCAGCAGAACCAATGGTGCACAGCCTGAAAGGGATGGGCCCAGCCCTCCGTAAAGATCAGACGTGGCTCCTTGTCCCTCTTCCCGGTGGAAGTCGGGCTGCTTCGATTCCCGATTCCAAATGTTCCTGGATTCAGAAAGAACAGAAATGTACAAAAATACGATGTTGGCAAAAAAAGGGAGAGGCCAAGGCTGCGCCACCATCATTCCCAAGCAGGATTCTCAGTGGGTTAAAAGACGTTGCTCAAGCGTGGAAGATTGGGTGTGCAGTCTTCATTTTACAACAGAGAGGCACAATTGGGGGCCAGATCTGACTCTTAGCGTGCCGAGGACCCGAGGACTCGTGGTGCCACCTCTGCATCCCAGAGCTCCGGCTTCAGGACGTGCAAAGCAGAGTCTCTGCTTAGTGACGGCCACATTTAAAACAAGGCCGGAAGCGCCATCTTCAGCAGCAGCTTCTAGCCCATTTATAAGTCGTTGATCAGTGCGCTACGCTCCGAGTTTTAGTGGTAGAGCTTCCAGGCGCTTAAAAATGAAACAGCCTTTTCCTCCTCCTTCCAGTTTCTGAATCTCCTTCATTTGAATGCCCAGAATCCCAGGGCCGTAGACCCCAAGGCACATTTGCAGAAGTCACATTGGGAAGAAAGATGGGTGGATGGGTGGGTGGGTGGGTGGGTGGGGTGGATGAGACAGGAGAAAGGAATGCCAACCTTTCAATCCAGGGCTTGGATTGTTTGGAGGAGGAAACAGCACCCCTGCCCATCCCTCCGTGCCAGGCAGGATTGGGCATCCAGAAAACCAACCTAGAACTTGGGAGATCAGAGGTTGTGGGTGCTCCATCGCTGGGGGTCTTTGTCCTGAATGCTGTAGGGCAGGGGCAGACAACCTGGGCTTTTTTATGACTCGTGGACTTCAACTCCCAGAATTCCTGCTTGAACAGGATTCGTTAAGGGACCGTGGGGATACTGCAACGGTTGTGAGGGCAAGGATTGTTCCGTGGAGTTGTGCGAAGCCCCTGCAAGGTTGGCAGTTCCTGTTTCTGCTGCTCAGAGCTTTTGTCATTGTAGGCAAAGCAGGGAGGGGAAGGAAGTCCCAGCCTCCTTGCTCAGAAATGATGACAGATGGACGCAGAGAGTTGACTGACGGGCCAATTGCACCTTCTCCCGAGAAGGGGAAGAGGATCTGGGCCAGCATCGGTGGCCACAGGACAGCGGAGAGCCCGGTGCCATCTTGAGGGGGCCCCAGGTCAGCCAGGTCCTGCAACGGAGGAGAAGGGACCCCTGGGATCTCAGCCTGAGAAAACAGGTGTGTGTTGTGTATTGAACTGAAACTTTAAGGTGGGCACAGAAGTCAATCTAAAGGTTAAGCTGGATGTTTTTAGCCGACTGCCACTCGCTTCATTGTTCTTTCCTTCCATCTGAATTCAAGGAAAGAAAAGGGGCTGAGGTTCTCAGGTGTGACAGTTGGGGATATCTCACCATACTAGTCCTCAGCAAGGTCTGTGCCTGGGCCATTAGCCTCTCCCAGCTGGGAGAAGCGAAATTAAACAAATGGCAGAGACTGTTTAGGTTGTGGATGAAAGCAAGGACGGAGAAGTGGAGGAGGAGGAGGAGGTCAGCTTGACCAAATTAAATTTTCCTTTGTTTTGACCAAGCTCCTCTCCCACAGCCTTCACGCTGGGCTTTCCCCCCCCCCCTCTTTCACTTTCTGCCAAGTTTTGCAGAAAAACGTTTCCTTGTGGGAAAGAAAAGGCCCTGTGCGGGTGCAGTTAAACAGTCACTTGTTCCAATTCTGGAACCCGTTGAACAGTAACTAGGAGAGGGATCGCGGGTTCGCCCTTCGGCCTGACTCGGGCAGGGCCCACGCAGAGATGAGCGGAGAGCACAGTGGGGCCTCTCCAGGAGCCTGAAGTTAGCCAGGCAAGCGGGGGCTGTGCCCGGCCCAGCTCTTCTAAGCCTCTGCACCGTTGAACGAACTCGTCCTGCCTAAATCCAGGAAAAAGCTGGGCTTTGATTTTTCAACGGAGGGATACAGGAGAGCCTCCTCAAGCCAAGCCAGCCTCCTGCCAGGACCTGCCTGCATAATTTTCTCCAGGGCAGATGAGGATGAGGGTCTGATTCCTCCAGGTCCAGCCAATAGTGAGTAAGAATATCTGACTTAAAGAAATGCGTTTCTAGCAATGTGTGTCAGGCAGGGACAGCAAGTAAGAAGGCCCGAGACAAAGAAAGGAGGGCCACTTCCCCATTCGGCCCTCCAGCAGTTGCTAGTTTGTAAAACCACTTTTATATTTCTTAACCAAGGGAACTGCTACCCGCAAAGCAAAACCGGTTGGCTCCTGCCACTTTCCACCAGAATCTCCAAAGCAGAGCTGGCTTTGGTCTTCTCCTGCCCAGCCAGCCCCATCCTGGCTGGGAGGATACAGTGCCAGCCTGGCGCCTCTCCTCTCCAGCCTCCCCGGAAGGGCAGAGGCCGGCTGCACAGGAGATCAGGGCAGTCCGGCTTCTCTCCCTGCGCACGGCGCCCACGGCCGGCTGCCCTCTCTGGCCCCCCGTTGGTCTGAGTGGCTGGGAAGCGGCAGAGGCTGCACCTCCCCCCCCCTGCTTCCCTTCCCACAGCGGTGCTGCCAGGATTTCCACTGCTTTGCTTCCCCCACCGGCCTCCCTGTTTGCAGGGAGTCCCTAGAGAGATTTCCCGGCCCTCCTTGGCACAGCCGCTGGTCTCTTGCTGCGGCTGAGTTGGCAAAGCAGCTGCCAGGCTGCTTGAGGCACGGAAGCAATCGCACCCTGCTTTTATCCTCCTCCCGCAGCCAGAATGGAGGCCAAGAGCAGAGAAGGGCCAGGAGGCTGAGGGGGGAGTGAGAAGGCAGCCGGGGACGATGCCCACCCACCGCCTTGTCCAGGCTAAGGAGAGGCGACTTCCTCCCAGTGAGGGCGGGCACGGGGAGAGGCCGGCCTCCTTCCAGAAAGGTCCTCGATCAAAGCTTGAAACTTTTTGGGTGGCAAAACAGGTGTGCTGGCTGTGGAAGGAGGTCCGGTCATCTCCGATGCTGCTCAGGCGCTGCCAGAGGGAGAGAAACACTCACCGCCCATCTCTCCATTCCTTCCCCTGGTGCCGCCGGGATTAGGCAGAGCTCCTGGCCATGGCGCACGAGCAGCTGGGCGGCCCCAAGGCCGGGCTTGAGCCGGAGGTGGTCCAGCGTCTTTTGGGCGCCTGTCGAGATGCCAAGAGGTTTGCCTACTGTCCCTACAGCAGGTACCCCGTGGGAGCGGCACTCCTGACCTCAGAGGGGAAGGTCTTCACAGGTGAGGAAGACAGGAGCAGTGTCCCTCGGCCCGCCTGGACCCTCCTGGCCCAGAGAAATGGGGGTGGGAGAAAGACTATGGCCCCTTCTAGGCAGACAGGCTGAACCCCCCAACCCTCCATGTTCATCACCGTTGGCCCCAGAGCACAAATGCTGGGTGAGCCAGCCAAGATGCCTGAGGAACTCTGCCAAGGTGGCTTCAGGGAAGATTTCTGGGGTACCGCCAGTTACGGCACGAGCAAGGGATCCTGGGAGATGTGGTTTAGCTACGTCTTGTTTTAACGCCTCTGATATTCTTGTTGCCCCCGCCAGGTTGCAATGTTGAAAACGCCGTGTTTCCGCTGGGCGTCTGTGCCGAGCGAACGGCCATCCAGAAGGCCGTGTCTGAAGGTCACACAAAATTTAAAGCCATGGCCATCAGCTGGTAGGTGGCACTCAGACCCCCCGGGGTGGGGTCTCTGCCAGGAAGGCTTTCAATGAGCATAAGCAGGAGATGTTTTTAGCCGGGCGGTTGACAGTTTGAAGCGGAATATCACGATGGAGACGGCTGAAGGTGCTCATTGGTGGAAGACTGTGGCTTTCTGGCTAGACCTGTCTTTCAGGAAGAAGAAAAATGGTTACTTCCTTGAGCTGCAAAACCACACAGAAGCCGGTCTCTTTGTGTGCCAAACACACCTTGCATGCTTCTTGCAATACGGGGAGCAAAAATAATACCCATCTTGGCATAGAGTAGATTTAAAAGCCACAATATAGTCAATTTCTCTTTGGAAGCAACTGTAGCAGGAAGCCCCTTTTGTGGGAGATTGTCAGGGCTGAGTACTGGGGGGGGGGTCCTCAGGGCATCTCTTGGGGGTCCTGCAAGCCCCAATCATTTGTCTTGCTGCAGGTTCAGTGCATTTTCCAAGCCAAAACCCATAATAGTTCCGTGAAGGAGACAAACGCCAGCCCAGCCTCACGTAATTTTGGATGTAGGGAGCCTGCCAGCTTCTGGGATTGAGTGAGAGAGTTTCATATTTTTCTTTTTTCTTTTTAAACAGCAACAGCCAAGAGTCCTACGCCATTCCGTGCGGAGCTTGCAGACAAGTCCTTCGAGAGGTAAAAGGCTTTCCCTGCCCGCCTTCTAAAACAACCACGTTGCTGACTTAACCGCAGCGAGTCACTGCACAGCTGTGGCAAGGAAGGTCACAAAATGGGACCAAACTTGCTTAAAAGCTGTCTCGCTTAGCCATGGAAATGTTGGGGTCAAATGTGGTCGTGAATCAAGGACTGCCTGTATTTGAGATTGGTGACACTTCTGGGTTTTGTTTCCCTAGTTCGGTCAACAGTGGGAGATCTATTTGACCAGGATGGACGGAGCCTACATCAAGAAGAGCTTGGAGGAGCTTCTGCCTTTCTCTTTTGGTCCAGAACATCTGAAGATCTAGACGGGAGGAAGGAGCCCCGCAGCGGCTTCACTGTTTCTCCGCACCTCCCACCACCTGACACCTCCCCAGTTCAGAAACCTGGCACACCTTCGCCTCCCAGCCTGGGATTCCAGGGATCTCCGCACCTCCCCTCAAAAGGGAGGCGATTGGATATTTCCATTCACAGGGGGTGCTGCCTGCGTGATCGGATCCGGATCCTCAGCCGCATTTCAAAGGGGCAAATCTGGGTTCTTGGCCCCTGACCTGCAGCCCCCGCCTTACCCCAAGATAAACCGCTGTTTTTTTTGAGTCCATTGGCTCCGTATTCTTTGCCCTCGTCCTCACCATGAATTCATAGAGCAAAACGGACATCGCCAACAAACTCGGAGTGCTTGGGTATAGTTAGGAGGGCACTGACTTTTCTAGGCTGCGCTATCTATGTTTCCTGGTAAAATACATGGGAAAATCCCATTGGAGGAAAAGTCCACTTAGGGTTAGGGTTAGGTCACCGTGAACTGCTAGAGCAAAACAGACATCGCCAACAAACTTGGAGCGCTTGGGTATGGTTAGGAGGGCACTGACTTTTCCAGGCTGTCCTATCTATGTTTCCTAGTAAAATACATGGGAAAATCCCATTGGAGGACAATTCCACTTAGGGTTAGGGTTAGGTCACCGTGAACTCCTAGAGCAAAACGGACATCGCCAACAAACTCGGAGTGCTTGGGTATGGTTAGGAGGGCACTGACTTTTCCAGGCTGTCCTATCTATGTTTCCTGGTAAAATACATGGGAAAATCCCATTGGAGGAAAATTCCACTTAGGGTTAGGGTTAGGTCACCATGAACTCCTAGAGCAAAACGGACATCGCCAACAAACTCGGAGCACTTGGATATGGTTAGGAGGGCACTGACTTTTCTAGGCTGCGCTATCTATGTTTCCTGGTAAAATACATGGGAAAATCCCATTGGAGGAAAATTCCATTTAGGGTTAGGGTTAGGTCACCGTGAACTCCTAGAGAAAAATGGACATCGCCAACAAACTCGGAGTGCTTGGGTATGGTTAGGAGGGCACTGACTTTTCTAGGCTGCGCTATCTATCTTTCCTGGTAAAATACATGGGAAAATCCCATTGGAGGAAAATTCCACTTAGGGTTAGGGTTAGGTCACCGTGAACTCCTAGAGCAAAACGGACATCGCCAACAAACTCGGAGCGCTTGGATATGGTTAGGAGGGCACTGACTTTTCTAGGCTGCGCTATCTATGTTTCCTGGTAAAATACATGGGAAAATCCCATTGGAGGAAAATTCCATTTAGGGTTAGGGTTAGGTCACCGTGAACTCCTAGAGAAAAATGGACATCGCCAACAAACTCGGAGTGCTTGGGTATGGTTGGGAGGGCACTGACTTTTCTAGGCTGCGCTATCTATCTTTCCTGGTAAAATACATGGGAAAATCCCATTGGAGGAAAATTCCACTTAGGGTTAGGGTTAGGTCACCGTGAACTCCTAGAGCAAAACGGACATCGCCAACAAACTCGGAGCGCTTGGATATGGTTAGGAGGGCACTGACTTTTCTAGGCTGCACTATCTATGTTTCCTGGTAAAATACATGGGAAAATCCCATTGGAGGAAAATTCCACTTAGGGTTAGGGTTAGGTCACCATGAACTCCTAGAGCAAAACGGACATCGCCAACAAACTCGGAGCGCTTGAGTATGGTTAGGAGGGCACTGACCTTTCTAGGCTGCACTATCTATGTTTCCTGGTAAAATACATGGGAAAATCCCATTGGAGGAAAATTCCACTTAGGGTTAGGGTTAGGTCACCGTGAACTCCTAGAGCAAAACGGACATCGCCAACAAACTCGGAGCGCTTGAGTATGGTTAGGAGGGCACTGACTTTTCCAGGCTGCCCTAACTATGTTTCCTGGTAAAATACATGGGAAAATCCCATTGGAGGAAAATCCCATTGGAGGAAAATTCCACTTAGGGTTAGGGTTAGGTCACCGTGAACTCCTAGAGAAAAATGGACATCGCCAACAAACTCGGAGTGCTTGGATATGGTTAGGAGGGCACTGACTTTTCTAGGCTGCGCTATCTATGTTTCCTGGTAAAATACATGGAAAATCCCATGGAGGAAAATTCCACTTAGGGTTAGGGTTAGGTCACCGTGAACTCCTAGAGCAAAATGGACATCGCCAACAAACTCGGAGTGCTTGGGTATGGTTAGGAGGGCACTGACTTTTCTAGGCTGCCTATCTATGTTTCCTGGTAAAATACATGGGAAAATCCCATTGGAGGAAAATTCCACTTAGGGTTAGGGTTAGGTCACCGTGAACTCCTAGAGCAAAATGGACATCGCCAACAAACTCGGAGTGCTTGGGTATGGTTAGGAGGGCACTGACTTTTCTAGGCTGCCTTATCTATGTTTCCTGGTAAAATACATGGGAAGATCCCATTGGAGGAAAATTCCACTTAGGGTTAGGGTTAGGTCACCGTGAACTCATAGAGCAAAACGGACATTGCCAACAAACTCGGAGTGCTTGGGTATGGTTAGGAGGGCACTAAGTACTAGTTGTGTTAGCCCTCAATGTTCCTGTGTGTTGTGTATACACACCCTTCTCCACACACTGAATGAAGCGGGCTCTGCTGTTGGTAACGTGGAATGGGAAGTATGTGTGTGTTTGTGTGTGTGTGATGTGCCCCAGGAGCAAATCACTCCGTTGTTCATGGAACAGTCACAGGGATTCTCTTCCCATAATTAAATATTTCTCATCCTGGGCGACTTGAAGATTTTTTTCAATTATTAAAATGCTGCTCAATGGCTGCTCCTCCATTCTGAACGTCCCCTGCATCGAAGAGAGGAGGGAGGGAGGGCGGTTTAAATCGGGGCTCTGCAGACTTGGCCACTCTAAGACGGGTGGACTTCGACTCCCAGAATTCCCCAGCCAGCCACGCGGAGTTTCCCGAGCTTCCCCAAAAGACCAAGCTTGCTCAGAAGGCTTTCAAACGCCCCTGAAGACTTCAACCCCCAGCATCCCTCTCACTCCGCGCATGCGCGCTACTTATGGAACGTTGGCCGTTCAGATCCGCTTTGCCCGCCCCGCCCGCCGGTCTGCGTGGCCCCGCCCCCTCCGTGCGTGCGGCCTAGTCGGGGCGATGGGGCTGCGTCGCGCGCTGGGCCTCGGGGCGCGGCTGGACCGGGTCTTCCTGCGGTGCTGGCTCGGGGGACCTCCCCGGCCCGCCGCGCCTGCCTCCCGCTTCTCCGCCGACCAGCCCGCGCGCCCCCCGGGGTTGCTCCTCCTGCGCCTGGCCGCGGCCCGGTTGGGGCTCCGCAGCGTCCCTCTGCGGCGCCTCCCGCCGGCCCCGCGGCGCCTGGGGCTGGCCCTGGGGCTGGGGCTGGCGTTGCTGGAACCCCCGGCGGCCGAGGAGGAGAGGCGCGCGGCCGCGGCCTGCAAGGACATCCAGGTGCGGGCCGCGTTGCTGGGCGACGCCGTTGCCGGGGCAACGGGCCAGCCTCCTCTCTGGAGGGCCGGCATCGTTTCTGAAGGAGAGGGGCGGGGCCATGAGGGGGAAAGGGGGTCCAAACCCCCCCGGCCCACGAGGCACGCAGGACCTCTTCCTCCCCCCTCCCGCCTTCTTCCGGCTTCCACGCCACCTTCCTTTTTTTGTCCTGCTTTTGCAGATTGTTGGTTTTACTAATATTTTTTCACCTGTTTGTGTAGAATCAAATAGATGCAGGGCAGGAAAGCCGGGGGGGGGGGCTGTGCACTGTTCATACAGAGTCTTATAACCTCTGAAGACAAACCCTGTTCCTTCCTGGCACTGATGACGTCCCCTAGTTGGGTCATGAAACGTCTGCAAGGAAGGGACCAAACTCAGAGAGCACCTAGGACCCCTCAGTCCTCCTCCTCCTCCTCTCCGCAAGCCCCACCCCATTCTTGCACTGATGATGTCACCTAGTTGGGTCATGAGACGTCTGCAAGGAAACGATCCAAGACACGCGCGCACACACGTATACCGAGGTAGCCAAAAGCCCGAAGGCGCAGCAGGCTTTGATGGCAGCAGAGGGAGACGGAAGCCACGGGCAACTTCTCTGGGCTGGCTCCACCGAGGAGGCCCTGCTTTTCCTCTTCTGGCCCGAAGCAGTCGCGCCCAGCGTTCCTTTTCGTGCTTGGGAGCCTCTGACGTGGCTGCTCTTCTTTCCAGACCATATTCCTCCCGAGGAACAAGCCTCAGAAGGACACCCTGGGATTACTCGCCCGGCGAGGCTTCAGCCTGGAGGACTATTTCATCGGCCAGTCGATCGGCAAAGGCTGCAGCGGGGCTGTGTATGAAGCGGCCCCTCCTGCCACCGGTGCCGGAGAGGGAGAGCGGGGGCCCCAGCGGAGGCCTGGCAATGGGGGCGCTTCGGATGTCCAGGGTGCAGCAGAGGCCGAGGGCTGGAAAGAAGGATTTCCGCTGGCTATCAAAATGATGTGGAATATTTCGGTAGGGAACCGGCCTGGGTGGATTTCCTGGCTGAAAGTAACTATTTGCTCTTAGAGAGCCAGCTCGATTGGGTGGCATCAGTCTCTAGAAACCAGGAGACGGTGAGTTCTAGTGCCACCTATGAAAGCCAGCTGGGTGACTTTGGCCCAGTCACTAGGAGACTGGGAATTCTAGTCCCGTGAAAGCTGACTGGGTGACTTTGGGCCAGTGCCTCTCTCTCGGCCAGCCCACCTCACAGGGCTGTGCTGGGGAAAATAAGAGGAGGAAGGTATGTTAGATGTCTTCACTGCCTTGAGTTATTTTTTAAAATAATAAAGGGACATAAATACATAAAAATTAACAGTGTCTTTATTTGATTCTGGCTTTTCCAGGCTGGTTCTTCTAGCGAAGGCATCCTGACCACCATGTCTCAAGAACTTGTCCCAGCCAGCGGGCGGGCCCTTTCTGGGGAATTTGGAGCAGTTGCCAGGCCCAGGTAGGCCTTGCTAATTCTGGTGGGCTTGACAGGTGGAGAACAGAAAGAGAAGAGGTTGTAGTTTTGCAACTCGACCTGGCAGCATCAGAGAAGACGAACCGTCTCTCACGTTGGCAGTGTTGTGATTGTTGTCTAGGAAGCACCTCTTTGGGAAGAAGTGCCTGAAACCTCACCCCAACATCATCCAGGTGATTCGGGCTTTCACATCTCAGGTCCCGCTGCTGCCGGGCGCCACGGTGGACTATCCGGACGTCCTGCCTTCCACCTTGAACCCCTCCGGAATTGGGCACAGCCGCACCCTCTTCCTGGTGATGAAGAAGTAAGCCAATGGATACCACAAAATGGGTGCCTCTCCTTTGGAGCTCTGACTTAGGGTAGAAAAGCAGGATACAAATGAAATGAAGAATAACAACTTTACGACAGGGAAATGACCAGCTCCACAGCTTGGGGGGGTTCAAGAAGTGACCCTGAAGGTTCAGCACCCTGGACAGAGGCCAGAAAATGGCTCTCTTTCTCTGCCATGGTCACTGAAACAGGCCCTGCTTGCCTGGCTTCTGAACGGGCCCCACACGGGGGGGGGGAGGTGTCAGTGTGGGACCCGCATGTTGGTTTCACAGCGGGAACCCCATTCAGCTGTGGCTGCCTTCCTCTCCCTTGCTCTGCTCAGCTACCCGTGCACATTGCGGCAGTACCTTTCCGAGGGGTGCCCTGACCCCCATGTGGGAGCCGTGATGATCCTGCAGTTGCTGGAAGGGGTGGACCACCTGATCCGGCAGGGAGTCGCTCACCGAGATCTGAAGTCAGACAACATCCTGATGGAGTTTGACTCGGGTGCGTTGCGTTTTGTAATCAATTTATGTGGGACCCCGGGAGGTTCCTGTTCCCTGCTGACACCAAGGAAGTTAAAGCGTGTTCTGTTGCGGTCTCTGCCCGGGCCCTTTTTCTGGCAGGGAAACACAGCTGTGGGTGTGTGTGTGTACTCAGCCGTGGTCCTCTCTCCGCTTCCTCCCCGTTGTCCTTGCAGCAGGGTGCCCAGGGCTGGTCATCACCGACTTCGGGTGCTGCTTGGCTGACGAAGCGCTGGGCCTGAAGCTGCCCTTCCCCAGCTGGTATGTGGATCGTGGGGGCAACACCTGCCTGATGGCACCCGAGGTAAGTTTTGGGGAGAGGGACCCCCTCTGGCTACCCCAGAAGGAGCCCATCCGTGCTCTTTTTCTTCTGAGTAAAGGGAAGAAAAACAGGGAAGAGAAGACGGTCGCTTTAAGGAATGACAAGGGAAGCAAAGCAAAACTAAGACGGATGTATTTATACAAATGCGTGGAAGCGATTTTAATTCAAAGTCTAGAAACGTTAAACACCCATTTTGTACCAAGAGAGGATGGTGAACCAGGGGATGTCTGAAACTTCCTTCCCTTCTTCTAAAGAGAGTCTGGGCTTGAATGGCCGTTCACCCCCTGCCCAAATCGTCTGTTAGGAAGGCAAGGGGCAATGCTGTGAATTAAAAGTCAGCTGCCCCCACACTGGTCCTCTCCCCCCTCCCCCAGGTGGCCACGGCCGTGCCAGGCCCAGGCGCAGTGATCGATTACAGCAAGGCGGACGTCTGGGCGGTGGGGGCTCTGGCCTACGAGATCCTCGGGCCCGGAAACCCCTTCTACGGCCAAGGGGGGGCCGCCCTGGAGAGCCACAGCTACCGGGAGGAAGAGCTGCCCCCCTTGCCCGCCCCGGCAGCCCTGGAAGTGAAGGAGCTGGTGGCGAGGCTCCTGAGGCGGAACCCGGCGAAGGTGAGGACGGCCCCTCTGTCTGGGGCCATGATATCAGCCACCCTGAGAGCCAGAAACGTGAACCCGCTTTCTAAAAGCTTCCTGCCTCGGATTCCCTGCGGTCATGGGGTGGAGTTCCCCAAAGGGGTTTCGGAGTCCCTGGGGAGGACCGCAGCCGCCAGTGCCCGGTGGGCCCAGGGATTCAGCTCCTCCTGGGCTGACCTGCCCCCCGCTGCTTCCTTTCCAGAGGCCCTCGGCCCGAGTGGCGGCCAACGTCCTCCACCTGAGCCTCTGGGGCGAAGGGGCTCTCGGCCAGGCGGGCCTCCCTCTCCGCCAGCTGGTGGCCTGGCTGCTTCGACAGTCGGCTGCCACTTTGCTGACCGACCGGCTGGGCGGCGCCCGAGGGGTGGAGTCCCGCTTGAAGAGAGCCTTCCTGGCCAACCTGGACTATGAGGACCTCTGTGAGGCGGCCGCCCTGCTCTGCTCCTGGAAGGGGGGGCGGCTTAGCCTGCCCCCTCAGTAAAAGCACCCCCGCTGATTCAGGCCTCCTGTCAGGGCGGGCCCTGTGTGTGTGTGTGTGTGTGTGCGTGGTGGGGGGAAAGCGGCTTCCAGGTTGGGGTGCTGTAGTGCAAAGGACGGGGGGGGGGGTTTCAGCCCTGGAAACTGATGTCGTCTCCTTCAGATCCATCCAGTTGCTGGTTGTTGCCGTGATGAGGCCGGGCAGTGGCCTCTTTTGGGGTGACCCACGGTCTGGTGGGACGCCGGCTGTGGTCTCCAGAATGCCGGGCCTCCCCTGGCTTCGTAGTTTCCTGCTTGGGTTCACAGAGCTGGGCACGAGTAGCATTTGACAAGCGGGGTTTTGAGTCGCCTGTTATTTAAAACCCCTCGCTTGCACGTTTGACCCTAGAGGGAAGTTGCAAAACAAAGCAAAATGCCTAGAACCTTATTTCATTCAGTGACCTAGAACCCCAAAATGGTTAATTCTTGAATTGAAACCAGGTGAGTTAAATATCCTCCTCACCTGCTTTATTGTGATTCTGTTTGGGTGGTTTTTTCCCAGTAGAACCAATTTGTGGAAAGATTCGAACCCACTGCCTAAATAGTCATATTCTCCAAGTGCAATCACCCGGGTTCCTTCCTTGCTGGTGGTGCTTTAACAGAGGCCAGGAATTCCCCCCAAAACCCCTTCTGCCTCTTCAAAGGGGCTCCAGCTTCCCCTTTTGAATGGCGCTTGTCTGACGCAGCACATCTGCCTGCTTGGAAGAACAGCAGCCTCAGCTCTGGGAGAGGCTGACTTTGGGAAGGCGTTAGGTGGGGGCCTCCCCTTGGAGACAGGCGCCTGAGGGAGAAGGAGCTACTGATTTTGGGGGGGGGGGCTCAGCGTGGAAGGGAGAGCCCCCCCCATGTCTTAATTGTGACAGGCAGTCACAAATGCAAAATCAGAGAGCGGTGCCATCTTGTATGCTTGGCTGTGCCCGGGGTGCCCTGCTTACTGGTGTAGTTTGTTAGAGGTGGAACTGCCTGTTTGGTTGTGCAAATAAATTACATTCATGTTTGCAGAGTTGCGTGTGTGGTGCTTGGTGCGGGGAGGTTGTTCCTGTGGTTTAAAAGCAGGTTTTGTTTATTTTGCTGGAAATCCATGGGAAATTGTCTTCTTCCTTCCTTCCTTCCTTCCTTCCTTCCTTCCTTCCTTCCTTCCTTCCTTCCTTCCTTCCTTCCTTCCTTCCTTCCTTCCTTCCTTCCTTCCTTCTCTCTTCTTTTGATGGTGTGCTTAATGATAAATGCAGAAGGCAAAATCAGGTGACCAAGTTCCTAGGCCTGAGTGTTTTCAAGCCTTGGGTCCTCAAGAGGGAAGCGAAATAGGCCATCTAAGATTTCCCGCAGCGGGGGGGGGGAAGCCCAGCACCCTCCCCACAAACGGAGGCTGCCCTGGGAAGCCTTGGGCCCCAGCCCTGCCAGTGGGGGGGGGCCTTAATTGCCTCCTCCTTTGTCTTCCACTGCCTGCCTGGCCCTGCTCAGCTCAGCCTGCCTGCGGTGGGTTTTGGGGGGGGTGGGGGTGTTTGGTCCTGGGAAACTTAATTGGCCTCCTCCCTGGGGGGGGGGGCTTTCCAGGGCAGAGCAGAAGAAGGGAAGCTGGTTTTTCCTTTGAGCCAAGTCTTTCCTCTCTGGGGTGGTGAGGCTGACGCCTCTCCTGCCTGGCCTCAGAGGCCACTCGGGATCCCCCCTTCCCCATGGCGTCTTTTGAGAGAGTCACCTCCCCACGAATGCAGAAAAAACTGACCGGCTGGCTTTCTGCAGGGGAGGGAGAGGCCAGAATGGCCCCGGGTGGCCCTTCCAAGGTGGGGCCGTGTTTACTGCAGTCTGGATGCATCACTGTTGCTTTAAACTGTTTTTTTAGGTGGCTTTTTAAAGTGTGGCCAAAGGAGGAAATGGAAGCGTCCAAAGAGCGCCTTGGCTGGCCACGTGCCAGGCCTGGGCGGCTATATTTCCCTGACCCATGGGTGGCAGGAGGTCACGGCTCCTGCCCTTTGGCTGCTGGAGCAGGAAGGGAGGAAGGGGTGGGCTGGCACTTCTCCCTGGCAGCTGCCAACGCTCTTCTCGGTCTCGGCTGCTGAGTGGCAGCATGGCTGGTCTCCTTGCCCCGAGGGGCCGAGGCTTGCTCCGGGCCTCGTGCCTGGGCATCCCGCACCTGGCCCCGGCTCTGCGCTCCTGCTGCAGCCAGACCCACCCGGCCCCCCACCAGGGCATCGCCTGCCGGACTCCTGGGGACTCCTTCCTGCACGGCCCCCGGGGCAGGAGGCTGCCCTGCCCTCGCTGGGCATCAGGCTCCGCCTTCAACGTGCCCCCCAGCGCCAAGGACACGGCCAGGACGGTGGGCATCGGCTCCATGTTCAAGCTGCCCATGCAGGATTCGGCCGAAGGGCTGGACGTGGCCTTTGTGGGCGTCCCTCTTGACATCGGCACCTCCAACCGCCCCGGGGCCAGGTAAGGGGGCCCCTTCTTGGAGGGGGGGTGAAGGCCCCTCCAGCAGCCCAGGATTGGGGGGGGGCAGCAGTCTGCCACTCGGGCAGGAAAAAACCTGCATCAAATTAACATTAGTTGGGCTTAATTCACCAGGCTTGCTTATTTGATCGTTTGGGTGGTTCCTTGGCACTCCCCCTTTCCTATGGGTCACATGGGCCCTTCTGATTCCTGCCCCCCCCCCCGTCGTCTCTGGCCAGGATGGCCCTGGTGCCATAGTCCAGCTGGCTCAGAAGGTCCCCCGTGTGGGGAAAACTGATCTGGGCCCAGCGCTGCTCCTGTTTCACTTGGCAAAAGAGCTCTCAATTTGGGGGGCAGCCAAGGTGCCCCCCACCTCTCTGACTCGAGTCCAGCCAGCTGCTCTTGAGCCCACCAGGCAGGCCATGTTACTGGGGCTGTTTGAGGCCCAGGGGGTGGCTGATCCTGGACTGTCCTGGGGGCGTGGGGGTGGGGGTTTACCAAGCAAGCAAGCTGCTTCTCCTCCAGGTTTGGCCCTCTCCACCTCCGTGCTGAGTCGGTCATGGTGCGCCGTTTCAACCCCGGCACCGGGGCGGACCCCTACCATTCACTTCAGGTGGCCGACATTGGGGACGTGGACATCAACCTCTACGACCTGAAGGACAGCTGCAGGAGAATCCGGGAAGCCTATCGGAGGATCGTGGAGGGGGGCTGCATCCCCCTCACGCTGGGTAAGCCAAGCAGGAGGAGGGCGGTGGGCTTGGCCTGTGCTAAACAAAGGGCTTCTGGCTCCCGTTCATCGCTCCCGTCAAGTGGTGGGCAGTTCCACAGATTTCTGCCCCAGGAAAGGAAGGGGCTATTATTCACATGCTGCTTTTGGATTCTGCAGGCGGAGACCACACGATAACCTACCCCATCCTGCAGGCCTTGGCAGAGAAGTGAGTCCAAGGTGGATTCGGGGGCAGATAAGTCAGTTTTGGGATTCTTGTTTGTCTTATTGATCGGAAAATAGCCAGAATCCCACTGAAAAGAGGGTGGCAACAGGGATCTCTGTGCAAACGGGGAGGGGGCTGAATTCGAACAAACACACTGACCCCCTCGCCCTGAAGGCTCTAATTTTAGGCCGGCACACTGCCACCAAGGCCAAGTATGTGACTGGAGTTACACAACCCTCTGGAATAAATATTAGTTCATCCACGGTTAATTGCAGAGCCCTCCCTGAAAAACAGAGCCGCTGCCTTCACACAAGCTTGATTGCCGTTCTAGTCTCGGCTCTCTCTGGTCCCTGCGGCCGAGCCTGTGGTGCAAGCCGCCCGTCAGAGAGGGGAGGGTTCAGGGACTGGGAGGAACTGAAGAAGTGGCCCCTGCAGGGACCAGGTGAAGAGGTTGTGTGAAGCCTCCTGCGTGGCAGGTTTTCTTCCAGGCGCCCACCAGCCTTGCCCTCCCGCCCGCAGGCACGGCCCGGTGGCACTGATCCACGTGGACGCCCACCCCGACACAGGTGACCAAGCGCTGGGGGAGCGGATCTACCACGGCACCCCTTTCCGGCGTTGTGTGGAGGAGGGGCTTCTGGACCGCCGGCGGGTCATTCAGATTGGGATCCGGGGCTCTTCCTACTCCCCGGATCCATACAGGTTTTCCTGGGATCAGGTGAGCCCTGCCACCCCCGTGGGGGAATCTCTTTCTAGTTGACCCAGATTTCTGGAGCAGAAGCAAAACGGGCACCCGAGATGGCCTGAAACTGCTGGGAGGGGGCGAAGAAACACAGGGGAAGGGTCCTTGAAGACCCCCCAAGCCAGCCCCCCCTTTTCACTCCTTGTGCCAGAGGTAAAGGTGACCCTTGTCCAGTCGCAAATCAACGGGGACTTTCTCTTGGGGAGGGGGATCCCAATGCTCCCTGGGGCTGGGAGGAGCCTCCCCCCATGGCTAAAAGAGACGCCCCCTCCCTCCCTCCCCCCCCGCAGGGCTTCCGGGTGGTGCTGGCGGAAGACTGCTGGATGAAGTCGCTGGCCCCCCTGATGGCCGAGGTGAGGGCGCAGGTGGGCGACCGGCCCCTCTACCTCAGCTTTGACATCGACGCCCTGGACCCGGCCTTCGCTCCCGGCACGGGGACCCCCGAGACGGCAGGCCTCACCCCGGCCCAGGTGAGCCAGCTGCTTTCATTTGGGCGCCTGCCCCGAGACCCCCAGGGACCCCCTTGTCCTCCTGGCGGCCTCTCCGCCTGCCCACCCACTCGCTCACTCTGGCTTCCCCCCCCCAGGCCCTGGAGATCATCCGAGGCTGCCAAGGGCTGCGTGTCGTGGGGGCAGACCTGGTGGAAGTGGCTCCCGTGTACGATCTTTCTGGTAAGGGGGCTGGGGAGGGAGGACCAGGCTCCCACTCCCCGAAAGTCAGATTCCATGCTGAGCCCCCCCCCCTTGCTGAAACACCTTCTGCTCTCTGCCTGCAGGCATCACGGCCCTCCTGGGCGCAAACCTCCTCTTTGAGATGCTGTGCGCCCTCCCTGGGGTGAAGAGGAGCCCCCTCCCCAAAAACTGCGACTCCACGCTCTGAGAATAAAAGGGTGTCCCCCTCCCCCCGCCTCTGGGATCCCAGCTTTGCAACATCTGCAGCAGGCACCCTTGGAAATCACGCAGGATCGACACACACCCCCCCGATTCTCTTCCGGTTTTGGAACAAGAAGTAGCTAGCCCTCATTGCTGCAGTATTGGCAGGAGGCTGGCTCCTGAAAACGCATCAGCCAAGTCCCTAGAAGGAGGGCATTTGTTGAGAGGAAGATTGGAACCCAGATCCCTGGAAAAGAGCCTGTTGTCCTTTAGATTTCCCCCTCCTCGCGCTAATTGACATTAAGGCTGCACCGTCTTGTGGCCAGACATTAAAATAGGTTTATTTCAGCTTCAAACCAGTTTCAGAGTCTTAAAGCAAAGCAAACCCCAAATAAAGGCAGTGCTTGTTCACAGATATCCGGAAAGGGGGGGGAGGGGGAAAAAGGCAGTTTGCCCAATAAATTATTTATTCCCTGACACCCCCAGCCCCATATCAAAAGTGCAAAATTCACCGCTATCCCTCCAAAGCGACTTCCCTGCCTGGTGTCCGTCCATTTTGGGGCACCCTTTGTTTTCAGCAGATGGGAGGCAAATGGAGGGGGGGGACAGAGGTGGTTGTGGGGGAACCAAAGTCGCCAAAGGGGAAAGGGGGGCCTGCAGGGGAGGGAGGGGGCAGCTCAAGGCTCCGCGGTTGTGCCAACTACGCCCTTTTGGCTGCAGGCCACTTGGGGAGGGGGGCAAAGCGCTGTGCCGGGGCCAGGCTCGCCATTCGCCATCCCTTGGCAAGGGAACCGCCTCGACTTCGGCACCGGCCGATGGAGCGCCCGGGCCAGCCCCCTGCCCCAAAGAGTGCTGGCGGGGGGGGGGGGAGAGACACAGTTTCCTGAAGGCACCTCCTCCTAAAGGCATCTTGTCTCCCCCGCTGCTGTCAAGGCAAACGGGGGTGGGGTGGGAGACACCGCCAGCCTGAAACTCAATCCTTTCCCTCATTGGGGGCAGAGGAAGGGGTTGATTTCCCCCCCCAGCCAGCTTTGTGGGGCAGGGCAAGGCAGAAGGCATGCACAAAAAGACACCCCCATCTCTTTCCTCAGTTTCCCCACCGTAAAGGACCACCTGCAGGACTCTGGACCAAACAGTGCCGAAAAGCCTCCTTGCGGGGAGAAAACTAGCACCTCAAGAAAGGGCAGAGTCACCTACAATCTGCCAGGAGCTGAGCGGGAGAAGCTGCTGCATATCATCTCCCCCCCTGCAGCATCTGAACCCCCCACCCCACAGTCCGAGCCTGGCAGCCTATCTAGACATGTAGAGATCAGCTCAAAGTACGAACAGCCCCCTCTCCAAAACAGGGAGGGGGAGAGGCAGCTCCACAGAAATGTAAACAAAAGCCACCAAAAAACAGAGGGTCCAGGCGGCCTTCCCCCCCTACCCCCTCCGGGCGGCTGGGTCACCTCCAGATTCAGGAGCCTCCAGACGGAGACCCCAAAGGGGGTTTTGGTTTTGCACTTGCAATCAGGCGTGCATGCGTGTGTGTGTACAGTAGGTCGCTTATGGCTCTAGACTAGACATCGTGACACGGACAGCCCCAGAAGGAGACTAAGGAAAATGGCCTGTGGATCTGGGGGGGGGGGCTGGCCGGGCCCGTTCTGCAGCTTCCCCCGACCTGGAGGGTGGGTGGGGGTGGCAGGCACCCCCTTAACCCTTCCCCCCACTCGACTGCCCGCCCTGTCAACCGGTCTGTTGCCCAGGGAAGACACGGCCGGTCAGAAAAGGCTGGGGGAGTCGGGCCCCGGGGCATGCTGGGGGAGGCCGGGCCCCAACGAGCCACAGGTGGACGGTCTGGAGAGAGAACAAAGCCCATCTTCACAGGAGCAGCAGCCACAGGAATCCGGAGTCCGAAAGTCTTGACAGCAGCAGCAGGGGCTCCCGCAGGCGCTTCCAAGGCTGGGGGAGGAGTCGGGGAGGGGGGGAGAAACCGCCCCTGCCCAGGTTCCCCAGACAGTCTGGACTATTCGGCGCCAGAGGGCCAGTCAGCGCCTTCTTCCGCCGGCACCGAGGGCGAGGGCGTGCTTTCTAACTCACCGGGCCTAGGAGAGGTCATCTAAAAGCTACAGTCTCGTCGGCCATCCGAGAGGCTCCCCGGGTCCTCCTTCCGGGTCCGAGTAATTCCAGTCGCTTCTCAACCTTTCTGGATGACTTTAATCGGGGGGGGGGCTCAGTCCAGGGCGGGCCAGGAGGGGATATAAAATCTCTGCAAGGACCCCTCCAGCAGCCGCTCCATCCAGAAGGACAGCCGGTGCAGCTTGCCCTTCAGGCCCCGGGGCCCCCACGCCGAGGAGGGCCTGCCCCAGGCGTCTGCCGGGTCGACGGCCTCGTCCTCACCGGGGCCCGGGCGGCTGCCATCGCCCTCCTCAGGCTGGGGGGGCCGGAAGAGACAGAAGTACTTCTTGTGGCCGTTCAGGGCCAAGACGTAGCCGGCGTAGTCGCGCTCAAGGAAGTGCCTGTCGTACTGGTTGGGGATGGGGGCCGCGTCCTGCGCAAACTCCAGCACGTACTCCAGCCACTCCCGGTGCTTGTCCAGGCTCAGGAAGGAGAAATGGAGGCAGCCGCTCCTGGGGGGAGGGGGGGGAAGAGGGGCAGGAGAGATCATCAAGAAGAGCCCCAGGAAGGGCTGGAGTAAGGCAGCGCCCCCTTCCCTCCCACGCCTTGGAGGGTGTGTGTGTGTGTGTGTGTGTGTGTGTGTGTCACCTACCCGGTGAAGGTGAAGACCTCCTGGGCGAACTTCTGCAGCAGGGGAGTCTTGGTGGCGCCGGAGAGGATCAAGACCACGTTGATGTGGCCGGGCCTGAGCCGTACCAGGTTGCTGGTGTAGGTGATGTCCGTCAGCTCCGTCACTTTCACCGAGTACTTTCTGGGAATCCTGGAAGGAAGCGCCGGGCGGTCATGGCACAGGGAGAGAGCAAGGGGGAGGGCAAAGAGGGGGAAGGGCCAGCAGTGGGATGCAGCTGCGTGACAGGCGAACACAACCCTTGGTTGTGTGATTAGTACAGCACAATATCCCAATCCTAACGAAACACCTGTCCTCTTTGGCGAAGCTCATGTCGCTCCTCTCGCTCTTGGGGGGAGGCTCCTCCTTCTTGGGGGGAGGCAAATCCCTCTCGTCACTCGAATCGCTGGAAGAGAGAAACCGGGGCTGGTCCCAGAAGCTGCAGGGTCCCGCACACCGACACCCCTCCCCAGAAAATGCCTCCCCCCTCCTTCCTCCCCCCTAAAAACAGGCCTGGGCGACGGGGGGAGGGGGAGGCTCACCTGAAGGCCTGCACGATCACCGTCCCAAAGAGGATGAAAAGCGCCGAGAAGATCAGGGACAGCAAAGGCATCATCTCCCGCCTGGGGGGGGGGAGAGAGAGAGAGAGAGAGAGAGGGATGAAAGACCCCGTGGTGCCCACCGTTGCCCCCCCAGAGCCCCCGCCGAGGATCCCAGGCAAGGCGGCTGGCCTCGTTGTAAGAGCCACAGTGGCCACGGCTAAGGGTCCAGGTCACACACACACACACACACACACACACACACTCCAGATCATGGGGAGGAGCAGAGGGGCCCGGCTCCTCCTCGGAGCTTCCCCTTTTCCTGGGAAAGAATGGCTGAACTGGGGGCCTTTCTAGCAAGCTTCACAAACTGATGACAGCAAGGAATTATGGGCTTTGGAAGCCCCTGGCTCGGGAGTCCCGGTGGAACCCGATGCCCCCAGCAAGAGGGGCCCCCCGGACACGCACCAGTTGCTGCGGAAGAGGCTCTCCCAGCAGTCCACCCCATACTCCAGGGCGGAGTAGGCCCACCGGAGGAAGAAAACCTGCCGAGAGATGCCGTAAAGAGGGAGGGTCAAGAGAGAGGCTGGAGTAGGGAAAGGGGCAGGCAGGGGACAACCCCCTCCCACAACAAGCCTCCTTCCTCCCAGGGGGCTCATGAACACACCTCCCCCCCCAAATCAAATTCACAAGAAGACTCATTTCGTCCAATTTTCGGGGTTCTCCTCTTCAGAGGCTGATGTGGCTGCTGACCCCCGGAGTCTGGGTTGCTCTGCTCTCTCAGCTGCTCTGCGTGACCCCCCTCCCTCCCTCCTCACCCCCCTCCCCCCCCCGAAAGGCCAGAGGGCTTACGGGCGCCAGCTCATCCGTCAGGTCTGTCAGGACAGCCTGGGAGGAGAGGAAGGAGGCGTCCATCCTTAGCTGGTCCAGGAAGTCCAGCAGGGAGAAGGTGTCCTCCTGGGTGCCCGCCCAGGGCTCCTCCAGGGCCCGGAACACCACCCGCCCGGCGTTGTTGCGCCTCTCGAGGACTAGCACCTGCAGAAGGAGAGTCCGTGGGGTGCTGAGGAAGGATCAGGACCCTCTTCTGGATACGCACGGGGGTCAGAGCCCCAAAGCCGTGCCCAGCACCCCCTCCAAAGGGCATCAGCAGCTTCTGCCCCGCCAGGGCTGCCCCTCCGGCACCTCCGACGGAGGGGCTTGTCAAGGTGGGGAAGCGGGCCCAGAGCAGGCTTCCTTCGGGGCGGAAGGGACCCTTCAGGCTGGCCTGGGGGGCAATGATGTCCTCCAAGGATGGGGAGACCCACTGCCACCCGCCCTGCAGACCAGGAGGAGGAGGAAGAGCAGGAGGCGGGCAGAACACTCACAGCCGACTTGGCCTGAGACCAGACGTCGCCCTGGAGCAGAGTGCGGGCAAACTCCTGTTGGTAGTCGCCGTAGATATGCACAAACCGCAGGGTCTCCTTCGTGTTGGCCACAGCAAAGGCCAGGAAGGCCTGGTAGCTCTCCGCGTACTTCTCCCCCTCGCCCGTGAGCAGGACCACGCAGTACCTGCACCGGCACAGATTGAAAAAAAGTGGGTGCTACTGCATGGAAACCATGAGGACTAGCTCCTCGGCAGAAGACGACCCAGGCCCCGCCTGACCCTGCACAGGAGTCTGGGCTCTGCTCTGCCAGCCACAAAGGTTTATTCGTAGTCGGGGGTCCTCCGCCACGCAGGCCTGGATTCCAGAGCCCATCCGCCTAGGATCAGCCGCCTTGAAGCCGGAGACACCCCCCCCCGGAGGGGCAGTGGAGCTTTGTGGGGTTCCTGAGAGAGGGGTCAGGCGGGTGGGGGGTGGGTGGAAGGGGCTGGATGGAGGGGAAGGGGCCTCTCCACCCCACCCCCCCACTCACTTGTGCTGGCGGTGAGACTTCTTCACGGGACACAATTCCTGGAAGAGCTTCTGGCTGGTTAGGCGGGTGGCCAGGAGGAATTTGTTCTGGGACAGGAAGTCGTCGATCAGCTGCTTCTTCATGTGGCGGGCCTGGGGGGGCAGGGGGGGAGGTTAACTGTTAGGAGGCGGGGGAGGAAAGGGAAGCGCTTTGCCCACCCTCCCCCGCACTACGCTGGGGCCACCGTGGGGCCCACCTGGATGATGTCGGCCGGCTTCTCCACCTGCTCCTTGAAGACCATCATGGTGGGCGTGTAGACGTTGATGTTGTACTGCCGGGAAAGCTCCTCGGTGCCCCGAAGCCCCACACAGACGTACCCGAAGGACAGGTAGTCTCTGTACGCGAAGGCGGTGAGCTGGAAGGGAAGGGGGGGTCAGGGGCCCACCGCAGACCTCCAGGCATCCCCTCCGGACCCCCCACACCACCAAAGGAGGGGAGGATCGGCTGCTCGGGGTCACCAGGCGGTGGACGATGGGCACACCGATGCAGCCTAGCTGCCTTTTAATTTTCCACACCCTGTGCTTCCTTGGCCCCCTCCCCCCAGACTTCCGAGCAGCCCCTTTGTTGCACCCGCAGCCCCCTGGCTTCCGTGGGCCAAGGGGCATCCGGCTGAGCCTGGCGCCTTGGGGCGGGGGTCCCTGCTGTGAATGGGAAAGCCCAGGCTCCTCTCCGTCCCCAAAGGGGGCTCCCCCCAAGGCCCGGGGCTTCAGAGACCGACCTTGTAGAGTAGGGGCGCCAGGGGCAAGTGGTCAAAGAGCAGGACGTGGGGCTTGTTCTCCTTCTTCCAGTTGGACAGGAAGCGGATGTAGTTCTTGTCCGTAATCTGCTGGGGGGGGGGAGAGCAGGCTGTCAGACCCCCGCAGCCGGCCAAAAGGGGGGCCGCCTCAGGCACTCCTGGATACCGATGGGGGGCAGACAGGGGGTGCGTTTTTCAATGGTGTTTCTGAGCCGCCTTACGGGATGGGAGTGGCAGATTAAAAACAAACCCTCGGAACAGAATTAGGCAGGAGGAACTGTGCAGCCCCCACCCCGAAGCAGAGTGCTGCCCATCCCTCCCCCTCATCCCCTTGCCCCCACCCCAAATTAAAGAAACAGCAGAAAGTGAAGAATAAGCACCTAAGCCAGTGGCTCTCAACTTTTTCTTCATCACGGACCCCCCCCATTTAAATACCTTTTTAGGCCCCGGACCACCAAAACTTAAGTTTCAAATCATAACATTTCTTCAAGCCTTTGCAGACCCCCTGTGATGACATCACGCCCCCCAGGGGTCCGCAGACCGCAGGTTGAGAGCCACTGGCCTAAGCCCTTCTCCGACAGGACTCTCCCATCCGTCGGGCTCCTCCCTGGCATCCGAGTCGGGGTCTGTAGCAGGAAGGGGGGGTTCCAAAGAAGAGGAATCCCTCCTGCCCCCCGAGAGCCGCTCCTCACCTTCTCCACCAGGGCCCCAGGAAGCAGGCTCTCCACAAACTGCCGGAGGTTTTCCCGGACCACGGCGTTGTGGAAGAAGGTGACCTTCCCGTTGATCAGGCCCAGGATGGACGGAGTGCTGTGCGCGCCAAGGTGCTGGGCCAGGCGCCGCTCGTAGCCAGCATGGATGACGCCGATTCCCACACCTGGGAGGGGGAAGGACAGACCCCCTCAGAATGGAAGCTGGGGAGCCCACAGAGTGCCGGGAGAGCCTCGGGCCTCTCTGCCCAGGGGGAGCAGGAGCCTCGAGCTCTGGGCAGGATGGCCTAAGATGGCCCCTGAGCACCATCGCCCAGACGCCAAGATGGTCACCGTCCCAAAAAAGGGATGCCTAACCTCTGCCTTTTGGGGCGAGCAGCTTCAACTCAAACCCGGGCCTCCGAGAGGCTTGGGGCTACTCCCCCCACACTCCCTCCCTCTCCCTCTCCCTCCCCCCCCAGCTTTGGCTCACCCAGGGCTTCCAGCTCCTGCACCACCTCCTTCCAGACGGGCTCAATGTGGACGCAGCTGAAGCACCAGTCGGAGGTGATCTTGATGAGGAAAGGCCGGCGGAAGCTCTCGGGCACCACCTCGTTGACGTAGTGGGAGAAGTGCAGCAGGTACTTTTCATCGGTGGAGTCGTGGTGGCGCTCCGAGTTGAAGGGGAAGTGGAAGAAGGACTCGTCGAAGTAGAAGCTCTCGTGGAAGGGGTGCGAGTGGCGGTGCGGCTGCTGGTGCTGCTGGTGTGGGAAGCCCTGGTTCTCGCCCACGTCGCCATAGCGGTCAAAATTCAACCGCTTCTCCTCGTTGGACAGGATCTGCGCGGGAAGAACCGGAGCCCTCGTCCCCTCTTTTTCTTCCAACCGGCCTCCCCCCCCCACGTGCCACATCCGAAGTCGGCCTCCGCACCTCGTAGGCTTTGCTGATTTGTATAAACTTATCTTCCGCTCCCGGGTCCTTGTTCTTGTCCGGATGCCTGGAAGGCCGAGAAAAGGAGGTCAGCAGCAGCTCAAGGAGCAGCCGCTTGACGGGGCTTGTGCAGTGGGAGGGGAGGGCTCTGCTTTTAACCTGGCCATCTCTCACTGAATCACTTTAATTCTCACTGGAATGAGGTTACTTTGATTTACTCACCACTCCCGGGCGAGTTTCTTGTAGGCTTTCTTAATATCTGCCTGGCTCGCAGTCCTGCTGATGCCCAGGATCCGATACGGGTCAAAATCGACAGCCGACAAGATCTGCAAGGCCAGGACGAGGAAGAGGACCAGCACCAGGGAGAGGCTGAGCCGTTTCATCTCCATCTCCTCTCCTGCAGGGAATCTGGCCAGGAGCCTCCCTGGGGACAAGGAGGGGACGTCAGGGCCTGCAATGCGGAAGGTCCCCGGGTGGAGGAGGGCCCTCCAAGATCAGCCCAGGTGCCCCCATCATAGCCTGGGAAGAGAAACCACCTCATTTCCCCCCTTCATCCTACCACGCAGCCCAGACTGAAGTCACCTGCGGATTGGACCCACAGCCAATCCGCTTCTTCTCAGACGGATGAAAGGGACAGTTTAATGCCTCATTTTCTTATTTACTTCTCTTCTCGCTTGTCAAAAGCTGCCTGAAGCACCGCTGTCTCCTCAAGCGGAAGCTAGCAGGGAAGGGGGCACTCCTAGAAATTGTCTGTGGGCCAGGAAGGAGGGGAGGGGAGGCAGCAAGAGAGAGTTGGGCCCCCGGGTGTTCTGGGGGGGGGTCTCCGTGCCCATCTTGCTTGCCTGTCTGGCAAAGGGGGCACATCGTGTCCTCCACTGGCCGAGGCTCGCCGGCTCTTCTGCCTCCATCCACGGAGGATTTTTCGGGGCTGCTCCTGCTGAGGGGGGGTCCAGGCGGCCCCCTTTGGATGGGGGGCTCAGGCTGTTTTGTGGCCTCCATCAGAGTTTTGGGGGGGCAGCCAGGGATCCCCCTCCCCTCTTCCTCCCTCTTGGGGGGGGCTAGGATGCCCAGGGGCCCTTGGCGCGCATGCGCAGAGCCTGACCTCCCCACCACCACCCGCCCCTCGGCCCCTTTTCAGCAGGCCCCGTTCCTGGGCGGCTCCTTCCCCAACCTGGCGCGCCGAGAGGGGTTCGGGTCTGCCGGGATTCCCCCAAAGAGGAGGAGGGGTGCGACCCACCCCCTCCCCGCCGAGGCTCCCCAAGCCCTCCCGCCCCCGATGAGGGAGACCGGCGAGGGGCTAGAGCGTCCCCCTACTCCCCCCCTCGGCCACGGGACCACTTGATGCTACCCCCTCCCGGGGGGGCAGGGGAGGGGGGAAAGGCACCCGCAATACCCACCCAGGGCTCCTCCTGTCTCCCCGCTCCCCACTTCCGGCTCGGCGGCCTCGTCACCATAGAGACGGCGCAGCCGGCGCTCACTTCCGGCGTGGGGTTAGTTCCGCCTTCCTGCGCAGACCGCCGGGAGGGAGGACGGCCGGAGCCGCGCGCGCATGCGCAGCAGCAGCATCAGCGGCGGCCGAAGCAGCGTTTCTCTCCCCCCCCCCCCCGGGCGGCGGCGGCGGGTCGCGGCGGCCATGGAGGAGGCGGATCGGCGGCGTCTGCGCCGTTCCCGGGTGCGGCTGGTGAAGGAGCTGCGGCTGGAGCCACTCTGGGCGCCGCTGCTGCGCCGGGGCCTCTTCACCGCGGACATGCTGGAGGAGATCCAGGTACCGCGCGGCCCATGGTGCGCGGCCTGGAGGAGGAGGGGCGGGGCCGCGAGAGGAAGAGCCCCCAAGGCGCCCTTGGGGTCCCCCGGAGCAGGTTCGGGCTCTTCCTGCCCTGCGGGGCTGTTGTTGTGGGCGGGGGTTCCCGCGCGGCCATCCAGTCGTGCCCCCAACCGTCCCCTCTTTCCTCTCTCCGCGCCTGCGCAGTCGGCGGGCTCCCGGCCGGACCAGGCGCGGCAGCTGCTGCGCGACGTAGAGACGCGGGGACGGCGGGCGCTGGCCGACTTCGTGCTGTGCCTGCGGGACACCGGCCAGGAGAGGCTGGCGGAGCTGCTGAGCGACGGACACCGCCCGGAGGGGGAGGACCTCGGGGCCCATCGTCCTCCGCCCGAGGCCCATCGTCGTCGTCCTCCTCCTCCGCCCGCGATGGAGATCCCCTGCGAAGCCCAGCCCGGCCGGCCGGGTAAGCGGGGCCGGGAGTGTCGGTGTGGCCCCCTCCTCCCCCAGCAGCCCCCTTACGGGTAGTCCTCGTTCTGCGACCCTCGGCCAAGTGACTGCTCGGGTCCCCCTTCGGGCACCCCAATTCTTTCATTGTCTGTACACAACGCCCACAGACACAGCCCACACCTTCACACACACACACACACCCCAAGCCTCTTCCCCATTTCTGGGCCAGGATCCAGAAGAGGGGGGGAGGACGTGGGGCAGGGAGGGGCTTTCTCTTTCTCTCCAGGGCGGTCAGAGTCCGGCTGGGCAGGGTCCCCTGGGGGGGGGACTGGTTCCAGTGTGGGGGGGTGTCTTTGTGGCTCTTCTGCCTGGACCGATGGATCTCCTCCCTTCTCCCCCCTCGGCCAGGCCCCCTGGAAGAGAAGCCCCAGAGGGACTCCGACATGGTGAGTTTGCTTCTTTTTTGAAAGCTTTATTTTTTCGCTGGTCTTCCCAGGTGCCGGCTTTGGATCATCATCCGAAATCGCCAGTTAAAATTTTATCCAATGTTTTGTATTCCCTTCAGACGCGGCCTTGGGTGGAGGGCTGCCTCAAGGTGACTTGGCAGTGGTGCCATGCTGGCGTATAATGTGTCTGATGTGTCCTCACAGGTTTACCCCCTGACTTCTGAGCCCTGCGGCTACTGTCTCATCATCAACAACGTCAATTTCGACAAAGACACGGACTTGAAACGCCGCCTGGGCTCCAACGTCGATTGCCAGAGGCTGGAAAAGAGGTTCCGGGCGCTGCATTTCGAGATCCTGACCAAGGAAGACCTTACAGCTCAGGTGAGCGTCTCCAGCCGGGGCTCGGCGGGTGCCTGGGAAAAATATCTTCCCCTCCCCAAGATCTGGATTCAGCTTTGAGAAGCATAGGAGGGCAACTGTTCCTCTTCCTCCCGTGGCTTGTCAGAAAGAACGGAAGGGAGAAAAGGGTTTGCTGGGCAGGCTGACCTTGCTGCCGCTGGGCCTGTCCCCCCAGCTAGAGTGTCTGGAAAACGTTTAAGGCTGTCTCTCCCCGAAATGTTCACTCAGCCCTTCAGGCTTTCAGTTTGTCTCAGAGTGAGGTCCGATGTTTGGTTCAACCTGCCCTCTCTGGAAACGCCCTCAGGAAATCACCCAGGAGCTGCAGAGCCTGGCTAGGCGGGATCACAGCACCCTGGACTGCTGCCTGGTGGTCATCCTCTCCCACGGCTGCGAGGTAGGCGGCCCGGGGCTCCTGCACGATGGTGGTGATGAGGGAGAGGGCTTTCCCCATGACAGAGAAGTAAATCTGGGGCAGGCACGAGGGGGCGCCAGATGAGGCTTTGACCAGCTGCTACTTTTCTGAAGAGTTAAGCCTCGCTGTCCTCAGCATAAACGTAATTCCTGCTTCCTAGAAATCAAGAGCCTTGCGAGACTGGAAAAAAACAATTTGGCTCTTTGTAAAACTTTTTGAGAGTAGAATTGCAAGGTGAAGCTCCTTGCAAGGCCCCCCTCTTCTTCTCGAAGGACTGAATCCAGAATGAGAGCTCAACCCAGCTGTTAAAGCTTTGGAACTGGGCCGCAGCTCCCCTTTTCAAGGCCAAGTTGTGACTTTGTGCTAAGCGACCGGTCCAAAGTCAGGGACTACTTTCCCCCTTGAGATAGCCATGTGGAGGGGGGCACTAAGAGGGTCTCCTGGCCTCTTCCAGAGCTATCACAACCAGATTCCGGGTGCCATCTTCGGGACAGACGGGCAGCGCATTGCGCTGCAGAAGGTGGTCAGCTATTTCAACGGCTCCCACTGCCCGAGCCTGAGGGGGAAGCCGAAGTTGTTCTTCATCCAGGCCTGTGGAGGAGGTGAGGGGGGGGGCGATGGGGAGTCCAGAGGGAGGGGTCCCGAGGCCCAGAGCATCGCCTGGAAAAACTGACCCGTTTGTCTTCTCAGAGGAAAAAGACCCGGGCTTCAAAATGGAGTCAGACGCTTCGCAGGGCCGACTTGAAGAGAAGACCATGGAGTCGGACGCCACCCCGATGCGGGGGCCGGGCGGAGACCACGATGAGCTCGATGCCACTGCCACCCTGCCCACCGACAGCGACATCCTGGTTTGCTACCCGACCTTTCCAGGTAAGGGGGCAACACTCCAAGGCCACTGATGGGCGCCAGTTCAGACCTCTCGACCCATCGCCCCCCTCGGCCACCAGGCAGAAGCCTTGACTCAAATACCGGCCCTGGGCCCCCATTCCAGTTCAGAGCCGAACACGGAAGACGACCGGAGACATGGATTGGGGCTCTTTCCTGCCGTGCTCAGAGGGCAGCAGCAATTCCACACCACCCATGACCCCCCCCCGTCCCTTTCTCTGGCTCCCCAGCCTCTCTCTGATGCTTTTACCCCGCTCAGCCAGTGGGGGGCAGCAGCTCCCCCATGGCCCCCATGAGGCTGTCGCCCCTTTGGCCCTCAGCAGCAGCAGCATGTGGGGAGGCGAGAGGCCCGCTAGGACAGGCGAGTCCTGACATTTGGCGCTTGTGTCCCCCCAAAGGCCACGTGTCCTGGCGGGACACACAAAGCGGCTCCTGGTTGATCGAGACTCTGGACCAGGTCTTGGCTGAGTACGCCCACCAGGAGGACCTGTCCAGCATCCTCATGAAGGTAACTTTGCCCCCCCCCCCGGGCCTCAGGCGCTGGGATTTGCCTGCTAGAAAACCCGGCAGTTTCTTTGGCTGTCAGTTTTCCACCCTCCCACTCCCCCCTCCGGCCCAAAACTGGGACAGGAAGCAGATGACGCCTTCTTTGCCCTCAGGCCATCAATTCCAGCTTGCCGGGCATTGCTCCATCCCAGGCAGAAGAGGGCCCGCCCGTCTGCAGGACCCCTTTCTCACCCCCCCCCTTGCCTCCCCAGGTGGCGAACATCGTCGCTGACAAAGATGCAGGGCCTTACAAGCAAATGCCGGGTCATGTCAACTTTCTCCGGAAAAAGTTTTTCTTCAAGGTCTGATGAACGTTTGCTGGTCCTTCGCCGTTCCTGGGGCTCGAGATGTATTTCTGGAGATGTATTTCTTGGGGGTGGAGGGGGAGATAGTTAAGGCCCCGTTTTGCCCCTGGTGCTAAGGAGCTGGTACCTTTCCAGTGCTGTGTTCCATGGAGAAGCCCCCACCAGCAAGCAGGCAGAGACCCCAGACTCCAAATGATCTCCCCTCCCCTTTGGAGCTGCATGGAAACTCGTGTTTGGCCTTTCCGACTTATGGAGCTCTAATGGAACAAACCGATTTGAATCAAGTTTCTACTCTTTTACATTTCTGTTCTTTTTTCAAGAAATCAAAATAGTTACAATGAAAGGTATTGATAGGAACCTTTAAGGGATAAACAGTGTCTTAAATTGTTGTTTAATTATTTGAGGGATGAGCACAGTGTCTGATAATCTTTTTACATCATTAAATATTTAAATTCCTGAGTTGTGTGCTTGTTTCTTATTTTATCTGTTCTTGGCTGCTTTCATTCTTCAAGGAGAGGCACCTGAGACAGTTTGTGCCCCTCACCAGCCCCACATTCCCCTTGGTGGTCTCCACGAAAGGGCTTTGCCACGCCCACTGAATGTGGAAAAAATCCATTTATTGGTGGGCAGTCAACAGAGATCAGAAAGGGGGAAACTGAGGCACTCCTTCCACAACCCCCGACCGGCCCATTTCCAAACAGCAGAGAATAATTCTGCATGAATGCTCCGAAAAGGAGCTGCCCGCCACTTCCCAATCCCGTATCTGGGGCAAGATGGGGACGCAGAAGCCCCAAAGCCCAGAAAGAGCAGGAACTTCTAGGATCCCCTTTGGCAGCAATACCCAACACAGACACCGGGGGCAGCACTCACTGATAAAGGCATATTCTATTTTCTTTGCGGCTCTATACCTAATTCAGCCACCAGGGGCAGCAGTTTGGTCATATGTGCCCTAACTATGGGCCCAGTACTCAGTTCAGCCACTGGGGGGGGGCACCATCCACACTTAACCATGTGTGACTAACTTAACAACTGCAGTGGTTCGCTTAACAACGGTGGCAAGGAAAATGGTAAGATGGGGCAAAACTCACTTAGCAAACGTCTCACTTAGCAACATAAATTTTGGGCTCAGCTGTGGTCATAAGTCGAGGGCTACCTGTATCTGTCTGAGCCTGCCTTTCGCCTCCTCCCTCTTCACTTCCTTCCTTCTGTGCCATGTCTTTCCTCTGCCTGACATGGCGGCTTCCTTATCTTTTAGAGGTGCAGTTGTGCAGCTTCCGTTGTGATGGTTAACAGGCAGGGTAACAGACTGCAGCCGGACCGCTGGAGGAAGAACGGAGGCTGCCAAGTGGGGGGGTGGGGGATGTGCCCCAGAGGGTCTTTAATCCCAGTGTGCAAGACACACCCCCAGACAAGCCCAGAAACCCGGAGGTGAATGAACGTTGGAGCGGGATGTGAAGGAACCCCAGGTTTTGCGGGCAGGAAATGCCACAAGGACACAGCCCTCTTGGGATGATAGAACGTTTATTGAGTGTTTTTCGTATCGGTTTGCCACACACGACACAGCTGGGTCCTCAGTTCTGAGTCATTTTCTACGGGAGGGGAAAAGACAAAGCACCACTCAGCGGATTCTGAAAAGACTGGACAGATCCTGCCGAGAGCTGCAGCTTCTTTTCCTCCGCGATGCGTTTCCAGCATCAGCCAGGCCCAATTTCCCCCTCCTGGAAACAGATTTGAACAGGCTCCTCTTTGGGCGAGCAACGTTAATGGCAGCCATGGCCAAGTGGCCCCCTTTGAAGGCAGGAGAAGGGGGAGCCGACGCCTGGCTCTTCAGGCTCTGCACTCTGCACGTGCTCCAGCCCCGGAACCAAGGCAGGCCCTCCGTCCACAAGGGTCAGGGCCAAGCCTATTACTGAGGATGCCTCGTGACCTCATGGCGACAACCTAACCTTGCTGGATTTCCCTGAACAGAGAAAGGATGCCAGCCCATCGCTCTGGATGGGGGGCCTCCGAGTCCGTGGGGAAAGGACCCCGGGGTCCCACAGGAGGGTCTGGAGAGCCTGCTGGGCAGTCGGGATGTGGCTCCTGCCGCCCACTCACCTCTTTTATCCAGGCGATGTAGGCGGAGACGCGGGTGAAGACGGTGGGCTTCTTGGCCGTGTTGCAGCCGAGGGCTGACCCAAAGCTAACGATGCCGTGGACTTCCCAGGAGTCGCCATTGTGGCAGTTCAGGGGCCCGCCAGAATCGCCCTGCGGACAGAGGAGGGCAGGCCGGCTCAGGGATCGGCAACCCCAAAGGTTGCTTCTCCCCCCCTGAGGCTGGCTGGGTGTGGGGGGGTCCCTGTCCTTTTGATCACTGATTGTACTAAACCAGATTGCCCGGGGTTAGGTCCCAGCTTCATGCCCACCCAGTCACAAAGCTCTGTGGGATCACACAGGATTGGAACGCAGACCGATGTGGCTGAGTGTGAGTTAAGCAAACCACGGCTTGGCCTTTGGCGAAGCCCCCATCTGTCGCTGTGCTTGAGGGCCCCCCAGGTCATCCAGGAGAAGCAGCAAACCTACATTGCACCCTGAAATGACGCCGTCTCCCCCCGCGCAGACCATGCTGGGCTTGACCATGGAGCCCCACCAGTCCTTCTGGGTGCAGGTAGCCTGGTCCACCACGGGCAAGAAACCCTGCTGGAGGTTGTCCGCAATGGGCCCATTGGCTGCGAGGGAGGGAGAGAGAGAGAGAGGCGTTTGGACCCCAGGACGGCCACCTTCGGGGCTACTCTTCCCTGCTTGGGGGGAGGGGAGCCGCTGACTTACTCCAGAGACGGCCCCACCCAGTGATGTAGCAGGGGAAGCCCTGGGGCAGCAGAGAGTCCGGGGTGGGCAGGCAGGAGGGCTGGATGGTGTCGCTGAACTTGACCGGCTCCGCCAGCTTCAGCAAGGCGATGTCATTGCTGCCAGAGGAAAAAGCAGCAGCAGCCGTATTGAGGGGGGGTGCAGGGCCAGGTGCCCCCCCCCGGAAGGAGGAGGTGAAGCAAGTGCCCCCTCCCCTGCCCCCTGGGGCAAGGACGTGGCCACCCCCTCCTCCCCCGGCCCTCCAGAGAGACTCACATGATGAAGAGGGAGTTCCACTTCTCGTGGACGATGGCCTTCTCCACCGCCACGGCCGCCTCGCCGGCCTCGGCCTCCTTCAGGTTCTGCTTCCCCAGCAGCACTCGGTAGGTCCGCTTGGAGCTGGGGGAGGGAGGGGAGGAAGTGGGATGGGGGGGGCAGAACCTCCCCCAGAAAGCCTCCTCCTTCTGCCCCACAAGGAACACACCGGGGGGGGGGCTCCCCAGTGTCCTTCAAAAGACACCGCAGGGGTGTTTTGGGAGACGAGGCCTCGGCTGAGCCAGCTGCCTCTGAGAAGGAAAAACGTCTTTCTCCCGAATTCCTTTTGGGGCTGGGGATCACCCCCGGAGGGTCGGGGGGCTTACCTGATGCAGTGAGCCGCCGTCAGCACCCAGTGGGGGTCAAGGAGGGTCCCGCCGCAGGTGTGAGCCCAAACTCCATTCTTGTCGTACTGGAGGGAGACCTGAAAGCGAAATTGGCCCAATTTTGTTACTTTCAAAACCTCCAAACGTTCACTCCCCTCCAGCCCGGATTTTGCCCTGCGCCTCAAACCCCCCCCTCCGGTGTATGGAGACCCTCCTGGGTCTCACGAAGATCTCCTCTCCCCCTTCCAGTGGCAAGGCATCCCACAGGACAACGACTGGTCAGCCATGGTTCTGCCCTCCCAGACTGCAGCAAGCAAGGACCCCCAAGCCTCTTACCTGCCAGGGCCAGCTGTGGGGCCGGACGTCTTCACCCCCAACCACACGTGAAATGTTGGGCACGTAGGTGGGGCGGCCACAGCCATAGGCTTGAAAAAGCACAGAGGAGAGGGAGGGAAGAAAAGGAGACCTCTGAGCGATTTATGTCAGTGACACAAGAGGCCTCTCCACAGCTTTTTCCTTCTAAAGTCTGCCCTCCCCACAAACAGTGAGACTGAGGCACTTCCAAGGGGGAGGAATCGCCCGTGCAGGGAGGACTGACCAGATTCTCTTTGCATCCAATAGCCAGAGAAACTGACTAGACCCTGAGCTGAGCAGCTCCAGGCAGCCCAGGCGGAGGAGGCGCTGAGCTGTTCCCAGAGGGGAGGCAGGGCACGGCTCCCCCCCCAACCACTTACCGTGAGCCACGAGCAGGAGGGCGCAGAGCAGCTTGAGCATGATGGCAGCCACTGAAGTAGGCTTTGTGGGAGGCCCCTCCCGCATTTATAGCCAGCGGCAGCCGAGCATCCTGGGAGCCCCCACCAGGCGCGATCCTTGCCAGGCGCCTTTGACCTTGCCAGGTTATCGCTGGATCGATAGAGGAGGAAGGCGGCCCCTTAGCACAGATCCCGGCCAGCTGTGTCCGCTGGCTGGGTCAGGGTCTCTGCAGCCCTCAAGAAGGGGGGAGACCTTTGGGGCTTGCGGGAGGGGGAGACCTGCTCCTCCTGCATCCCCCCAGCTGGTCCAGGCAGCCCCAGGTTCAATAGGGCTGGGAACATGGGGGTGGGCATCTGGGCAGCCTCCCAAATCATCTTGGGCTACCAGAGCCCCCCCCCCACACACACTCCCATCCGGCCTCTGGCCTGGCTTTCCTTCTGAAAGGGGGGGGGGAGGGTGCCCAGGGAAAGCAAACCCAGCCGTCTGCTGCAGCCCGTTCCAGGGAGCAAGGCTGGTGCTGGCAAGGGCAGCTCCTCAGGGCCCCACCGGGTACGGCTGGAGCACCTCTAGGGCAAGATGGGGGGGCCCTGCCCCAGAGGCCCCCGGCTGTGGGAGAAGCAGCAGCTGCCTCATCCAGCCTGGCACGGCCGGTGGAAACACCCCTCCGGCACCTCCTTCCACAGCTGTCCGCTTCCCATGGGGAAACACGGCAGGCGTTGGGAAGGGGGGGCCAGGGAGGCGCCCCATGGTTTGTGGGGTAAACCGCAATCAGGCCTTTACAGGGCCTGGCCGGGAGGACCCCGCGTGCCAGAACCAGGGAGGCCAACGTCTCCGTAGTCCCCTGGGCCCTGCCAGAATCAGACGGTGGTCCGATTGGCACCCACAGGACACTGACGCACAAACGGTGCCCTCGGCTTGGACTCAGCTCCGCTCGGGGGGGGGGGGGGACACGGCCAGCCCGTATGCCAGCTGGCCTTCTTGAAGGGGGGCCAAGCCCAGCCATTCCGCCAGCTCGGGCATGCCCCCACTGCAGCAGACTGGAGAGGTTGCTCGAGTCAGTAAGCCCAGCCACAGTTCCTGATTGAATTCCTCCCCACTGCCCCCCACCCCCATAAGAGAGAGACTCCGGATACCACAATGAGCTTATGAAATATAGTTTTGTTTTAATTATATTTGGGTAAAAAAAATAAAATCATACCACTGAAATGGAGCAGCTTTTGAACCCAAAAACACCACCTCGCAACCCACAGATGTCGTACTGTCCGCTGAAGTGACCGAGGGATTCGAGGGGAGGCTGAGGGCCAGGCCCCACGCGGCCCCAGCAAGAAGCCAGCCAGCTTTCAGGGGTGCACAGAGCTTTTTTGGCCAAACAACACAAATTCAGCACTAAAGCAAGCAAGCAGGAGGAAAAGGGTTGGGGGTTTGGGTGGAAAGACCCCCCCCCGGGGAATAAACCCTCAACAACAGCCAGACGGGGCTCTGCAAAGCACTAAGCCAGATCTGCCTTAATTGTGGCTCACTGAACAGGCCAGCATCAGAGTAATTCACGCCTCACACCAAGTTCTTAATCCTGCCCTGGCTCACACGTTGCGTTCAGCTAAGGGGGCTGACCTAGAATGAAGACCCCCCTTGGGGGCAAGTAAGCCCACTGCAGGACAGCCCCTTCTCCCTAATCCATTTGGGGCAGTGGGAAGCGAGCTGGGGCAGTGGGTGGTGAAGGGGTCCCCAACTGTGAATGTCTTCCTCTTCACAGTGGCTGGGGGTTGGATTAGATGACCTCTAGGCACCCTTCCCACCTGGGGCATTTTGACACGTCCTCCCACCCTCCCCTGACTGGCAGCTCTCCTTTGTGCAAGGGGAAGAGACAAGCGCAACGTGTGAACCAGGGCAGGGTGTGGAGATACCTGGCTGGAGGGTTCACAACTTCAAATGGACACGCTGGACATCTGGGCCCACCTGCCCCGAATCTTGGGGGGGGGGAATCTCGTTCGCCCCCCCCTTCTGTTCCTGCCACCAGAACACTTGTACACAGCAACACAATTCCAGAAGAACTTGGGGCTTATTGTCTGGATATAAACACACACACGGAAACACACACACACACATACAAACTATAAATTAACCCTGTCCTGCAGATGCGCCAGACTCTAGCTCCCATCATCCCCTGCCGGAGAACAGCAGGGGAACCCCTCAACGTTCTGCTGAGTCCAAACTCTAAACCTCAGGTGGGAAAGGGCCCCCCTCCCTTCTCAGGGAAAGTGCTTTAAGGGCCTCCCTCAAAGGAGACCCCCCCCACCAGGCCCACCTCCTGCCACCCCTGGGGGTGCCCACTTTGGGGAAAGCAGAGTCCGAGCACATCTATCCAGCCGAGGCAACGCACAAAGACGGCATTTCTGCACCCCAAACAGCAGGCCACAACCATGTATCACAACCCCAGAGGGAGAACGGGACGATTCACACGTCCGAGTCCGCAAAGCTGGGACCGAGAGACACCGAGAAGCACGAGACCTACGAAGACGCCGTGAAAGAAACACCAAACGGCTGGCTCGGGGAAGGGGGGAGGGGTGGAAATCAGGCCCAAATGAGTCTGGGGGCTCCAAGGACTGCCTTCTTCCCACCGACCACGCTGGGTCCCTCCGGCTCCTGCACCTCTAGCGGTCACCTGACCCACAAACGCCGAGCAGGTGGGGGTCTTGCGAGGGGGAGGCTGGTCGCGGGCCGGATGGGCGTGATCGGGGGGGGGCTCCAGCGGGGGGACCTCCGGCTACTGCCCAAAGGTGGACTGCAGCTCCTTGAAGGCCTCCTTCCTCTGCTTCAGCTCCTCTGCCTGACGTCGCTTCTCCTCCTTCTCCGCCTTGATCTCCTCCTCGAAACGGCTGGTTACATTCATCGCCTGCACCTGCGGGGGGGGGGCAGCCAAGGAGGGGGGGGGTGTCCCACCTTTACTGCTCTGATAAGTCACTTGAGGGAGAGACCGTATCTGATCCTCTTCCTTCCGCCTCTTTTCCCCACAGCAACGTCCCTCTGAGGTGGGCCGAGAGAGCGTGACCCAAAGTCGCCCGGCCGGCTTCCAGGCTGGACTGTGTGAGTGAACCTGCCCCCGGCCCCGGTCTTTAGGCCCCCTGGCTGGTGCCCCCCTCCTTACTTTGGCCTCAAAGAAGCTCTTGGCCCCCTTTACGCCCTCCGTGGAGACGTCGATCTCCGAGAGGCAGGCCAGGGCGTGCAGGCCGCTGTCTTCCTCCAGCTCCCCGGCTGCCGCTTTGCGGAAGATGAGGAGGAACTGTGGGGGGAGGGAGGGGAAGGAGATGTGGAAACGGGCCGGGGCTTTGGCCAAATTCCGCCCCAGCCACGTTCAAGGGGTGGGGTGGGGTGGGGGGAAGGACCCTCACCTCCCGGAAGCTGAGCTTGCTGTCCACGTCCTCGTCCACTTCCTTGATCATGGTCTTGAGGCCGAGGTGCGTCTGGGGGGCCCCCAGTTTCTCCATCATCCGCTTCAGCTCCATCAGGTCGATGAAGCCGTCTTTGCCCGCATCGTACCTGGGGACGGGGCCCAGACCGAAGACCTGCTCAGCTGGCAGCCAGCCCTGTCCCGAGCGGCTGTCTCGTCCAGCTGACACCCCCCCCTTGGGGAAACCTGGGTCCCTCTCCAGCAGCTCTGGACAGATGGGGCTGCTGAGGACCCCACGGTTCGGGCCAAGCCCCCGTCCCCATCCTCGAGGCTGCCGACAAGGCTGTAGTTCTAATATCCCATCATTACAGCTGAGTCGGCTGGGCTGCCTTTCTGCTCCCCCCGCATCAGCTGCGCACTGGGGCCTATCCAGGTGCGATCTGGCACCCCCACCCCTTGCACACCGTTTCCATTTGGTGCAGAAGTATGTCTGGGGGGGGCACCTGACTGGCTAGATTCAGGGTCCCAGGAACAGGGTCGTGAGGCGGGCCAGGAAGAGGCTTATAAAAAACCAGAAGGTGCTTCGGAGTTCCCAGATGTTGGGGGGGGGAGGAGGAAGGGGGTGCTTCAGCGACCAGGAAGCCAGGAAGGGGGGCTACTAGCCAGCCACAGCTCTGCTCTTGGGTGTCCTTCCACAAGATGCAGTAGGGCTTAGTCATTTCCCAGAGCAAAGCCGGAGCCACGATGCACAAAGAGTTGGCTAACCAGCTTCTGTGCAAACTTCCTGCTCACACGGGTGCCAACCAGCTCCTTCCGCCCCCCCAGCTGGCCTGCGGGGGGGGGGGGAGGGGGCGAGTGGTTTGGCTGAGCGGTGAAGGACCCTGCCTTCATCTCAGGCGTGCCCCCCCCCCAGGAGCCACTTCCGGGCCGCTAAGCAGGACTGGAGCCTTGCAGGGCGTGTTTTGCAAGATTAACCGATGGAGCCACAAAGGACAGACAGTCTTACAGAAGAAACCAGGCAGGCTGCCCGCTTTCCCCCGTGCCCCCCCCCCCCGCAGAAGCAGCAGCAGCTCTCCACACCAGAGGCTGCAGAGGGAAGAGGCGCCCAAAGGAAAGAGCAACCACGCCGAAACCCAGGAATAATAATCACCCTCGATCAAGCCTGACCCCCACAGCATCTGTTCAAGTCCTGGGATGGGAGGCCACCGGGAGATTGGGGCATCAGCCTGCCAGTGATTTCAGCCGTGGCTGCATTTTTCATTTACTTATCTGCTTGTTCTATTTCTACAGCCACTCGATCTCAAGCAAGGGACTCTTAAGCTGGACCCACGCAGGGCTTCTCCCCACATTTTTCTCTGCAGAATCAGTCAGTAACTGCAGCAACCCCCTTCGGACACCTATCCCTCCTTTTTTGTCGCTCAGGGAGCTGGTGCAATGCTTAACAACTGTGTGACACTGCACAACGAGCACTTGTCAAGAATGCAACACACGTCTGCTTTGCCGGAAACGGACAGCCAGGCCAGCCAATTTTAAAGCCACCCCCCGCCCCAGCCCAGCAACTACAGGCTGGTTAGCCGTGGGCCCCAGGAAGCCCCACGGTTCAGTTTCAGCCCCTTCTGCACCCAGCTGAAAAAGACTCTCTGGCCCCTAAAAGGATCAAAGCGGAAAGAACCATCCCCAAAGTTCCGGGATTCAGGAAGACTATCCCTGAACAGTGAGGCTCCATTAACCAGAGTCATTAGCCTAAAGTTCTTGGCAAATCAGCCCACAGAATAACAGCAAGCCAGGTCCGTGGCAGCCCTGAAGGTAACACAGGCTGCATTTCTGCCTGGCGCTCTCTCGCCTGCAACCTGCCCGTCTTGCTCGGCGCTGCCAGGCCGGTGAGCTGCAGGGCACCTGGAAGGCGGGGGGGGGTGTCAAAATCCCTCCCACCAGTTCCCCCCCCCGCACGTGCCCTTCGCAAACGGCGCCCTGCGGGGAAAGCCGGGCTTGGGGAGACGCGGTCCTCTCCGCTGGGGCTGCGCCAACGGAGGGGAGTCTGGCCCCGACAGACCCCCGCCCGGGCTTCAGACGGGGTGGCCCTGGGCTTTCCCGCTACTTAGGACTCCAAGTCCCATCGCCCCACCCAGCGCAACCAGGCAGGTTCCAAAGCCGAGGTGGCCTGCAACCCCCTCGCCGGGGACCTCTGCACGTGCCCAGAGGGCGCTTTCCCCGGGATGCGAGCGAGGCCTGCCCGCCGCCCCCTCTTCTGTTTGCGTCGCCCCGGTTTGGAAGAAAAGCCCCCAACCCTTCCTGCCCCCCCCCCTTGCCGGGCAGCCCCGAGCCCACGTCGGCGGGGCTGAAGAGAGGCGGGGGGAGCAGGAGCAGCTTCCTTTGCAGCCCCCCAAAAGACCGCGCGAAGCCCCCCGGGGAGGGGGGCACTCACTGGCGGAAGAGGCGCTCCATGTCCTTGATCTGCCGGCGGGAGAACTCGCGGAACTCGCTGTAGGGGCTGAAGACGCGGTGGGCGCCGCCCGGCGAGAGCTGCCCGGCTGGGGGGGCTCGGAGGCCCGGCGACCCCTCCGCCTCGCCCCCCTCCTCCTCCTCCTCCGGCTCGGCGCCCCCCTCCACGCGCAGGCGGCGGCTCAGCTTGCCGGCCAGCTCCTCCGTGGCCATCCTGGCGGCGGCGGCGGCAGCAGCAGCCGGCGCGCCTCCTCTCCCCTCCGCCGGCCAGCCGAGCCCGGCTCCGCCCCGCCGGCCGCGGGAAGGGGGGCACAGGCGCCCAGGCGGCGGCCCCCGAGGCGCCGAACCACAGCTCCCATCATCCCGCGGCCCAGACGGTCGGGCGGGGGCTGCTGGGAGTCGTAGTTCCCCAGCCTTGCGCTCCCCCTGCAGGACTACAGCTCCCATCATCCTGGCCCCGGGGAGAAGGCGAGCGCAGGTGTGGACCCAGCCGAGGCTCCGCGCTGCCCTTGTTACGGGCCAGGCTGGGGCGGAGGGTCCGGCAGCCCAAACTGCCCCCCACCAATCGCGGGAGCCTCTGCGATCCCCGGCTGCTTGGCCAAGGGGAGGGCGGCACCCCCAGCCCCTCTCAGGCGCCCCCCGTCAATTTTTAGGCAGGACCTGAAGATGCAGGCATCTCCTCCTCCTCCCAGTAAGGGAGCCCCCAGCCCTGCTCCTCCTTCCTCTCCTGACCCCCCACCAGGGAAGCCCAGGGGGGCTCAATCTGCAAAAGTCGCCATCGCACACCCCAAGGAAGGCCCACAAGACCACCGAGGCAGCTGTGCAAATAGCCCACTCGGCTCTGTGACCTGGTGCCGATGCGCAGGCGTTGGAGGGGGACCCAGGCTCTCTTCCGCTCAGGGACCCGGAGGGAAGGAGGGGGGCTTGCATGGAGTGGGGGCAGGGACTACAAATAACAACCCCTCCTGGCCATTGCTAACTGGGGAGGGAAGGAAGCGCCAAAGACAACCGAAAGCAGATCCCAAGCAAACGAGGCAGAAAAATGGAAGCCTCTTTCGGACAGCATCTCTGCTCCTCTGCACCAACCTTTGGGTGGATTTTGGTCCTCTGAGGAGGGCCAGGCCACCTTTGGGGTGAGGACCCGGGGCCTGTGCCCCAGATTTAGCCCCAGAGACCCTCCCAGATGCAGGTGCCAGTCGCCCCCTTCCCTTCCAGAAATAAGCAGGATAGCTGATAGTTCCAGGATAAGCGGGACAGGGCGGTGGAGGCCGAGAAGCAGACCTCTCCCCACAGGGGTGGGAGGGATCTGCAAGAGGGAGGAGGAGAGCAGAGGAGTGAAGGGGCCACAGAGGGACCCCCCTCCTTACGCACCTGCAGGCTTTCCTGCCAGCCTCAGTGTCCCATCCCCTAACAAGAGCAACACACCCACAAATGCACTGCCACACGGTAGGCGGCAGCCTTAACCCACGCACAAAGAAAGCTACTGGGGTGGGGGGTAGGGAGGAAACATTTGGGCAGAAGTGCAAGAACCCCTCCCTCTCCAGGGTCAGGGAGCCCCCCCGTGCCCCCCGTGCACAAAGCGTCTTTCTTCCACCTCCTGTTCAAAGATCATCACTTTGGTTTTTAAAATTTAAATAAATTAATATATAATTTAAAAAACCCTTAATCTACAATATTTTTTTAAAAAATAAGTTTAATAGGGCTCCTGCATTCTTTAACCTGATGGTCATGACCATCGTAAGCCAAGGGGGGGGCACGTCCGCGGTGAGGCCACCACCATGTGTGGCCCTGGGCACGTCAGTCCACCCTGGGATCCTCCGGGCCAACAGAGGGAGGCTGCAGGTAGCTTGCAGGTGCTCCATCGCTCCACCGTCTGCTCTCCATTTCCAAAGAGAGGAAGGAGGAGGGCAGAAGGAGGGGGGGACCCTTTGCGAACGCTTTGTCTCTCCCAGAGCATCGCCCTGCCTGGACGTCTCCCGAGGAGGAGAAAGGGAAGGGGGGCAGCGTGGGTGAGGCTGGGGGGCACGTGGCCCTCTTGCCTGGGAAACTCCCAGGCATTGGGGGGGGGAGGTGCTCCTCTTGATGCCCGCCTGCCTTTCCACCTCTGCTTACATCCCAAGGGAAGGTGGGGGGGCGTAGAGGAGCCCCGGCCCCTCCCTCCCTCGGCTGCCTTCAACACAAAGGGAGGAAGAGCGAAGGCGTCTTTCACCTCGGCTCTCCCCACAGTCCTGGGGGAAAGATTTGGGTTCTCCCCACTGAGCTCCAGAGCTACCTACCGGGCGTTGGGGAAGGATCGGGGAGTGGTGGGCGAGGGGGCGGCTGGAAGGCGGAAGAGCTTGACGGGGCCTAGCTGGCAGGAAAAGTGCTCCCTTTCCAGGCCTGAGCCCCCCAGGGGCTTCTTGGGGAGAAAATAATGCAATTATCCCATTTGGCTGTGAGTGGAGGGGGGAGGGGGGGCTTCCCACACAGACATCGGCGCCGCCGTCACATCAAGCTTAGATCTGCACCCACACAGATCCCAAGGCAGACGGACGAGGTGACAACCACGATGGCTGCCAAGCTTCGGCTTTTGTAAAACAGGCTCCATTCAGGGGAGAGAGCGCCAGAATCCTGGCTGCCCCCCCCCGCGTCCCCCCTGCTTTTCCCATTTGGGCTCATGGCTGTTCTACAGCTCCACTAGGCATTTCAGAAAACCGGTCATTGGTTGCCCACCCCCATTCTCTGGTCTGGATTCTCCTTTGGGCAGGGAGAAAGGGCAGAGCGGCACCAGCAGCCCCCCCTCCATGACACACTGGGTTGCCAGGCAAGAAGAGGCCGCCCCCCCCTCATGTCCAGCAAAGGAGGCCGAATGGGCGGGGGGGGGGCGCTGGGAGCAGCCAGCCAGAGACGCTCTTGGGGAGGGTCAGCTTCCTGCCAAGCCAGAGCCGGAGAAGCAGGCGGCATGCGGAGGGTGCCATTGGGCCTGGGGGGGGGGGGGCAGAGCAGAGCCTCCAGCACAGATGGCCTGGCTGCTGCAGAGTGCTCCCGGCTGAGAGGGTGCCCTGTCCTCAAATGACCCCCTCGGATGCTGCAGAAAAGTGTGCAGGGAGGCCAGGCGGTTCAGAACAGCCACGGAGGGAGGCTGAGGGTGGAGAGTGGCACCCTTGGTGTTTCTGTGGGGAGGGGGGGCAGCTTCTTCGGCACCCGAAGGGAGCTGGGTGGAGGGTGAAGCCGTTCCCTTGCCCACCCTCCTTGAGTCTGCGGGCTGTTTAACGGCTCTTGTGGGGGGAAAAGGGGCCCAGAATGTTTTGACTGATCTGTTGGGCAGAGCCAATATTAATCATATTTAAGGGGCTGCCCCAAAGAAGAGGGGGGGGGTTCCCGCCTATTCTCCAAAGCCCCTGAAGAAGGCAGGAGAAGAAGCAACAGAGGGGAACTTATCAAGGAGAGAAGCAACCTGGAACGGAGGAGGGACAGTTCCTCAGCAGAAGGGCTTCCCTTCAGAAGTTGTGGCTGCTCCATCACTGGACAGCCTTTTGTCCAGAAGGGTAGAGGGTCTCCAGCTTGAGCAGAGGGTTGGACTATTAGACCTAAGCACATTTGACGGCTATCAGTGAAACGGAAAAATAAGCGAAAAAACAAAAAACCACCCTCCCCGTTTCTCTTACCTTGGTCATCTGGCTGCCACACTCAGGGCGGAGAGCAGCGGCCGACCCGCCCCAGGCCAAGAACGACTGTTTGAGCCACAGGATCCCCAGACCTTGGCTGGAGAAAATGTCCTTGAAGGAAAAGCTAGGAAAACAATACCTGAGATTTTTTTTTAAGGTGAATGCTGCAGTAACGGGGAAAGAGAAGAGGAAGGAAAAAAGGATCAGTTCCGTGACAAATATCACAATGGGACCCGTTTGCTTTTTCCTTTTTTTTTTTTTACTTAAATGAAGATACTTTGTGGGTGCTCGCATTTCATCCCAAAATGAAAACCTGGGATCTTTCACTGAAGGCGCTCCTCTTCCCTCTTTCCCACCGAGAAGCCTCTGCGGAGCCCTTCCGTGTCCTTGTGGGTGCCAAGCACCCCTGGCGAAGACCAAGGGGGCCCCAAGGGTGAATGAGGGGTGAATTTTGCCACCCGAACAAGGGGCCCTTTACTTCTCCGTCGTCCTTTCGTGGAAGGCGCAGAGCGGCCAGGGCCCGCTCTCTGGGAAGGCCCGTCTCCTGGGGCAGGTTTGGCAGATGTTCCTTCTCCGCCCTCCGGAGAACCTGCCAGATGACCAGCCTTTTTGCCCGGATCGGGTTTGCCTTGGGCTGGGCCCGGGTGGGCACACTGGGTGGGTTTCTGGCAGCAGACTGACGCCCCCTTCCCAACCTCAGGCATTTCCAGAGGGACCCACAGACAGGCGCAGAGGGCTAACAGCTGTGAAATGGCACGTATCAAGTCTCATGTTACCCCCAAAGTCCCCATGAAATAGCCCACAGACCCCACTTGTTCATTATGAATTACTGTCCCGAGCCCTAGCCCCCTCCCCAGTGGCAACGAGGCCCAGCTGAAGCCCACCCGTCTCTCCCCAAAGACGCCAGCTGACACTGGTGGCAGGACTACAAAGCGTTTATCCACCCTGGCGTGGGTGCTTTTCTCACAGTTGAGGCACTCGACGTATCCAGAGAGGCCACCAGCTGTCCGGACAAAGCGCATACACATCTTTATAAAACACATCATTTATGCACCATTTCTCCTATTTACAGCGGCAGGATGGTTCCTACCCCACAGTGCTCCGGAAAGGGGGCAGCCTAAGTCCAGCCGCTGCAAGACACTCGGGGTCTGCCGGCCTCCCTCGGCCCCTCGGCTGCCTTCGGACATTCGGAGGGCGGCTTCCGTGGGGCTGGCGTCTACAAAAGGCAGGGAGGGGAGGGCGTAAGGACAGGCGGGGCGACCCAGGCATTTTAAATAGTGACAAGGTGGCATCTTCAACATTTTATTCCCCTGTCCTGCCGAAGGGTGGGAAGAGGAGGGCCCCTCTTTCTCACTTTGATCTCTGGAGAGACCCATCTCCCTCTCAGCCCCCCTCCGACTTCCAAAGCTCCTGTAGGGACAGCCCTCCCCTCAAAATGTCTCCTCCTCCAGTGGCAGCCACACATCAGGCATCTGGACGGCTTCGACCTCCCGTATCAGAGGCTTGGAGGTGCCCTCCCTCCGCTTTCCGCAGTCTAACCAGGCCTGAGCTGGGGGGTCCCTATTCGGGGGAAGGAGGTCCCCGATGGTCTAAAGTTTAGGGTTAGGGTTACATCACCATGAACTCCTAGAGCAAAATGGACATCGCCAACAAACTCGGAGTGCTTGGGTATGGTTAGAAGGGCACTGATTTTTCTAGGCTGCCCTATCTATGTTTCCTGGTAAAATACATGGGAAAATCCCATTGGAGGAAAATTCCACTTAGGGTTAGGGTTTAGGTCACCATGAACTCCTAGAGCAAAATGGACATCGCCAACAACTCGGAGTGCTTGGGTATGGTTAGGAGGGCACTACTTTTCTAGGCTGCCTATCTATATTCCCCTTCCTGGTAAAATACATGGGAAAATCCCATTGGAGGAAAATCCACTTAGGGTTAGGGTTAGGTCACGGAAAACTCCTAGAGCAAAATGGACATCGCCACCAAACTCGGAGTGCTTGGGTATGGTTAGGAGGGCACTGACTTTTCTAGGCTGCCCTATCTATGTTTCCTGGTAAAATACATGGGAAAATCCCATTGGAGGAAAATTCCACTTAGGGTTAGGGTTACGTCACCGTGAACTCCTAGAGCAAATGGACATCGCCAACAAACTCGGAGTGCTTGGGTATGGTTAGGAGGGCACTGACTTTTCTAGGCTGCCCTTATCTATGTTTCCTGGTAAAATACATGGGAAAATCCCATTGGAGGAAAATTCCACTTAGGGTTAGGGTTACGTCACCGTGAACTCATAGAGCAAAAACGGACATCGCCAACAAACTCGGAGTGCTTGGGTGTGGTAAGGAGGGCACTGACTTTTCTAGGCTGCCCTATCTATGTTTCCTGGTAAAATACATGGGAAAATCCCATTGGAGGAAAATCCCACTTAGGGTTAGGGTTACGTCACCGTGAACTCATAGAGCAAAACGGACATCGCCAACAAACTCGGAGTGCTTGGGTATGGTTAGGAGGGCACTGACTTTTCTAGGCTGCCTTATCTATGTTTCCTGGTAAAATGCCTGGGAAAATCCCATTGGAGGAAAATTCCACTTAAGCAACCTGCCTGCCTTCCCACCTCCTGCCTGGCTGTGCTGTGGTTCGCGGTTGGTGCCGCCCATGTTCCCAGGCCCAGGCGCAGGGTGCTGTGTGTACCAGCCAAGCAGGGCCTGGGTCACCCCAGACCAGTGAACGCCAGGCCAGACCTCTGGAGACATCACGCCCACCGCAGGTGGTCGGAAGCTGCTTTGGGCACCAACCGTGGGATGAGGGCTCTTCTTCTGCCTCCCATTTCGGGTGGTCCCTGCCGCCCCTAGCCCTGTGGGGGCCTGCCCTGTGCCTATGTGCAAGACCATGCGGGAAGCAGAGTGGCGGTCCAGAAACGGGACCGTCAGAAGCTAAGAATAGCAGGGTGAGAGCTTGCGGTGGGGGGGGAGAGGGGGAGGGCCACCCGCTGGCATCCTATCCCACTGCAGCACCCGGTCGCCCCACAGGAGGATCAAAGGCCTGGCCTCTCAGGCAGAGAAATTCATCCTGCAATGGCTGCTACCCTTCACGTTTGCTGCCCACAATGAGCCCCTCTGCCCAGTCCTTCCCAGGGAGAGGCTGGCACGAGACTGGCACGCAGCTCTGGTCGGATACCAGAGGCCTGCTTTATTGTCGCCTCCGCCGGTCCCAGGTGGCCCCTACCTTGGGCTTCTTGACGGCCTTGTTCAGCCTCTTCTCTTTGCTCAGCTGCAGCCGCGTCCTCTCCAGCGCCTCCTTCAGCAGCGCCTTCTCCTCCGCGTCCCTGTAGACCTGGTCGGCCAGCTTGGCCGCCTCCGACTGGCAGGCCTGCAGGCTGTGCCTGTTGCTCCTGCGCGGGGCCAGGGAATTTGCCTGGGCTGCGGACACCCTTCTCCTCCTCCTCCTGGCCTGGCGTCCCTCCGCTTGGGCCCAGCTCCCCCTCCCCAGCGCCCGGGGCTGGCGGTGATACCTGAGGTGCCCGGCGTCCCCCTCGTACTCCTTCAGCAGGGACTCCTTCCTCTCCAGGCGGCTCTTCAGCTTGCTGATCCTGTCCAGCAGCAGCTCCAGGTCCTTCTGGCGCAGGAGGCTCACCTTCTCCCTCTCGGCCTGGGGCAGGTGCTTGAGGGTCTGCAGGCCCATCAGCTGCTCCACGTCCATCAGGCCGGAGAGGCCACGAACAAGGCTGAGGTACTGGGGGCGGGGGGGGGCGGGAGGGAGTGGGGGGGGCACGGTGAGTCCCTTGACCTGAAGGCCCTGCCCAAGGCACGCTGGGAAGGCCCAGCCGGAGGGGTGGACGTGTGGGGGCAGCCCAGGCAGACACCTTCCCTGCACCCAGAGCAGAAGAACCATCCTCCAGACCCGTCTGCTTGCTGCCCATCTCCCTCCCCGACTGGCTGAGACCAACACTGGGCCCATCCTCCGCCTCTCAGCTCCTGCCCCAGGCTAAGGTCAGGCTGTCACTCAGGAAGCCTGGACAGGGGAGAGGGAGCCATGACTGGGGGGGGTCTCCCCACGTGGAAGCCAGCAGCCTCCCCTACCAGGTGCTCGCTGAGGTCCAGCGCATCCGCCATCTCCAGCCTTGCGGTCCTCTCCGTGGCCACGTTGGGGTCGATGCCGGAGGGCCCAGCTGGAGGCTCCGAGGGAGGAAAGGCAGTGAGAGCTTCTGAAGCACCAGCGGGGACTGGCACCTGCAGCCCGCCTGGCCCCTCTGCCCTGGCCGCCTCCTAGAGGAGCCCCCGGGAGCTCAGATTACCTGGTGGGCAGCCATCCCCACTGTCAGCACTGTGGTGGGGTCCTTCACCTTCGCCTGCTCTGGCTTCTCTGCCGGCCCTTTCCGGACAACCAGAAGTGGCTCCGAGTTCTTCGCCTCTGCAGAGGGGAAAGACGTGGCCCCGTTCAAGGCAAGGCCAGCCGGACTGAGTCCCTCCACCATGTCTGAACAGGACGGCACTTTGGGGTGAGGATCGGAGCTCTCAAGTTCTTAGCTCTTGAAAAAGATGGGATCCATTCGGACCAGAAGAACCCAAGGAAGTGCCATGCTGGGGGGGGGACCCCGAATGCTGGAGGCCAAGCGGCCACCCAGAGCAAGTGGTCTCTCACTGACCACTTAGTTTAGGCCGGGGCTCTCCAAATGTGGCCACTGTTAAGACTGAGCTGGCTGAGCAACGCTGGGAGTTGAAGTCGCCAAGTCTTGAAGTGGCCACGCTTGGACAGACCCGGTCTGGACCTTCCTGGGCATTCCACCCCCACCCCCACCCTGACACACAAGAGGAGGCCTCTCCCCCCGTCCTCGGCCGTGTCTCAAAACGGGGGAGCAAACGGGAGGTCCCCTCAGGCCCCAGCCGAGCCCCCGACTCACCCTTCTCCAGCTTCCGAAGCTTCTTGCGCAGCTCGGCCAGGGCCTCTTTCTGGCGGTGGATGACCTCCTCGTGGCGGGAGCCTTTGCACCTGGCGCCCAGGTCGGCCAGGCACAAGAGGGGGGGCTCCTGGAAGCGCAGAGACACCCCCTGGCACTCAGCACTCCCTGTTCGAGCCAGAGGGCACGGGGGGGGGAACCTTGGGCCGAGGGCTCCTGCAGCTCCCCGGCCATTGGGCCAGCCTCTCTTCCCATCTCTTCTGTCTCCCTCCTTCCCAGAGGTCATCTGAGGTCACCCTGGCTGGGGATGAGCGTTTCAGGCAGGTCCAAGCCCCCTCGCCGCCAACCCGCAAGGCCAGGAGGATGGGCACTGTACTCCCAAACTGCTGGACTACTTCATAATCATCAGCAGCCCAGCCATCGCCTCTGGCCAGTGGAAGCCATGCTCCCCAAAGGGCGAGGAGGCTCAGGAGCAGCCCTATCCCGTCCCCCTCAGCCCTCTTAGCTCTGACCACCCGGCGGGGCCCAGGATCCCTTCCAACCTGGCTGGCAGGCAGAAGGAGCAAGCCCAGGTGGCTGTTCCCTCCCGCCAGCTGCCCTGCCAGCCCTTCGTGGGCAATTAGTTAGGAATGACAAAACTTTAGGCTGGCAGAAAGGTGTGATAAAAACATTGGCTGCTTAAGGAGAGCGACACGCGGGCATCCCTCTGCGCAGCCCGCTCTGGGCAGGGACCCCGGCAGGCCCTCCCCAGCCTCCAGAGGGTTCCTGTCGGCCCCCCACTTGCCTTTGCAGCACGGGGGGTCTCGTCCTGCAGGGCCCCCACCGTCTGCACGCCCTTGTGCTGCAGAACCCTGGCCAGTTCCCCGGCCTTCGCCTCCTGCGCCAGCAGCTCCTTCACCTTCTCCCTGGCCTTCCTGCAGCAAAGGCGGGAACGATGGGAGCAGAGGACACACGGGGGGAAGACACACACAGACACACACACGCACACATACACCGTGGCCATTCCCAATTCCATCCCATGAGCCTAATGGGCTCAGCAGTACAGCGAGTCCTCGACTTACGATCATAATGGAGCCCAAAGTTTCTGTTGCTAAGTGAGACACGTGTTAAGTGAGCTTGCCCCCATTTTACGACCTTTCTTGCCCCCATTGATAAATCAGCCACACAGTTGTTAAGTGAGCCTGGCTTCCTCCCTTGACTGGGTCTGCGGAGAAGAGGGGCTGCCTGCAGCCCCAAAGCTCGGGGGAGGGAGGGGGGCTACGTTCTCGGGGAGGCCCCCTCACCTTAACTCCTCCGTGGTGGCTTGAAGGTGGCTCTCCCTCTGGCCCAGCCGCCTGCAGGTCTCCGCCAGCTTCTCCCGGAGGAGGCCGAGCTCCCGGGCCTGGCTCTGCACGAGGCCCCGCTTCTCCTCCAGCTCCGCCTTCTGCTTCTCACCCAGCTCCCCTGCGGAGAGGAGAGAGGTGGGGGCTCCCTCAATCCCCCCCCCACCCCTCCTGGAGCCTTTTGCCCCAGGCGTGCTCTGGGCCCCAGAGACAGCCAGCCAGCCAGCCCCTTCACGGGATCCCATCGGCCTTGAGGCCCTGCTTCTCTCGCCGGGGCTGCCCTGAGCTCTGGTCTGGACACACACACACACACACACACACACACACACACACACACACACACCCCCGGCAAAGAGACACAACCGATCAATTCCCACAATGGGAGAGCGGAGGGCGAAGGGGACGGAGGGCAGGACTGTCTTACTTAAGGAAGGAAGAGAGGGATTGATCTAGTTCCGTTTCTACTTGGAAAGGGATTCTGGGCTTCCTGAATAAGAGGAAACTTTGATTCTAGGTTTTGACACTGAGCGTGAGTTGGTTGCTATGGAAATGGCTTGAGCAGCTGAGGAACACAAAGCCAAAGGTTGAAGTTTATCCTTCTTTTTGTGCTCTGCTGCACTGTTCCTTTCTTTCCTTCTTTTTCTTTGCCCCCTTCTCTTAGCTTTCTAACTTTTTCCTTCCGGGTTATTGACCCATCATAAACTTTAATAAAAAATTCAAGCTGTGCACAGGCACGAAAAGGCAGCGGCTGGAGGAAGGCATTCAGGATCTGTGCCCAAAGCGACATGCGTGTCACAAACCGATCACGTCGGACATGGTGGCTCTGGCCTGGCAAAGTTCCTTCTTCAGCTCCGCGATGACAGCCTGGTTGGCCTGGATCTCCTGCTTGGCGGCCGCCAGATCCTCCCTGGGAAGAACAAAGACGGACGGAGACCCGTTTCAGCGGCCCCGCTGGAGGCTTCCAGGCTTCCATTAAGTGGAGCGTCGTCTCCCTCCCACGGAGGCCGAGGCCAGTCGGCAAGGGCAAAAACTGGCTGGGAAGGGCTCCTGGATCCCTTTCCCCACTTCAGCTGCCCAAACTGGGCGCGAGGGAGCGAGCGAGCGAGGGGCAGAAACGCACCTGGGGGAGGCCTGGGCCGCTCCTCCCCTTGAAATCCTCTCCCTGGTTTCTTAAGCCTTCCGGCTTTGCTGGGCGATGCGTCAAAAGAAAACTTACTTCAGGAAAGCGTGAAACTCCTCCATGACGCTCAGCCCTGGGGAGGCAGGCGGGGGGAGCTTGCAAGGCTCCTTCTTCATTTCTGGAGGGGAAAAGAAGTGGCGGAAGGATGCGGAAAGCAGTCCGGGCTACGGCACGTTTCTTAGAAAAACCAGTTTGATTTCTCCCATCGGGACGAGCGCAAAGAAGAAGGGAATGAGCCCAAGAGAAGCCCCTTCCCAAACGGTCAGGAGCCCACAAAATGTCTGTTTAGAATGACTTCCAAATTCCCCGGACGGCTCTTTGCCCCAAAGAGGCGACTCCCCCCCCCACTGCGGCTGGGAAGAGGGCTGCAAGCAGGGCCGTCCTTTGCCCTCGGCGGTGTCTCCGGCAGCCGGGACGGAGGCGCCGGCCACGGAATCCGCCTCGCCTGCCTTCCCCCGAAGGCGCTCACCGTCTGGCCGCTCTTGGCCCGCGTTCGCCCTGGGTGGCTGTGGTGGCGGGAACAAGGGGAGCGGGAGCAGGCTGAAGGTCGGCCCAGCGGCCGGGAGTTTCAGTGCGAAAGAAGTCCAGGAAAACCAAGGGAGGCCCCTCCTGCCACGGGCCAGCTCAGGGGGGCACGGGGGCGGCCTCGCGAGACTCCGCACGCTGCACTGACCTCTCGGCTGGGACACCCCCTGGTCCTCCTCCGCCTGCTGGGCAGCGCTGACCAGCCTCTCCTCCAGCTCCACGATGGTCCTGGCGTGCTGCTTGACCTGCTCTTGGTACTCCAAGATCTCCTGCTGGTGCTTCTGCCTCAGCGACTCGGCCTCCGCCTCCAGGCCCTGCAGCCGCCTCTCCCGGGCCAACAGCTTCTCTTCGGCCACCACCTGGCAAGGGGAGAGGCAGGGGGGCACCGCTGGACGTGGCCTGCCCTCCCTCCAAAAGTCCCCCGAAGAAGGAAGGCCAGGCTGCCCCCGCCCCCAATTACCTTTCCCCTCTTCACATCCTCCAGAGCCCCCAGACTCTCTTCCACCCTGGCGTTTAAAGCCCTCTCCAGGTGCGCTCTCCCTTCGATCACCTGCAAGGCCGGGACAGGGAGGTGAGCGGGAGAGGGCCAGGCTGCCCTCTTGGCCGGCTGGCCGAGATTTAAAAATCTGCTGCAAGACATTCAAGGCTGAAAGGAAAATGCAGACTACAAAGGTCTGACTAAGTGCGGGGGGGGGGGCACTCAGAGAAAACCCTCCTGCGGCCCATCCCAGGGCCCCGCAGGGGAGCCGGACGCAGCCACCCACGGCTGCTGCCACCCCCCCCCCCGTGGCTACTGAAGGGGCTGCTGAAGGGGCTGCCTCTGGAGGACGGCTCTGCCCCAGCCTGCTCCCCCCACCCACCCATTTGCAACAAGAGGAGGACTATACAGGTAATCCTCCACTTACAACAGCTTGTTTAGTGACTGCTCAAAGCTACAAAGGCACTGAAAAAAGTGACTTAGGACCGTTTTTCACACTTATGACCATTGCAGCATTCCTGTGGTCACACGTGATCAATATTCAGAAGCTCGGCAACTGACTCACATTTATGGCGGTGGAAGTGTCCTCCCTCCCCTGCCTCTGCCTCCCGCTCTGTGCCTCCCCTCTGGCCGCCGGCAGCGATGGGGGCAGGAAGAGGGCCGCCCTGGCACCCACCTGGGAAAGCTCCTTCATCTCAGCCTCCAACAGGCGGCCCCTCTTCCTCTCCTCTTCCAGGGCTTCTTGTGACTTGGCTTCTTCCAAGGCGGCCCTTCCGGCCAAGATCTGGGGGCCAAGGGACCCTCTCCGGTGAGCGTGCCTCAAGCGAGGGCTGGAGGCTGGCAGAAGCCCCCCACCCGTTCTGGCGAGAGGAGAACCGGGCCCTTACGGGCGGCCCCCTTCGGCTCACCTCCTTCTGCTGCTTCTCTTCCTCCCGAATCTTCCTCTCTCTGGCCCGAAACTCTTCCTCCAACCGCTCCTCCAGCTCCTTCAGCCTCTCCCGCAGGGCCGAGTGCTGGGACTCCTCTGCCCTCCGCAGCTGGTTCTGCAGGGGAAAAGCTGCACCCTCAAGAGGGGCTGAAGGGGAGAGGGGTGTGTGTGTGTGTGTGTGTGTGTGTGTGTGGAGGATCAGCCAGACAGCGGCAGCTGCTCTACTCCAAAGGGGGAGCCGTTACCTGCAAGGCCTGGACCTGCCCCGTGACGCTGTGGTGCTGGTCCAGCAGCTGCTTCATGTAGGAGGCCATTCCTGGCATAAGGGAGAGCGGAGCTGAGGCCTGGCATCCACGGAGGGTCCCCGAGGACCGTTTGCTCAGTTGGGGAGGGGGCATCCTGAGACCGGACGAGTCCTGAGCAAGCAGGGTCCCTGCCAAGGACTCTGGGAGTTGAAGAGGCCCAGCTGGGAGAGACTGTCTTAAATGCAATTGAATTCCAGATAATAGTCCAGGACTTCCTTTCAGCTTCCCCCCTGCCCCCTTCAGCCACGTTCAGGCCGATACAAGAACGCCAACGGTGGGGGTGGGGTGCAGGGGGGGGCGCTACTCTATTCCTGCTCAATGTCGAAATCTACCACTACAATCCAGACTTTTGCTGGGCTTTCAGGGGCTGGAAGAACCAAGAGGGGGCAAAAGGGGTACCAGGGCATGCATCCTTTCCCCCAAAAGAAGGCCCCAAACATTCTGGTCTCCCCTTGGATGCCCAGCACCGACCCAGCCTGGCTGCTGCTTGGGTTTCTGGGGGGGGGAGGGCTTCACACTTGGCCCTGCCTGCCCCCCCCCCCAAGGCAAGTCCAGCTCTGGCTCTCTGCAGGCTGGATGGCCTTTCAGCAGCAGCTCAGCCGGAAGGGAGGGGAGACGGACCTGGGTCACCAGCCGGAGCATCCACACCCATGTTCCTGAGCAGAGACTCCAGCGCTTCTACCCAGCCCAGCACGCTGTAGAGGATGCGGGCTAGAGAGGCTTGGATTCCTGAGGCCAGGGGGGCTGGGAGGGCCAGGCTCTGCAGCCGGGTGATGGCCCCCTTCAGGCTCTTCGCAGAGAAAGAGGTCTTCAAGAACTCCTGGGGCAGAGAAGGGGTGGGGAGACCATTTGAATAGCCTCTTTCCTCTTGTGGTCAGGAGGATTTCTGGGGAGGAGACACCCCCCCCCCCGCCTCCACACACACCCCCCAGGCCAAGGGAGGCTAAAATCCTGCTTCCTGCACAGGGCAGAAAGGAGAGTGGCACTCATTTGGGCACCTGGGCAAAATAAAGCTCCACCCCCCCCCCCAGGCTCAGCAGGGCAGGTATTCTGGGGGGGAAGGGAGGGGGGGGAGACCTGAAATCCATCGAGCGACTTCTTCAGCAGGGCCAGGTTGGACGAGAGGTTCTCCATTTCCAGGGCCTGGATCTGCATTTCCTTCTGCAGCCCAGCCTCCTTCTGGTCAGAGCTCTGCTTGCCCTCCTGCACCTGGTGGATTTCCTCAACAATCTGGGGGGGGGGGGCAGAAAAAGCTGGTTTGCCGAAAGAGTGAGCGGTGGTGCCTCTGACCTTCCCATCGTTTCCACTGAGTGTCAAGTCGGCCCTCTGCCCTCCTGGCCCAGCCACTTATGGGGAGATGGGCCAAACAGGGGTGCCCCCCCCATCCTGCCCTCCACTAAAAGATGAGGAGGCTGCTACCTGCTCATCGGTTAGAGGTTTCTCGGGAAGTTCGGGAAAGAGGGCCTTCACCACCTGGTTCCGGAAACGCTGCGCCTGGGGGCAGCAAAGTTAAATGGCAGGAGGAGACAGGCCCCCCCCACACACACACTCCCCTGCCCCTCAGGTCAGCTCAGAGCTGAAAGGAAGAGCCAAGGAAGGAGGGGGACTGCAAGGCAGATGGGCAAGGGGCTCCTTGTGCCCTGGCGAGGGGCAGGAGGAGCACCTGGCCTACCTGAGCGGCTGCCTGCTCCATCTCCGAGCGCAGGAGGCGCTCTCGCCGGCCCAGCTCCTGCACCTGCTGGGCTCGCCTCTGCGCCTCTCGCTTCAGCTCCCCTTCGGCCTGGAACCGGGCAAGGCGGGAAGAGTGAGGCCGTGCAGAGCGGGACCCCCCGGCCCAGCCGTGCCCCTGAAGGCCAGGGCCGCCCTGCCCGCTCACCTGGGTGGCCTCCGCCAGCCTCCGGGTCAAGGTCTCCTGCTCTGTGCAGCGTTTCTTGATCTCCTCCTTGGACTGGCCGGCCTGCAGCTCCAGCTCCGCGATCCGCTGCAAAGGCACCGGGAGAGGGGATGAGGGGCCGGGAAGCCCGCTGGCCCTGACGACCGAGGGGCCCGGTTAGTGTGTGAGGAGGGCAGGGGGAGCCTTCTAGGGGAGGCAAAATTAGAAGGTTACAGACGCCCCAAGCCAACGGTTTCCACCTTTGTGCCAACAGAAAAACAAAGGAGGTTAGTAGTGACTGAGACCCAATTTCTGCTTCAGAGGCCTGAGGACAAGGCGGCCTGCCTGGAGGGGGCACCTGCTGCCGGCCTGCTAATCAGGAGCCCTTCTGAGCTGGGGCAGAAGCCCTGGAGAAGAGAAATCCGAAAAGGGCATCGAATACCTGGGGGGGGGGTCTACTCTAAAGAGCCTCCCTCTCTGCGGAGAGACTTTTGGAAGAGCTGCGACCGGACACAGATGGGAAACACGCAGGGCCGACTCACGCTCTGATGGGCACTGAGGTCTCTGTCCCTGAGTTCCCGCTTGGTCTCCACTTTAATTCTAGAGCACTGGAAAGAACGGCAGGGGAGGGAGATGCGGTCAGCCAGCGGGGAAGGCCTGGCACAGGAACACACACACACACACACACACACACACACACACACACACCTGAAAATCCAGCCACCCCAATCCCTCCCCGCATAAAGACCAATCTCTAGCTAGTAAGGCTGGAGGGGTGGAAAGGAGGCTGGTGACTGACCAAGCCAGAAGCATTAGGCCAAAGTCACCAGGGACCCCCATGCCCTGAAGACCCCGCAGGGTTATCAGTGGGGGCCCTTTGCAAAGGCTCCTGGGCCGGCCTCTGCTCCTTTCGACTTCCTTTCCGCCTCTTCTTTAGCCCTCTTTTTGATTCCCAAATCCTTCCAGAACTGGTTTGGTGCTTCAGGGAGATCAGGGATTTCGTGGGCCATCAGTGGGATCTATCAAAGACTTCACTGGGGGGGGGGAGACAAAGACTCCTTTATCTGCCCAGGTGCTAACCTGGCTAAGGTTTGGCTTTAATTCTTCCATTAAACAGCCCTGTAAATAAAGCTAGCAGGTTCCCAATCGATTTTCTAGCTCTGGGTACACACTCCGTGCAATTTGGCACGTCCCACGACAAACATTAGCAAAGACAACTGATAACTGCCGGCGCACCCATTTTTAAAAATGTCCCTGAGGGACTATTTGAAGCCTAGGAGCCTTTTACGCAGCTGGCCGTCCCCCCAGGCCCCAGAAGGCAGCCGGTCGGGATTTCAGCCACGGCTTTTACAGAGCCAGAAAAACTTCACTTTTTGTGCCCTCGGAAGATACCTCGGAAGATACAGGCACCTGTGGTTTTTAGGAATCATTTTTCCATAACTTCCATCATAATAAAAGTTTTTAAAAGGAAAATAAAGAAGAGAGCACGATGCTGCAAATAATTAGATCATTAAACAAATGTAACGGAACTCTGATTAAAACAGAACCAAAGAAGGCCTAAGGCAATTCACAATGTTACAAATGCGTAAATAGTTTTTGTACAAAGTTTACCTCCAAACTGCTACAGCTTACTATCAAATCCTACTTATTTGCTAATCCGAGGCTGAAGTTAAAATTGGCTGTTTCCCTAGTAAAGATTTAGTTATCTTCATATCCTTACTAAATTGGTTTTCTGCAAATTGCCTGACATGCTTTATGACGCCTGTGTCTCTGACCTGTATTTTTATTCCCTACGCTGGACAGCAAAATAATCCTTTCCAGAACTTCAACGGCTGGAAAAGTAAAATGAGCTTGCCGATGGCCCTTAGAATTTATTTCTTGAAAAAGGAAAAATGGGAGGCAACCCAGATGAAGAAAGAGGAGATGGGAGGGAAGAGAGAGAGAACAATGAGGCGGGAAGGGAAGGCCTCAGCAGGACAAGAGGACAGCCCCCCCATTTCAGCCTCCCCCCAAAGCAGATTGGACCTGTCTGCAGCATCTGATTGACCAGAGAGGTCTGACCAGCAACAACACTGCCCCCAAAGGCCCCTGGGCAGGGTGGGGGGGGGAGCCTGCAGAGAAGGGCAGCTGTTCCAGATGGGGACACAGACATCAGCCATCACAGCGGGAGAAACAAAGGGAACCCAGCTGGATCTACAGAATCCCAGAGGAGGAGCGCTGACCTGGGCAGAAATATAGGCAAGCTGGCTGTCCTTCTCCCGGCTCTCCTGCCTCAGCTTCTCGGTGTCCGTTTTTAACTGCTGGATGCGCTGCTCCTTCGAGACCACGTCCTTCTGCAAACTGGTCACCAGCCCTGCAGGGAGCAGCAAAGGAAGCCCAAAGCTATCAGCTCAGCTGCCTCCAGCTGTGGGGAGCTAAGGGGGTGGGTGGGGTGGGGAGAAGAGGTTAACTCGGCAAAAGGAGGAAGTGGGGGGGGGAAGGGTTGTCAAACAAAGCAGGAAGGAAAAAGGTAGCCTCTGTGAGGGACCCCTTTTCTTTTAACAACTGCCGAGGAAGCCTAGATGAAATCAGAATCCTCTTGGGTTACATGCAGGGGCCCCTCCTGCCTTTCTTTTTCCTTCCATTCAGTCTCCTCTGCTTCTCCGAGGCTGCCTGCACCAGTCTCCTTGGCAAGGTTCTGCAGAAGTGGTTTGCCATTGCCTCCTTCCTGGGGCTGAGAGGGAGCGACTGGCCCAAGGTCACCCAGTTGGCTTTGTGGCTAGGGCGGGGACTAGAATTCACCGTCTCCCAGTGTCTAGCCTCATGCCTTTACTGCTGCACCACACTGCCTCTACCCTCCCCCCACTTCTTTAACCCAGCACGTTCTGAGAAGATAAGCCCCTTCTTCACGGGGAGGAGCTACAATTTTAGGCCACATCACTGACATCTGGTGGCCACGCTGTGAGGCCCACAACATGCCCACAGTGGAAGGTGTAGGCAGTGGGTCCTCTCTGTGGAGGATTTACACCCGGCACCCGGTGTGAAGTGAGGCAGCCAGGCTGGATGTAATATCCCAGAGGGTTTCTCTTAGCCTTTTCAAGTAATCTTGTTTTTTACCATGGCGCCTTTTCCGATGCCTGCTTTCTATGCCCAGGGCCACCTTGGTGAGAGAGATGGCTGTATAAACGCCATGAATGAATGAATGAAGGAACAAACGAACGAATGAACAAATAAACATTTTCCTCCTGTTTTCCAGAAGACAGGAGAGGGCCCGTTCACCGGCCGGTCAAGTGCCTCCTCTGAGCTGCTGGGAGGAGGAAATGAAGGGAACAAAAAGGTGTCTGCACCTGTGGTGAGGGCGTAGCTCTTCTTCAGCGCCTTGTTCTCCTGCTTCCAGTGGGCGATTTGCAGGTCGCGGTCCGAGAGGGAGTGGTACAGGACTTCGCTGGTGTCTTTCTGCAGACTGCTGACCTGGGAAGAAAAACACAAGAGTGGAAAACGCGGAGGTGAGCACCCACGCACTCACACACACACACACACACACACACACACAGAGCAGCACCCTCGCCGCACCCCAACACACACACACACACACACACACACACACACACACACCTGCTCCTTCAGCCTTCTGATCTCTTCGGCCTTGGCTTCGGCATCTCTGTCGAGGCTGGCCAGCTTCTGATGGAACTCGGTGTCCTTCTTGGCCAGGGTTGCCACCACCTTCTCGTTCATGGCCAAAATCTCGTGCTGGAGCTCTGCGATCAGTGTGTCCTTGCGGCCGCACTCGCTTTCGAAGGCGGACAAGCGGTTGATTTCGTCCCCCAGCCTCAAAATGGTCTCTTCCTGCACAAGGAAATAAGTGGATGAAACAAGAGAGGGAAAGGGCCCTTATCCAATTCTTCTTCTCCTGCTATATCCTTCCACGAATTGACCAGTGCTCAGTTCCCTAACTCCAATGGCCAGCCAGCTTTCTCTGAGGCCCTGAGAGATCATCCAGCCTTATTGCTCAATCTTTGGGGGTGGGGGGTGGAGAAGGAGATTGCTGGAAGGAAAGGCTGTTTCTGGCTATCTCCCTGGGAATGCACCATTTCACTGACCACCTTCTCTTCCTCCTCCCTCCCTCCCTCGCCTGGTTTTTTTTTTTTTTTACACTTTCATCTGCTCCACTTCGGAAAGGGCTGCTCTTCCCTCCTGAATGATTGATCTGGCCCCACTGATACTCTTCCTCAGGGTGGGTACCCACAAACAGCTTTGTGAAGCCGTCTCTTTCCCTCTCTCTGACCGCAAGTTCTTGCCTGGGCTAAAATCTTCCTTTTCAAGTCCATCAATCTTTCCTGTGGTTTGGATTCCCAGGCAAGATTTTTCTTTTTCTTAATAAGAATATTTGAGGCTGATGGTCTCAAGTGGCCATCGCTGTGCTTGCTTCCCATAACTCAGCTTTGGTGCCGAGAGACTTTGGGGCCTGTCTGGAAGGAGAACCAGGGCGGCCTTGCCCAGAAGGGCCTTCGGGGCTCTGGGGAAGCCCTCACACTGGAGAAGGGCGTAAAAAGCAGAGGCCCTCGCTCACCTTCTCTTTCAGAAGCGCGTCCCCCGCGTGGCTGCCGGCCAGAGGGCCAGGGAGGGCTCCGTTGCCTGAAAGGGAACAGAAAAGAAGCAGGCAGCAGCCCATGGATAGGGATACGGGGCCTCTCTTCCTCCCCCCCCCCCATTGTGATCTTTGAAGGATCGACAGAGTGAAGCTCAGCTCCAGGCCGTTTCTGCTTTCTGGACAGCTGTACCTGTGAGGGTGGCTGGAGGCCAACTGGAAGGCTCGGGAGGGAAGGCAGAGGAGGAGACAGTCCTGCCCCAGGCGCTCCCGGGTGGCCTCTTTCGGAGGGGGGGGCGAGGCGAGGTCCCGCTTGCTGCGTAAGGCCAGGTGGGGCTGGCGGGTGAGGACTGCGGAGAGGACAGCCACGGAAACTGGGGAGCAGAAGCTGCCGAAGGAAGGGGAGTTGCCTCTGTCACCATCTGGATTTGGCCCGGCCAGGCAATGCGCCGATTCACTGGAGGACACGGCACCTGCTGGAGGACGTGCAGGAATCTCGTCTGTCCCCAGAGTCTTTCCAGGAGAAGGGGGGGGGCAGACACTGCAAACCTGAGTTGGTTCACCTCACGCTCCGCAGGAATTTGACACAATGCTCACCACCCACAACTGAGGGGGGGGGTCAGTTAAGAAATAGGAAATATAAATCAATAGATAACCTTCATCCTGTCAAACAGGTAGGGTGGTCACTGGGGGAGTTGCCCCCATGGAGAGAGAGGGCAGTAGCAGGGTTAAGAATGCCAGGGACTTCAGCTCCCATAAGCCCCGGAAATTGCCATGCCAGACGTGGTGTGTGTGATTGCGATCCCTTGCTTGGGTCAAACAGCTTCCTTTTAATAGCGGTCAGGGCCCAAGAGGGCTCTCAGATGGGGAGGGGAGCAGCTTCTCTGGCTGTCCCCATCGCCAGCACCTTCTTTACCTGAGCTGGATGGTCCAGCACCAGCTCGAAGGTTGGCCCAGCGGAGCCGAAGCGCAGCAGGTCTCCCGGGCCCACCTTCACGGCCACATTCTGGATCTGGCAGTCGTTCACAAAGGAGCCACTGCCGGTATTGAAGTCCCGCAGAACAAAGCTGTGCTCAGCGTCACTGAACTCGAGGGCAGCGTGGTGGTCTTCCAACCCTGGAGACTGAAGGGGAGCCTTTTAATTTAACTGCACAGCATCCGGAGCACAAATGAAAGGCAACACCGTCCCAAGAGAGGCAGGGTCAAAAGCAGGAAGAAGGAGGAGGAGGTGTTTTCCCAGCAGCTTTTTTTCTTTCCTCACTAAGAAGATTTGGTCTGTTTCCCACACATCCAAAACCAAAGCTCTGACTGGTTTAACATCTCACTTCCACCGTGAGGCAGCAGAAAGACAGATTCAATGGAGTGGGAGAAATGTGGGGGAGGGAAGCCTCGAGCACCCCACAGGGGTGACACACAAGGACGAATGTACGATCTGGAACGTTTGTGCTTTTACCTTAAGAACGATGTCCGAATCATCGTGCTTTCCTATCGTTGTTATCTTTGGCCTGAGTGCCAAGATGCCATCGGAGCTCCTTAGAAAGGCCTTCATGCTCTCTGCCAGATGACGGACGGGGTGAGAAAGCAGACTAGGTTGCTTAACTGGGAATGCCCACCCTGCAAGCCTCGGGCTCAGAGAGGAAGTCCACCAGCATCATTACCCAGGGGGAACCGGCAGGCTCCCTAGTTGGAGCGAGACAGGCAGGACCCTGCAAAGGGGCAGAGCAAGGCTGAGCACCCCCACCCACCCCGCAGAGCCTGGGGCAGCCCCAAAACCTGCTTGTCCCCCAAGGCCAAAAGCAGGGAGGGCTCACCCCCCCTTCTGCTTCTCTCTAGCTGGGAGGGCTCTGCCTTCAACGGGGAGCCTGGCAGCCCTTTTACTGGGGTGGGGTGGGGGGAGGAGAGGCACAGCCTTTAATGTTGTTATTGTTCTTTCTTATTGTTATTATTTATTATTAATTTTATTGTGATCGTGATTAAGATTTAACCTTCGATTCAGAGTCTGGGACTAGTAAAAGCAATTCAGGCTCTGACCAAGAGCTGTTGAGGTGGCGTCTGAGTGTTATATTCTTGCTATTTAAGATGATTATTATTTATTGTATTAATAATAACAATTCCCCCCCCCGGTTTTCGGGGGGGTAACCTCCCACCGCCACTTTTCACCCCCCCCCCGGTCAGGACAGCCTCCCTGAGAAAGAAACACCCCCCTCCGGAACTGAAGGGCGGACTAGGAAGCCCATAGTCCCCAGCTGCTACCCCACCCACCCTGCGCAGCCCCCCCCCGAGGAACGTGGCGCTCTGCATACGCTCAGAGGCACAACGACAAACTCACCGGGGGCTCCTCGCGCGAAGTCGGCGCCAGACCGCCGAGACGCCGGCCAGCCTCCCGCCAAGCGGAGCCGTGCCCATGGCAACAGTACTAGGCCGCGCCTTCCAGCCGGAAAGGACGGGTCTCCGCGGCGACCGCTTCCGTGCTGCGCCGAGGGGGGCCGTTCCCATAGAAACGGAGCGCAGGCGGCCGCCAGGCGCACGCGCAACTGCCGCGCCTATAGGCGAGCTTCGAGCAGCGGCCCCGCCCACCGTTCCGCTCCGTGAAGCGCGGCCCTCCCGGGCGGACTCCAACTCCCAGAATTCCCCAGTTATCAGGACTCGGGCGTGAATCCTGGAAGTTGAAGTCCATCCATTTTAAAGCGCTCAGGTTAAGAAACCCTGGATTAAACCACAGCGGGTGGGTTCCCACGGCGCAAGCATCACCCACGCTTTTCCCAGCGATGCCCTGTTCACACAGCGTGCCAGGTTCTGCCCTGTGGCACCTTTTGACAAGGAATGACTCCCCCTCCCTGTGAATCTTGGACCCCACTCTTTCCCCAGCGGTGACCCCCAGGAGATCCCAGTCTGCTGGCGGGGGGGGGGGGCTTGAAAGACAGCCAGCAATCCCAGGAGCAGCACTGGGGGTGCAGACCCTCAGCCCCCCCCCCTTGCTGGAACAGAGGATATAAAGCAAGATCTGGATTAAAGCAAGATCTCACCCGTTTATTCTCTTTTTAAAAAGGGCTTCTCCCATCCTCCCCCTCCCCCCTTCCAGCATAAAAAAGGTTACACCCTTGTGGAAAAATAAGTTTCACATTTCCAGTTCAGCAGCTGCAAAACCCAAGGGGGACAGTCCACAGCCCCCTCCTCAAATGAAGAGATCTTGGGGCAGGCAGCAGATCCCAGATCCCGATGGATTGTAGTAGTTCTGTTTGGCGGTTGCAATCTTTGATTTCAAGGCACCTGAGTTTCCTTCAGGTCATCAAAAATCCACGTTTGGTGGAAAAGGAGACGCGGTCTGAAACCCCACTGATGGAAACTGCCACAAAAAAATTAAAAATTAGTCTGGCAAACATGCCAAACTGGAGTGCTAGTTTGGAGAGGTGGGCATTATCAAATAGAAATATAAAAATGACATAATTTACAAAAAAAAAACCCACATATATATACACACACAAACACACCATAACCCCAAAGGTTCATATTGCTAAAATGGTATCAATACCCACCCACCCACCCCCGGCCCGCCTTGAGCTGAGCTTCCAGACAGGATTTGGCAACCTTCCCAAGCAATCCATCCAGCCAACTGGAGAAAAGAGCTGGAGAAAAGGGCACCCGGCTAAGTCTGATGGAGAGGGTCCCTTGGAGGGAAAAAAAATGGGTATTCCCCAAATCCCGGATGGACCAGGATCACAAGAACAAAGACCCCCGAGGCATTCTGTGAAAGGCTGGCTCTCCAAGGCGCATCCATCTCCCCCTTCCGAGCTGACCCCGTCCTGTTGGGAAAGCAGGTCCATCTGAGCCATAGGGGGGCGGAGGGGGTCGAGGGGGTCTTCTGGCTTGGTTCCAAATCTTGCCAACTGGATATGAGCCACCCCCCCTCTTCTCAAGAACCCAAGCACTTCCGGTGTTTCCTGCAAAGATGTCCCTCGAGTGACTTCAGGGCTCCCCCTCCCGAGGGTCTGGCAGCTTGGGGGGGATCTCGTCGTACTGCGGAGGGGGGGTGAGTGGCTCTATGGTGACCCGGGCAGGAGGGGTGCCCCCCAGCTGGAGCTTCTTCAGGTGCAGCTTCTCAGACTTGATCCTGCGCACTTTCAAGGGCTTCAGGCGTTTGCTGAGGCGGGAGCTCTGCCGGGTGGGTGGGCGCTCCCCGCCGGGCCCGGGGGCTGCCCCAGTTGCTGTCCCTGCCGCCGTGGGGCTGGGCCTGGTGGGGAGGCTTTCATTCAGCCCCGTGAGAGACTCGTAGGAAGGAAGGGAGACGCTGATGCGGGTCCCACGTTCGGCCTCCTGCCGGGGTTCCGGGTAGACGCCGTTGACCACCTCCTCATAGCTGGGCACATAGTAGCGGGAGAGGCTGTTGTTGTCGTCGTCTTGGCTGCGGGGGGGGCACATCAGGAGACATGAGTGCTCAGGAGAGGCAACCCCCAGATTTGGGTCTCTTCCTTTCAAACATTCCCCCCCCCACTGCCCCTTTAAATGCATGGAAGGCTGGGACAAATGACCTCAAATGACAAGACTGGACATGCTACACACCAGCCATTAATGGGGGGGGGGACTGTTGCCATCCAATCCTCCTTGCTGCATAGTTGCCCAGTGGGGGTTCCCCCCTCCCCCAGCAGAGAGCAGATTAAGCCAAGGGCAATTTCCTTGCATGCACTCTGCAGCCCTGCCCTCCCTCGTCTCTCCAGGCCGTAAAAACAGGACAGGCCCACAGGTGGGCTAATGCGGGCCTGGCACAGGGTGGGAAAACGGTGCTCCTCCCTGCTCACCTGTCTTCCGGGGGAGGCCGCTCGACTGAGGGCTGCGGACGTATCCGGACAACGTCGTCTTCGCGGTGCCTCGGCTTCCTTCTGTCCCGGATGGTCAGGCAGATGGAGAAGAGGAGCAGCAGGATGCCGGCCCCCACCAAGACGTAGGCCACCGAGAAGGTCTTGTTCCTGTGCAGGAGCCCTTTGCTGATGTCGGTCTCGTTCTGGTGGCTGCTGGCCGCCGGGTGGGGCTTGGCGCTGAGGCCAAAGCCTGGGACCAGGTTCCAGACGGCCATGATGATTCCGAGGACCAGCATCCCCAGCCCAATGGCCGTCAGGGCGTAGTGGGAACCACTGCTGGACCTGGACTGGGCCATCCTCAACAGCTCTCAGAGGAGACCCAGTGGATTCCTTCCTCCTTCGCTGATGAAGGCCCCGGGCTGGGTTCGCTCAGAAGATCCAGGTGGGAAAAGGGGATCTGGAGAAAGAGAAGGGATCGGGGTCAAATTCAGGTGAAGAATATTCCTGACAAGGCAGCGGGCGCAGAACTAGAGAAATTAAAATTTGGCCTAACATTTGGGGAGAAATAAAATCATCTGTTTCTTTCTGGATGAATTAAGCCACTTCTGGGCAGAAGCCCCCCCCCCCAAGTCTTTGGGATGACAAAAGATTCCTCCCATTTTCCTGGGAATCCTGGGGGGGGAGTTTGCTCCCCTCCTTTTTGCAGATTTATTTCATTCGTGCCGTAGCAAATGGCAGCACCTGGATGTCTGGAAAAGGACGGGTGGTGGTGGTTGTGCCTCCTGCTTAGCAGCTGGATGGGAGACCACTGTGAAATCCCACGACGGGGGAAAAGCAGCCTGGAAACAGGCCAACTGTGTGGCTGTGTGCATGAAGTCGCAAGCAGGGGATCGACTCAGAGCAACTGTGCCTCTGATGTTCAGGATTATGGTTCCCTTTGCTGTGGAGAATGGGAACTCCGGTCCAACACAACTGCTTGGGATAACCTGAGGAAAGCTACAGCTTTAAAAAACTAGCTGATGCAGTAAACTACCAGGACCAACGTCCCAATTTTTTAACATAATTTTTAAATTGCTTTTAAAATAATAACAAAAAAAGAAAAAAAAACCTAAAGGAACAAAGCACAAAGATACATACATTGTATATATTTTAAAAGCCTATAACAAGCACTTAAAAATAAATACCAAAAAATACAACAGAAGAAAACCCCAGAGAGATCAGAAATGCATGCCCCCCCTTCTCTGGGCTCTGGGCTCCCCCCCACTCGGTTTCCTCTCCAGCCCCAAAGAAACACCCTTTTCCAAGCATTCAGATGTTCCACCAGAAATTTGGCAAACTCCGTTTTAGATTACTTCTCTTGTGGAATGGCTGCGTTCCAGAAATAAAGCCAGGATTAAAATAGAACCCCAGACACAATTTTAACAAATCCCACTAGAAACAAACCCACATGCACTAGGAAGGATTTAGCGTGCACTAAAAGAAAAATTAAAAATCACAACAACAGATGAATGCAGGCCCAGAATGGAAGGAAAAGCGCAGACCAGATTTGACCAAACAACTGGATGTTTTTCACTCTTTCCACGGTAGGAACCACCAAACTGGTCGCCTCATTTAAAGTTAATCATTGTTAGCACTAACCACTTTCTTCTTCCAGATGAATGCACTGGAGTTAATTCGCTGCACATGCTCCCAGCTGGCGAGCTGGAGAAACAGGGAGAGATGCCAGACTAAAAAATAAAGAAATAAAAGTTCTCCTCACTCCTGATAACTTCACGGCTGCATCGACACAGCCCTCTTGGCGTATATCAGCTTACCCCGCCTTCTCTCAAGGGAGAGTTTTTTACTGCCTGGTGGTCTCCCATCCAGCTTGCTTTCTGGGTCAGCCAGGATTAGCTGCTGCTGCTGCCCCTGCTGGGCAAAAGCTGCCCACCCTAATTTAATCTGGGACTTTTGCCTTGGCACCATCCAAGGGCAGCCACCCTGCCCAGCTGGCATTCCCCGGTGGCTTCCGAGGTTGAACGGGTTCCCACCTGCCTGCCCCATCTCAATCCCCCACCAAGAACTGTTATGCAGCACAGCCGATGGACGGTTGGCCAGCCCCCCCCTTAAAGCTGAAGCTCCCGGACCGGTTCTCGGAGACGCAGCCTGCAGCCTTGTCCGCTGGATGAAAGCGCTCGAGGGAGCGCCATCTCATCTGCCAGGAGAGGCCTCCTGGGGAGGGACAGCCCCGGGGGGCCACCTGGCTCAACGGGAGTGACCAGGAACGGCCCAGCCTGAGCGAGGGCTGGAACCTCCCAGGAGCACTTTTAGCACTGTCAAAATTGAAAACCGTGGGGTTAATGGCTGATTCCGTGGGATTTGCGGAAGTGCAAAGACGAGGAACAGATGGCATTGCCAAAGGAGGATGCGGAATCACATCGACACAAAACGGAGCATTTGCAGATGGCACTGGATGCTGTAGACGGTCGGCAGGAATTGTTTTAAAAAAAGGAAAATGAAAAGAAAGCACCTCTGGAGTGGACAAGGGTGCCCTTTTCCCATTTCTCTCGGATCGCGTTTCCTTCACATGGGAATAGAACAAAACGGTGCGTCTGTGCTCAGAAAGAGCCCAAAGCCGCATTCAAGAGCTTGGATTCCCGTCAATTATACAATTAGTGTGTGGAAGGAACATGACGCGGGCAGCAGGAAATGAAAGCTGGGCCTTCTGAGTGCAGAATCAACAGCCACAGCAGAAAAAAAAGAGAAGAAAGAAGAAAGAAGAAGAGGAGGAGGAGGAGGAGGAGGAAGGGTTAGAGGAGAGGATGGGGAAACCTGAACACGCTTGTAGGGCCTCCACTCGCCAATCTGGCCTGACCGATTTAACTTTGTAAACTTGACCTCCCACTCCTAAAGTCCCTGTAAACACCCGTTGTACGTTTTCAGCATTGTGAGGCAGAAAATGCAGGAAAATAGTCTGCCTCATGGGGGCCGCAAGGCTTAAAAGAAAAGGCAGATGGACAGATGTGGCTTTTCCCTCCCAAGCCTTCTAAGCTCCCTCATAAGGCAAACTCGGCTTAGACACGGACCCCCAAATCAGCTGAAAGACGAAGCCCAGAACACAGGCATCGTCCCATGCCCAAGAACAGCCCGGTGCCCGAGATGCCCATGAAGGACACAAGAGCAACAACGCGGCCGTCTTACCCAGAAAGGGCCAATCCTGACCAGGCCCATGCCAAAGCCAAGGGCCAGCCAGACCAGTGAGGAATGAACAAAAGAGGAAATGACAAATCTTTGCCAAGTTGTATCAAAACAGACTTACTCCAAGATGTTGCAACAAAGGGACCTCCGTCTGACTGTTAACCTGATTAAGAGTTAACTAACTAACCAGCCCACTTTCCTTTGATGGAAATTATTTGCAATGAATGAAAAAGGATCCTGCTTCTCCTGGTCCCTCTTCTCTCTCCATCCGTCTCCAGCCTCTCCAAGGCTTCAGAGCGAGGGAAGCAGGATCTGGGTAGGCTTCAGAGGGACGCCGAGGCTGTGGCCATTTGGGGATCGAAGCCACGTTCCCGGGAAATTTAAGACTCCTGCAGGCCAAACCTTTACGTGAACTCCGAATCGCCTTTTTCCTTTTGGGTCTGGATTGCTCAAGGCCTGCCGTGAAATTGGCTCACGGTTACTAGGAAAATTCCCCAGCGCCCACTGAAAAGAGGGTCTCCTTGCTGGGGAGAGAATTATTTTGCCAGAATATTAGCTGAAATGTTCTCCCTGCCCATTTGGACATGTCGAGGGTTCCCTTGCTGACATTTCATTCTGACCCAGAGGAAGCTGCTTTCCATGGGCCGAGACTGTTCCCTGCCAAGATTGTTCCAGGGGGCAAAGAGTGTGTGGACACAGCTATTATCTCGGTGTGCAAGATAAGCCACAGTTATGTATTCCGAAGCTGTTTGGCCAAACGACGTCCCTGTGCTAAACAGGGGCGGACTTTTCAGTGACTGCCATTATAAAAAGAGTAAAAAAAACAAGATAATGACACACACTGAACCCTTTTGACTCTGCGGGAAAATGAAGCAGGAAAATGGGAGGATAGGAAAATCAATATCAAATTATTTTTTTTGGCTTTATCGTTTGGAAGAAAGATTCTAGCGTGGAGAGACAATTGCAGCCCATTTCAATTTTTCTGTGGTTTTCCTCGGTTTTTTTTAAAGATTGGAAAGACCAGGCTACAGACAGATTCTCATGGAGAAACTCTATCGATGAGGTTGGGAGGAGTCAAAAAAGGACTTGGTAGCACACAATCAATCAATCAATCACCTATTTGGAGTCCATCTAGTGAAATCAATACATTGACTTTGGTGTAATGCAGCTCTGAACCAGGCAGGAGCCATTAAATCTTCCCGTATTTCTCTGCTTACAATTTAGAGCCTTTTTGTGTTGGATCCTCAGTATTACAGGAAACCCCGTGCCATTTTCAAATTCTGGGGTTTGTAGTCCCAATGGGTAACAAGGCTGCTTCACTCCACTTTTTCAAAAGGCCATCAGTTATTGCACCGCAGTGTCGGATCACCACAGATTTTCTGGCCAAGCTCACCTTATCCTGACAACACTGCACTCTATCATTATCATAATTATTATTTTGTAAATGCTGTATCCCCATCAAAGCTGCCACACAACCCTCATTATAGTCTCCTGCTGCACAGAAATTAAAATGAGAAAGGGGGTAAAATTATCCAGGGTTGTTGAATTCATTTTCGCTTATTCAGGGAAGGAGAAAAAAAGAGATATTAAAACAGAATAACAGTACAAAAAGGGGAGAAAGGGGGAAGGGAGGAGATTTTAGCGATAAAAGAAAGCCGAGCCTATGAGTACAAGGTGTTGTAGGGAGATCAGTCATGCAAGATAATTGAGGCCACCGTACATATTGCCTAAAACACATAATTGCGGATAATTAGAATTGAACACCAGGCCAAATGGACAAATTCGCTAATTTACAAATGTGAAGGCCCCCAAGGTAAAAAGTCAGAAAAACATCACTTTCTGCTGGTTTACATGTACTTAATCATTGTGGTTTATTCCCTAAACCACAGGCCATAATGGCAAGGGCGAAATGCATACATTGTCCTATAAACCGATTCGTAGAACGCCCCCAGGTACAATGCGGCTGGTTTGAATTTAAGGCACTTGTACCAAACCAGCTGTGGTCTGTTCAATAAATCGTGGTTAAACAGGTTATTTCTTAGACTGCCACCTAAACCAGACCTGCAAGATCAGGGGGGGGGGGTTATTATCCTTTTGGGCCCAGAAAGGAACACTTCTCTGCATCCAACTGAAACATGCAGCAAGTCTTGCTTGAGTCATCTACGTTTTGCGGTTTGAGGAGAGATTTGGACGGGACCGTCTTGCCCCAGCCGGATGTCGGGGCCTCTTTTGAGTTGCTTTTCATTGCAGGCAGTCCTTGCCTTACAACATTTCGTTTAGTGACCGTTCAAAGTTACAACAGCACCGAAAAAGGGACTTAGGACCGTTTTTCGCATTTACGACTGTTCAAGCATCCCTGTAGTCACGTGATCAAAATTTGGCCGCTTGGCAACTGGCTCATCTTTATGATGGTCGCACTGTGCTCTCTGTGTGTGTGTGTGTGTGTGTGTCACATGATCCCCTTATGCGACTTTCTGACAAGCAAAGTCAACTGGGAAGCTGGATTCACTTAACAACCGTGTTCCTAGTTTAACTGCAATAATTCACTTAACAACTGTGGCGAGAAAGGTCATTAAATGGGGCAAAACTCGCTTAACAAAGTCATAACGACATAAATTTTGGGCTCCACTGTGGTCGTAAGCCGAGGACCACCTGTACAGCCCAGGCTCCTGGCGGCCGTGCGAAGGGCGCGGCTGAAGACCCGGGACTTACCTTCCGGGCCAGGCAGCCGCACCGACGCCCACGGGCCCATCCCAGCCGAGCCCTCCTCAGCCAAAAGGACGCCGCCGCGGCTGCTGGGCGGCTTCGGAGCCATTCCCGACTTCCCCTTTTTCTCCTCCGACTTCCTCCTCCTCGCCGAAGCTCCGGCCGCTGTGACGACGTCAGCCAGCCAGCCAGCCTCTCTCGGGCTTCGTCGGGCGAGGAGCGGCCGGAGCCGCGTCGGGTTAAAGTCTAACCTGGCGAGCAGGGCGGGCAAACCGGTTGGTCCGCTCCGGGCGGCCCTCCGCTCCTCTTAGAAGGGCAGCGCCGCCGGGGCAGCTCCGGCCGGGCTTCCCGGGGGCCGATCCGAAACCAGCCCCCCGGGCCGCCCTCCGCCCGCCGTGGGAAAGCCGCCTCCGCCAACCTGGCCCGGGACGCCCCTCTCCCGCCCCTCCGAGGCCGCCCGAGCACATCGCGCGGGCCCCCCGCCAGGAGAGGCCGCCCCGGGAGAGCGGGGAGAGGCGATCGGCGCCCCGAGGAAGCCCCGCTCAGGCTGCCCTGGCCCGCTGTCGCCCCGCCAGCCCCGAGAACGCCTCGCCCGCCCGGAGGCTGCCCGAGGAGCCCGCGCGGCGTCTCCCTGCCTGCCGGGCTGCGTGGCTGGATCTGGCCGGGCCGCCGGCTGCCTCACCTCCGCGCTGGCTCTCCTCGGGCGGCGCATCGCCGCGCCGCCTTCTCTTCTCCCGCCTTCGCCACCCGGCTCCGTCTCCGGCTGAAACTGGCCGCCGCCCCCGGCCCTCCCCGCGACGGCTGGGCCGCCCCTCCCGGCCCCGCCCCGCCCCGGCCGAGGTTTGGCTGCGGGCGGAAGGGCGCCTCCCGGGGCAGGAGGGCTCTACCTGCCAGCGATCGCTCGGGGAGGGGCGGCCCCTCGGCCAGGGGAGCCTCCGGGAATCCCGCCGGACTCACCGGATCCGCCTCCCACCCCGCGCCAAAGCCGGGCGGGCGAGCGGGGCCCCCGTCGCAGGGCAGCTGCCGGGGCCCTTGGAGACCTTTGGGCCTGGAGGGTGGGGGCCTTTCACGCAGGGGGCGGCCTTTGGGCGTGGATGGTGGCCCGTACGGGGATCCCCCTGGCTGACAATCCCCCCCCCTGCCATTTCTGTCCCGAGCCCCCCTGGCGATATTGAGGAGGGGGGTGGTCAGCCAGCCGCCACTGGACTCTCTCTCTCTCCAAAACCCAGACACAAAGGGCTCTGTTCTCTCCCGTTTCCTCTTTGTACGAGGCTCCTCCTCCCTCCTCCTCCTCCTCTCCTGAAGGTCTGGAGGAAAAACTGGGGGGGGGAGGGTGGGTGGAGGTGGTCATCCTTCCCCAGCCCCCTTGGAGCACTCACTGTTTTCTAGACCTTCCCCTCTTCTTCTATACCTCCTTTTGTGGTGGAGATTGTCTTACACTTTTATTCAGCCTTGCTGGCCTCCTCTTTTTCTGCCTTCCTCTTTTCCCAGGCGCCTTTTGCAAGAACTCGCTCTCATCTCCGGCTCCTTTCCCTATCAACTGTGGCCCACGGCTGCCTCTTCACTGTTGCTCCATGTTTATGCCAATCTGTGGCTCTGAAATCTGAGATGCCCGACTTGAGTCTGTAAAATCAAGAACTGCAACGAGACACAAGCGTCCGGCCGAGAGCAGCCGGTTCTTTGTGCCGTCCCCACTCAGGAACATCACAGGAAACGATATCGCATCTTGGTCTCTTCACGCTATAAATCCCCCCCCTTCCAGCTATAGGACTCTGAAGCTGCCAGGAAATAAGGCTGAAAAGGGGAGCAATTCTGTCCCCCCCCCAGGCAGAAACTGGAAGCGAGGCCTCTTCCTCCAGCTGGCAACTTCCCCCCCTCCCAGGTGGTCAAGGCAAGGACCACTCCCCGTCAATCTTGAACTGAAGTGAATCCAGAGTTGCTCTGCAGGAGCCAGAGATATTTTGGAAGCGACATGGAATCCACATCTCTTCAGTTTGCAGCTCCTAGAGTTGGAGGGGTACACTGAGTTCATCTAGTGTGACACACATACCCACCTCCACTTCCTTTCTTTTAAGGAATCCTGTTATTGGAGACCCCGATTCTGTGTCCGGAGCTCAAGACGGAACACTGGTTTTAGCTGCCTTCTGGGACATTTATTTATGTCTTCACTTACTTAGCATGTTTACATGGCTCCCCATTTCATGGACATCGTCCCTGACCTGTCCACAGGTAGTCCTTGGCTTATGACTTCTTGCTTACCGGTCCCAACAGAACCACCTGGGGAGAATGTATGACTTGGATTTGAAGTTCTGACAGTCATGGAAACAATATATTATTATTTTCACCCTTTATTGCATAGCACTCAAGGCAGAGTACATGTGACAACAACCCTGCAAGGAGGGCCAGGCTGAGAGAGGGAGCAGTGCCAAACCCTCAACTTTTCTTGCAGTTTTTTTCTGCCTGCTCTTTGGTGCAATACTTCTTCAAGCCACTAGATGTTGCCACAGGACAACCATGGTTGTCCCAAAGGTGCTTTTTCAAAAAGGTAACTGGAGGTTTCTCTCCTCATCAAGAAGCTTCTTCAGTTCTGAAGAATGAACTGAACAGAAGAACTGAAGAAGCTTCTTGGATGAGAAGCGAAACGTCTTCAAGGAAAAACAAAGTCCAGCTGCCTTTTGAAAAAGCACCTTGGGGACTAGAGTCTCCAAAGTGGCTGCTTAAGTTCAACAATCTTTACCTTTTTTCCATTAAAAATATTCTCTGAAAGTGTGGTTGGCAAAGAGGGGGGGAAAAAGGCAAGAGTAACACTGACAGAGACTCAGTAGTGATGGATTACAGTTGCAGAGAATCTGAAGAACCCAGGAAGAGGCTGGGGTTGGGGTCAGGATCTGCACCCCAGAAGCAGAGGTGTGGGTCCGCAGCCCTCTCCCCCGGGGGTCCTCCCCAGCTGTTGTTCAGACTGCTCCTTCTGTGCGGAGACCCTCCTGAGCGAGAGGCCCCCACCCCATCTGAGCATTCTGCATTCCCATGCAGGAGGGTGGGTGACTCCCCAAACTCCCCTTTGCAGGCGGATGACCCCACCGAAGGCCAGACCCCCCCCCCCCCGGATCCCCCACAAAACCTGAAAAGCCATTCCCTTTATCCCTTTAGCTGATGGATCTCTCTTGGCTCCAACATTTGAGCAAACACTGATATCATCAAAACGTATAGCAAGGCATACTTTAAAATAAGCTTTATTTAGTTGTGTATTGTTTTTATTTTTTCAATATTTGCATCCATGCCTTGAAGGAATTGTTTCTCCCTGACAACACGAGTGAGGGGAAGGGAAGGGAAGGAGACGAAGTAAAATCTAAGGTTACCCATAATTTGTAAGCTATTTGTTTTAAAATGGTAGTTCTTTTAAATAAATCACCTTTCTTAGTTTTGTTTCCTTTATTTTAAAATAATTATTTCCTAGTTTACCAAAAAAGAAAGAAAAAGAAAGAAAGAAAGAAAGAAAGAAAGAAAAAAGGTGGAAAATTGAAAAGAGAATGACTTAGAAATGCATTCCTGGAGTTTAGGTGCTTCCAATTTTATTTCAAATTAAAAGGGAGGGAGGGAGGGAGGGGAGGAGGGGGAGGGGGGAAGTGGTCCAGCCCTTTGGAGCAAGTTCTCCCCAGAAGGGACCCCCTGACAGTGCAGGGAGGATGAAATCCTGGCCACCCCCTTAAATGGTCCAGGTCTCCCTGTGGAATGCTTAACCTTAACCTTGCCCTGTCAGGTGTTGCAACCTACCTGGGCCAGCCTTCCTCTCACCTCTTCCAGGGCAACTCGGGGTGACGATCTGACCATCGGCCCACCGGGACCCCCTCCTTTCCCAAACAGCCTGTCTGGATGGCTACCAGGTCTGCCTCAAGGGGCAGAAAAGCACAACGAAGACCTGTCTTCCGAAACGACGCAGCAGCTGTGCAGAAAAGCAGAAAATGGGGGTGGGAGGGCAGGGGGGCCGCAACCATGGCCAAAAGAAAACCGGGGAGGGGGGGAGGCCGGGGGCTAAAATTGGTCCCTGCTGTTTTGCTTATTTAACAGCAAGCTGGGTAGCTGCATGGCCACTGAGCTTGGGAAGCGAAGGGAAGAGCAGAATGAAAATTCCTTCTCGCAGGGAGGAGGGAGGTTGCCCCCTAATCTAATTTTGAGGGGAAAAAACCCAGAGATCCGAGCCCTTTTCCTTGGAAATGACTCCAGAAAGAAAAATCCTGGCAGGAGAGGGTCGTAGCCCACCTGCTCAGCTCGAAGGACAGTTAGTTGGAGTGAAGGCGCCAGCGAGACAGGAATTATGCACACCCCACAACTCTCGGGAAAGGTGGTGTCGCACCACGAGGTCCAGTTCAAGAGGCCTTCGCATCCATTTCCTCCGGCTTGAACTCCTTTTCAGCTTACGGGTTCACTGGGGTAGCTCTCTCCAAGGACACCCCCTCGCCTGCCCTTCTCCTTCGCCTTCATCGGCCACCAGTGCTTATCCCCAACCGGAACTTCATTCCTTGCATCACCTCTGGTTCCCTGCAAGGAACCATTTCGGGGTTTTCCTGAGCCTCTGACGTGAGGGCGCCAGGCTGGAGGCACGTGGCTGGGGAAGAGAGCGGCCCCCAAATCAGCGTCCCTCTGCCCCAGGACCTGCCCAGTGAGGGGGCAAGGAGGGCTGCTGGGGCACTGGCGGGAGAGAGGCCACCAAGGCCGGACCCTTTCCCAAGTACCCAGTCCTGTGGCAGTGGGCTCTCCTTAGCCTGGACAATGGGCAAGCTAAGGGGACTAAGGGGTCAATGGCAGGGTGGTCTGGGGCCAGGTTAGGGGTGAGAGAGAGGATAGCCAGGGCCAAAGGGTCCCGCAGCCCCCCCACTTTGCCTAGGCCAGGGCCCTCCCCCCTGCCAGGGCTGGTGTTTGGAGTCTGCTAAAGCTGCACTGCTCCCTCTGGCAGGACCCACAGTTCCCTGCCTGTCTGGAAGGGGGGGGTGCCTAGCAAATCCAGAGGCACCTTTTCCACAGGGTCAGGAGATGGGGGGGGGAGGGAAAATGATCAAGTCAGATTTGTTCTCTCGGCACAGAACCCACCTCCGTTTCGCTCTGTGGAGCCATCGTGTGCACAACATAGCAAACAAAAAAAAGAGTAAAACAACCCCCCACCCATTCACAAAATCCCCACCCAATGTGGAAAAATATAAATTCCAATATTTATGTAATAATTTAGTTAGAATACATCTTCTGTATTGTGCAAATAAATTAAAATGAAACAATGGGGAAGAGAGGAAGATGAAAAAAAAGGATTAAGGAATTAAGATGAGTATGCATTAAAAACAAACGAGAGAGAGAGAGAGAGAGAGAGAGAGAGAGAGAGAGAGAGAGAGAGAGAGAGAGAGAAAGAGAAAGAGCAGGAGAGGGAGCTACAGAAGCCAGCCCACATTTTGACCTGAAGGGGCTCAGCCTGGGGTCTGTGTGTGTTTGCACAGCCCTGGGAGAGTTGTGTCCTTGCACACCTTTTATCCCTTCTTCCTTTTCCAAACACCTGCCTGAAAAAGCAGGGCTGGTTTTTCCCTTCCCTCCTGGGGGGGGGGCTCTGAGCCAGCTCGATCTCTCCTTTTTCATTAGCCTGTAATTTCTTCAGCTTCCTCCTTCTCAGCCCCCCCCCCCTCTACGCTCTGCTAACATCCACAGGCCCTGAAGGTGTACAACGGGATGGGGCGGAAGTGATGGGAGATGCTGGTGTGTGTGTGTGCATGCATGGGGGTGAGGTGTTTTGTGAACCTGTGTGTCTGCTGGCCTTCAGTGTCCCACCCACGCATGGGATTTTGCCCCCGACTCCCCCGGGAATTTGGCACTGAGACATTTAGGAGGCCCTGCAAAGCATCCAGGCCCAAATGGGAACATCCTGCCCCCCCCCCAGTTCAAGCTCTGCATTCACCCCAGGAGCTTCCCCCCATTTACTAACAGAATAACAGAGCTGAAAGGGACCTTGGAGGCCTTCTAGTCCAACCCCCTGGTCAAGTAGGAGACCCTAAATCATTTCAGACAAGTGGCTGTCCAGTCTCTTCGTAAAAACCTCCAACTTCCACTGATTCACTGTTCTGTCAAGAAATTTCTCCTCATTTCTAGGTGGCTTCTTCCCCAGGTGTGGGCAACAGCTGCACCTGGACTGGCACGAGGGGGCGGTTGTGTGCACAGAAAGCCCAAAGAGGGCCAGCCAAGAGCCCGGCCAGCTTTGCCTTCCGGCCAGGAAGGAAACCCCACAGAACTTGGGGGGGAGGAGGGGGGTTGCCCCCAAGAGCCTGAAAGAGGGAAAAGGATGATGGAGAAGACAGGGAGCGGGTGGGAAGTGGCACAGGTTCAGAGGGACTTTGAGGAGGGAGCGAGGAGGCCGGCAGCACCGGCATCGCCAGGCAGCCCCACAGAGGCCGCAGCTGAGCAGGGACTAAACGGGGTGGGAAGGACGCCGCTCTCTCGAGAGGGTGCGTGGGGACCAAGGGGGCACTGGAGGCGAAAGGGCTGACGGAGGGAGAGACCTGGCCGGGTCTGTGGCCCCAGAGCCACCGGGGGGGGGGAAGGGGATCTGAAGGCGCCAGAGATGGTGAGGCTTGCTGGGCAAAAGGGGCCTTCTCTCAACCGGAGCTTGCATGAAATTTGGGGGGGCGCCAAAGCCCCCCATCCCATCCCCCGACCGAGGGTGATTCATCCACAGCTGCCCCTCCCGGCAAACCCACGAAACACTGGCTGCCCCCCCAAAAGTGAAGATAGGCTTTTGGGGGGGGGGCAGGAGACATTTACAAAGCACAAAGTGCACCATGGTGGTGGTGGCTATTTACAAATGCGCAGCAGTCCTTCAAGTTTTTCAAGTTTTGTAGAAAGAAAAGGGGGGCAAGAAAGGGAAGAACATAGAAAACAAAAACTGGTGGGAGAGAAGGAGGAGGAGGAGGAGGAGGAAGAACAAAATCAACCAAACACTCCCAGGACCAGGGAGGGCTACACAACACGGGCATCGCTCAACAGACGACAGTTAAGGGGTTCGTACACGGGAGTGGGGGGGGGGCTATGTACAGTGGTCACAGGAGGGCCACGTGGGAGCAGCCGGGTTCAGGCCATGGCGCAGCTGGAGGCTCATCCCCCCCGACACACTCACACGGGCACCGGGAGCGGGAGGGGGGGCGGCCCGTCACCAATCCGCATCTTCCTCTATGTAGTAGTCGGGGGCAGCTCCGTCAAAGACGCCGGGGTCCAGGGACTTGCGCTGCTTCCCTCGGGCGAAGACGCGTGAGATGGAGCCGAAGCCCATCTTCTCCTTCTTCTTCTTCCGCTTCTGGTCCTCCAGGTCCTCTAGAGACTGCGGGGGGGGGGAAGCACAGCGGACGCTCGGTTCCCACACCGGCCCCCTCGGCTGCCACCCTGCTGGGCTTCGGCCACCCAGAGCGGCCCTGCAGGGGCAGGCTGGGAAGCTGGCTGACGCCCCTCGAACCCCAGTTTTGGTGAGGAGCCCAGAACCTACCTGGACAATTGGGTTGTGCAGATTTTTCTGTACCGGTCCAGGACTATCTCCCTACCAGGAAGAATGGAGACCTCAGTTTGCGTTGTGATATGAAATATGGCACCAATGAGACACGCACACACATACACACACACACACACACAAAACCCCTCCCCGTGGGTGAGGTTGCATGCAGGCCATACGCAGCTCCAGGAGAGCGGCTCCCCCCTGCGCCTGCCCGCGTCCCCTGTGCTGGACTCCCCCCGTGGACCCTTTGCTGGGTTTTATGAAAGAGGCAGACCGGAAGGGCAAGCAGCCCGCTGCTCTCTGTGGGACTACAGAGTAGTCCTCGCCATATGACTGGTCACCCACAAAAGAGGTTGTAAAATCTGGTTGGTCGTCCATGATCTGCGTTACAACCAACTTAAGACTGATTGTACTTGGCCGGCTCTGCTACGGTCTTAAGCTGAGGCCTGTCTGCACAGCTGGCAGCCTCCCGTCCGTTTTCCTTTGGTTTTAGCTCATCTCAGCTAAGAAGAGTTTCGCTTTGCAATAGAAGCGACAAAGAATCTCTTCTCCTCCGTGGCAAACCAGAGAGAGAGGAGGGAGGACGCCACGGCCCTCTGTTTGGGAGGGCTGCAAATGTGTTCGGGGTTTGGCCTCCACCGTCCCTGGCATGCCACCAGCATGGGATCCAGAATCCCACCGAGGCTCCTGGGAGACAGGGGAGATGGCGGAGGGTGGTGGCTTCAAACTCAGCCCAGGTTCTGCGCTGTCCGTCGATTCTAAGGCAAGAGGCTGGCTTTTTCACCCCTCTTTCTCCCCAGCTCTTTTGCCTGGAGGACTGCCTAGGCATAACCTGCTCACCGACAAGACGTAGACGTTTCCACCCACGACTGGGTGACTTAGCATGCTCCCTAAAACAGATTAAGAAGAGGAACAAGCTTCCGCTCCCAGCACAAGCCTGGCTGCAGGGGAGGGAATTCACACAACCGGAGCCTTGACCCAAGTGGACGAATGCCCTCTGCACGCTTGTTGGAGGCCCTGTCCCTACGCTCAGCCTTCTCCTGCTTCGGATGCCTTCCTTTTAGCTCTGTCCCTTTAAAGCAGCCGCCTCCCACCAAATACCCCCCCAGCACGCCAAGGGCAGCGGAGAGCCCCTTCGAGCGGAGAAGCAGAATGAGGAACAGCCAATGACCTGCAGACGCGTCTTACATTGCAGAGGGAATGTGTTCGGTGCCGAGGCGAGTTGATGTCGCTCGGCGTGGACGACCGATCCCCTTCGGCTGCCGAAGCATCGGAGATGATGGAAGGCTGCCGCGAGTGGCATGGGCTGACTCGGACCCCTGAAATGCAAGAGAGACCCGCCTTGCCACTTTCTCCAGCGATCCGGGTGTTTGCCAACAGGGACGGCTTTCGCCCAGCCCTTCCCACGAAAGACAGAAGGAGCAGCTCGTGGGTCTGTTTCGGGACTGGCCCGGGGTGGAGTGGGGGGAGGGGAGAAGGGGCGGCTCTCACCTTGCCGGTCCATTGTGTGCTGAGGGTGGGCATGGTAGAGTGTCTGCTGGCTCTGCCGGATGGCGGCTGTGAGGGGCAGGTCGGCCTGCATGACCCACTCCTGGTTGCCGTTGAGCACCGTCTCACCGGGCATGGCCAGCGAGTGCCGCTTGGGGACGTCCTTGGTCAGTGTGGCTAAAGACTGCTTGGCCTGTGGGAGGGGAGAGGGTGGGAGGAGAGCAGTCCTTAGGAGAAAGAGCCTGGGGGGAGGGGGGCTGGCAGGGAAGACCCCGAGCGCCCCGGCCTCACCATGGCCAGCTCGGCCTCCAGCTCCTTCATGCGGTTGTCTTTCAGGTCCAGCTGCGAGCGGAGGGCGCCGGCGTGGTCTGTGGCCTCCTTGGCCTGCCGCCTCAGCTCCCACTTCTCTCTTTCCAACAGGTCTTTCTCTTTTGCCAGGGCCTTCACTGCATCCTCACTCTCCTGGGGGGAGGGGGTGTCAAGGGGGAGGGTGGGCTTTAGAAGATTTGAATGCACCACTCGGAGGGGGTGGCTTACCTCAAGCTTAGTGCGCTTCTCTGTGGGCCTTGGGGTGTCCCCCTCTGACGCACAGCCCTCCCCAGTGCAGAGACCCCCTACCCCGGCCATCTTCCCATCAGGCAGACCCCCTGAACGAATGCCCTGTTTTTAGCCCCTCCAACGTCCCAGGGATAGGGGCCCGGGGGCCCTGGATTTTACAGGGAGACCCTGCAGGCCTTGGGATGGCGCCTGCCACGGCCTCCCCTGCTCCCCCTCCATGGGGCAACCCCCCTTTCCTGCCCCCCCATCTCCTGACCTTCCGGTGCTGCTCGTAGTTGCGTATAAAGTCCCTCAGCTGCTCCTCGCGGCTTTCCAGGGTGCTGTAGAGCTGCTGCATCTGACTGACCAAGTCGCTCTTCTCGCCCTTCAACCGCCTCCGGTCGGCTTTCATGGCTGCCAGAGGGGAAAAAACAGAGATTTAGTCATAATAAATCAATAAAAGGGCTCAGCTGCAAGCAAGGAGGACTAACGCTGTGTGACCAAAGTCCCCTGGGGGCCCATCCACGCCTCCCCAAGGCCCTTGCCTGGGAGAGGGGGCACTGTCCTGCCACAGCAGAGGCCTCGGACGCCACCCGAGCCCCTCTGGGGCTGTGGGGGCCACAAATGGGCTCACGGCAGATCCAAGAAGATGCTGCCCCCCTGAGTAGGTGGGGCCTCCCGGGGGGGGGGGCATGAGACCCCTGCCCTCCCTCTGCAGGGTCTTGAGGGAGCCAGCCTCAGATGGAGACGGAGGTGGGGGACAGGCCTTTAGCTTCAGCTAAAGAGGGGGGGCTTTTCTGCTTATCTTCCAGAGAGGTAAGATCCATGCAGAAACTGTTTAATGAGGAAGGGCAGCCAAGTGGGGGGGGGAGGAGGGCAGCCAAGTGTGGGTCTGGGCCCCCAGCCCCAGGGCCGGGCATTGTGGCAGAGCCCCAGAGGGCCTGGGGCAGAAAAGGGAGGGCATCCTTTCCAAACACCGCCTGAAAGATGTCCAGCTCCCAAGGGAAGGGAGAACATGGCCATGGTTGCCATGGAAATGGGGGGGGCCTCTGTGAAAATCCTTCATTTCATTTTGAGGAAGCCAAGCATCACAAACTCAGGGGGGGCGGAGGAAGCAGGGAGGAAACTGGCAGTGGGGGGGGGTCAGGGAGTAGGTGACCAGCTTGGCCGGCCTCTCAGGGGCACATGGGGGGGAGCATTTCATGCCCAGGGAGGATGTGCCAGCCTTCACCCACGGCTGGGAGGCCCTTCGCAGGATCCAGGGTACCAGGGTCTTTGTCTCCAGCCGTGCGGCTCAGCTTTGGGGCACTGTTGGTGCCCTTGCACCGGGGGTCTCCGCCTGGCCATCTCGGTTCCTTTTCCAGGAGAAAAACTTCTCCCGGATGGATCCCAAAGGGCGGGAGCAAAACCTCGTTTGCATGCATGTCCTGAGTCTGCCAAGCCCCCACCCCCCGCCGCTGGCAAGGGATCAGAGGGTGCCTCTGCCAACTCACTGGTCCTTCCGCTCTGCACAGAACGGGCATCATCCGATGCCAACACCCAAGGGGGGAGCCTGTACAAAACTGGGGGGCTGGGGGGGACCTGCATCAGGGAGTCTCAAGGGTGAGAAAGGGGGGCCAAACTCTTCCAGCCTGGGTCATGGGGGGTCCCCAAAAAGGCTGAGAAAAGCTCTCCCCCAGCTAAAACAAAGAAGCATCTGATGGCATTTCAAATTTCCTTCCAACTCTTGGGGGGGGGGGGAAAGGGGGAATCTTCTGATGAAAGCCATTACCCCAAGAATCCCCCCAATGGGAAACATGTGGTGGTGGGGGGTCTGGGTGGCAGACTTTAACTGCCTTTCTGGATTCAGAGAGAAGCCCCACCCAGGAATGGCCCTGTCAGGGTTTGGCCCCCAGCTCTGCCACCCAGTGGTGCTCTTACCCTGCAGGGCCTCCTTGGCCCTGGCCAGCTCCTCCTCCTTCTGGGCCAGCTGGACCCTGAGCTCCGTGGCCGGGAGGATCTCGGCGGCTTTGCCCCCATGGGTCTCCTCCAGGTCCTTGGTCAGCGTGTCCTTCATTTGGCGAAGCAAGTGGATCTCCTCCTGCAGCTGGCTGACCTCTTCCCGCAGGAGGACTGGGGGGGGGGAATGCAGGCCAGTGGTGAGAGTGGACTCCTCCCCCCCTCCCTTCCTTTCCTTCCCCCCCTCCGATGGGAAGCACGGAGATTCCCCAAGGCAGACAGAGACAGGCTCCATCTGAGCCACCGGGAAAGCACCCCCACCCCCTCTCCTCAAAGGGGACCCAGAAAGCCCATCACGCACAGCTGTGGCTTTCAAACTGGCCACTTTGCGATGAGTGGGCTTCCACTCCCAGAATTCCCTAGCCAGCTTGGGGGCTGAAGAATTCTGGGGGTTGAAGTTCACGCCTCTTAAAGTAGGCAAGGTTGAGAAACACTGGTATACAGGTAGTTTTCGATTTACGACCGATTGCTTAGTGGCTATTTGGAATTACGACTGACCTGCCTTTGGATTCAAAGTTCCTGCGCTGACACATCCCCCTCTCTCTCCCCCCTCCCCTCCTCCCCTCTTCCCCCCCCCCCGCAAAGTCGTGACTCGACACCTTGCTCATTAACTGCATCTTGAGGTGAATCGCTTCCTGCTCCCCACCCTTCCCAGGGGAGAAGAGACGCAGGAAAACAGCTCATGTGGGTGGGGGGAGATGCCCCATAGCTAGAGGGGCAACGGGGGAAAGAAGCCCAGCACTAAAAATAGATCCCCCCCCCTTCTCTGGCTCAGGGCTGGCAACGCAGCGGGAAGGCGTGGCTTTGCAGAAAATTCAGCATTTCTGGCACCAACTCTGTAATTATGGGCTGTGGGGCTGTTTTAATTACACACCACCATCACGCTACCAAAAAATAGGTGAGAACGTCTGACATAGATCCACTTCCTTGGGGGCAAGCCCCACTGAACTCAATGGGGCCTCTCTCCAGCTGAGCAGGCAGCTGCTTCCGTGGCCCAGGGGCTTCAAAATGGGTGGGACTCCAACTCCTATCGTCCCCAGCCTGCCTGCCGCTGGGCAGGAGGGCTGTTGGGACATGTTCGTGCTTTTAATCCCTGCTCTCCGATACCCAGCGGTGCCACACGGGTTGCAAACCAGCCGAAGTCTCGCCTCCCCCCCCAAACTCTGGAGAACTGGGAGCTGTCCCCCGCCCCCCGCACTTCCTCTCCAGGGGAAGAAAGGAAGATTTGCCTTGGGAACTTCTTCCCAGCAAGAGGAGAATCCAAGTCTTTGGGGGGGGGCTCAATCCACCCCAGGGAACAGCCCCATTTTCTGAGTTCCCACCAAACACGGAGAAGATCAGCCAGCTGGAGAGGCTGCCCTGGCCAGCTGGGTGGGAGAGGCATTGCTGGGACCCTCTTCTCCACAGCCCCCTTAGAAGCCAGGAGCCCCCCCCCGTCCCTCCCCCCAGGATCCTTCAGTGGAAGCAGTGAGAAAGAAGAATCAGGGCTGAGAGATCTGGTTTCTTTTTCATTTTAAGCACTTAGGTTTTTTTCCAGAAAGTGACTCTGGATTCCTCCCCCCCCCCCAATCCAGGGACTTGAATCCGCAAGTGGAATTTCCTTGCACTGAGCAGGACAGGAAGGGCAGTCTGTGTGTGTGTGGGGGGGTTGTGTGTCTCTCCTGGCTGCTTTCCACCCCCAGCAACAGCAGCGCTAAGAAACAATAAACTCCCCCTTGCATTTTTGAGATGCTTCCCTGATGAAGACCACATTATTCCCTTCTGTGCTCTTCCCCCTGATGGGGAACATCTGAGATCTGGGCTGGGGGGGGAGCATGGGGGGGCAGCATTTGGGATGGCTTGCTCTCTTTGGCAAGCCAACTTTAGGGCCCGGGATGGCTCAGCAAGGCCCCAGGGAAGGGGTCAGCTCCCCAGGGACCCCCCTGCTCCAGGCTCTGCCTTTTTTAATGATACTCTACTGAGACACCCCCCCAAAGGCCCCCCCTGCCCAGGCTCTCCCCTGGAAGCCAATCCCTGGGCGAATGCCAGATCATGGGGGGTGGGTCTCTTCCATGTTTTCCCAAGCTGCCTGGGATGTAGGAGAATAATTTCCAAGCAGGAGGGTGGCTTCTTCATCCCCCCCCCCCCAGGAAAGGCAGGCATGCGTGGGGCAGAAGGCGGGATCCGGTGGACGAATGCTTTCTGAGGGCCACCTCTTGCTTCCTTGAGCTTTGGCTTGCCCCGCCAGCCTCGCACAGCCCCAGAATCCCCCCGGCTGGGTCTGCTGAAACCCAGGGATCGTAGCACTGCCTGTGGTCCCCAGACCCAAATGACCTGCCTTTCTCACAGCTTCTGTTTTTCCTGACTCTGATGGCTTTTCAGCAGCTCCCTTTTCTGCTGAGTTTCACTGAAATGTCAGGACTTTATGCCCATTTCTTTGAAAACAACGTCCTGGCCAAAGTGCAGCCCTGATCTTGGGAGGAACTCTGGAGAGCCAACCCGGGTTCGTGCATGCAGGGAGCAACCCACATCTAACCACAGCCGAGGACGTGATGGCCTTTTTTGGGGGGAGAAACAGGCCATTTGGCTGGCCAGGCAGCCCAACCGAGAAGCAGAGGAGGCACTTCCTGAAAACCTGTCGGAACCGTTTCACGAGGCGATTGTGGGCCTGCCTGGAGATGGTTCAGGGAAGTAGCTGCAGGCATCTGGCTGGGACAGCCCTCGCCTGGGCACTTCTCCTGGGCGCCCGCCTTCTTTGCCCACACGCTCGGCCGCTTCCATGCAAGGCCAATCCTTGCCCCGGCTGGTGTGCTTGGATCGCCCCCCCCCCCGAAATATCTCACAAGGGAAGAAAAACCTTCCCTATTCTGATCAGCAGGACTGAATTCTTAAGTCACCCTAAGACAGCAAATTTAGGTTTTTAAATACATATTTGACACTAGGTTAAGTACACAATACACTGTGCACAATCTTTGGCCAAACAAACAAACTGCCAGACATGGAAAACTAGAACAGACAAATATGCCTGCACACCCACTGAACCGGTCACTGGTTGCTGGATTCCAAAGGCAGCCCAGGGGAGGGTAGAATGTGGTTTTCTGAACGTGTGCGCGCACACACACACACACACACACACACACGGCACCCTGTCCAGGGTCCCACTGGGCCAAGCAAACTCCTGGCCCCACCTGGAAGACTGAAACAAGCCAGGGTGACGTGGGCGCCATGGCGCTTATCTGGGTGTGGCGTCCACAGTTTCCAAAGCAAGAGCCAAGAAGGCCGGCCAGGTGCAAAGTGCAGGCCGAATAACACAACCTCCTCGAGCGACACCTGGGAAGCAGGCGGGGGCCCTGCACCCAAAGCCCCCCACTGAGGGTGGGCAGCTCCGGCAGGCCAGCCAGCTGAAGGGTCCCCCTCCACCTGGCTCCTGACCTGACTCGGCTGGCTTTGGGCGGGTGGGGTGTGGCCGGTGGGAGGCCAGCAGAGGGGCAGTGGGCTCCCCGGACAGACTGAGCGCCTCTCCCAAGGGCCAGCCGGCCACCGCAGAGCAGACCTGCAGCCTTCAGACCATCTACCCCGCCTCCCTCTGACTCATCCCTCCTGAAGGGGGGGAGAAGGGGGAGACCAGGATAAGCACTCGGCTCAAAAGGGAGGCCGGCTCCACCTGACCACTCCTGGCAACAGGTGTCCTCCCAGTTCAGAAAGGGAGAGCCCACCTGGGAAAGATGGGGAGGCCCCCCGTGACTGAACCCAGGACCGCAAGCCTGGCTCCAATCTCTTCGTCTTCTTTGGGGGGGGGGGAGACACTGAGTTCCTTTCTTGTTTTATTTTGCAATACAGCCAGAAAGTGATTTTTCTCCTGGGCCTCCGCAGGAAGGGCCTGGGCTGTGGACCCTTGCATACAGCCCCCTCCTCACAAAGCCTGTGGGACACCTGAGGGTTCTCCGTCCCAGAAGCCGGGGGAGATTTTCTTTCTGGGGGGGCAGCAGGAGCAAGGAAACCCACACAGCAACATCCTAAACAATGCAGCGTCTGCCAAAGAGGGCCCAGCCGAGAGGCATTTATATCTTGGGGAGACGGATCCAAAAATAATGAGCTTTTTCCAGGAGGGTCTGGATAAGTCCTTGCTTGAGGGGCCCTTCTTCCTATTCCCCCCACGTACAACACTGAGTTTGCTATTCAGCCCAACAAATTCCAGAAAAGCTTTCTTCCCTCAGTCCCAAAACTTTGTGCAGGGTCCCCACGTCCTCCTTCTCCTCCTCCGGACAAAGTCCAGCCTTTCCCAGTTAAATTATAACTTTTCTGGAGGTGGGGTGCAAGCAGGGGAGGGGCTAGGTGGGGAAAAATATTATTGCAATGTTTTTTAAGACTCAGGGGCCTTTGCAGAAGAGAAAGAAACTCTCCCTCAATGTAGAACAGCCATCACTCTCTCTCTCTCTCACTCTCTCTCTCTCTCTCTTTCTCTTTCCCTCTGGGTGTGTGTGTGTGTGTGTGTGTGTGTGTGTGTGTGTGTGTGTTCACAAAAGAATGAAATAATGGTTTGCAAGCAGGAGGCTGTATTCAAAAGAGAACCAGACCACAAAGCAAACAAGTCCTCTTTGTTTCCCCATCCTCAGATGCAGTGGCTCTTCTGACCTCCTTCTAAGCGCCTAGTCCTCATGGATCCATTGACAGAAGCCTTGGGCGGCCGGGTGCCATGCAGGGAGCCTGAATATGAGCTAGGCTGGACTGAACGATCAGAAACCCTCCCAGGGCCCTCCGTGCGGCTGTGCCAGGCTCCTGCTGCCTTCGGGAATGACCCGCAGCCAAGGGGGGAAGCAGGATGGGACTCCGGTGCCCATCACCGCTGGCAGCTGGGGCCTTGCGTAGGGGTGCCCGGCTTTCCTCAACCCTGAGCCAAAGAGAGGCCAGGGGCCCCGCGGCTCCCAGCCACGCAACGAGCTGACAAGGCGAAATCTAAGTCTCTCTGCCTCTCCAGGCAGGCACCATCCCGCAAACCCGCCAGGTTTGGCAGCACTCACCGCAGGAGCCCTGCCGCAAACCACACCTCCCCCTGGGCTACCGATTTGGAAACTCCCTCCGGCGCCTTCTCCTGCCCGCCGGCTGCCCAGAAGACCCCCGCCCCGCCCCGCGGC